GGACAAATTTACAAATCCAGGGACTGTCCCTGGTAAACAGGGATGTCTGGTAACCCTAGTTTAGGGGTATGCGTACCCCTGTATCCCCCCCGAAAAAAGCACCGTGTGTCTCCATGCACTGTGGGGAGAAGGAGGGACCATTTTGCCTCTTTTACCGGGGGCGGGAGGGGCTCGTCTGGAGTTAGTGCAAACTCCACCACTGGACAAATGACTCATTGTTCCTAAATTATAGTTTTGTGCTCAGAGTCCTTTTGCAAAGCCTGAAAACCCTTTTCATTTGTGCACAAACAGACTAATAGCCAATTCTGCAGCTTTCGGAAAAAGGGTAATCAGGCCGTAAGGCCTGGAATGTATTCAAAACATATCCCATTCAACACTCCCCCCCTCCTTTTCTTTTTTTAGAAAGAGCTTTAGAAAAAGAATATAAACCCACTTTGTCAGCGAATGACCTCAAGTTGTTTTTCCTGTTAAAAAAATTGCAGCTTTCAAAGATAATTTGTTAATGGCTCACATTTCTAACAGGTTCAGCAAAAAATTTACCACCAAATATTTCCACATATTTTTATGCAGGAAATGAAGAATGCATTTACTTTTGCATTATTACAGTTATCATATAACACAGGATATGAAAACTAAAACCTCAGACATGTTAAGGCTAATGTTTGTTTATTGAGCTAAGCCCAACATAACCCTGTTCCCTGCAAGCACCTGTAAGAGGAAGAGAGGCGTTTATAAATATTTCAAGTAAACAAGCGAGCTCACACCTTAAGATGACGTGTTAATTAATTAATCTGGAAGTGCCACCCACACACCCAATTCTGTACATGAAATTACAAAGCCAAATTTAAAGCCTAACCATTTGTAAAGATTAGGGAAGGCCTCCCAGCCTCCACCTCTCCACACCTGGCAAGGCTCAGGAAGATGTTTGACTTTGGACTCCAGAACAAGGCAATGCATTAAAGAATTTGTCAACCATTATTCATAGAGTGAACAGGCAACAGGGGTCCACTATTAAATATTATAGGCACATTAATATACAGTATACTAAGCTTTTAAGCTTATGACTAGAGAAGTTCCCCTATTCTTTGCCTGTGTCTAATCCAACCCATTTCTTTGCCTTCCTACAGAATTACCTCCCTGTAGTAAGAATTTGTCCATGGAGTTTTCTTGGCAGGGATACGGGAGTGGCTTGCCGGTTCCTGCTCCAGGTGGATCACGTTTGGTCAAAACTCTCCACTATGACATGTCCATCTTGGGTGGCCCTGCACGGCATAGCTCATAGCTTCTCATTTTCTCATCGCACTTATTTCACAAGCTAGCAAGGTTATGCTTAAAATTCTGCAAGGAAGGCTTAAGCAGTATGTGGACCGAGAACTCCCAGAAGTGCAAGCTGGATTTCGAAGAGGCAGAGGAACCAGAGACCAAATTGCAAACATGCGCTGGATTATGGAGAAAGCTAGAGATTATGGATTATGGAGAAATCTAGAGAGTTCCAGAAAGACATCTACTTCTGCTTCATTGACTATGCAAAAGCCTTTGACTGTGTCGACCACAGCAAACTATGGCAAGTTCTTAAAGAAATGGGAGTGCCTGATCACCTCATTTGTCTCCTGAGAAATCGCTATGTGGGACAAGAAGCTACAGTTAGAACTGGATATGGAACAACTGATTGGTTCAAAATTGGGAAAGGAGTACGACAAGGCTGTATATTGTCTCCCTGCTTATTTAACTTATATGCAGAATTCATCATGCGAAAGGCTGGGCTGGATGAATCCCAAGCCGGAATTAAGATTGCCGGAAGAAATATCAACAACCTCAAATATGCAGACACAATCTTGATGGCAGAAAGTGAGGAGGAATTAAAGAACCCTTTAATGAGGGTGAAAGAGAAGAGTGCAAAATATGGTCTGAAGCTCAACATCAAAAAAACGAAGATCATGGCCACTGGGCCCATCACCTCCTGGCAAATAGAAGGGCAAGAAATGGAGGCAGTGAGAGATTTTACTTTCTTGGGCTCCATGATCACTGCAGATGGTGACAGCAGTCACGAAATTAAAAGACGCCTGCTTCTTGGGAGAAAAGCAATGACAAACCTAGACAGCATCCTAAAAAGCAGAGACATCACCTTGCCAACAAAGGTCCGTATAGTTAAAGCTATGGTTTTCCCATTAGTGATGTATGGAAGTGAGAGCTGGACCATAAAGAAGGCTGATCGCCAAATAATTGATGCTTTTGAATTATGGTGCTGGAGGAGACTCTTGAGAGTCCCATGGACTGCAAGAAGATCAAACCTCTCCATTCTTAAGGAAATCAGCCCTGAGTGCTCACTGGAAGGACAGATCGTGAAGCTGAGGCTCCAATACTTTGGCCACCTCATGAGAAGAGAAGACTCCCTGGAAAAGACCCTGATGTTGGGAAAGATGGAGGGCACAAGGAGAAGGGGACGACAGAGGACAAGATGGTTGGACAGTGTTCTCGAAGCTACCAGCATGAGTTTGACCAAACTGTGGGAGGCAGTGGAAGACAGGAGTGCCTGGCGTGCTCTGGTCCATGGGGTCACGAAGAGTCGGACACGACTTAACGACTAAACAACAAGTAAGAATTTACTTTTACACCACCAGTTTGTTACCCAGCTTATATAGCATATCTAGCACTGCACACAAAGAGACACCAAACATCAAAACATTTTTCTACATTCAGCAAGAAAGGTTACAGGTCATGGGATGTTAAAAACACATGGCTCCATACCGTTATCAACTGCCCCACAATTCCCTTGGGGTGCCCCAAAGTTCCCAGGATATTTGGGTCTCAGCTTACAACTTATTGGATAGTTGTCTAGGCAACCAGACCTTCAGCGAGAAGGTCATAAATTCCTCTCCCATCTCCTCTTTCTGGGCCCCAGATAGCTTCAAGAAGAAATGCAAGTTCTCACCCAGATGTGAAGTCAACACATACCTCTTCCACAAAACATCATTATCTGACCCTTCAGCTAAGGCAGGAAGTGGCATGCAATGTAAACACAGCTTTACACAGCATATGAGGATGGCATGAGGCACACAAAGATCAAGTCTAATACATTCTGTCTGAAAGGGTAAATGTGATTAATATTAGGGCAGTCAGAATAAAATCAGTATCTATATCTAATAGCTAATATTCAATCAGATATCACAATTTTTACATTAACTCTGTTCAGAGCCTGCTCTTGCCACAAGAGGACAGGAATGTTGCTGCTGGTCTCCTGAATCTCCTCACCATCATCTTAATGTGCTGTCTGATGAAGCGAAGGAGCATGGACTGGTGGCTACAGTAGATTAAGGGGAAACCCATCCGCACTGAGAAACCTGGAGCATGTCCATGCAACACCATTTTTTGTCAGTCTCCCTCAGTCCTGACCCTGCATTTCATTGCTGCCCAGATTTTGGGGGCCCATCTAGCCCAGCCTCCTGTTCTCACAGCGGCCAACCAGATGCCCCAATGGGAAGCCCAAAAGAAGAACACGAGCCAGAAGCAGCTCTCCTGGATCAAAATTCATTGAAGTGAGCAGCGTGGAAGTCAGTCAAGAGAGGCTGTTATTGGAGGTCTGAACAATGTTGAGGCAAGCTGCTAGTCCTGTTGAGGGTGCAGAATAGGAATGTACATATGGTAGAAACTGCACTGCCCAAGCCATGGGTCGGCAAATTAAGGCCCAGGGGCCGGATCTGGCCCAATCGCCTTCTAAATCCGTCCCACGAACGGTCTGGGAATCAGCGTGTTTTTACATGAATAGAATGCATCTCTGGGTTTTTTGTGGGGCATAGGAATTCGTTCATTTCCCCCAAATATATATATAGTCCGGCTCCCCACAAGGTCTGAGGGACAGTGGACCGGCCCCCTGCTGAAAAAGTTTGCTGACTCCTGGCCCAGGCAGTACTTGGCACCGAAGAAACAAGGAAATAACGCTTCAATACAAAGCCCTGGAAAGCCTGGTCTGCTTTCATTATTTTTTCACCATCCCTCCTCAGATGAGCACAGGACGATGTACGTAAAACATACAAACAAAATACAATAAAATGGAGCTAAAAAGCGTATTTCAGCAAAAGGATTCTAAACATACGCTACTAGCCTGCAAATGAATGTGGGGGGAGGGACTTGGCAGTAGGAGGGGGTCGGGATTTGTCCGCCTCTCTACTGTACTTCGGGGGGGGGGAGGAAGCGGCAGCCCGGGGCAGGAGCCGAGGGCGGGAGGGCGACGCCTTCGACCCTCTGGCGGGGAAGGGGGGTGCCCGATGCTGAGCCCGGGCAGAACCGCTGCCGGGGGGAGGGGGCCTTTTTGCTACAGGGAGAGGCTTCGCCCAGGGCTGCAGCATTGCACCTTTGCTTCGCGTGCACAGGCACTCAAGGGTGGACTGCACTGCAAGGCTGTCGTGCCCCGGCAGCCCTCCCTTGGTCCGAAATGTGGGGAGAATACCGAGGGGCTGCGTTTGCATTTTCAGAGACCGGGGCGAATGTTTTAAATGTTACAAATAAGCAAGCGGCCATGAAAACAAACATGGATGGACTCCGAGTGGAGCCGCCTCTCCTGTCGGTTGGGGAGGACGAGACGCAGGTAGACGCCTGATCCCGGAAGCCGCTCTCCACATGGCTAGTCTATACGTTCGCAGTTCTACGGTAAACGAGCGGTCCCTGCTGCGCGTGAGCTTAGAGGAAATAGGGCCGGGCACGCCTGTGGGCGGGGCAAAGGGAAAGGGCGCTCTCGTTGCGCAGGCGCGGGATGCGTGAGAACGCTCCCATAAACTTATGTCCATAAGACTCCCGCGCAGAGTACACATATCTGCTTGTTCATCTTTGCAGTGGCGTTTTTGTTTCCCGCGGTGCCTGGATTTGCGACGCCGCCGTAATTTTAGCAGTGAACTTCCCTGCAGGGCTGTTATAAGAAACACTTAGAAACACATGATCGCGGCTTGCGAAATGTGGAACCCGGAAGTCCCACACCTCCAAACCGGGACTGTCTTTGTTTCTGTGCTCTAGAGATCCGGCATTGCTCGGCGCAGGCGTGTGGCGAGAAAGACGCCTGCGCAGCCAAGTAGAGCCTCCCTGTCCAGGGGCAGTCTACCTCCAGCGGTCCAGCTCCTCCGCCCGCCGGGTGGCATGGAGCATCCCTGTCCAGGGGCAGCTCACCTCTAGTGAGAGGCCTCCTCGTGGCCCCTGAGTGGTTCTCTCCTCTCTGCCTCCTTCCCTCCCTCCCGCCGGGCCCGGCCATGGCCGCTGCTTCGGAGCAGGAGGCACCAAGTGCTGCTGCTGCCTGCTGGGCGGCAGTGCGGGCTCTGCTCCCGAGCACACGGGCCGGGCTGGGGCTGGGATCGCTGGGGCTGGGGGCGGAGGGGGCCCGCGTGGCGCTGCTGCTGGAGGAGGCGGCCGCCTTGGTGTACCCGGGCGATGCGGGCGAGGAGTCTCTGGGCTCGGAGAGAGCCCGCCGAGCCTGCCTGGAGCTGGGCGAGCAGGTCTGCGACTACTCTTGGGAGCGGCTGCACGTGGGCCCGTGGCGGGCGGTGAGCGCGGTGTGGCGGCGGGCGTGGGCGCTCGGCTGCCTCTTCCGCGTGCTGAGCCTGTGCCGGGCACGAGGGGCCAGTCGGGAGGCGCTGCGCCTCTGCGACCTGAGCCTCCTGCTTGGCGCGCCTGTCCTGGACGACGTCATGGGCAGGCTGGTCCCCGTCCTCCAGCGGCACCTGCCACCCGAGGAGTCAGCAGCGAGAGCCCGGGCCGGGGCACCTCCGAGGAAGGTACCAGCTTGCAAAGGGCACCCTTGCCCACCCCCTTCCCGTCTGCAAGAACAGTTCCCCTCTCCAGCCCTCATAATCAAAGGTGAGCCTCACTGCAGCTGGATCAAGCAAAAGGCGAGCCGTCTACTGCAGCCTCCTGTTCTTGCAGGATGGCCAGCCAGGTGCCCCAATCGCGTGCCCCAAGGGGAAGCCCCCAGTCCCTCACAAGCAGCACCCCAGCTCAAGATCAGCCCCCTTCTGCGGTCTCCAGCAACTGGTCCTCAGAAGCATTGCCACCTCCCGCACAGCAGAGCCCCTTTCATGGCCAGTGATGGTCTTTTTCCTTGGCACACCTCAAGGACTGAAGCAGATTAAGCCTTCCTTTTCCCAGTGTGTGCAGGTGCAGTGTGGCCAACCCACACTGAGCCCCCTGCCAGTGAAACAAGAAGCAGAACTAACCACCTGCTCCTTGTTGCAGAAAATCCGGACGGACATCACCCCAGCAGCCCCTGCTATAGCCCCAGAAACTGCTGTCCCACAGCTTCTCTGCCCATCGCTGGAACATTTCCGGGACAGTTACCTAACCCCTCAAAAGCCAGTGGTCTTGGAGGGAGTTGTGGACCACTGGCCTTGCCTGAGAAAATGGAGGTGAGGGCAAGAGAGCAGGTAGAGGGTGGGTGGCTGCCTCCAGGACAGGGAAAGGTATTGCCCAATGGAGGCAGCATCTGCTGCCAAATTATTGGGTGTGGGGCTGGAGGGGCTCCTGACATCATGCATCCTCTCCAGTTTGTCTTCTGTAAGAGGATGCTCTCTCTGCCCCTGAGCTAAAGGCAAGAAGCCTGTTTTGGGCCTGCATTCTGTACTGCTAGAACCGCAGGGCTTGATTTTTGCCTGTGCTCAGTTTAGCTTTTGGCTACCATAATATTTGCCCTGGCAAGCTTGACAGTGAAATTCCAGGTGGCGCACAGAGGAGTGGATCAGAACTGGTGCTATCAGGAAAACACAGCGAAGGATCAGAAAGGACACCAGCCTGACCTTTCCCTCTGCCTGCTTGCTATTCAGATCAAAGTTGCTCTAAGGGATGGCAAATATCCCAAGGTGTATAATCACAGGCAGATTGTAACAGAAGTAACTTCATCTGTGAGTTACTAGACGGTGCCCTGAGCCAGCCAGGCCAAATACTCAAAAAATACACAAAGTGTTGCAAGTTCCCACTGGCACTTCCCCCATGTAGGAGAGGAAAGAACAAAAAGAACTGTAAGCCACTCTGCCTGAGGAAGAGGGAACGGGGCCTTTGGAAACAGGGTAGGCACAGAGAGAGCCTTGCCATTGGTTCTTCTTCCTTCGTTGTAGCGTGAGCTACATCCGCGAGGTGGCCGGCAGCCGCACAGTCCCTGTGGAGCTTGGATCGCGCTACACAGATGAGGAGTGGTCCCAGACCCTCATGACCGTGGATGACTTCATCAGACAGTATATTGAGAATGAGGTCTGGATCTTCTCCCTCCCACAAAACAGCCTGCTGGGAAGAGCAGGACAAATTATGCTGGGTTGAATTTGTGTTAACTCCCTTGTTGTATTCCGCCCTGGGAACCCAGCAAGCAGGAAAGGCGTCTCCTTAAATAAAATATTAGTGAACTTAATTTATGTGAGCACCTGCCAGCCTTTGAGTAACATGGAAGGCTGCAATGAGACTGGGAAAGGGAGGGCAAGCCTGGCAGAGCTCCTTGGGATGGGGAGCAGGGAGCTGACCCTGATTGGTAAAGTTTGTGGGGTGGGGCTCTGGACTCCCCACCAAATTGTGTGCTGCTGTTCAGTTGACTTTTCTGTATGTAGAGGATTTCCACTCACTCCTCTCTCTCTCTGCTCCCTCCCTTCAATTTGCAGGACCACAAGGGATACCTTGCTCAGCACCAGCTCTTTGACCAGGTAAACCAAAGGGATAGTTCTTCTCGTTCCTGTTTGATGGGAGGAAACAGATGCCGGGTTCACCAGAACGCAGTGAATTCCCCACCCACAAAATTTCATATCTGGGAATGATCCAAAGTGCCACCCATGCCTTTCTGGGAAGCATTTCTCTGGAAACTCCACCCCAACCATTCTCCACAGTCCATGGGAAGAGGCACGTGGGCCAAACAGGTTTCAGAGATGTGTGCAAAGGGCTGTAAGCATCACAGTAGACTTCTCCTCTCGTAGGTGTCCAATCCACCTGGTGGGAAAACTCCTTCCTGACTCTGGGTGGGCTGTCTGCCAAAACCCACTGAGTCACTTCTAGCTACTCAAACTCATGTTGTTTAATGCCAGCCAACATCCTGTCGCCAGCTGTTCTCCTGATTTCCTGAGGAAGCAGGGGAGCAGGGAACCCAAGACTGTATTGTACAGCCCACCCCCAACCTGGCCCCAGCAGAGAATCCCCATAACAATTAATGCTAGAACATAGGGAGACCTTGTTTGGTTTGAATGCTGTCCCTTTGCCACCCGCACTAGTAAAGAGAGCCTTGGCTGACGTGCAGGATCAGGCCTTTTCTGTGCTCTGACCCATCTTGCCCCTCCCCTTCCATGATAGCTGCCTCCTGGCACTTTGCAAAGCCTCTTCCCTTTTCTGCAGGCATCTGCTTTGCCCAAGCGATTGATGCCTGAATGCCTTTTTCTGTTTCCATCCTTTGCCTCACCATCTCTTATCTTGTGGTCTTGTTTTAATGGTTGCCGTGAGCCATCTTTGGATTATTTATTTGCCACTCTTCATCCGAAGATCACAAACAAAATAAACAGCAGGTTTAAAAGGTAAAGAGACCCCTGACCATTAGGTCCAGTCATGACCGGCGCTCATCTTGCTTTATTGGCCGAGGGAGCCGGCGTACAGCTTCCGGGTCATGTGGCCAGCATGACTAAACCGCTTCTGGCGAACCAGAGCAGCGCACGGAAACGCCGTTTACCTTCCCGCTGGAGCAGTACCTATTTATCTACTTGCACTTTGACGTGCTTTCGAACTTCTAGGTTGGCAGGAGCAGGGACCGAGCAACGGGAGCTCACCCCGTCACGGGGATTTGAACCGCAACCTTCTGATCGTCAAGTCCTAGACTCTGTGGTTTAACCCACAGCGCCACCCGCGTCCCTAAATAAATACTTTAAATAAATGTCAAGCTAGTGTACGATGAGAAACGCTTTCCTTTCTAACCAATTTGCTGCCAGATCCCAGAGCTGAAGCTGGATATTGGTGTCCCTGACTATTGCTGCCTGGGCGAAGGAGACGAAGAGGACATCACTGTCAACGCCTGGTTTGGTCCACCAGGGACTGTCTCCCCTCTGCATCAGGACCCGCAGCAGAACTTCTTAGTCCAGGTAGGGCTTCCGTGACAGCCTGCGGGGCGGGGGGTAAGGAGGGCAGTTGCCAATCAGAGGCAGGACTTCTGTATCCTCCTGCCTTTCAAGGGAGGCTGCTTCCTGCTCTAGGGGTGGCAGCAACAACAGTCACCAGAGGAAGCTTCCCTCTAGAAGTTGCTCAGGGAAGGCTCTCTGCAGCCAGAGATCTCAGCTGGACTGAGGTGCTGATGGGCTGTCAAGGAGAAGAGCAGAGAGGGAGTGCTGAGAACTGAAATAGGCACTGGGGCAGGGGAGAGTGCCTATTGTTGGCCTGCAAACTTTGGACGGGGATGTCTGGGCTCCTTTTTCTGCAAATGAGGATGGCAAGAAGCTAATCAGTCCCCCTTTGCAGAAATCCTGTGTGTCAGGGCACACTCTGGACACTGAGCAGAGGAATGCTAGTTAGAAAAGTTGAGCTCGGATTATTGACAAATATTTCAACGTTCCTTTCTCCAGGTAATGGGACGGAAATATGTCCGTCTGTATTCTCCTCAGGAATCTGAAAACCTTTATCCACATGAAGGCCACCTCCTTCACAACACCAGCCAGGTGGGCACCCAGTAAAGTCGGTCCCTCATAATGGGGGCTAAATTATTCCATGAAGGAAATCATGGAGTTCGCCCTGAAGACAGGCCCCGTATCTTAGTTCCCATCCCCAGCTGCAGCCAAGCTCCAACACTCACCTCTTCCTCTTCCCTCCACATCCTGCCCCCCTCTCCTGTCACCTAAATTGTAAGCCTCTTGGTGCAAAGAGTGAGACAACCATGGATAGTCCTGTCTGAATTATATTAAGACAGCGTTTTCTCTTTCATTTCCAGGTGGATGTGGAAGACCCTGACTTGGTGAAATTCCCCAACTTCAAAGCAGCTGCATTTCAAGATTGCATCTTGAGCCCTGGAGAAGTTCTGTTCATCCCAGTTAGCTACTGGCACTATGTGCGGTCCCTGGACATAAGTTTCTCCGTCAGCTTCTGGTGGTCGTAGCGTCTGCTGGGAGCAAGTCTTCTGCTCAGGGACTTCAGGCAAGATGAAGGAAGGAGCTGCCAGGAAGCAGCAAGGGTTGTGACACAGTTCAACTGCTGTGGTTGAGGATCAAGGGCATCAATGACACAGTTTTCTGAAGGAGCTAAAATAGTGACTTGTCCCTCTTTGGGTTTTGTTAAAAAGAGCTCTCTTAAAACTTTTCTCAAAGGACAACAGAATACAAATTAATATTTAAATTATGTGTTGTGAATTGAATTGCCTTTGCTGATGTAGCACAACCTGCTTGGTCAAGGGAGACAGAAAGCTCACCATTTTGATTCTATTTTCTTGGTGGAGGCTCTAATGGAACTGATGCACTCATGACTAGAGCCCCTGCAATACATGTTGGGCAAAAGGTTTCTTGCATTGCAGGTTGGACTAGACGACTCTTGGGATCCCTTCCAACTCTACAATTCTGATTCGATAATACTGCTTTACAAAGTCTGAAGGGTTCAGATCTTGTGCAAGATGGGCAAAGAAGTCCTTAGTCATTGCGGAGGGAAGTCTCTCTGTAGATTCATCATGCCCTCACCAACCCCACAAATGCAAGGAGGGTAAAGCTATAGAAGTTACAAGCAGGAATTGCGATTTCTTTAAATTTGGGGTTGGAGGAGGGCAAAAGTGTCTGTTTCCCACACAGTCCAGAGTTCAAACTCTGCCTTCTGAAAGTAGGGCTAGGAACAACCCCTGCTGGGGACTGGAGCTTCCTTTGTTCATGAGAACATGAAGAGCCTTCTGGATCAGGCCAGTGTCCCATCTAGCACAGCATCCTATTCTCACAGTGGCTGACCAGACATCTGAATGGGACCCAAGGACAAGAGCAAATCTCTCCTCCTGTGCCTGCCAGCTACTGATTTTTAGAAGCACCGCTGTTACGAACTGTGGAGGGAGAGAGCCTAGCCGTCCTGGCTAGTAGCCATTGGTGACCCTCTTGTTTTAGAGCCATCTAGGTTGCTGGCCTTCACTGGCTCCTGCAGGAGAGAGTTTTAACTATGTGTTGCATGAAGCAGTCGGTCCTGAATCCTGTAACATTCAGCTTCTTGAGATGCTCACAAGTTATGATGTTCCGAGAGGGTTACGTTAATCTTTCAAAAACAGAAAGATACAGCTTTGGGAAGGAGCAGAGTTGAGGCCCAGTCACCCTCATAAGACCTTTAAAAGCTTTGCCAAATATATGGTTATGCATTTGCCAGGAAAGGTATGTTGTTACATGAGCTTTGGTAGCTTGAAAATAAATAAAAACCCTGTATTTTTTTATTTTAAAAAAGCTTTACATAAATAGTAAAAAAAGGAAAGAGAATTGTGAGACAGGTTGGATCCTGAGGGGAAAAAATATATTACAAGATATGTATTTCAGACACTTAAATTATGCAAATATAGAGTAGCTGTGCTGGGCCCCAGTAACAGCTGCTTGTCTGTACTTCTCCAACAAGGGCCTGGAGAACTCTTACTGCCGCCTCTGGGCCATTGGGGAGGCGGAACTCCTCCGGGTCTCCTGTGGAGTGCTTGAGAGCCCAGAAGGTCCTGGTAGGTTGATATCTGTGGTGGAGATGGAAAAATACAGAATGGGCTGAATAAGAGTTTGATTACCTTACCGTGGCCTTTGGGACCTTTCCCACCTCCACTTTCACCCTCAACCCATTTATGTACCAGTTTCTGACAGGCAGAACTTTCCCTGTTGGCCAAAAGAAAGCCCGACCCACCAGAGATCCTTTTCCCTCCCAGCCTGAGGGCAAGAAATAGAATCCATCAAATGAGATGAAATCTGGCTAGCTAGCTGCTTCCGGGAGGGTGGGCTTTCCGTGAACTTTGAGAGGGGATCTGCTAGAAATCTGGAAGAATACATTCTACACAAATGAGTCTCTCTTCATCTCATATGCAAGAAGCTGTATCGCTTCCAGGAAATCTGCCAGATCACTAAAGCAAAGAAGTCCTTGGGTTAATATCCAGAATGTCCTGAAAGGCAGACAGTGGACCAGAAGGAGAGCAGGCTGCTGTCTCCCCACCCCCAGCCCTGGCATGAAACTGGTCATGTTTCTCTGGGGAGGCACTCTTCAGGGGTGTTACCTGGAATCTGGTGGGGCCAGAACTGCTTGCAGTTAGGGCAACGAGGTTCCCTTTGGGCTTGGAAATATTTGGCAAGGCAAGGCAAGTGCATGGCGATTCCACAGTCCTCACAGACTTGGCTCTGAAAGGGAAAAGCTCCTGTGAATGGGAGGCAGATGGCCTTTGTGAGACGAAGAGCCTCAGGGCTGAGCAGCAGTAAGGCTCCTGGAGGCCAAGGGTGGTTAACACTTTCTCCTGATCAGCCTCTCCACAAGGCTGGTTTTAAGCTGCAGGGGAGGTGGCACTGCACAGGGGAACTCCTGGCCACTGCTCCCCCATCCCCAAGCCTTGCCCATCCCACATACACCACCAGCTGATGTGGGCCTTCTGACCTGGATTGAGAGGCTGTGGCAGACGTGACACTTCCGTGCAGAGTCCTGGTAGTGGCGGAGGATGTACTGCTCCAGCTCCAGGACGCAGCGCAGGTGCAAAGTGTACTCTCCCTCTTTCTGCAAGAGAGCAGAGGCCCAGACACACCCCTTGTTCAACTGCTCCCACATCAAAGGAAGGCAAGGGGGCCAAAGTAGACCTGCCCACTCCAGCTCCCCACCCACATTCCCGTACCTCGAAGAGCCACTTATCCTGCACCAAGCGCTGCAGTACTAGCTCAGCCTCCACCTTCTTCATCTTCTTTGGCTTCAGCTGGTCAGCCAGGTTCAGGATCTCCGTGGAGGAGGCAAAGCCGTTGCTAGACAGCACAATCAGATCCATCTGCAGATGGAAAACCCCTTTCCTAAGTGAGAAAAGAACATCGCAGGGGCCACGTCCCTCTGGCCAGCTAGCAGGAGGATAGTGGACTCCTGGCTTTGTATTTCATTAAGCCAATGCTTCTCCTTTTTTTTAGGCAAAAAGGTGCTGGTAATCAGCATGAAGTTGTTACAGTAAGTACTGCACTTTTAACAGGGGGGAAGGTGCCGGTATTGTGTACCCCCAGAAAAAAACACTGCATTAAGCACATTGGATGCAGAGGGCTGCATTTCGCCCTCCCAAGACCCGTGAGATTCCCAAATCATGGACAGGCTGGGGAGCAGAGGCCAAGTCCAGAAAGTGAGTCCTCCCATGGCTACTGGGGGCCACTGAATCTAGGCCACTTAGGAGGCTGGCCAGCAGGTAGGCAGGCAGCAATCTGCTACAGATTCAGCCACGTTTGCACACTCAAGGTTTCCATGCTTACAGTCTTCTTGAACAATTCCAGCTCATTTTCAGAGTAGTCGCTTGCCATTAGGGTGATCTCAGTTTCAGCCAGATTCACCTGAGGGAGAAAGCAAGTGTGATAAAGGAGACACCGGGCAGCCTCTGAGCTCCAAGCCAAGAGGATTCTTTGACGCTGTCTCCCTGGCACCTACAGCCCAGACGTGGCTGGCCCCTCCCATGGGCAAAGCTTCTTTGAAGGAGGCAAGCACCAAGCCTCACCCCACTGCACCGGGAATCCCCTTGCTGGGCTCCTTTTTTATTCCTGCAGCTATTGGCTCATCTCAGTTCCTGTGCCAGAGCCTCCAGCCTCTGGAGCAGTCCTGCCACCATCCAGCAAGGGTGTAGAATGAGGGGAAGGGTGTGCCTCTTGGATTCCTTGTCAGGGGGACACTGTGATCCAGCAGCAGCATGCGACTCTCCCCAGATCCCACCCTTCCCAATTTCAAATTACAAGGAAAAGACACCAGGTGACAGCCAACCCTGCCTTACCAAAGCATAATATGTTCTCCCATTTTCTTCTGATACTCCTTTCCTGATTTCCAAAGACAAAGGCTGCAGCTGACCATTCAAAGTGTTGATGAAGTCATCCAGCTTATCAGGTACATAATGGACTGTGCAGGAGGGAAGAAAAAGAGAGGTGAGAATATAAGGAAAAGGAGAGCAGTCACATAACAAGTTCACAATTTCCATTGATTCCTACGGGAACATTTCCAATCCATGATTTATCCAATCTCTCTCCCTACCCCCACCCATGTTTTCTTCCTGAAATGGCTGCAGCCGACCAGCAAAGAAAAAACTGGTTTTTCTGATCCCTCTCCCCCACCCTCCCTGGTTTCTGGCTGAAAATGGCTGTCACTGACCAGCAAAGCACAAACAGGGAAGGAAGCAAGGAAGCGGGCAAACTTTGGCTATTTGGATATATGACTCTGAGGTGTGTATAGTGTGGTTTGGGTACTAACTCCTCATGTTTCGATAAGTGAATTTTTGCATAGCAAGTGTTGTGAAACAGGACCTGTATGCATATTTATTAGTCGTTTCCCTCCCCCCAAAAAAATTGTAATTCAAAATCACTTTTTAAAAAAAATCTCAGCTAAAACTATCATCTCTCTAGAGTCCAGCTGGTCTACAGTTCTGCTTGCTTTTAAAGAAACAAAAAGCCCCCACACCCGAATACCCGTGACTGCTAACTCTTGGAGACAGAGGAGAGGGTGGAAAGGGGGCACTGCCAGACCCTGAGAGGGTCTTCATTACACACACAGAGGGAGGGAGGGAGGGAGGGAGGGAGGGGAGGGTCCCCTTCAGTCTCCCTCTCCTGCCTCAGTTCTGACGCTGGCACTGATCCAGGTGAAAGAAGTCCCTGGAGCCCTGGAAAGGAAGAAAGGTTGTGGATCCTTTTGCTGACAAATTACATACACACACACCCTGATGCTCTACACCTGAGCATCACATACACAGCTGACTTTTTGCACTGAACTCAGCAGAAGATGGAATGGAAAGATGGGACAGCTTAAGAGCACACAGGAGAGCATGATGGTGGAGGGGAACGCCATAATGCCACCACCGCCTTCCCTGCTCAGCTTGTCAAAGAGCAGAAAAGTCAAAGAGCAGAAAAGGATCAAATGTGGGGAGAGGGACTGAGTCTCAAGATTACTTAGCACAGCTTTTACTTATATCCACACAGCCCTTCCTGCCTCCTTTTCCCCTCCTAAGGACTAGCCTGCTACCCAGCCCTCTATTAATCTCTGCCAGTGGACTTGCTCCCCCACTCACCCTTGTGCAGCTGGCAGTACAACTGGTGTAGCTTCGCAGCTTCAGGCCTCTCCACAAAGCCAAGAGTTAGGAAGGCCTGCAGGAACTGGCGGTGAGCATCATTCAGGTTGGTGCCCAGGGTCATGGCCATGGCCAAGTTCAGGACTGCAGGATGGAGAAAAACAGCTAGATAACAGGGCCGTGAACAGCATTCCTGTCCCCCTCTTCCTCTCCCTCCTCCTGGGGATCCTTTCGGTCTCATCCAGCAGGCTCCCCAACAAGCTCACTGTGCAGAATGGCTTTTAAAAAAAAAAAAAATTCTCAAATTTGTATACTGCCCATACTCTGTAGATCACAGCATAAAAATGCAAGATAAAAATACAAAATATGCCATAAATAAATCACAAACCCAAACCCCATCACACCCCTTCCCTTTGAAATTACGGCTTCCTTGACATAAAACAATTGCTACGTTCACTTTTATGGGGTTGCTTTTAATTTTTTTTTTTTTAATGTACTTTGGGTCTCCTTTGCTGACGGCTTAAAGGGGGTTCCTCTGCAAATGTCGGAGGGGGGGGGAGCCGCTTCCAGCCTTGCAACTTCTTCATGTTTTTGGCGATCACTCGTAGCCGAGTAAGATTGTCTTGGCATTCTGCTCCGCCACACCTGGGGTTGCTGCTGCTGCAGCTGCCCAGTTTCCGGTGTGTCGGCCCCTGTCAGGGAGGGAGGGAGCGCCGCCTTTCCCAGCACCCGCCCTCCGCAAGCCACTTTGCCTTCCCGAAGAGCGCGCACACACGTGAATCCTGCGCGTGAGACGCTGCCTACCTTGGCTGGGGATGACCCGGAAAGAAGCCTCTGAGCGTGGGCAGAGTGCAACCACTCGGGGAGAAATGAAGAGGGAAGCGGGTAGGCGAGCGCCCCTGTCCCTCGGCTGCTGCTCCCCTAGCGGAGAACCAGAGCTGAAGAACAGGAGAGAAAAGAAACCGCGGGAGAAAAGAGCTTCCGACAATAATGGCCACGCCCTCTCGGAGCTCTTAGCCAATGAGCGAAGTCACAGCCGGATTGACGTTTGGAGCCGGGAGAAGTGCCGGGCCTCAAGATAACAAAGTAGAGAGGGGCACGCTCATTGTTTGTAGAAGGAGCGTCCTGGTTCATTTAGGTGTTTTTTGGGGGGAGGGGGGGAGATAGTGCTGCCCACCCCATAAGGGCGTGGGGTGGCCTCAGACACCCAGGATTTCAATATAACTCTGAATGGTCGCAGTTCCACCCTTGAAGGAAAAGTCACTGCAAAGTCAGGGCTCAGGCTTATTTTCCCTCACGTATTAAAAAAACCACCTGATGCAAATACTGCCCAGCCATAATACACGTATTGTGCCCGGTACGTTTCCGAGCACAATTCAAAGTGTTGATGCTGACCTTTAAAGCCCTAAACGGTTTACCTGAAGGAGCGTCTCCACCCCCAGCATTCAGCTCTGAGGGCCTTCTGGCAGTTCCCACACTGTGAGAAGTGAAGATAAAACATAGGTGCCGACTCCCCCGGGGCTCTGGGTGCCTCAGCACCTGCAAAATTCCCCATGAAGGAGCCAGGCACCCACAAATAGCAGCACCAGGGCCATGCACGTTGCATGGCACCCATGGTTGTGGGGCTAAGATGGCACTCCTGGATTATAAGGCAGAGGGCCTTCTTGGTAGTGCCACCCACCCTGTGGAACACTATCAGGTGTCAAGGAAATAAAGAACTATGGAAATTTTAGAAGGCAGACCCGTATAGGGAAGGTTTTAATGTTGGATGTTATATTATGCTTTTATAATTCTTAGAAGCCACTCAGAGTGCCTGGGGCAACCATAAAATTATTATTATTATTATTATTATTATTATTATTATTATTATTATTATTATTATTATGTGACATTGTGGCTGAGAAAATGGAGGTTCCATCCACTCGTATTGGTGAGTGAATGTGTGTGAGAGAGAGCACTGCAATGTGGTTCAACTTTTGCTATCCAGGCTCCTGAAGCATTGAATTGCTTGTTTGAGAAAAATGCAGTCAAAACAAAGGGGGGTCTCTAAGTAGTAGCAACTTAGCAGAGGACCATCGGCTTTCTCGCCTGAGTTGGCTGGGAGAGAAAGAGGGTGACTTGTGCATGAGGGGGATTTGATCAGAAAAACACCATCTCTCACTCCTCCATCTCTCAATAAGCTCTAGAAACCCGCTCCATGGCTGTTATATTCTATTGGGAGCTGCTCTGCCTACTAATCTGAAATAAAAGGTTCCTAAGTTTAAAACCAGCTCTGTCCACATTCAGAGGTGCTATACACTGAGTTGCTGCTGCTGTGCCCCAGGCAGCAAAATCCCTGGGCTGAGCCTCCCTGTAGAAGCGACCAGGCAGCATTAGTGGCAAGTACAGCAAAGCAAAGAGACCCGGAAAGCCACATAGAAAGGGGGTCAGTAGTGGTGAGTGTTTTGGGGCCCTAGCATCTGAGCCCCCTTGGCCCAGTCTCCTCCCAGCTACTCATAGAAGCCGAAGGCCTGAAGGGCAAGACAAGTGGTTGGCCACAGCTGGGCGACTGGCCAATGTCTCGTGGCTTCTGCCTGTTGGATGCTGGCTATGACTGTTGCAAAGGGGCTGGGCCTTGCTCTCAGTTGGGCCTTGAATAAAAGGGGGGCTCCCTAATCCCTTCACACAGGTAAGCGGGTGGCGTTTCATAGTGAAGATCGCTCTAGGGTTCAGCTAAGCCTGCAGAGCCCCCATTGCCTGTGGCAGTCTACCTCCACAGGCACGCATCTGGAGGCGGCCAACAGGCTTTCAAAAGGCATTAACGTTGTTGTCTCTTCCCAGGCACATTCCATCACCAGCTCTCCGGATGGCCAACGGCAGGACGGGCTTTGGGGGGCCCCAGAGGCCTTGCCTCCTCCTCTCCGTCTTCCTCGCCTGCTCGCTTTGGCACAGTAAGTTTCTGTGGAGGAAAGCTGCTTCCCTCTGCAGGAGGGCAGCTGGGCAGCCAGCCGGGCAGAGAGCGAGGCCAGGAGGGGCAGCGAGGATCTTCCTGCCAGGTTTCAGCTGCCTGGAAGATTTCCAAGGCTTGGACGGGTTGAAATGGGCTGAGGCTGCTTGGGTCAGGTTTCCAGGAGGCCTGCTTTTCTGGTATTTTAGGCGGTGGTGTGGGAGTGAGTTAAGACTTTTTGCTGGGTCTGGGTTGCTCTGGGTTTTATGACTGCATGGTGGAAGCCACCTTTGGAGACTCATTGCCCTAAAAAGCGGCTTTTGAAACTGCAATAAGCCAGAAACCCACCATCCAGCCCCATTTCTTCCCCTCTCCATAAGTGGGCTGCATTCCTCTCACCACCATCAGCATATGTCCAGCCATAGTCATTGGGTGTGCGGGGGGCAGGGCAATGACTTGGGATCTTAAGTTGCATTATCCATATTATCTACACGGACTGGCAGCACTTTAGCTGTGATTCCTGCACTGCAAAGGGGCTAGGTGACGTCACTAGCAGCAACCCTACAGTTCTGTGATTCTATGAATTTTCTTGAGTTCATGGGTGCTCCGTCTGTCTCCCCCCTGTTTTCTTCAGGAGATCCTTCCTACTTCTCTTTAGAAGTGCAACAGTATAATTTTTCTGGTATATTGGGCAGATGTTGTTCTTTCCCCTCCCTCCTTAACAGACGAAACTCATTGGGTGCGTCCAAGGAAGCTAGATGTTGGGAGACAAAAGCAAGGTCTTCCCCACACATTTAAAACATTATGGGACTCACTTCCACAAGTGATGGCATCTAACTTGGGCAACTTAGACAGGATGAGACAAATTCATGCAGAAAGAGGAAGAGGAGAGGGCTGTCAGTGGCTACTAGCCACAATGACTGTTTTCCCTCCGGTGTCAGAGGCAGTAAATGCCTCTGAGTAATGCCACTTACTGGAAATGGCAGTGGGGGCAATTGCTCTTGCTGTGCCCAGGTCCTGTTTGTGAGCTTCTACCCTTTGGGGCATCTGGTTGGCCACTATGGGGACAGCAGCTGCCCCCCTAAATCAAGTAAATCAATAAAAAGTAACCCAGGTTCTGCACCCCCCCCAACATAAAGCCTGGCCACTCCCATGGTAGGGAGCAGGGTTGCCAACTTGAATAAAATATGGCAGGGGTGGGGGGGAGCCCAAACCCAACATAATTGATCACATGATCCGGTGCACCCACACCATTTGAATGGCAATATCCATCAACTTGGGGGAGGGCGGCCCTCTCAAATATTTTATTAGTGAGACCAAAGCCCCCTCTGCCCCTTAGAGTTGGCTCCTATGGTAGGGAGCAAGAGCAAGGGGGGGGAGGGCTCAGGGAATTGAGGGGGAGAAGTTGGAGATCCACACTTAGGTGAGCATGAAGGGGAAAGGGTTTTATTTATTCCGTGCTGTGCTTCTTTCCCCTGCTTCAATAAAATTCCCAGGGCAGCGAGCTCCTAACATTTCAACGTGCAACAACTCCAAATGGAAAGCCCCCTAAAATGGTTCCTTGTTACCAAAGCTTTCTTCAGTTCCATCTTGAAGGAGTCCACTTGGTCCACCCTGAGATTTCAGGGGATGCAGGAGAGAGAGATCAATATCCCAGAGTCAGTACAGGAGAGCGGTTGGGCAGTTGGGAAGGGCCTCTCACCTTTGGGAGACAGACACTGCCCCTTCCCTCCGGGGGGGGGGGGGAGGTGCTAGTCCTGTGGCTGTTTCATTTCCGGAGGGCTGAGTAAGCTGAGCTGCAGATGTCGTGGCACAATCTGGAGCACAGCTGTGTTGCATAGGAAGTGGCTCAAGGAAGCAGTCAAGGAAATGAACCAAGGGGCACCACTAGTTCAGATAAGCTGCGTCCTGCCTACGCATTTCGCAAAGCAGGGGGAGTAAACCTGGATAGAGAAAAGTTTCCTTCTTTCTCTCATAATGCTAAAAGTCAAGGACATCTAGTGATGCTTAATGTTGGAAGATTTAGAACAGATAAAAGGAAGAACTTCTTCATCCAGCACAGAGTTAAAATGTGGAACTTGCTCCCACAGGAGGCAATGATGGCCAACAAATTTGATGGCTTTAATCCAATTTCAAAGAGGGCAGGACTGTCAGTGGCTACCACCATGATGACCATACTCTGCCTCTAATCAAAACATGGAAACCCTTCCAAATCCCATTTGCAGGAAACCACAGGAGGTAGAGAATCTCTTGTGACTGAATACTGCTTGCAAGCTTCCCACTGGGGCATCTGAGAGAACAGGATGCTAGACTAGATGAGCCCCTTTGGCCTGATCAAGTGACAGGGCTAGTTTCATGTTCTTAGGAGAGCTTTATAAACGTTGAGGGGAGCAACCCAATGCACCCGGAGGAGGAAAAACAAGCAGCAGTCAACATAGAAATTTAAGGCTTGTCCTCGGAAGGTCTTTTTTCTAAGGCAGAGGCAGAGTTAGCTTTCCAGACTCAGACAAAATGCATTCTCTACCCCAGGAGTATTTTTTTTAAACTATACACACACACACACACACACACACAAGGTCCCCCTCGGCCAGACTCAGATCTAGGCTTTATTTCACCCTTGTCACAGCTTGGCACACACACACACACAGGTTAAGAGCCTCAATGGCACCCATTTGGAGGCTTCACTCAGGGCAAAAAAACCTGGCTAGCCCCCCTGTAATTACGGCTCTGCCTGAAAAAACAGGAGTAGAGCAGAGATTCTATCCCTTTCTGCAGTGGAGTCTTGGAGGGCCAAAGTGTGGCTTTGCAGAGGCCCTTTCTGGCTAGGCCTCCTCTGAATATGTAAGTTGCATTGAGTAAAACATTCCTACACTGCTTTCCTCTGAAAATCTGGAGATGACGCACAACAGCTGGTGTCAGTCTGGCACTCAAGCAAACTCTTCTGTTTCTTTCTAGCCATATCCTCAAAGGACATCCAGCCACGTTGCTTCACAGACTATGACTCCGAAGTGGTTTGTTCCTGGGAAGTGGACGCCTCTACCGACTGCCCCAAGAAGTTCCTCCTGCGTGTTGCAGCGAATAATCGATTCAGTGGCCAAAAGTAGGTCATGCTATGAAATGTGAGAACTGCCACCCAATCTCCTCTTTCCTCTGTTGGGTGTTTTGGGGGCTGGTGGTACCCTCCTTACCCCTGTGAGTTTTCCAAACTCAGAATAAGAAACGCAGGATCCAAAGGGTTTCTCATTCTACTTTTCACTGGACCACTTGTGGTTGGAGAACTTCCAAGGTGCACAGATTTATGTCGTCTGGCACGCTTGCAACTTTTCCTGGGGAATCCACAGCCTGGTGCAGCTGGAGGCATTGCAAAACCCCTCTCTCACTTGGGCTGAGCTTTCCCAAATCGAGGTTGTGGCAGAAATAATCCGAGTGTTGTCTACTTTGAAAACATCTTTTAAGTCTTGCCATTGTTCCAGGAAATCACAGAAGTGTTCTCCTAAGAACAAGAGAGGCCTGGATGTGACCCCCAAGTGTACTTGCACCATTCGGTCTGACGTACTGAATAATTTCAAGTATCGTTTCTCGCTGGAGGCCAATGGGAAAGAGATCTGGAAGATGACGATTAAGGACCTTCGTAAAATTGGTAAGGGACCCTTTGGTCTGCAAGATCCTTCTTGCGCATCCTTAGAGGCTGATCTGAAGAACAAGACAAGAGTAGCAGAATACAAGTGTGGTGGGCACAGATCATTTGTCTTCACGATTAGCACCAATCAATGCTGAGAGACCTTCCTTAGCCGCTCCTGCATCCGCCTTAGTACGTTATGCAAAGTCACCACCTTAAACAGTGGCAGGTTTATTGTGGCAGAAACCTTTGCAATGGAGAGCCCCCTTCTTCAGGTGCCTGGAGGGGGATACTCCAGTTCTGGAGAGAACTTGGAGAGGTTGAGGTCTGTCCTCCAGGGTGAAAGGTCTGCCGCTTTGACCAGCCCTTCCTTACAAAGTTGTCTTCCCTGAGAGGCGAGCAGGGGCCCCTTTTGCCTCCCCACATCCTTCTCTTTGTTGTCTTCTTCCCGAATGCAGTGAAACCCCGACAGCCTGTCAACCTGAAACTTGAGATGGGGGATGGCGGATACATCCTCACCTGGGAAGATGGCTATAATGAAGAGAACATTCTCCATAAAAATTCGGAAACAGACTATGAAGTTGCCTTTTGGCAAGAAGGCCTGCCGGAGGACAAGGTAGGCACACCTTCCCAGCATGCTCCTCTCTGTACAATCACCTGGAATAGTGCTGCAAATTTATTATTGTTAATCAGTTAATTACATTTATATCCCACCCTTCCTCCCAAAGGGAACCCAGGGTGGTAAGCTCATCCATGTTAAAACAATGCCATTAAAACAAAAATTAAAAATACTAAAACAACCACATACACTGGGGGGGGGGGGGGAGACCTTCTGCGTCCTGAGCAGAGGTTGATGTTTCAGAATACCCCTCTCCCCACCCCCCTGCTCTGCCTCATGCTGGTTGACATGGCATCTTCCCTGCCCTTCCATGACACTTTCTTTGGGCAGCTCTGCATGAGAAAGTGCCTTCATTGTTCTCTCTGATGTCTATCAAGGACCATTCACAGAATCCATTTGTTCTAGTGAAAGTCATTGCCCCCCCCACCACCACATGCACACAACAATACAAATGTTCAGCTGCTCTTTGTGGCAAAATAGACAGGCAGATTGCCCTAGTTGCCTATGCAGACCAGTGTGCAGAGCTGCATTTGAGAAAAGGGGAGTATATGTGGTTTTCAGCCATCACTACAGGAGTAGCATTTATTAATTTCTAGGCTTTATCCTTAATCTATAACAATATATTTGGCAGATGATTTTATGCCCCTCACAAGTGGGGCACACACAAGAACAGTGTGTTGGCTTTTATGACTTCTCAGAGTAGACTGGCTTGAGATCAGGGCCACCAGCCCCAAGCCATTGCTTTCCTTTGGATCACAGAACCTAGGGGAGGGGTGGCAGATGCAGCCTTCCAGGCCTCTTTCACCGCCCCATTACTGTTCCACACACTCCTAGTTCTTTGGCTAGGCTGAATTGCATCTTTTCTTCCTTGTCTGGATGGAGGAATGAGCCCAGCCCTGGGTCCCTGGCTGTGGCTATCCCCCCACCCCTCAGGTGAGAAATGGCCAGGCTCAGGAGGAAGGGAAGGAGATTCTTCTGCCCTGGAGCCTTCTGTCATTTGGTCTAAAGCCCTTTGACTTCATCTACAAAGCTTTCATTCCCTTGTCCATTGCTACATAAGAGTCCAAAAGCAATTTCCTACCATATCCCAAAATTATCTCCTTCCATAGAAAGTTGAGAAAGAGAAGAATTCCACTCACCAGAAGAACCCCCTCCCAGTGTTTTCCTGTGGTGTGGGAAGGACCACATAATGTAAACCTATTTGCTTCTCGGTTTCCCCCCCCCCTCCAAAGGCACGCAAACGCATGACGACGGACATGCAACTTAACATCGCCACAGGGAGTCTCATGCCAGCAAGGATCCATTTTGCTAAAGTGCGTCAGAAAAATTATTTCGTCGGGGACACCTGGAGTGATTGGAGCATCCCGATAAGTTGGCGAACAGATGGGTGGATCGGGTAGGGCACCTGTTTATTATTAGCAATGTGTTGGCATCCCTGTGTGTTCTGGGCTCCACATTGTGGGCTCTTTATTTCTAGATTTTGTAAACCTTCTGGATTTGTGAAATATTCCGACCCCACCCACAGGAACGTTTGTGCATCATCCAGCCCCTTTGAGTGAGCGACAGCATTTCTCTCACATTGCTGGGGTCTTGCATTTCCAGTCAGCTAGACATCAAATTAATATGCAGGCCTCTCACTTAATTCAGTGCAATTCTCGGCTGTAGACAATACCTCTTTCTGAAGTCACCCCAATGATTTTTATTGTTTCTCATTTAAATAAAGACAAGAACACACAACTACATTAACTTGTCCAGTGGTCCATTCTTATTAAATTCCATACGTAGTACATAATGCACATGCAATAAGTTATGTATTATCAATTCAAGTAGCCTCTCCACAGAGATTCCTGTGTTGAAAGTGGAATAAAAGTATCTTCCGTCTCATTTATAAAGGAAAAGAAAGGAAGCCAACATCACCAAAAGTGTCTATCCTTGAAGTGCCTTTAATTACACTTTTGTGGCAAGTAAGGCCTTCCAACAGAGCCATACTCCAAATACTATCTAACCAGATCTCAGTGGGGAGTTCTATAGATTGTTTCCAATATCGGGCTATTGTAAATTGGGCTGCTGATAACAGAAAACAATACTAGGGGAGCACCAAATTATTAACCCTTTTCTCCTTTCAGGCAGAAATGGGTGGAATCTGTGAGCTTAGCATCCCCTTTTCAGGGGATGAAGCCTGCCAAATTTCACACACACACTGAGGTCCAAGGGAGTTGTGCTTGGCACCCTTAAAGTTGATTTGGAAGGAATAACTCATTGGGCCCCCTATGCCTCTACCCCTTCCAGGAACTGACTTGGCAGGCAGCACAAGCTTTGCAAGGCTCCCGCCTCATACCTGGACTGAACTATATTAAAGAGTACACTAACACAGGCCATTGCTGTCAACCTTCCTTTTTTTTGCGGGAAATTCCCTTATTCCAGCGCCGCTTCCCGCTGCTATCCCGGATTGTTAGATATCCCGTAGACTGTCCCCGGGACAGGTGAGGCTGCTGATCCCTTATTTTCGAGGCTGCTGATTCCTTTATTTTCAAATCTGAAAATTGACAGCTATGACACAGGCTTTGTTGTGCATGTGTGTTTCTGTGCCACGTAGTCCCTCAAGAACACGCCTGAAGATGGACAGATACCAAACCACTGTTTCTCACAGATACATGCTGACCTGCAATAACACTGAAATGAACTGCAACTCAGGCCAGAACGAGGGGTGTGGGGTGAAGGGGAGCAAGGTCATTCTGAGGAGCTGGGGGTGCTGTGCATGCGAGAATCCTCTTTTACCTTCCCAGAAACCCTGTGAAGTACACTAGCTTGAGAAATGGCAAGTGGCCCAAGGTCCTTGGATGAGAGGGATGCAGAGGCCAGGGAAAGGACACCCCTATACTCAGTTTTATGCACCACCCTTTGGACCCCCCGGGAAACTCACCAAACGAAACCTGCTGCCTCCTGGACCCGGGTGTGTGCAGTGCAAGTAAGCTGAGTGCTGAACAGGACACAGTACAGTCTGCATGGGGTCTATTCGTAAAGACTGTACTGTCTAAATAAGGAAGATCCACTCCAGCACACTGGCTAACTTGTCAATGAGTAACTGCATCCCAGTGACAGTACTGTTCAGTGGGAAGAGGAGGTGCATGTGGAAACCTCGATGCAAGCACCAGTTAAGCCATTTCCTACCTTTCTGCTTCCAAAAAACCCACCTCTTCCTTCTTAGCACCCCTCCTGGGCCCCATAGACTCCTGCTTCTCCCCCCCTCCAATGATCTACCTGGTCAACTTTCACCTCCTCATATAGGAAATGTAATAAGAGTAGATGAGCCCAGCTGCAGCTGAAACAGACCAAAAGGGTTGCAGCGCCACGACTCCAGAGCCCGGACTGACTTGGCTGCGCGCACACACCACGGGGCTGGCGTGGTCGTCCCACGCCGCGAGCACTCTGCACATGCTCAGGAGACACCGATCGCAGTCTGTTGTAGCCGAGTTTGGTGCGAGCCGTGCCAGGGAGGGCTTCCCGGCTGGCTGGGAATTCCCCGCAAAGGCGGGAAGGGGCCGGGCTCGGCATGCAAATCCGCGCCCCAGGAGGAGGGCCGGGGCGTAACCCAGCGCTTCCCGGACAGCAGCCGTAGCAGCGGAGGGCGCGTGGCCCAGGTGGGCTGGAGTGGGGGAGTCGCGAAGGGCTCCCTGTCGTCGTCCGGGTCTCCGCCCCCCCCCCTCCCCGGGCCTTCTCCCCTCTGGGATTCCCTTTCGCTTTGCGCACGAGCGCTGGCCGGAACCCCGGGGGAGGCGGGACGAGGCGGGCGCTGGCCGAATTTGTTCAGAGAGCCGCCCCGGGACGCGCGGAGGGAGGCCCGCCCTTCCTCCCCACCCACCGAGCGGAGCAGCCCGTCGCCCAAGCAGGCAGCAGCGGGAGGGGCTCCGGGACTACGGGCAGCCAGGTCAAGCCAAGCGGGGGCGGGCGGGCGTCTCGTGGGCTCCGCTTCGCCTGGCTCCGCGCCTGGCGGCCGGGCTGGCACTGGCAGAAGGAGGGAAGCGGGCCGCTCGACGTTGTTGCCTCTTCCCGGCAGAGCCCGGCGCACTTTGTTCTCGACTCTCCGGATGGCCGACGGCGGGACGGGCTTCGGGGGCCCCCGGAGGAAGCCCGGCCTCCTCCTCCTCCTCTCCGTCTTCCTCGCCTGCTCGCTTTGGCACAGTAAGTCTCCGCGGAGGAAAGCCGCTTCCCTCGGCAGCAATAGGGAGAGTCCGGGCGCGGCCAGCCGAGCGGAGAGCGAGGCTCCCCAGGCCGTAGCAGTTGCGCACCCAGAGACTCCCCGAGGGGCGGCGAGGATCCTGCCGAGGTTCAGCCGCCTGGAAGCTTTTCAAGGCTTGGGCGGGTTGCTTGCTTGGGTCAGGTTTCCACGAAGCAGGCGTGCCAAGTTGAATACAATATTAGGGGGGGAGGGGGTTTAAGCCCCGCCCCATAATCGATCACATGATGCTGTGCTCTCACACCATTTGAAAGGCAATGCCCATCAACTCGGGGGAAGGAGAGATCCATCGGCCCCTAGGATTTGACTCCTGTGCCAGGAGCATTTCTGGCTCTAATTCCTGGTATTGTTGGTTGGTGAGGAGGTGTTTAAGAAGTTTTGCTGGGTCTGGGGTTGCCCTGGGTTTTACTACCATACCCTTAGGACAGTCTTTGCAGCTTTTGAATCTCTACAATAAGCCAGGCACCCACCACACATACCCCATTTATCCTCCTGTCTCAATACACAGGCTAGGTTCCTCCTGCCATCATCAGTAAGTGTCCAGCGGGTGGGGGGGGGGGCTCGGTGGTCGGCCCATATTTTCTACACCAGAGGTCAGCAAACTTTTTCAACAGGTCCACTGTCCCTCAGACCATGCGGGGGACCGGACTATATTTTGGGGAGGGGAGAACGAATTCCTATGGCCTACAAATAACCCAGATTTTTTTTTAAAAAGACACATTCTACTCATGTAAAAACACGCTGATGCCCGGACCGTCCGTGGGCCGAATTTAGAAGGCAATTGGGCCGGATCCAGCCCCCGGGCCTTAGTTTACCTACCCATGATTTACATGGACTATAAGCACTTGCCTTCCAGGGTTTCAGGCAAGGTTTCTCCAGCCCTCCCTGGAAATGCTGCCATTTGGGATTGAACCTTGACCTTCTGCATGCATAGCAGGTGCTCTGTCCCTGAGCGAAGGCTTTCCCAGTGGGGTGCAGGTAGAGGTGGAGCGGTTTGCCAGCCAGGCCATGGAGCCCAGCTGTTAGCTGTGATTCCTGCACTGTAGGCAGGTGGGCTAGGTGGGGTCACTAGCAACCCTACAATTCTGTGATTCTATTGCTTTTCTTGAGTCTGTGAGTTTTCCATCTGTCTTCCCCCTGTTTGCATCAGGAGAGCCTTCCTACTTCTCTTTAGTAGTGCAACAGTTTAATTTTTACGGTATATTGGGCAGATGTTTTTTCTCCCCCTCCCTCCTTAACAGGTGAATGTCCAAGGATGTTGGAAGACAAAAATAAGGTCTTCCCCACACATTTAAAACATTATGGGACTCACTTCCACAAGAGGCAGTGATGGCTTCTCACTTGGGCGACTTAGACAGGATGAGACAAATCCACAGTAGAGGTGGAGGAGAGGTCTCCCAATAGCTACTAGCCATGATGATGGTTTTACCTCCAGTGTCAGAGGCAGTAAATGCCTCTGAATAATGCCACTTACTGGAAACAGCAGTGGGGGGAGTGTTGGTTTATTCAGCTCCGGCCCTCGAGCTGATACGGCTCATCTTGATCCTGAGCCCAGCAGAGTAAAATCCCAGTGTCCACAAACGAAAGGATGAAGCAGGTATTGCTACATTGCTAAGCTTTATTTCTAAGCTATACCGAGAACACACAAATGTACATCTTGCCTCTGTGAGAGCAGAGAGCAACTCCCAACAAACGAAACGACAGAACAAAGAAACAGGAAACCAGTGAACATCACATCCAGTCTCCCTTTCCCATAGGAACCCAACAGTAACTTAACTGTGGAATGAAAACAAAGTCCCATGACTTGCAGCAGCTGCTCAGTGAGGGAAACAGAAACTAACAGGGAGTTGCCCTGTTTGTGAGCATCTTCCCTTTGGGGCACCTGGTTGGCCACCATGAGGACAGGAGGCAGAGTGGTCCTTCCTCGTGGCTGCTTCCATGTTGAGGGAGTCGACTAGGTCTGCCCTGAGATTTCACGGGATGGGGAGTGAGAGAGAGAGTTTCCCCGAGTCAGTGTAGGAATGTGGCTGGGTTGGCAAGAAGGGGCTCCCTCTCCCTTGGGGGACAGATGCCACCCATCTCCCCTCACCTCCTGGGGAGCATCTAGTCTGTTTCATTTCTTCGTGGCTTTTCTGCTGAAGATGAAAAGGGAAGTTTGGTCCCTCTGCTGTTTTTGAGGAACCGAAACTAGAGGCGAAGCTGCCTTGTGCGTGTTTGATAGGAAAATAAACATCCGGAGAGTTGCGCAAGTTGAGCTGGAGATGTCCTGGCTCAGCCTGGAGCAGAGAGGTCAATGGGGCCATGTTGCTGTAGGAACACCAGGAGCAGGAGAAGTGGTGCAAGGAAGCAGACTGTGGCAAAGATGCCATCTTCCAAGCTGTAATCCTGCCTGAGCATTTCGCAGCAAGTTCCAGCAGGGGGAACCACTTAGTCTGTTGCAGGAAGAAGAAGAAATAGTTTCTTGTTGGCCTAAGGCCCTAAGCTTTGGAATGATAGACCTTTCAGTCTTCAAGTTGCTACAGAACTCAGTGGGAATTGTTTCTGTGTAGACATGCCCAGGATTGCACTGTGAGAAGCAGAGGAGTGGCTTGGGTGGCGGAAAAGTAGAACAACCCTGCTAGAAATTTTAGACAGGTAAGCAGCAGCAGATAAGGAGACGAGATAGGGAAGTTTTATTTTCTCTCTCATAATGCTAAAAGTCAAGGACACCTAGTGATGCTTAATGTTGGAAGATTCAGAACAGACACGGAAACGCTTCCAAAACTCAGTTGCAGGAAACCACAGGAGGTGGGGAGTCTCTTGCGCTTGAATCCCACTTGCAGGCTTCCCACTGGGGCATCTGGTCATTCACTGAGAGAACAGGATGCTGGACTAGATGGGCCCCTTTGGCCTGATCCAGCGGCAGGGCTACTTTCATGTTCTTAGGAGAGCATTATAAATGGTGAGGTGAGCAGCCCAAAGCACTTGGAGGAGGAAAAAGAAGCAGCAGTCAGCTGAGGTCCAGCGCCGAGGGCCTTCTGGCGGTTCCCTTACTGCGAGATGCCAAGTTATAGGGAACCAGGCAGAGGGCCTTCTCGGTAGTGGTGCCTGCCCTGTGGAACGCCCTCCCACCAGATGTCAAAGAGAAAAACAACTACCAAACTTTTAGAAGACATCTGAAGGCAGCCCTGTTTAGGGAAGCTTTTAATGTTTAATAGGTTATTGTATTTTAGTGTTTTGTTGGAAGCTGCCCAGAGTGGCTGGGGAAACCCAGCCAGATGGGCGGGGTATAAATAAATTATTATTGTTGTTGTTGTTGTTAGAATTTAAGGCTTGGAAGGTCTTTTTCTAAGGCTTTTCCAGACTAACACACAATGGCACCTTGGAGGGCTGGAGTGGGGCTTTGCAGAGGTTTCTTCTGGGTAGGCCTGTGTTGGATTCTTCCTCCGAATAAGTAAGTTTCGTTCAGGAAAACGCCTTCCTCTGAAAACTGCACAACAGCTGGTGTCAGCCTGGCACTCAAGCAAACTCTTCTGTTTCTTCCTAGCCGTGTCTTCAAAGGACATCCAGCCAAGTTGCCTCACAGACTATGAATCCGAAGTGGTTTGTCACTGGGAAGTGGATGCTTCCACCGACTGCCCCAAGGAGTTCCTCCTGCGTGTTGCAACAACTAGTACAGTTTATGGCCCAGGGTAGGTCATGCTGTGAAACATGTGAACTGCCCCCAGATCTCTTTCCTCTGTCGGGTGTTTTCGGGGCTGCTGTTACCCTCCTGAAAGCTTATCAGGGTAAGGTAATAATAATATAAAAAGTGAGAGAAATTAAAAGAAGTGACATTAACATTGTTGGGCCTCGCTCAGCATTACTTGTGCCACAGTGCTTCTCTTACAGAGAAGGAGGCCCTTAACATATGGCAGGTAAATATAAAGGCCTCGCCATCCTGGGGACTGTAGTCTGAGGGCCTGGACTGCCAGCCCTGGTGGCTACTGATATCAGGGCTGCAGAATGCATCTGTGGTGGCTTCGCCTTCTCTGAGACACCCTGGGAGGAGTAGCCAGCCCAAACCTTTTCCCGAAAATGGATGCGGGTTCTTTACAAAATGTCTCTGGGAGCTGAGTTGCAGTCACTTTGAGATTTCCAAACCGAGAATAAGAAATGCTGGGTCCAAAAGGTTTCTCATTATACTTTTCATTGGATCATTAGTTGTTGGAGAGCTTTCAAGGTGCATAGATTTTTCCCCTCTTGCACGCTTGCAACCTTTCTGGGGGGGATCAGGGGAATCCACAGCCTGGTGCAGCTGGAAGCATTGCAAAGCCCCTCTCTCACTTGGACTGAGCTTTCCCAAATCGAGGCTCTGGCAGAAATAATCCAAGTGTTGTCTACTTTGAAAACATCTTTTAACTCTTGCCATTGTTCCAGGGAATCATGGGAATGTTCTCCTAAGAACAAGAGAGGACTGGATGTGACCCCCAAGTGCACTTGCACCATTCAGTCTGAAGTACTGCATAACTACAAGTATCATTTCTCACTGGAGGCCAACGAGAAGGAGATCTGGAAGATGACGAGTGACCCTGATGACATTGGTAAGGGATCCTTTGGTCTGGCAGACCCTCCTTGCGCATTCCTGGGGGCTGCTCTGAAGAACAAGACAAGAGGAGCAGGGTGGGAAGGGAGGGTTTGTCTTCATGATTAGCACCAATCAATGCTCAGGGACCTTCCTTAGCCCCCCTGCATCCATCTTAGTACATTAGGCAAAGCAACCACCTTGAATGGTGGCAGGTTTATTCTTCAGGTGCCTGGAGGGGGATACTCCAGTTTGGAAGAGGTTGATGGAGAGAGAAAAAATGGCTGCCTAGAAGAGCAAAAACTACTCCCAGGAACTGGTTGAAGAGCTTAGGAGAAGCCTCAGAATTCAAGAAAGCAGGGCAATATGTGGCAACTGTGGAAAACCCCAATGGATTGAGGGGTTTGCCTCTGTATGCATGTTGGGGGTCACCTGGAATGGACACAGCCTGCTACTTGCCCACACCTGCTGGCCGCCTGTTTCTCTATAGCCACATCAAAGCCACAGGGTGCTTTCCTACACGGTAACATAAGAACAACTCATCGAGCATTTGAAATTTGCCAGATGCATTTTGCCTTGGATCTTCTCTGTTTTACACACTAACAGCACACCCTTTAGAACTGTATCTGTGATATTTTATCTGCACGATCAGAACAAATTTTGGGGACCAAGCTGCTTGGCCCCAGAATGCCAACTAGACGTTCTGTTTTCATGACTGTAACCCTGGTTTAAGGAGCCTTTTGGTACCTAGCTTATATATCTGAGTTTCTAACACGGAAAACATCCTGTTAATGTGTGACACAACATTGCCATGAGACTGTATGGTGCGAAGCAGCAGCAAGAAGAAATTAAGAGAAGGAGGTGGCAGTGTGTGTCTGTCCTTCCAGGGAGAAGGACCTGCTGCTTTGACCTTCCCCTCCTTCCAAACCAGAGGCCCACGTTAGCTGCTCTGTGTGGGGAGCAGGCGCATTCCCCAACCTCTTTTGCCTCCCCACATCTTTCTCTTTGTTGATTTCTTCCCAAATGCAGTAAAACCCCGACTGCTTGTCAACCTGACTGTTGACAGGAAGGATGACTCGTACATCTTCACCTGGGCAGATGACTATGAAGAAGGGAACGTTCTTCACCAAAATCCAGGAACAGTATATGAAGTTGCTTATTGGCCTATAAACCAGACGGACAAGGTAGGTACACCTTCCCAGTGTGCTCCTCCCTGTACGATCACCTGAAATAGTGCTGCAAGTTTATTGTTGTTAATTAATTACATTCATATCCAACCCTTCCTCCCAAAGGGAACTCAAGGTGGCAGGCTCATCCATGTTTAAAAATGCCATTAAGTCTAAAATTAAAAATACTAAAACAATCACATACACTGGGGGGGGGACTTTCTATGTCCTGAGCAGAGGTTGAGGTGTTGGGACCCCTGAAAGCCTCAGAATGGCCCTGTCCCCGCCCCCCCTGCTCTGCCCCATGCCAGTTGACATGGCATATTCCTGCCCTTCCTTAACACTTTCCTTGGGCAGCTCTGTAGATCCAGCGAACTGCAGGCCCAAAAGCCTTTAGATGTATTTGGCAAATGATTGTATGCCCCTCACCAGGGGGGCACACAAGAGCAGTGGGATGGCTTGAGATCAGGGCCACCAGCCCCCAAGGCTTTGGATCACAGAACCTAGGGGAAGGGAGGCAGATGCGGCCCTCCAGGCCTCTTTCATCTGGCCCTGGGGTTCTGTCCAGGCCAGGCCTCCCCCACCTCAGTCCTGTTCCACACACTCCTAGTGCTTTGACTGGGCTGAATTGCATCTCGTGCTTGCTTGCCTGGATGGAGGAATGAGCCCAGCCCTGGGTCCCTGGCTGTGGCTGTCTCCCCCCCGCCCCCCCGCGCCGCCCCTCAGGTGGGAAATGGCCAGGCTCAGCAGGGAGGGAAGGAGATCCTTCTGCCCTGGAGCCTTCTGTCATTTGGTCTCAAGCCCCTTGACTTCATCTACAAAGCTTCCATTGCAGCTTGTCTTGAAACAGGTCTCTGAAATTAATTCCCTTGTCCATTGTCACATAAGAGTCCAAAAGCTTTTCTACCACATCCCAAAATGATCTTCCTCCATAGAAAGTTGGGAAAGAGAAGAATTCCACTCACCAGAAGAACCCCCTCCCAGTGTTTCACATAATGTAAACCTGTTTGCTTTTGTTTCCCCCCTCCCAAAGTTACACAAACACACTACGCACAGCTGTCATTATAAAATCTTCGATGATAACCTCATGCCAGGAACCACCTATATTGCAAAAGTGCGGCAGAGAACTGAATCGTTCGGGGACATCTGGAGTGACTGGAGTGCTGAGTACACATGGAAAAATGGTAAGTGCTTAGGGCAGGGGCTGCGCAAGGCACCTGTTTATTATTAACAATCTGTTGGCATCTCAGTTGGCATCCCTGCGTGTTCTGGGCTCCACATTGTGGGCTCTCTCTTTTCTGGATTCTGTAAACCTTCTGGATTTGTGAAATACTCCCACCCCACCTGCAGGAACGTTTGTGCGCCATCCAGCCCCTTTGAGTGAGCGACAGCATTTCTCCCGCATTGCTGAGGTCTTGCATTTCCAGTCAAGCTGGACATCGAATTAAACTGCAGGCCTCTCACTTATTTCATCACAATTTTCTTCTGTAGACGGTACCTCTTTCTGAAGACTAAGGCACATGATACTAGTCATTTGGAAGACTTGTTTTGGTAGAAGAAGGTAGCACAATGTTCTGCATGAAAATGCACTAAGCGATCAGTGGCACAACACAGGCGGAGAGGCAGGGGGCAGTCGCAGTTTGCCAGGCTAGAGACAAATAACTGGAAAGACCTTCTAGATTCCACAGTGACTTTGATTGCTTGCCCTGGGTAGGCTTGCTAAAAGCAGCTCTGCTGCAGACCCCTGGGTGAAGTTAGCAGGTTCAGTGTGGTGCCACAGCACATCAGGCCCCGCTACCACCAGTGCTCCCTCTTCCTGCATCAAGCTCATTATCTGCTGGTTTTTCTCTGCATATAACTTCACGGTATACTGCCTGTAGCTGTATTTGTGCTTCTTCCACCTCCTCTTCTCTCCTCTCTTTTCTTCTCCTTGCCTGTTGTCTTTTCCTTGGTCTAAGGTGAGATGATAAACTACCTGGGACAGAGACCTACCTTCTTGCTTCTCTTGGTCTGTGTGCGGTGATGGTGCTACATGAATAATAAGCAGTACAAATTCTGTCCGCCCCTTACCTTGGTGGTGCTGGGTGACCCAAGGACCTCTTTCCCCAGCCCAAGGTAAGTCTGGCTGAAGGGAAACCAGCTTGATACTGCAGGAGGGGGTTAAAGGTTAGATTAGCTTGTACAGGAGAAACCAAACACACGAGGCATTAAATGTGCCTGTCGGCGCCCATCCCCACATCCCAATTTGGGAAACTCCTTTGCCAAAAGAAGGACTTGGAAGGCTTCAATTCCCCTAACATATAGAGAGACAAGCTAAAACCAACAAATAAACCTCACCGCATCCCTACAAGGCAATAGGCAAATAAAAACCCTAAGGAGAAATACTGCAAATCACCTGAAATTCTTTCCAGCTGTGTGAGTTGGGCTCCTTTGTCAACTGAGGCTTCTGGGCGTTGAGCCTGATCTTGTGCCCCCTTTCCAGGTGGGTGGGTGCCTGTCTGCCAGCCAGCCAGCCAGCCTACCTCCCACAGGTATCAGGGTGAATTGTATGCCCAGATAACCAAAATGCTTCTTGCCTTCCAGACACTGAGCCAAGGCCTGGCTCTATCCTCTGGATTTTCATCCCTTTGCTGTGTGTGTTCATCATGGCCCTGGCTACCTTCAGCTTCTTCTGCGTCACCAGGTAGGTCTTGGGTGCCTTGCAAGGTGTTGTCTCCAGGGCTGCCCTTTGCCCACAGCAAAACAAATTAAAAAATGGTCACTTCTGCTTGAAGGTTGCAGGCCTTGTTGGCAGAGGCATTTTCCTGCAACCCTGACAGGAAAGGAAGAGGAAAGTGGCCCCTGTCCCTTCTGAGTCTTCTCCTCATCCTCCTTCCAGCCAAACAGTCTTCCTCAGCTCTCTCACGTGGTGTTTTTAACCATGCATTTGGCTGCTAGTCACCTCGGAAGGGGGAAGATTGGTTCCTGATGTTCGGAGGGGAGGCAGCCCTTGCAGAGCCCTGTCTCTCCCTTTCTGAGGGCTGGGAAGGACTAACGGGTGGCGCTTTCTTGCTTTGCAGGGTGAAGAAGGGATGGTGGGACCAGATTCCAAACCCCGCCAAGAGCAAAGTGGCCGCTGGTGTGACAGCAGCGGTGGTGCCATTCGGAAACATGGGCCTTGAGCACCCTGTGCATATTCACAGCTGCATTGCATCTGCCAAGCCAGAAACTCAGAAAGAGGAAGACTGCCAGGTCCCTCATGAAGACGCCGTGGCCAAGCTCTTCAGGGACCTTCTCAGTGGGGACCTGAGCAGTGGGGGCACCGGTATCCTGGACGAGCACCCCCTTCTCAAGGACCAGGCTCTGGGGCACATGCAGAGTGCTTTTTCCTTTTCTCAAGATGCACCGCTGGACAAGCGCCGTGGTGTTTCGGAGACCTCTTCCGAACCTGTCTATCAGAACACCAGCACAGAGACAGTGGCTTCGTCCCAGCCAGGCAGTGCTGCCCTGGAACTGCCCCTCAGCCACAGCCTCTTCTCCCCAGAGGCACAACCTGTCACCACGGACAGACTCTGTCTGCAAGGGGGGGGTGGCGGCAGCACAGCCGCCCCCCAGCCCTCGGGCTACAAGTGTTTCAGCAGCCTGGTGGCGGAGCCTATGGCCGGCTTCAGCCAGGTCTGTGAGGAGGAGCAAGAGGAGTTTTCTCCTTTCAGGGACCAAATCCAGCCATTCAGCCATGACTCAGGGCCTTGCCTTGCACCTGTGACTGGCAGCCTGCACCCTTCTTTCCAGGGTGTCTTCCCAGAAGCCCAAGACTCGCTTTGCTTTTCCTCCTGTATGGCGGCTGCAGAGCAAGAGGCGAGGCCAGGCAGCCCCTCCCAGCATGCCCCAGGGAAGTCTGGCCCCTGCCCAGCAGCCTCCCTCCTGGCTGGTTACCGCTCCTTCAGCTCAGCTCTCCAGGAAGGCACAGCCCCCCAGGGCAAGAGTGGCAGCGCTGGTTGCGGCCTAGATGGGCAGTCCCCTTACAAACCCTTGCTCAGCATTGTCCAGGACAGCCCCGCAGCAGCCACTGGGGTGAGCAGGGTCCTCTTTCACCCTGGCTGGGGGGCTCAGGAGGTAAGAGACCCGGCCTGGGCAAGTGCACCCTGCGGGGCGGACCTTGATATGCAACAGGTGGCTTCCGATGGATGCTTTAGGGAAGATGTGGCCAGGGACAAAGGCCTTTCATACCCCTGAGGCCCCTTGTACCTCCTTAATTCCGCCTGAACCAGGCAGTGACCTCCTCCAGGTAGAATTCTCCCTAAATCCAGAGATCCGCTATGCTGTAAATAGGAAAGCAGCAGCAACCGCATATAGGGTTTGGGGGTTCAGGGAGGAGGAGCTATGGGACTGCAGTCAGAGGAGGAGGATGTATGGGAGAGGGAATTAAAGGAGGGACAAAAGGTGTTCACCATCCCCTTTAAGCCCAGGTAGGGAAGGGCCCTTATTACCAACAGAGGGCTAAGCCAAAGGCCAGCAAGGAGAGGCACTTTCCTGCTTGTAGACCTGCATCTGTGTGGAAACTCTGAGGACAATTTGCTGGACTCAAGGGGCTGCGTTTGGCACTTCTTACATGAATGGGACCTTCAGGGGGATGGGTGCTTTCTTGACCCAGATTGGGCTGGGGGCTGGAGCACCAGTTGTTCTTGGGCTCAAGTTACTGGACAGTGACCTGCAATGGATTCCACACTGCCTGTCAAGTGTTTCGGTTCTGCCTGCTGACAGGCTCTGAATCCAGCAAGTGGCCAGCTTTTGCTCAGGCACTGCCTTGGTTTTTGCAGAGAACAGTCTGCCTGCCTGCCTTTTGTTGCTGCTTCTGTACAGGTAAGGAGGTCTTGCTTCATATATCCATAGCAAGCAACAAGGTCTCTGCATGGTGGTATGACTTCCTGTGCCCTCTGCCGGAGATCAGATAAGAGGAGGGGAAGCAGGCTGAATAAAGGGACACTCTGGGACTGCTTTTGGTGATGGGGATGCCAGGAAGTATCGCCAAGTGACTGAGACAACACTATTCTAGCATTAAAGTTTTTTATCCATATGATCCAGCTTTATTGCACTTATTCCACTCAAGGTGTGATAATAGGCAGGATGGCATTTCCAAAAGGAGGAAAAGAAGCTTGCCGCTTGCATGGGGAAGGACCTGTCATGGACCCCCCATGGAGGCTGAGGCTGCTGCTCCCAGCTGGCAAAGAGAAGACTGTGTGGCTGTGGGCAGCCTAGATGGACCATTCTGGCATCATAGTGCGCCCGCGTCTCACAGGTACTTGTAGAATGAAAGGCTTCTGAGAAGATGAGAAGCTATCCAGGCGAATGGAAGCTTCACAAGAAAGGAAGTGGTTAGAAACATTCAAGTACAGAACCTGAATGTTGAAGCACATTTGCATAAATCTGCATAACCTTTTAAATGTATGAGTGCAGATTCCTGCCAGCTCTCAGCCTCTTGCTGCTGGCTTACTGAGCCACGGGGTGCAGCCAGGATTTGATAGGCACAGTAGGCTGTGTGTGGATTGGACCCTCTGAAGGTTGAAGCAAAAGTTTAGTTACCTGCCAATTAAGATGCATGACTTGAACTGTGCAATATAAAATTTTTCGTACCTCCATTGCTGGGGATCTGAGTGATTTGAGGTCCCTGCCATACTACACCTCCGTGGAGGCAGGATCTGTCTTCCTCAGCTGACCCCCTTATCTTAAAGGCTCCTCAAAGAGCTCCCAGATGGCCTTGCAGTGACTCTTGGACACAAGGGGGCAGCAGTCCTCCAGGGAGCTCTAAGCCTGCTGGCCCCCAGCTCACCATCTTCCATCAGGCCACAGAGGACCTTAAACCCACACCAGCCAGCTGCGCCCAGCAGCAGCAGCACCCCACTCTTGTCCTTGGCTAAACCCTAGAATGAGAAAGGGCCCTTGCCCAGCGCATTAGTTTGGTGCCCTGCTGCTCGGCATGAATTGTGTTCAATTCCCAAAGTGCCACTCCTCCCCTTCACTGGGTTGGTGAGCAAAATGCGCAGCACAGCATGCAGCAGATGTGGAAAGCCCCCAGCTGATTCGCAGAAGAGAACTTGACTCCAGGAAGAGCCTGCTTTGCATGAAGTTGGGAGGTGACTATTGAACTAGTGGGCGGGCAGGCAGCTGGTAGCAACCCTGGGCCTTCCGTAGCAGCCCACGCTCCACACTTCTGCTATTTCTGCCCTTTGTTCCAGCCCCACCCAGTTATATGCTGGATGGTAAGAAACCTGCCGTCCAAAAGAAAAAGAAAAAAACAAACCAGGATTTTTTCTGGTGGAGGCAAGCACAGAACACCCATTCATTCTGTAGACTATAATGGTACAAGCCTAAACATGCCTACTTGGAAGTGATTCCTACTGAATTCAGTAGGGTTTACTCCCAGGTAAATGGGGTTAGAATTGCTGCCTAACTGGCCCTAACCTAGAGCTTTAAAGTTCCTTGGATAGCTCCATCATCAGACTCCTAATCATACGTTGGGCAAAAGGTTTCCTGCATTGCAGAGGGTTGGACCAGCTGACCCTTGTGGTTCCTTTCAACTCTACCATTCTCTAATTCATCTGGTACTTAATGCTTCACAACTCTTGATGAAAAAGCTTGGTAAAGGAGAAGCAGGCTGCTAGACAGGGAAGGAAAAGCCAGCAGAAAACACCACCTACTTTCCATTGACAGAAGCCGTCACTGGATCAAGGTACTTTCTGTGAATGGGTGGATGCTACCATCCCTGCCATGCTAGGGCACTTCAGTTCAGCTGTAATCTATATTCCCTTTTCATAGAATCGGGCGTATTACGTGCTGCTTTTCACATTCTGCTTCTATCAGGGATACTGATTGTCATGCTCAGTGCAGCTGAGGATAATCGGAAGATAAAATAAGCACATTTAAAGAAGAGTGGTGTGTTACTACACCCTCAAAAGTATACGTATATTGTTATGAAACACTGAAGCATAGTGCAGTATATATTAGATTAATTGGCGCCTATTCTGAGCAAGTCTTGACTCGATAATTGCAATTTACCTGACAGTAGTATAATTAGGGCAGATGGGGCTCGTCAACCTGGGAAGGTAGCCGAGCTAGGAGAAAGTAAACTCTTGTCTTAAACCTGCACTGCCTTGCAACTATACTCATTTGTGTGAAAGTCTTTGGTAGTAAATCCCGTACTCACTGCCTTGCAGAACATATTCAGGAGAAAAAATGGTTACGGAGTAAACCCTACACAAATCCAGAGTGGAGTCCCTAAGGTGGTAGGGTGGCATCTTGTAGACTTCCTTCCAGCAACTCCTGCAGCCCAGCAGGTGCCAAATGTATTGTTTTGCTTTCTTTTGACCACCTTTGAAAACCTCCCAACATCAGAGGGACACTGCAAAGGGATGGTATCCACAATATACAAAATACTGTTCCAAAATCCCACAAACCCCCTTGACGCAATCAAAGAACAATGGGAGCACAACATAGGCTATGAAATTAACCCCACCCAATGAATCAGAAGGTGGTCTAAACCTCCCTTTAAGTCCATATCAGCCAAAAGAAGGGAACTCACTCTGAAACTCATCTACAGGTGGTACTTAACACCATGGAAACTGGCGCTGATACACACAGGAAACTTGCCAAGATGCTGGAGAGGCTGCATCTCCACAGGCACATACCTCCACATGTGGTGGGAATGCCCTAAAACCAACCCTTCTGGACAGCAGTCCTACGAGAGGTATGCAAAATAACTAAACAGGTATTAGAACTTACCCCATAACTGGCCCTACTGAACATCGTCCTAGAACACAATGACCATTCACATTATACAGAGCTTATAACCCAACTACTCTCAGCAGCCAAAAGCCTCATAGCCAGACACTGGAGAGACCTGTCAGGAGTAAACATGGACCGATGGTATCCAATTGTATGGGAAACGACCTTAATAGAAAGGCTAACCAACAAACTGAAACTGTCACAGGGACAAATAGAAGAAGACACCTTCACCCCAGAATGGCTCTCCTTTATCACATACAGTACACAGCCCAACAAGACAACAACAAGAATCCACCGACAGCATACGAATCAATCTGGATTACTTGACCCAACAAGCCCCCCCCCCCAAATGCAAAAGATCCCACTGCAGCCAACCACAGACAACCAACCACACCCTGCCCCCCAATACCTCCCAGAACCAAGGAAATGTATGGTAATAAATGAACAGAAAGAAAACCTACCCAGTTGATGCTGGCACAAAACCCTACACGTTCACTATACAAAAGAATATAAGCCTCACCACACCACCCCTCCTCTCCTCCAACCTTATACTGTACTCAACACTAATGTCTCACAAAAAGTGTAACTGATTTGTAATAAATACTGCACAACCTGAAAAAAAGAAACAAGGCGTGTAATCCAAGAAAATCTTTATTAAAAAAAATTATTAAAGTCAATAGAGTTTAAGAGCAAATATACATAATCAAATGGCGTGCTTGGTTTGCCTAAACACTACAATTTCTAGCAGGCACCAAAAACAGAACAGCCTGATCTCAATAGGCAGGGAGTTCCAGAGCATAGATGGACTGTTGCCCTCCAAGGCAGATTCTTGAGAGCCTGCTGCAGCTGCCAGGCCCTCCCATAGCTGTTAGGGAAAGAGCCACCCCACCCCCATGTCTCCCATCCCCTCCATCCCATCTCTGTGGTCCTCCTTGTGCTGGAGAAGAGCCTAGAGGGCTCATGTGGATTCCCTGAATGTTCAAGGTTCTAGATCTCACAGGGAGCCCACACAAGGCCAGGTGACAGACAGGCCCTAGAGAGTAGGGACCCTTGAGCGTGCTCCCACTTTCCCCCAATTCACTTGGGGTGCACACCTGAATGGGGTTTATGGGGAGGAGGTGCGTAGCAAACTCTCTCTTGGCCACAGAGGGTCATGGGTTGCTGCAGGCTGCAAATTGCCGCCTGGTTGAGTCCTGTTTTCTCTGCTTTTTAAAAGCAGCCAGCGGCTTTTGCTCTAGGCTTCAGTGCTCTAACCGCCTCTGCTGCATCGCTGGCTACTGCTTTACCTGCAGGTTGCAAAGCAAACGCTGTCTGCCTACAGGATGCTGCTTTCAGTTGTGGGGAGGAGTGAAGGGTAGGGGAGCTGGCTGAGGACACTACCACCACCTCCTCCTTCTCTCACCTCATGTCCTCACCACATCCTCCTGCTTGTACAGTAATATCAGGGTGAGCTGACGTCACGCCTGTTCCAGAACCAAATCTAGTTATGACTCATCAAGGCATTTGCACCTCTAGAAGGCAACCATCGCAGGAGGCTGAGCGAGGACCCACCAGGCGACAATGGCCAATGGACCAGAGCAGTGAAGCTGGGTAAGTGAGGGGCTGCCCAGGGTTGGTGGCTTCCAGGCAGGGAGTCGGGGGGGGGGACAATAACGTTGGGCACAATGAGGAGTGTTGGGAAGAGACACCAAACATGCGGCTGAGCGTTTGGTCACCATGATGGGAGTTCCTCCTGCTGCCAGGGCCTGACCCCATGCTTGGAAGCATGGAGTCATGGGCAGCAGGCAAATCCACCTTCTGTAGCCTCCTTTGGCCATGTTCTGTCCCCCGCCCCATTCTGGAATGGGTGCGTCCACACAGTGGAAGGAGGAGATGCCACCAACCTGATATGAGAACATAAGGAGATTCTGCTGGATCAGACCAAAGGGGGCCCACTGAGAAGGTGCTGGGAATTGCTGGTGGAGAAGCAACTCCAGGCCTGGCTGGCAGCTTCATTTTCTCCATATGTATCGAAAAGGTAAAGCTTCACATTCCTGCTGGTCTGGCCCATCAGCTAAAAATGGTATGACATGGGAGTTGTGTGAATGGGCTCTTACACAGGTGAAAAAGAATGTAGTAGCAGTGGATGGAGGGAGATTTGGATCAGGACATCAATTAGGGGAGTGCAGCTTAGTTCTTCCAACCATTTTCCTGGAAAGAAAACGCGGAAAGTTTTAATGGTGACCAGCCAGATGGCTCTGGGAAGTCCATAGGCAGGACACAAACTTTGTTGCTCTCTTCGCCATTCTGAATGCTAACACAAACATCCATACAAAAATGGTACCTCACTCTCTTTTTCATATAGTCTTCTCTCAAGCATTTTTCTTTTTTTGACAGTATAAAAATTTCCCAGGTTTGTTAATAAATCAGCCCAGCCATCGCAACTGAATTTAGCACTAGTTGGACTTTTCTTTGAAATCCTGACTGAGTCATTTCTGAATACCACTTGGCGGGTTCACGATCCACCAGAGGTTGCAATTCTCCCCCTAAATCTGCGTAGGGTTACACTTCTAGTAAGCCTCACTGAGAGGTATCTGGAATGAAAACTAATAAATTTATCTCACAGTGTGAGAGGGGCCTATTAAACCACCAGTTCCTTTTTTGAGCAAGTTACATTTTAAATATTTAAATTTCTCTTTGTAATATTCATGTGGTGTCAGTCAAGAGATTCAAAGAAATTGGCTCTGTGGTTCTCCTCAGCCAAATCTGGTGCACCAACATCCCTCTCCATTGCTCTGGAGATGATGGACTTCTCCTTGAGTGGATCCTTGTTTTGTTTTGTGGGGCTCTAAACCATTATTTTCCAGAACAAACAAATCATTTGTGCCTTGAGTGAATTACTCTTCTGTATACAAATAGATTTACCTCTCAAAACCTTGTCAAGTGCTCTGTTTTTCCCCTGAGCGGTTCTCTTAAGGAATAAATAGCTAATTTTGGTGGGTTGACTCATTTTATGATTTGACAAAGCCTTTTACCCAGATTCTGGTTTGTTTGTTGTCTGGAACAGGGTTATAATTTTTCAGAAATCAGCAGATAATTGAAGCCTGATTGTTTTCATCTTTGCGAATTAGAAATAAAAACAAAAAGGCTACGTCTGATGTAACTCAGTGAGACTTGCAATTGACCACCATTGTGAGGTCCACGTCATATCTACATTTGCGTTTGCATTTTATTTATTATTACCATCTTTTATCCCACCTTTATATCCCTCCTTTTCCTGCAAGGAGCTCAAAGTAGCATACACCCTTCTCTCTCCCCCCCGCCCCCCACTATTTAATCCTATTAACAAAAGAGGTAGGTTAGGCAGTGACTGGCCCAGTATCACCCTTCAGTGGACTTGATGGCTGAGTAGGTTTTGAACCCTAGTCTCCTAGTCAACTACATTTGTTAAATTTCATCCCAGTTGTCCTTTCTGTCAAGGTCATTTGTTTTTCCTGTTACCCTGAGCTTTGCTAATTTGAAAAGAACCCCCTCCATCTCTCAACTGAGTTACTGTGATAAAAACGTTGAAAAGTACCTAGCCAAGGATGGAGACACACTCCCCCTCCCCATTTTGATGAGGAGCCATGGATTGCTTTCCAACAGCTGTGAATCCACCTGACAGTATTTTCATCTGGCCTGTACCGAACCTGTCTGAGAACATCTTGAGTGGTTTTCCAAAATTGCAGTAACAGAAGCTCAGCTAGAAGGTGTACCACAGATCAGGGAAGGAGTCAACCAGTTCAAGAGGATGTTGGTGTGGTTAATGAACAGAGACACAGAAGCTTTTGGAGGCAAGAGTGCTTCCTTCAGAAAGTGGGACAGGAAACCGAGAACAGGAATAAATGGACAGCTTTCACAATGGAGAGGTGTATGGCATGGGGCTCCCTGTGGATCTGTATTGAGAAGGCCTATGCTTTTCAACTAATTTTGTCAATGACCTGGTGCAGTGCATTGTCCAGGTTTAGTGATGACACCAAATTTTTCAGGATGGATAAAGCAAAATGGGATTGGGTAGAGCTCCCGGAGGATCTCTGTACATTAGTCCAGTCCTGCTAGATCAGTCCAAAGGGGGACCAATGAGTCTCCTTCCCCTCCTGGGCAGCCAGATGCCTATAGGAAGCCCACAGGTAGGAGGACATGATGATGGGACTATAACCTGCATTTGGTTGACCAATAAAATCTGGTGGTGATGATATATAGACAAGTAGAATCCATTGATAGCTCTATCCTCCATGAATTGGTCTAATCACGTTTTAAAGGCATGTGATGTGGATTCCTTAGTTCAACTATGCGCTGCATGAAGGACTTTATTTTATCCAGTGCTTTTCCCCCTAGAAAAATAGGTGCCGGTACTCACCACGAAGTTGTTACAATAAGTGCCCCACTTTTTTACAACAACAAAAAAGAGGTGCCAGTACTGCTTACCCTCTAGTACTCCCTGGAAAGAAAGAAAAAGCACTGCTTTTATCTATCTTGAATTTTTCAGCATTCAGCTTCATTGAATGTTCATGAGTTCTCCACCCACATTCTCTGTGTCATGCATAATTCTATAAATTTCTGTTATGTTGTCTCTTACTCACCTTTTCTCTAAAAGTCCCGAATGCTGAAGTCTTTCTTCATAATTTTGCTTGCCCCTTTCTGAACCTTTCCCAACTCTTTCCAACTCAATTATCCTTTTAGAGTTGAAGTTATCAGAACTGTACACAATATTCCAAATGTAGTCTCATTTGTATAATGGCATTATGATGCTGGCAGATTTATCTTCCATTTCCCCCCCACTAATGATCCCTACTATGGAATAATGCATTTTTCACAGCTGCTGAATACTGGGTCAATGTTTTCTCTGAGCTACCTATTATGACCTCAAGATTTCATTTCTGGTCTGTCACCACCAGTTTAGACCACATGAGAAATTTAGACCATATGGGAAATTATGTTTTTATTTGTTTGTTTCATCACTTGACACTCATTTACAGTGAATTTACAAGATGAGAAACAGATAAGGGGCGAGTGGCAAAGCCTTGGAGAATATTTTAAAAGATATGATACTAAAACTAACCTACAAGTAGGGGTAATTTCATGAGCAACAGTTAACAACAATGGAGGAATTAAAAGGAGAAAAATAGGGTCGGAGAATTATCAGATATGCAGCAATGTAAGGTACACCTAGAATGCTATGGTATGTTGGGTTGGGATGTCTGTAGCAACATTTTGTATGATGGAAAATGTATGATGTGTAAATAGAAAAATGGAAAATGCATAAATTAAAATAAAATAAGAATACAGTGAATTGCATGTCTGTGCGTATCCTGCTGTGAGGGCACCTTGACAACTCAAAAACTGTGAGTTTGCAATCTGGCTGGTCTTTGAGGATTTGGACTCCAGATTCTCCTCTCACTCAGTGCCTGAAAGTTTCTGGGATCCCTTCCTGGAATCTCACATTCCTCTCTCTCATTCCTGACAAAGTTGCTCTGAATTGTCTTTCAGGGAGCCCCAAGGGACTGTGGCAAGAGGAAGGATGGCAGGCCAGGTGTGGGGATGGCTGCTGCTGCTGCTCTTCCTTCAGCAAGGTAAGCCCAGCCTTCAAGAATGCATTCAGATGATTGAAAGTGGTTTCGCTTTCCATGTGGGAGGAGGTGGAGGGGGAAGTTCACACACGCACGCAGTGCAGCTTATTCATTCACTTTCCAAAAACAACCCTCATCGAGACGTTTTGAAACAATGCAGAAAGACCTGTTTGCCAGAAGCAACAGTGCAATGATTTTGTGCAAGCAGTGTCACCAAGCCCTTATGTGAAAGTGCTTTCAGTGGGGTGGGGATTATCATTGTCACCATGTCAAGGGGTGTCTTAGTGAAAGCCAAATGGAGTGTCTGTGCAACTGTGGCACATCCCTCACTGTTAGGGGTGGAAAGGGATTGGAAGGGATGAGCAGGGATTGGAACAGGATTGTGCAGCCGCTGTGGGATTCAATCCTGTCCTGCTCATTGGCTGACACTACCAGTGATGGGCATGCGATCTCGCAGGTCAAAGTGCAACCCCTGGTAGGCCAAGGTGGGCCCGCAAGCCAGAGGCTCTCCACCCCTCCCCTATAGTGTCAAGACGCATATTCCGTAGTCTCCAATTGCAAGAATGTCCCTATTTTCTGTGGGATGTATTATTAAACATTCCCACATTTTCATCTGAGGAATTTTGGAGGGTATGCACCTCCTCACAGCCCGATTGTTTGGGGCAGGGATTTTTTGAGCCACAAGAAGATGCTGATGGTGTGTGGATGCCCTATCAAGACTGAGTGCTCAAAGCGGGGCGACTAAATGCCTGCTGTGGAAATAGCCTCCGATTCCTTGGCAAGGGGGTGGGGATCTTCATCCCCTTGCTAGGGATGTCCTACTGTAGGCGACCCATAAGCAAACACCTGCGCTGACCAGAATGACCACCCAAAATCCACAAGTGGTCAGCACTAGAAGTCCAAAGTTCAATCACAGGGAAGGCCAGGAAGTTGGAATTGGGGGCTTTTAGGCCCGAGCTTCAGAGCACAGCTGCAGGTGGAGATGGTTCTGACCGAGGCACCTAGATTTAGTAGGTTAGATGGGTTTTGTTTTTTCGGGAGGCAGGCCTACCCACCTCCTCTACCAGAATCAAATATCTTTCAGTTGTATTGTGGGGTAGGGGACAGATGGGTCTCTGCATCATGCACCCCATCCTGAGCAGCCACATTTGTCTCACCTGTCTCACCTCCAGCTTCAGCTTGTGGGAATCTCACCTGTTTTGCCGACTACATCCAGACCTTGACATGCATGTGGGGAAATGACCCCCATGCCTCCAGCAGAGCTCAGTACCATCTCACAGCGACATGGTATGTATGGATGTGGAAGAAGACATGCCGTTGACCCCAGCCCCCTGGAACTTTAGGGCTGCCCCCATGACTTTCACAGGGTTCGGGGGCAGAATATCGTTCTCTGTGGCTCCCAAATCCTGGCTTTGCTTGGGAGTGGGGCGGGAGTGAATGGCTCCCTTCTCTGCTAACCCCTGGGGCTCCTTGGCACACCTTTGTGGACATACTTAACCAGCTGTTTCGGCTGTAGCTGAGTCTGCTCTCTAGCTAATGCTGGTCAGGCTTGTGCCATCAGACAACCCTGCTGCACATCTGTGGTGGGTGTGTCTCCTCACAGCTGCCAGGATGGAAGCCATTTTAGCCGCTGAGCCAGAGGGCAGCTCTCTGAGGCCCTCCTTGGCCACTGCCAGCTCCCTTCACGCCTTCAGCTTTCCTTTCCTTTAAGTCCTTCTGCATCTGGAATGACTAGCAGAGTTTCCCAAAGTTGGGTCTCCAGCTGTTTTCAGACTACAATTCCCATAATCCATGACCACTGGTCCTGCTAGCTAGGGATGATGGGAGACCCAACTTTGGGAAATCCTGGACTAGAGCAAGACAGTTTGGATTGGGGGTGTGTGTGAAGGCTAAGGCAGCCCACCCCAGCCAGCAGGTTCATTCCAGCAAGTGGCTGCTTGGTAGAATGGGGAAAGGGATGAAGCTGGTAGGGTCTCCATGGGCCATGCAGGGCAGCGTCCTCTTTTTTTAAAATGCAAATTTAATCTCTTTATTTTTTTAAAACATAATCCCATATTCCCAAATACAAAACGGGTATGCTAAACATTAGGAGGAAGACGCCCACTGGTGCTCATTCTTATCATGGAAGTTCATGGTTTCTCATTATGTCTGAATTGGGCTTAAAAATAGTAAGTTTGATGGTTTTCAGTGCAGTTGATTTGATAGATCTTTTTAAAAATGGTATTGGAAAATAATTTTATATACAACATTTGGAAAGTCAGGTACATTTAAAACCAAGACACAAATGTTTGCTAGTTCTGAATGGTTTGTATCTGTAACAAAGATCTGTCTTTAAAAATTTGAGCAACAATTTTGAGAGGGAATCTCAAAACAATTTCATTTGTAGTCTCCTGCAGTAAAACCAAGCATACAAAAACAACAGGCCCCATATGCTCATCACCCTTGACAAACGCCTGAAACCAAACTACATTTGAACATAGTAATATGAAAAAAAGAATAGCACTTCCACCACACAAGCTCTTGCTTTGTTTCCAATATGAATTCATCATCCAAAAATTAAAAACAGAGATCAGTCTTATTTACACATTTTTCCTATTTGTCACCTAATCTCATCAGGATTTAAAGTGAATTAAAATGAATGGGGAACTTCAGTCATCGAAAACTTTGCATCCCAGGAGAGTAATTTCAGAACATTTATCTTTATTAATTGCGGTTGATAATTGTTTTTCCACTCCCCAGCTACATGTACAGAGTGTCTATACTGTAATGTATTCTCAGTTATCTGTTATTTTAAAAGTGTGCAGTATCAGGAAAGCCAGCTCATCCAAATAAGTACTGGAACACCCAAAGATTGGGGCATTAAGGAAACTGGGAACAAAAAAATTGAAAGCATTCATACCTCTGTAATTCTAAAGGTCATTGTGTAGTTAATAGGAACTGCAAGTTTGTACCTGCTCACACTAAAGGACTTCATTGACAAGCAAAGATATAATGTAAGACAACTGGTCAGTTCAGGAGGCTGTTGGCAACTTATGGACACATACACACAGCTTGGACAGCAGCAGATATGAACATATGTTTTTAAAGATGATCATTAAATGTTGCTTTTAATGAAACACCTCAAAACACGCTGATGATATCGTAATAGGGTAATGCATTTATATTCATTTGAATGCTGCCTGCAGTTGCTTCGAAGCACAGGTTAATAGAGGTCTAAAGGTTACCCTACATACATGCTTTTACAAATGAGTTAAAGACATTCTGTCTCCGCTTCCTTGTCACTGCCTGCAACACTGCTGTCTGTGGATGCTGTGACATCTTCATTGGTACCCTCGCCATTATCTCCTCTCTCAGCTGCTTCACCCTTTGGGCCACCCTCAGATGCACTGAACGCCTTCTGGGAGCTGGACAAATGTTTCCGAAGAATCTGCGTCAGATGCTGTTTTTGGCATTTCTGTATTTGGATCACCTAAAAACTTCTGCCAACCCTTCAGTCTCTCTTCCCTTTCTCTTGAAGTCTCCTTGACGTAATAATCTGTTACACCATCCCATGTCTCCACAGAGAGCTGACGTCCACCAAACCATCTCCCGTTGAGTGCATCTTCTTCTTCTGCTTCTTTAAATGACACAGAAGCAACACCATCTGGGTGCCTATCAAATAAAATTACTTTCTTTACTTGTCCAAACTTTTCACATTCTGTCCGAAGATCTTCTCTTATCTCATTTAGCACTAAAGGATCTTCCTCAAAATCGCTTGGGTGGAACATGTTCCTGATAATGATAACACGCTCGTGCTGCATTCGAACACTGCCATCTTTCTTCTCCGGTCTCCAATCCAGAAGTTTTTGTTGTTGAGACAGCTTCTTCTTGTAGTCTTTGCATTTCTTTTTCTTCTTGCTGGCATCGTACTCCCCCTTCGGTTGAAACTGTGCAACTTCCACATGCAATTTGTAGCCTCTAATTTCATTTTCATCCAATAGTTTGAATGCTAGTTCAACAGATTCTCTCTTTAAGTAGCAGCAGAGCCCATCTCCTTTCAGATTTCCTTCTTTGTCTTTGTAAAGTTTAATTTTAGGCTCCTCTGTTTGTGGATCACGCATAACATTACCACATTTTGACATAACCTGCACGAACTCATCTTTTGTAATGTCTGGTGGTAAACCTGTCACATATACATTTGTGTTTCTCTGTTCTTCAACATGAAACCATCCTGCGTCAGGTTTTATTCTCTCTCCTTTTGGTTTAAGATCCGTTGCCTGAGATGCTTTTGGACCTGTTGCCTGCTGGACCTGGGTAGCCTTTGAATCTGTAGGTGTTTTAGATTCAGTCTTTCTAAGAGATGCAGATGAGCTATCTGAAATTTCAGTGGGAAAGCCGTAGTTAGCATGATATGTTGCCAGGAAATCTTCAGTAACCTTCGGGAACCAGGCCTTCTTGTCGGGATCCCACTCGTACTGCGTCCCGTCCGCCGGGTCCGTGTACGTGAAAGGGTCCTCGCCGCCTTCCGCGCCCTCCTTGCCGTACAGCTCCTGCAGCCGCAGCTGCTGGTAGAACAACTCGTTCCGATCCGAGCCGCCAATACTCATGTTGCGGCAGGAGCCCAGCCTGACGAGGCAGGAAACGTGGGGCGACTCAGCAGCGCCTCACAAGCTAGGCCGCGCCTCAGGCGCCGCCGCCGCCTCCTACTCGGGAGCCGCCAGACTGCACGAAGCCGCTCCGGGCGCCTGAGCGCGGGTCTCGCGCCACGGTTGCCCCAATTGGGTCCTCTTGAGCATCATGGCTGCAGCTGGGGGACTTTCCTGGCTCACGGAGGGAGCAACCATGGCCGTCCCACACTGAGCAGGGGCATCTTTGGTGTTCGCAGGGACTGCGGAGAAGGCGGCAACTGCTCCTTCACTTCCAATGGTGCTGCCGCCGCCCGATTCACCTGCTTTGCAGAGCAGAGTATCTGCTTTGGGAACAACAACTTTGAGGTGGCCGTGAAGCTGGGGGATGAGCAACAGCAAGTGTGTAAGAACGAGTTTGTCTTCCAAGAACACTGTAAGTATGGAGGGGGGGTTGGACTCTGTGTCCGTCTGGACACGTGAGTGGGACTGGGAGGAGGAGGACACACGCAAGGGCTGCTGAGAAAGGGGCTTGTTGCAGCCGGGCTCAGAGACCCTTCCTCACTTACGGGTGTGGTGGTGGCATTTTTTTAGATTTGGGTTTGTTTACAAGTATGAAGGCAAGGAGTTTTCAAGCTCCTACAGCCAGCTAACCTTGGGCTGATTAAACAACCTGGGGCTTTTAAAATGTTTCGACGGGGTTATTCTCCATCTCCCCTCCCCCCCCCCAGCCATTATGTATTTTGTGTTTTTCTGTTGTAAACTGCCCTGGAATCTTCGGATGGAGGAGGGGGTATTCAATGAATGAATGAATGAATGAAGGAATATGAATGTGAATGTGAATGAATAACCCACTGCCTTTCATTCAACCCCAGCAGCCCCAGATGCTTTCACCTTGCTCCACTTGGAGGCTGGAGGGACATCCCCCTGTCGTGCCCTGCAGGGGCTTCCCCCCAAAAGTACCCCCTGGGGATTTGGGGGTGTCACTGCTGCTTCACCCAGTGGGTGGGGGCCAAGTCCTGTCAGCCAGATGCCCTCAGGAGCCCACCTTGACTCTTTCCACAGTTAAGCCATCCCCGCCGTTCAGCCTGAGGGCTATTGTCTCCCCTGAGGGCTACAACCTCTCCTGGAGCACCATGTACCAGCAAGATGAGTACTTCTACCTGGACACGGAGCTGCAGTATGAGTTGCGCTACCGGCAGAGGGGACATCCATGGCAGGTAAGCCAGGAGGCAAGGGCCAGCCTGAGCTGGATGGCGGCGGGCACCATTTGCCCAGTCAGGCCCTCAGTGGCTGGCTGGCCACCCTGGAGCTCAGCCCCAAAGTTTCTTAGTGCTTCTCTGGACTTGGGCTTCAGGGGCACTGGGAAGTCATGGGGCTCTTTCAGGATCATTTGAGTAACTCCTCTGAATTGCTTTGAAGGTGGCAGAGGTAGGGAGCGTTTCCCAGAATTCCTTCCAGCCCTCTGGCTTCTTCCCTTTCCTGCAGGGACACAACCATCTTCTGCAGTACACCGAGACCTTGTGGCTCCCCCAGGAGTTCAAAGGGGACACAGACTACGAACTCCAGGTTCGGGCGAAGCCAAGGGAAGACTCCTTATACCAGGGCACTTGGAGCGACTGGAGTCCCAAGACGACCTTGAGGACGCTGCCAAGGGGTGAGTCCCCCCTCCCTCCTCACGAGGGGTCTTGGCCTCTGCCCATATAAGGAGGGCTGAACCTTCCCATCAAAGGCCGTTCATAAGCCCCTCTCCCAGTCCAGGGGGGCCTTCTGCACCTTTGAGACCATGAATCCATGGCAGATCAGAGGAGCAGCCTCTCTTCTTTCCTGTCAAGTAGACCCCCTCCTGCTACTCTGCTGTCCTAGGAGGGAGCTCTGGCCACAATCCCAGGGAAACTCATCTTGACTGAGCCCCAGAGCCCAGCCTACCCTGGCAACCCCCAGTGGAGCTACCAAGAAAAGTAACTGATATTACTGGTTTCCTTCCTTAGCCGTGGAGGACAGGCCAGGAGACAAGTGGTCCTTGTGGTTCCTGCTGGTGCTCAGCCCATTGATTGCTCTCGTGGTCTTCCTGGGCTGGCAGCACCAAAGGTGAGTGTGGGAGTTGGATGCTGGATGCTGGGGTGGCGGGGCTGCCAAGAGCTTCTGGTTGGCCGCAGGCTGCCCACTTCCCAGCTGGAAGACCTACCCTACACAGAGAAAGGAAATGGTGGGTGGGGGATGCATCACCTCCCAAGAAGCCATGCTCAAGTAAGTCTACCAAGCCCACTCCCTCTTTCCCTCAGTCTGCAGAGCACCAGCCATGGGCTTGCTTGCTTGTGGCAGTGGGTGGCTGAGTTCCCTAGAAAGGGAAGCCATGAGGTTCCTTGGACAAGGCAGTTGCTGGGCAGCAAGTCTGAGACGCCAATGCCTCAAGGCCTGGCCATGCTCCTAGTCCCTCCCATGGGTAGTCAGTGAAATGAAGTTTGGGCACTCCCCACAAAAGGCCTCCAGCTCTCCTTTCCCTCTGGCAGGTTGTGGAAGAAGCTGGACATCTTCATCCCCAGCCCGGCCCCCTTTTTCCAGCCCCTCTACCTGATCCACAATGGAGACTTCAAGGTACAAACGACTCCTACCCACCAGACAGGAGGGGAAGGGGAGGGTGTTGGAGTGGCTGTTTGAACTGACCTACAGGCACTTACGGATCCTCCGGGCATCACCCAAGTCAGAAAGTTCCTGTATGTGTTTTGGGGGGGGGGTCCTGCCTCAAGTGCCAGGAGCCTTAAGGCATGGTCGGTGGGAGGGAGGACATCAGGCTGCCTAATATTCTGCAGAGAAGTTGGGGACTTGGTGGAGGGGTGGGGGTCTCCTCTTGACACAAGGCCTGCCTTCTCCCCCACCCCAGGCTTCCTCCGTGTCCCCTCCCCACAGCAGGGGCTCTGCCTGCTTCTCTCTCTCACCCCAATTCCCATCCCTATGAGGCAGGATCCTCTCTGAAAAAGTGAGCTCTGGGCAGAGTCCTGTGGAAATCACATAGCCCTTGCAGCCACCAGGTGCATTACAGGTGGGGGAGGAGTTTCCTCTTGGCACAGAAGGATGCCAGGAGATGATGGGGTAGCTGATAAGAGGGCACTTGGTTGCACAGTCTGGGCTGGAGGAAGGAGCTCCTCTCCTGGGATATGTCCTTCTGAAGGTATGCAATTCCTTCCATTCCCCAGATGGTTAAAAAAAGGCCCACACCAGCTGTTTCTCTGGCCACAGCCTGCTGACACCTCTCTCTCTCTCTCCCTCTCTCCTGTGCAGAAGTGGGTGGGCGGCGGCATCTCCTGCCCCAGAGCCATGCTGGACAACTTTGAATGGAGCACAGCCCTGCTGGATGTGTTTGGGATGGGCCAAAAGCCCCTTCCCCCCAGCCCTGCCAAGGAGCAGCAGAGTGGGGGCCATGCACCCTCCCCTGCTACATTTGCTTCCCACCTGCCTGGGAGCCAGGATGCCACCCATGATCAGGCCTACGGCCACCTCTCCATTGACACCGTCACTGTGGCTGGAGAGTTTACCGCCTGCTGCCCGCGGTGCAAGGGGGCCACAGGATGCTGTGCTCTGGAGGAGGGCCAGGACGAAAGAGACGCCTACCAGGGCATCCTCTTCAATGAGGGCCAGATTTCCGAGAATCTGCTCCTGGTGGACATGGTCCCACCAGCAGCAGCCCAGAGGAAGGCTTTCTTGTCTGCCTTGGAGTCCTGGTCAGGAGACCCTCTCCTCGAGACTCTTACTCCTTTCTCGCAAGCTGGCGGCTCCCTGGGCAGAAAAAGGTCTGGGAAGGAGGTGGACTTTTTTGGTTCGCCTCCTGAGCCCTGGACCCTGGAAGGCCTCTTGTCTCCAGAGGAGGAGGACATAGCTTCCTACCGAGACCTGCTCTCTCCTGACTTGGATGCAGATGGGGACATCCTTGCCAATGGCCTGGATCTGGATACCATTGACAGTGGCTTTGCAGAGTGTGACTGTGGGAGCCCTGTGGACTCTGAGTTCGAGAGGAGGCCGACAGGCTGTGGGTCTGAACCCCTCAGTGTGGAAAGCGGAGAGACAGGGGAAGAGCTCCTGCCCAGCTATGTCAAGCAATGGGTCTCCTCCTGTCACAACAGAGCGCAGCCCAGTTAAAAGCACAGAGGGGGAAGCAGGAGCTGAGCACCTGTCAAGGCCACCGTGAAGCTCCTTCACTCCTTGCAAAGATCTATGGGTCTTGCTTGGACGCTCAGCTTTCTCCTGCATAAGAGAGACATAAGCAGGGAAGCCTTTGCTGCCACTACCAGACACCTCCTCCTTTGCACCGGGAGACCCACCTACCCCAGGACTGGAAGCTGTTTTTCCTCCTCCTTGGCAAATTCCTCTTTTTTTCTTAAAAAAGTTAATATTTTTACAAAGGCTGTGAAATCTTTGGATGAAGTTCAGAGTGTCAACTACAAAGCAGATTTCAAGTTCCAAGCCACAGGGGGTGCACATGAGTGGGGTGGGGTGAGCTGGGCAGAGAGAGGGAGACATGCCCATCACATTTGTTCCACCCCTTTGGTGGGGGGAAAAATGTAGTCTTCAAAGCCAGCATCAATCAGGAGGAGGCCCCCCACCAAAGCTGGATTCTGTGCAGCAGCAGCAGCTACACTCCATGAAGAGCCCCAGAGGACCCCCAACCTTCCCCCTCCCTCTTTTCTTAACCTTTCCTCCTCTTTTGGGGGGCCACCACATTTCAGGCTGTGAGCCCTGGGCAGAGACCAATTATGTTGGCATTTGTTGTATAGCACTTAATAAAGAAGGTCTATCACAGTTGTGGTGTTTTGTGTGACTAGTGGGGCGTGTGCATGGCCATTGCTTGGGGGAGTGAAGGCCAAGGCAAAAGGGGAGAAAAAGGAGTCAGGGAGGGCAGAGTTTCCCCCACAAAGGGAAGTCCAAGCCTGAATTGGAAACTGAAAAGCAGCTGGTGGGTCTGGGATAGGGTGGAGGGGTTGCTATTGCACATAATAATATTGTGTAGCTTGAAGCAATTGGATGCATAAAAGCTGACTCCTTTCGGAATAAAAATTGCCCAGACCCATAAATATGATTCAGAGCTTTACTAACCAGAACTTCTTCAAAACTGGTACAGTACAAAAACAAATAATGATAACTCCAAATAATTCCATAAGACTTGTCCAAGCATAGGCTCAATATCTTAGAAATATGACTCTAAAGAGACCTAGAATCAAAGGTCTCTCCCTACAATCTCCATTAGCCTGGAGTTGTATCTCATGGAAAGACTTATTGCACATCTTTCTTCCACTATTCCTGGGAAATAAAAAACCAAAGACAGCTCCCTTCAAAATGGAGATTTGCAATTGAATACTGTAAACATCTTGTCTAAGGTTAAACACTCACATGAAAGGGGCAGAGAGCATTAACAGTTAATCATTAACCCAGCTAGAAGCTTAGAGAGCTTTAGCATCCCCCCAATGGAATTTTCCAGTGTTAAACCCTTAGCAATATACATGCAGACATTCTCCATTTCATTCTGCAATTAAACAATTCTACTCAACATTTAACTTGGTGATAAACTTCATTTCTTTGTTTCATTCAAGAACCTCTTTCTGGGAAACGTGCCAAAGCGCTTTAACAATCATGGCATATTAAAAAACTATTTCAAACCCAGGACAGATGCAGGCTGGAATAAGAATCCCCCCTTGTTACTTTATGTTATTGTTTATTTATATGCCACCTTTTAGCCAGAAAGGCTCCCAAGAATTAGCAGATACAGTCATATCTCGGGTTGCAAACGCTGTGGGTTGCGCATTTTCGGGTTACGGACCACACCAAACCGGAAGTACCGGAACGGGTTAATTGCGGGTTTTGACCCTCGTGCATGCGCAGGAGCACTAAATCACACTTTGCACATGCGCAGAAGCACCAAATTGTGTCATGCACGTGCGCAGATGCAACGCTGCAGGTTGCGAACGTGCCTCCCGCACGGATCACGGTCGCAACCCGAGGCATGACTGTACACACAAATGCAATAATACATACATCAACAATACAAAATTATACACATTCAAAACATTCCAGCAGTATTACGAACCAAACACATTAGTGTTCCTACAAAAAAGTTAAGACAAAAATGCCCAAGCAGCATCTTCACTTTAAAAGTATCCCAGGCAAAGGGGTGGGGCAAGGCAGGTGGAAAAAGCTGAGGCCCCTAGATGGTCCCAGCAGCCTCTCCCCTGGAGCCTCTTCAGATGCCTGTTGCCAAGGGAAACCTTCAAGACAATATAGTCTGAAGGCAGTTCCAAAGCGAAAGGACCACTGGATCAAGCTTTTCCTGGGTGCCCTGGAGTGGCCCAGTGAGCCCAGCTCCTTCCAAGCATCACTTGGCCCCCCAACCACAACATAATTTCCACTCTCCCTCTGCTGGCCATCTTCTTTCCCCTCGGAAGGGCTTGGCTGCCTGGGCCTAAAGTTCCTCCAGGAGGCAGAAGCAGTCAAGAAATCCCCTGCTGCTGAGCTGGGCTGCAGCCTCTGCTGCACTGGCCTTTCCCAGCCTGGCAGAGCAGGATCCTTTCACCGTGGACTGATGTCCACAGCCTTGCCTCAAGCCACCTGCCATCCCCCACTGGCCTGGACTAACACTTGTCTGTGGAGGCCGCCTGACGCAGCCTCCCCACCCCTGTTGCCAGAGAAAAGGCAGGGGCTCTTTCCTGCCCCAACACCTCCCTCCCTGGCATACACCCAAGGTCATCTTTCTTCATCCTGAAAGACTCTCCTGCCTTGGGAGGATGCAAGAGGCGCATCCTACTTGGAACTGTTATGGATGAGCCATCAGAGGAAGTCTCTGGAGCAGAGGAGCTGGACACTGCTGGGCTCTGCTCCAGAAGAGAGGGGTGCATTTGCAAACCGGTATCCCTGCCAGGGCACCTGGGCTGCAGGTGTTTCAGGGGAAGCAGTCCCTGTTGGGTTCTGGTCACCCCATGGACCTACAGCTAACAAGGAAGAGTTGATTTAACAGGGCAGCCCGACAGGGAACCTTGTGTGCGTGCTGCAAAAACACAGGGTCCCTGCAGGACAAGAGGATGCCCAGGCAGCTGCACTTGCCAGTTCAACGGTTGCAGCTGCGCAGCTTCAGCTGTCTGTCTGTGAGCTTTCCTTCCTTCCTTCCTTCCTTCCTTCCTTCCTTCCTTCCTTCCCTGAGAGCCCCTTTGCCTAGCCACAACCCCTTTGGGCTACTTCTTTTCCACCTGACTGGGTGGAATTTAGACACATTTTAAAAAACACAGTGAAAATGCTTTTTTGAAAAAGCGTTTTGAAAAATATATTCAATCTGCCATAAGCTCATCATCGCCATCTAGTGTAAAATTTGTATAATGCACTTCAAATACACTTAAAACATTATATTTGCAGCTATACAGCCGAGTCCTGGAGTCTTCACTGGTGCTCTTTCTCCCTTTCCAGGCTGCAAGGATGGCTCTGGATGGCTCCCTCCTTTCTCCAGGGAGACAACCTTCCACTGTGGGCATGACCGGCCCAATATGTTCAACTGCCTGCCTGTGGCAAAGAAGGAAAGATGGAACGCCCCCCCATCCCATGTACAGAAGACGACTGGACTGGCAGCTGACTCTTAATTCAGCCTTCCACACCATACTTGACACAGCAGACCAGATCCAATTTTCTGGACAAGTCACGCAGCAACAGGGGAATGGCTTGGAGGAGGGAGGAGGGCTTTAGATGAAAATGTGGGGGCTGCTGCCTCACCTCAGCATCTGCCACCTGAGGCAATTGCCTCAGTTTGCTTAATGGTTGGGCCAGCCCTGTTTTGGGATCAGAACCACAGGTGTCTCCACAACCTCTTTACATGAGGTAGCAAAAATGTAGGGCAAAAAACAAGGCTCAGGCAGGTTTCAGGGCACATGGCTCATGCCTGGGGACCCACAGGGTTAATGCCTCAAAACCCCTCAAAATCGGTTTGACAATCTTAGAGACAATCTCCATAGCCTGCCAAACTTATCGCCAACATCTGCCTCAATAGAAAAGACACCTCCTCCTGCCTGGTAAACAAACTGTTCTTTCTAAACAGCCCAGGGGCCAAGACGGAGCAAATTGCCACTGGAGCAGCTCCAGGAGAAGAAGAGCCACAGAGTCCATCTGCAGCCACAGAGTCTTGCCATTGCTTTCGGAACTGCTTTTCTGCCTCTCACGAAATCCATCCATAGAGAGAGACCCCAAAGGAGCTCCGGGTAAGAGTCACATTGGGTCTGGTCAAGGCACAGAGGAGAGCAGATATAATTTATAATTTATATAATAGTTGTGATCTTCCTTTCATGTTAGCGTCCAGGAGATTTCAGCCTGGGTGGTATAAGAATTCCCCCCTCCCAATTACTGGGAGTCCTTTGGGTCCTTTTGAGGCTCTGTTACAGGGCAGACAGAGATGCAATTATAACATATATATATAATCACTGTACTTTTCTGTGTGTAAGACTAGGGGTTTTTTTACTTTAAAATAAGGTTAAAAATCTGGGGGCATCTTATACATGGATAGTGCATATGCCCATTTTCTAAATTTGGGGTCCCCAAAAGTTGGGGATGTCTTATACATGGAAAAATATGGTATATTATATCAAATATATAATATAGATAGATGTAGATATACAGCAAGTCCCCATCACAACTGAGATGGCTGTAGCTGTTAAGGAATGTTCTATAAGATGGGGGGGGGGGAGTTCTGCATCCCCCCATGTTCACCACTGTCCTGCATAACACACAGTAACAACAGCCTTCCGTGGGAACAAGGCAGGTGAAACAGCTCTTCTGAATCCATCCTGTCTCCCTCTCTGGGGCTTGGCATGCCATGTGCAGGATGAGCTTCCTGGCCCCATTGCTACAGAGAGTCCTTAGTGCCTCGCCATCAGAAGTCACTTTCCATCTGCAGGAAGAGGAGCTGGCTTAGCAGTGGCTTGACAGGGCTCCTTCTGTCCTTCTGTTTTCTAGGAGTCCTTCTGGCCATGGGGGATGGCTGTCGGACCACCTGCCTGTTGCAGGTGCTCCTCCTCCCTCTCTTTGCGGCTGAGGAAATGCAGCAAACAGGTAGGTGGGGGGGCGGTTCTTGGCCACCAAATGGACCCACAGAGAATGGGATGTACGTCTGAGGACCTGTGACCAGAGCGGAGCCCAAGAGGCACCACAAGGTCTCTCAGGACATCTCCTGCTCTCAGTGCTTGTGAATGTGTTAGGGTTTAACTTAAAAGCAGTTGGAGTGGGGGGCAGAGGTTCAATTTTGTCCAGAAAAGCAGCGTTGAAGGAGGGGGTAGTGTCTTTAACTCTCCACCTCAACAGGCCATTTTCCAGATTAAAATGCTGCTGTTCACCCTATTGTGGGTCAGGGAGACATATCCAGACCCATCTCTGGGCTTCTTTTCTGGCTTTGGCCCCTTTGAGAAAGGGGGACGTTCCCTAGGGTCTTTGCTGTTTTCTTTACAGAGTCCCCTTTCTACATTTGTTTAGATTTTTGATGTAATATAGTGGTACCTCGGGTTACATATGCTTCAGGTTACATATGCTTCAGGTTACAGACTCCGCTAACCCAGAAATAGTGCTTCAGGTTAAGAACTTTGCTTCAGGATGAGAACAGAAATCGTGCTCCGGCGGCGCGGCGGCAGCGGGAGGCCCCATTAGCTAAAGTGGTGCTTCAGGTTAAGAACAGTTTCAGGTTAAGAACAGACCTCCAGAACGAATTAAGTTCTTAACCCGAGGTACCACTATATATGTATTCCACCTTTCCAACCACACGTGTTGAGCTCAAAGTGACTCACAATAATACCAGTTAAGAAACAACAAACAATGCAATCACTGTACAGTCAAAGCTCTGTTGTTGAACGTAATCCGTTCTGGAAGACAGTTCGACTTCTGAAATGTTCGACAACTGAGGATCAAAGGGTGGTTAGCAAAGTCAATGGAGAAAAAAGAACAAAACTCCCCAGAAGTTGTTTGGCTTTCTAAAATCGTTCGAAACCGGAGCAGTTACTTCCAGGTTTTCGGCATTCGGGAGCTGAAACGTACAATAACGGAGGCGTTCAGGAACCAAGGTTTGGCTGTAATATCAAACACAGTAGCGTATGACAAAACAAATTCATCAAGATGATTTAATAAAGTAATTCAAAATATCAGAAAGAGCTGCTGAGCACCAGCCCTGTACTAGATGACACCCTCTCTCTGAGAAAGGGCTTTTTCTTCATCCAGTGCAGTGGACAGGGCATGCTCAGACACGGGTGAGAAGCAGGAGGTTGCAGAAGAAAACACAAGGGCATAGCAGCTTGTCCACTGAAATCCCCAAATCAGATCTCTCCTCCAGAAACCTCCCAGCAACCCAGAGGGGCAGATTGCTCCTTTCATCTTCTGCTCAAGGCAGCAATGCTTCTTAATGCCAGCTGCTGGAAACCACAGTTTGGAGGAGTGCTGCTTATGGGCTTCTTCGCTTTGGAGCATTTAGTTGGCCACTGTGAGAACCAGAGGCTGAACTAGATGAACCACTGGCTTCATCCAGCTGCAGGGCTGTCTTTGTGTTCTTATGCTCTTGTCCCCAAAGCATCTGCAACCTCTTCTCTTCTTCCCAGTGCCACCTCATGGCACAATTGGAATAAACGCAAGCCAAATTTCAGGAGGGAGGGCGGGAGTGGTGCTGGACTGATGAAGGTGCGGCTGGCTTCTAACGGTGCCCTGAACCCTTTCCCCCCTTTTCTCTGTCTCCTGGCAGGGCTCTCCAACAACAGTGTGCGGTGCCTGAACAATTATGGGTCGCAGGGCCGCAGGGTGAACTGCACATGGCACCGCCGTGACACGATCCTGGGAGAAGGACCCTTCCACCTCAATTTCTCTGAGTAAGGGCAGGGACACCAAGCCCTGGTCCCTGCTGGGGTGACTGAGGGCTGGCAGGAGCCAGGTTTCTTGCAGGGTGGCTCTGGGTTCCCGGGCAGTGTATCTCTCATTTGTGGTTGCAAGCTGTGGGGAAAAGGAGATGCCTGCACAGTCCAGGGGATGTTGGTGATTGATGGGTTTCAGGAGCCAGAGAGCAGACTTCCTAGGACTTTGGCTGGAGCACAAGGGGCAAAAAGCAACAGCCACAGCAGGGTATATCTTCTTGGGAGAAAATGCCCATGGTGCTAGGCACAACCACAGAGTCAAAGGCTGCTCTGCCCAATACCACGCCCATCCCAGCCCCCAGAGGTTTGTCTGAGTCCCTTCCCTGGTGGCACCTCCGGGCAATCCTTAATTTCTCCAAAGTGCATCTTTAGATTTTCAGGTTGCATGGAAACAAATCCCTGTCCCTCCCTCCTTTCATCCCTTTCGGACACACAGTTAGACACTTCGGTCAGGAAGTTCAGGTATGTGAGTGTTGTGATAGGAGTTACTCTCCATATGCTCAGAGGCATTCTCTCCTTCCTCTTATGGCAACCGGCCACATTCCCCCAGCCATGCTTCATGCTGGGCGGCCACCCCAAGGAAGGACCTTCTTCCTCCTCTCCTCTGTTTTGCAGCCTCCTTGGTCTCAACAGTGACCTCATCTGCCATCTCTCTGAGGAGGCCCTGGACCAGTTCAGCTGCTCTGTGAATAGTGAAGAGGGCGAGTTCACAGAGAACGATGAGTACAGCGTCTCCTTGTATGCCTCCTCCTCCTCCGGAAACGGACTCATCGTCTTTGCGATGTATGAGCCCAGGCTGCACAGTGAGTCTTCTTGCATGTGGAAGGACTGACTCAAACTTCTCCAGGATGGAAGAGTGGCCATGGCTGGAGGCAAGGGTCCTTGTGTCCTCCAGCTGTTGGGGACAGTCTGTTTGCCCCCAGCCTTTTCCCTCCCCTTCACCTCTCTTTCTGAGCTTTTTCCAGCCCTGGACATCCTGGTGAGCCCTGCTGAGTTCTCCCTGAGCAGCAGCAGCTCCCTGGAGGATGTCCCAGGAGTGCGCACATACACACTGTGTTGCTTTTGGGTGGGTGGGGGTCTTCTTGGCTCCCAGTAGCACCTCCTCTCCGCTCTCTATCTCTTTCCAGTCAAATGTGAGCCACCGTTTGACCTGCAGAGCAACATGAGTTCCAGCAAGTGCTGGATGCAGTGGAGGAGGCCAGAGGCCTATGAAGACATTTTCCTGGACGACTGGCAATGGGAACTGGCATTCAAGACCACAGAAGCACCCTGGGAGGTAAGAGGCCACTGAAATGGGCTGAAAGCGGGAGGCATTTCACCACCTCTTGCCTTCTCAAGGATCACAATGCCCTGGAGGATAGGAGACAGGAGGGGTCTTGGCTGACACACAGCACAGAGACGTCTGGTCAAGGTTTGCACACTGACGGGGATGGCAAATGGCTGAGCAGCAGGGATATCTACAACTGAGAAAATAGGGTTGTATGGAAGCACAAGCAAACGTTGAGTCTGAACAAGCTGTTAGCGGCATAAGGTCTCCACCCGGAAGCCCCCATCTCCTTCTGGCATTTGCTATGACTTACAGGGCCTGCCCAACTGAATTCTGTCTAATGGGATCATTGCTTGTGCTCCGATCCTTCACAGCAGAAACAGAACAAGGTCTGGGTCAACAAAGAAATGCGGGTGGCGGGTGGCACTGTGGGTTAAACCACAGAGCCTAGGGTTGTTCGGTCCCTGCTCTTGCCAACCTAGCAGTTTGAAAGCACATCAAAGTGCAAGTAGATAAATAGGTACCACTCTGGTGGGAAGGTAAACGGCATTTCCGTGCGCTGCTCTGGTTCACCAGAAGCGGCTTAGTCATGCTGGCCACATGACCTGGAAGCTGTACGCTGGCTCCCTCAGCCAGTAAAGCGAGATGAGCACCGCAACCCCAGAGTCGTCCACAACTGGACCTAATGGTCAGGGGTCCCTTTACCTTTTACAGGGCCTGTCCAACTGAATTCTGTCTAATGGGATCATTGCTTGTGCTCCAATCCTTCACAGCAGGCACAGAACAAGGTCTGGGTTAATAAAGAAACATGGGTGGAAATTGAGGGCTTCGAGTTCGAGTCTGGCGTAGAGTACGTGGCAAGAATTCGCTGCAAAACTCCAGATGTGAATATGCACTACAGAAGCCAGTGGAGTCCATGGAGCGCCACCACCAAGTGGAAAGCCCCCCCAGGTCTGGTACAAAGCTGTGCTGCATTTGATGTGCCACACACCCAGGTCCACACACACACAAATTCCACTTCTCTTGCTTGCACTCATTTGTGTCATAGGTTTTGTTTTTCTTAAGCTCAAAGGAAATTACAACTCACAAAACAAAGCCCCCCCCCCATTTGAAAAAACAGGGCCACATCTCTTGGGGGGGAAGGTCTTTGGTGTTTCTCAGAACTAGTCAGGTGAGCTTCTCAAGGGACAGATTTTTAAAATCTGCCTTCCCGGGCAAGACACAGACTCTCTGTGGCTACCAGTTTCATCCCCCAAAGATTTATTTAGTATTTTACTGGAGCTGAATATATCCCACACACCACACAGGCTGAATAAGCTCTTGGTGAAATGTGTGTCTGCTTGTTTGCCATTCCAAAGTGAAACCTACAAAAAGGCAACTGTGCTCATTCCTTCGGTTGCCAGCTCCTTTTCTGGCAAACCGAGGGCAATCCTCCACTGTACTGATGTGCTAATGATTCTATCCACAGGCAACGGGCAGCAGCAACATCGGGAGTCCCACCTCCTGAAGCATGTGTTCAACCTGCTCTTTCTCTGCCTGGGCATCCTGCTGTTCCTGCTCCTGGTACTCACAATCTTCTGGAGGTATATCACTCACTCATTCATTCATTCATTTCGCCTGGAGATGTTGCATACAGACAGCCAGGAGGGCCCAGGCACCAGTATTTGTGTTTTGCTCATCACATGAGGTCAGAGAAGGAGTTGGGGTCTCTGGCCCAGGCTTTGCTACCCTGAGTTGCAGTCCCTGGTGCCCACACAATGTGCCTAGTGCATGCACAAGCACAGAAAACAGAGACACAGGAAAGGGAGGCTTTTGTGGTTCCCACAGCAGGAAAGGGGTATCTGTCGCATAAAAGGCACACAGAGTACAGTATATCTATCTCCTTCTGCCCTGCCCTGAAGTGGGATTGGGTGTGGCTGATGCTCAGCCTTTTGTGTGCATGGAGGCACCACTTCCTTCAGTTGCGTGAACGCCTGCCCTTCTAGGGCATTTGCATACAACCAGACTCTACTCTCCAGCTCTAAATTGGCCCAGCAGGTGGGCAGGAGTTTGCCTGTGCTTTCTCTTTTCCTCACTGGGGTTGACATGGACCAAGGAGGTGGAATAGGGGCAGAAGGAGGAGACAATTATTTGTACACCACCAGCATCCAGGGAAGATGGACTGTGGGAGGCTGGAAGAAGAGAAGGGGTATTTTCCCATGGGCTGTGGTTCTCTCTTTCCACAGGTCCAAGGGCCATTGCAGCGCAAACATCCCCAGCCCAGCGGCTTATTTCCAGCCCCTTTATCTCTCACACAGTGGGGATTTCAAGGTAACAACCATGATCTCAGGAGCAGTCAGATAGAACCTGATGATGGCTGAGTACCAAGCCAGGGAGGGTGGGGTGTAATTCTCAGGCTGCCATGGAGAAGTGGGCCTCCTATCCTTTCAGAAGAGAAGGGGGTTTCAGCTGCAGAGATGGCTTCCTGGGCAAGGTTTTGGTATTGTCGTCTGGGAGTCTTCCTGGTCCCTCTCTGGTAGTGGTGGGAGATGTGGGTGTCAGGCTGGCAGCTTTGTGGCCTAGGCAGGACCTGGCCTCCTCACCTGAAGGCAGGTTGTAAACTGCTTGGAGAATTCTTTGGAATAATAATAATAGTAACAATAATAATTTTATTATTTGTACCCCACCCATCTGACTGGGTTGCCCCAGCCAGTCTGAGTGGCTTCCAGCATATATAAAAACATAATAAAACATTAAACATTAAAAACTTCCCTATGCAGGGCTGCTTTCAGATGTCTTCTAAAGGTTTTATAGTTACTTACTGTATCTCCTTGACATCTGGTGGGAGGGCGTTCCACAGGGTGGATGCCACTACTGAGAAAGCCTTTCCTTGTTCCCTATAACCTCACTTCTCCGCAGTGAGGGAACCGCCGAAGGCCGTCAGCGCTAGATTTCAGTGTCCAGGCTAAACAATGGGAGTGGAGACACTCCTTCAGGTACAGAGGGCCAAGGCCGCTTAGAGCTTTAAAGGTCAGCACCAGCACTTTGATTTTTGTTTGAAAACGTACTGGGAGCCAATGTAGGTATTTCAGGACCAGTGCGTATAGTCCCAGCAGCCGCTCCTGGTCACCAGTCCAGCTGCTGCATTCTGGATTAGTTGTAGTTTCCGAAATGTAGTTTTGGAAATCTGAAGCAGCGCACAAATCATGTAAATAAAAGAAACTAATCTCAACCAACCAAGTTCTCCAGGTGTCTAGGGATGAACATACACACACACCCTGCAAGTAGCAGGAAGCCCAAAAAGAGGTGCACACTGACTCTAGCAGTAGCCGAGGGGGCAGCAGGATCATGCCCATGCTGGCTTCCGGCATGGAAAGCCATTCCAGGTGGGGAACCTGAGGCTATTTTCTGCTCTCTTCCAGCGCTGGGCTGGCCTGGCAGAAAAGACCGGTAGCAACGAGGACAAGGAGATGCCCTGGGACCACAGCAAGGGGGGTGAGGAGGATAAAGCCCCCCCAGCAGGCATTTCCCGGCTTTCCTTCTGCCAGCCGCTGCCAGAGGATGAGGCCCTGTCCAAAGAGAGCAGTTGCCCCCCGCCTGAGATGCCAGACTATCAATATATGGCCAGCAAACAGAGAGGCCTCGAGGAAGACCTGAAACAGCCACAGCCTGAAACAGAGGCACCCCTTCCCTCTGGGGAAACAGAGCAGGAGAGCTCTTCTTCTTTGCCATGCGAGTGGGGCTTCGCCTTCCAAGAACAGGGCTCACTGGAGACGGAGACACCTGCCCTCCTCCTCCTCTTTGGCAGCAATGATTACTGCGCCTTGGGAGGTGACCACAGCCAGCCAGGCTCCAGGCCTGCTGCTGAGCAGCTGCTGCAAAGCATCTCAGCATGGGGGCCGGGCCAGGCTGCAAAGGACTCCCCCCAGGCTGTTCTGGGCCCCACTAGCCATGTCTGACCCCCACCCACAGATCAAGGCAAGCCCTGTTGCCCTGACCATGGCTGGGCTGAGGTCTTGATGGATGGATATTTCCCCAGTGGGGCTGGACAAAAGACTGTCAGTGTGACTTGATGGCTGGGCCTCTCTCTTGTCTGGCCTTGGAAGGGGGCATCCCTGGAAGAAAGGAGGCAGAGGAGCATTTGGGAGCTGCGTTGCAGTGGGAGACTCAGAGCTGATAGTTGGAGTATGTGCAGCTGGGTTGGCAGGGGGTAATACAGTGTTGGAGAGCAGATGCAAAAACCACAACACGGCGGCTTCCTCTCTTGAGGTGCCTGCTTCTTTCCAGTGAGTTCTGCTTGCAACTGCAATAAAGTCACACTCAGAACAGATGCCCTTTGCGTTCTCTGTTCCCTGTCCCCCACCAGAACCCTGCAGTGCCGCTGCTGCTGCTGCCACCCCTTGGGAAAGGTGATGGAGTGGTGACTCACAGGCCCAGCCTTCCTGGGCATCTGAGGTTGCTGGGCCTGGTAGCTGCCACCCACAACAAAAGGCAAGAAGATCAAGGAGCCAGGGAGGGTTGAGCTGTATCCTTGAAACAGCTCTTGGTGCAGTTTCTTGTATTGCAGGGGGGGTTAATATCTGCAAATCCACCAGAGAATTCAAGCATCCATCAGATTCCATTGGTCTCCGAAGGCTGACCATTTCAAGTTCCTCCGGCACTGCAGCATGCAGTAGCTGCCTTCAGCCCAAACCTCACCAGGGAATGCTCTGTCGGTGATGATGGATTCACAATAAGCCCCCCCCCCCCACTTACAGTGTGTGAAGCCCATCCCCAGCCATATGTGCTGGCCCAGTGATGTGCCAAGACAGCTTCGTGGTTATCATATGGGCCATGAAGTCCTAGGCTGGCCCATCTGAGGCAGCCTCAGGATGGACATTGAAGCCGCCAAAACTGCCATGAAGGGATTCTCCAACACCACATTCAAGACTACCTCCGTCAGCTCGCCTCCATTCCCATGGAGGTCAGAGGAAAAACACTCTCCCCACCCTCACCCCCGCCGAATTGCTATTGATCAGGTATGAGGAACTGGTTAGTCTTGGCCTTGTCTTTCCCGGGTGGGAGGGGTTTCACAACAGGCACTATCAGCCTAAATTAGATTGTGTTGCCTCCAGTGTGAGAGTGGCCAACTGCAAACTCAAAATGACCCAAGCTGGGGCTGTTTATCGTCCATCACTGCTGCCAGGAAGGATGTTTTATTATCTGTGTGGTGCAGCAGCAGTGGCAGCAGCAACACACATCTCTGCAGACTTCTTCAATGCTGCTGTGAGGGAGGGCAGCAATCAGTAGATCAATGCTGAAAGCACCCCCCCCCCAATGATAATCTTGCCTTAAGCAAATGAAAGCAGCATCATGCAAGTCTTTTGCTGGAGGTTGGGGGAGAGGGAGAGGGCCGACCAGCCTTTGGCAACTGTGCTTCCTTTCTCTTAGACCTTCTTCACTCTGCTCAATAATTCTTCCCAAGTTGGGAGGCAAGGAGAGTAGTAGGAGGGTGAGATACTGAGACATTTCTAACCCAAAGAATGCCAAACACCTTCTCCTCACCTTAGCCCAGCACCTTGCAGCCTTGAGCAGATGCCTGCCTCACTCAACCCCATCCCTTCCTGGCATGTGATGCAGCCACAGATGCTAATCAGTTCCAATCAGAGCTCTACTCAGAAGCTCCGATCTGCTCTGCTCAGCATTTTCAAGAAAGATATGTTCAAATCACATGCAAAGATCTAAGCTGGTTAATTGTTTTGAAAGTACAGCCCAGGCTATCTCATGAGTGCAGACATCCGTAGACTAGAGCCCCATACCCTCTGGGGCCAGAAAACCAAAAGGCCTAAAAGGCCAGAAAACCACTTAGATGTTCTCCTGCCACGAGTTGAGATGGCTGAGTCGAGAGCTGAATCAATGACTTCCAGGTTCACACCCTCAGGACCTATGTTCTATCACTAGACCCTTAGCTATAGTGAAATACGACCATCTTTCGGCCCTGTACCACCCTACACCACCTATGCTCTTTCACTGCATGGACGAAGCCCACAGAGAAGAGGGTGGCATAGTTTCAGGACAGGATGTGTGTGGGCGGGGGGAGAGGGTCAGGCATTCACATCCAAAGAGAAAGGAAATGGCTGGCCATCATTGTTATCAAACTTTATTTCCTCGTGAAGGAGTGCCCCCTTCCCTCAAGTTACTAGTGTGCCAGAAACTGAATGTTTTCTACATCTTCACTTTAGTTTGGAGTCTGGCACAAGAGCTGTGTTTGTGGCTTTGACAATGATGCCCACTTGGAAATCCAACTAGAGAACCTCTTGAATCCACTTTTGACATCCCATTCCCCACAAAGTGCCTTCAGTGAACCTCTTTTGAATGTGGGATGACTATTCCTTGAAGTTACAAATGCATCCAGTAAGCAGCTCATACAAAAAGGCGACACCTGCTGGTAGTACATTCTTGAAATTACAGAAGTTTAAAGGAAGTAACTGTTTGTGTCTGGTTCCTGCCTGCCTCCATACCCATTATATGGCCTTTTAATGCTGGTGAGCAGAGAAAGAAGCTGAGTGGCTCTCCACTCCAACCTATTCCATGTGCTCTCCTATTGGATCACTGCTGGGATGACCAGTGGGTGTATGCTTCTGAATAGCACCAGCTGCTAGAAACTGCAGGTGGGCTGGTACACCAGGGTCCTGCTTGAGAGCTTTGCTTTGGGGCATCCGATCGGCTTTTGTGAACACAGGAGACTGGGCTACATGGATCATATATCTAATTTGACAGCTGGGCTCTTCTCTTCAGAGTTCCCCCTCCAGTACAGGAGAAAGGGTATTTTCAGGAGTGCCCCTCCCAAGGAGACCCACTTGGCACTACCACTACCATTTTGGGAGGGGTTGCCAGGCCAAGACTGTTCTTGATTCCCAGACATTTGATGGTTGAGGTCTCTCTTCTGCTGCTGGCAGGTGGTGTTTGCTGAACTGTTATGTCAAGGCTGTTTTGTTGTTTTAAATTTTCAATACCTTACATGATTGTCTTCAGTTGGTATGTATTCTGTTTACCAGCTTTCCAAACACGTGTGTCGGCTGCAGTGTGTGTGTTGCACAAACAGTCCCCGCGCTGCTCCTGGGGCTGGAAAGGGGATAGTTTAACCTCCGGTTTGCTAGTAAAACTTAATGACTGTGTTGCAAAATGATGCATGTCTAAAAAGTGTGTCACCAACATGAAATGTTTGGAAACCTCTGCTGTATACTTTTCTTGTAATGATATAAATAGCAATGAGATCTTTGTGGAATGAGGTGATGAAATAAATATTACAGTATCTTGTTATATCTGATGCTTTCTATTGATGCAAGTAGCCCTGAGAATATATATTGAAGGGTGGTGGACTCGGGGGCTCTTGCACTATCTTTGTGAGGATAAGAACAGCTACAGCGACAGCAGCAGGAGGGTCTCATCGCTGCTGAGGCAGGAAGAGAGCAGACGGAGAAGTCGAGTCCCGGGCCTGAAAGCCTCTTCGCCGCCCTCCGGCTTCCCGACCTCCAGACGAGCCAATGGGAGGAAGGAAGCCACAGGCCAGCCGGCTCCGGGTCCTCCGCGGGAGGCGTCCCCAGGCAGCCTCTCTATCGTACCGGTTTGCCACCGTCGAAAGAGGGGAGTGGTGCATCACGGGAAACGGCGGTTGGAGGCGAACCAGAGGTGTTGTGGGTAAAGCGAGTGGGCGTGGCGCATTGCTTCACTCCCGCTTCCCGCGGAGCCGGCTGGTCAGCTGACCTGCTCCTCTTTCTACTCGCCCCCCGCGCTCCGCCCGGCTTCTTTGGCGCAAGCGCACGACAGTCTCGCGTGAGCCGACGAGACGTGGCTGAGTGCCTCGGCGCCCATCCAGTGCTGAAGGGAGGCGGGCGGAAGTCCCGCCCTCCCCTAGCGGAAGAGGGCATTGTTGTGGCCGACGTCATTCACGGAGGACGCGGGCGTCCCATTGGGTCGGACTCTCTGGTTGGAGCGCGGCCGAGTCGTTCGCTCGCTCGCTCGGAGGGCGGGCAGACGGACGAGCAGCCCGCGCCCATGGCCAGCACCGGCAGCCCCCTGGTAAGCTCCGCGCGGGAGCCGGCGGGGAAGAGGGGAGGAGAGGAGCGGCCGCTTGGCCTGCGCTGCCTTCCGGGAGGCCGCGGCGCGAGCGGGACCTCTGGCGGAGGGAAGGTGGGGTTCGGCGCTCCCCGACCCCGGATCTCCTCTTGGCCAGGGGCTCTGCAGGCGCCTCGGGGTCAGCCTGGGATCCTCGCCGGAGAGGGGCGGGGCCCAGGCTACAGCACGGAAGCGAAAGCTGCGGAGGAGCCGGCCGGGCCCTGACCCCCCCCCCCGGTGTTTGGCCTCCCGTCGTCTTACCTGGATAAGCAGGCAGGCCTCGGCTAGAGCCTGCCTTGTTTTGCGTAGCGGCGCGGGATCCCCGTGAAGTGAGTGCCCCACTTAGGCGGGGAGGGGCGCGCCCATTTGCCCTCGGAATTCCACCTCCTTTCCCCGCCGGCAACGGAGAGGGCAGCTCGTCTTCCGGTGTGCATTGGGTGTTGGCGCCTCCGACTGTCGCGGGCGATACGGAGGTTGCGATTTCGGCTACATTCCGGGCTTAGCATTAGCGATAGAGCAGTGTGTCGCCTTAGCCCACCGTTTTGGGGGCCCTGCTAGTCCTGAGGGATTGAAAAGCTGAATCTTCCAGTGGTCAAAGAAACTTCTTATATATTAGTTAAGGAGCAATTCTGTAAGGCAGACGTCATGCAAAGGATGCCCAGTTGATTTACAGCTGAGGTGAGATCTAATACGCTCAGTCCTTAGGAGGTGCTGCTGTAGAGCAAATTCTTTATTTTTTCAATATATGTGTAGCATTTGATGCTTGTTGTCAGAGGCTTTCATTTTCAGCCTGTTCTACTTCAAATTTGTTTCACATCCTGATTTAAAGTTCTTGAGTAATTGCTGTTGTTCCCAGTAGTTTCATTGACACAGTTGGCCACTGTCATGCTGTTCATGTGTCATTTAGTAAAAAGTGCCCATTGTTCTGTGGCACCAACTCCAACCTATTCCCGCTTACTTACAAATACATATCAGCTGGTGAAAACTGGCACAGGACAGGCAGCTACCCAGTCCTCACATTATGTCACATGTGCTTGAGGAAGTGTAGATGTTGTTTCCATATGACCTCTTGTTATCAGCAGAATTAAAAATGCAAATGCCAGCCATGAGTACATATGCCATAGGAGGCATAGAAGACTCCACATTGTATTGAATCAAATAATGACTCATCCAACCAATAATTCCCGGAGCTGGGCAACAGTAGTTGAATGGAACAGAGCCTGGCATTTTTATACATGCAAACCACAAGTTCTAGAACACTTATGGCCTTTTCTGCAGAATTGTGTGACTTTATGCCACCATCAGAGTTCAAACAGGTGTGTAGCAAGGTGTCACAGGTGTGCCTGTGCCCTTTGCACTTTCATCAACTTACTTGACTTTTCTTAGTACTGTAGAATGACTTAAATGTGAAAATGATTCCAGATTTCTTGTGCAGTTTGTGTGTGCATCTGCCTAGCATCATGTATTGTGTGCAAACAGTGTACACTTGCTTATTCTGTGTTCCCCAGAGATAGGCAGATGTAACACCATCCTAGATCAAACTTCTTGAGCCTGATATCCTCCACATATTTTTATTACAATTCCCATTAGCAGCACCCAGCATGGCTGTGCTGAAATCATAGTCCAAGGCATCAGAAGGGCACCAGGTTGAGGAAGGCTGTCTTAGCTTCTTGGATTATGGCATCCCACATGGTGGGTCTTCTGAGTCCAGGGATGGCTCTGCCTTGAAATTTGTAGGCCCTGTTCATAAACTGTTAAGTTCCATACTGAAGAAGAAGCTCCATTGTATATTGCTAGGGCATGAATTATATATGTCTTTGCAAGTAATTATCAGGGGGCAGTTTGCCTGCTCTTTGCTGTGAGCATAAAATACTGCACTTGCCAAAATGTTATCATTCTGCTACAAACAAACTTGCATTTCACTGGTGATCCTAGACTTCTCAAGGCTGGATGTATGCAGTGGCAGCTGCTGCTGAACTGTATACCATCTATCTGGCTACAGAACTCATTACCTGGGCAAGTCGACCACACGCTGTGACTCCTGAGAGAGCAGGAGGTTCTTTATTTATTATGTTTATTTTTAATTATCTGCTATGTATATTTTCTCTTGGAACACAATTGTTCTAAATATAAAGCATAATAAAATAGTCATCCCATTAAAATCACATTAAACCTCTTAAAACTAAACAAAACAGTTAAAACAGAAGTGATTAATAAAAGCAACTCTAGTTAATTAAAAACAGTTAGCTTCATGCCATATTGATGCTTTTTTATCTGTGGTTTATTGCTGATATATAGCCTTTGACACAATGAAAATAATGGGCTGGACTCAAAATTCAGGTGGGGGTTGAAACCAGCATAAAATTTCAGTTGCTAGGTAAGTGTAACAAAGGTGTGTGCATTTTAAAAATCATGTTAGAAGTAATAAGCTACAGAAGTAGAGGAACTGTTATCTAGGCAATAGTATTTCTATTCAGTGTGTGTCAGTAGGATTTTTATAACACTTTCAAACCTACGCATACCTGGCCTGGGTACTTTTCTTTGGCATTGGCAAGAGCAAGTGGGACATAGTAAGGCAGCCATTAAAGCCATGGCCCATTACAAGTTAGCTCATTTATTCAGTCTGGAACACTATTTTTACTCTGAAACTGGATTCATACCTAGATGGCAGACCTTGATAAGCTGTTCAGAGGAAATTGAAATGGCGATGTCAAATGGATAGGAATGTTTCAGCCAGTCTGATGTGGAAACTTGGGTTTTCTGAGGAGTCTTGACATCTTATAAACCTCTCTCACCTGAAGAAATAGCAACACTGAAGGAAGGAAAGAATTAATCATTCATTTAATTTCCTTAAAGTTAAGAGTCTAAAGGAAAGTCTGAAAGTTGAACTTGTTGATAATGAAAAGCTTCCTGATATAAATGGGGAAGCTGCTTGACTTTGGATATTTGAATACCTCTCAGTGTAAACAATACTGAATTAGATGGACCAATTAGCCTGACTTGGTATCAGTAGTTTCCTGTGTTTCGATGAAAAAACAGGCACCAAGCAATCAGTGAAGCACAATTCCATACATTCACCATAGCAGTCCTCAATATGCTAAGCTTCCAGTCAAAAACATTTACTGTTTCTCATAATTATTGTTAGAATGTAGTTTGGAGGCTACTATTCTACTGTAAGATGACAGAATGACCAGAGGTCCTAGGAGCACATTGTAATAAAATAGTGGAGGAATTGTAAGTTAGTAGGTAGTGTACCTGCTTTGCATGCAGAAGGTCCTATCTTGAGTCTCTGGTGTCTTTGGTTATGTAAGGATATTTTAAAGCCATGAATCACAGAATTATTATTTCATTTGAGTAAGCTGCTCTTTTCACTGGTTTGCGTGTCAAATATTAAAACGCCAAATCGTTTCAGACTGTTTCAGTTTCTCTCTAGCTAATTGGATGTGTGTGTTAGACTTACCAAGTTCTTCAGGCAGCTTCCGAACTTTGTAGGTTGGATTCCTTTAGCCTTCAGATCTCTGAAGACCTGCTGTGATCTGAAAGACTTTGGCTTTTATAGATTCAAGTATAGGCTGGGACCTTAGGGTGAAGGGTGTGTAATTAATAATAGTAATTATTTGTGAAGCAGTAAGGTGGCAACTCTTACTCTTGAAATTCAGGTCATGAGGTGGCCATTTTTGTGTGTTTTGTACATGCTTGATCTATGGAATCACAGCAATGTAGCATAGTTGCCATGATCGCCAGTAGGTGCCTGTAGCCCCCCCCCTTTTTTTGTGGGGAGCAGCACTCCTGAACTTATTGGCATATTTCCAACTAGTATACGGGGATGTGTGGCTAATAGATTGCAAGCTGCAGCATCATGTACATTCTTTCTCTTTCCTTCAGTACGATGCTGTTCCAATCCAGTCCAGCGTGGTTTTATGTTCCTGCCCATCACCATCAATGGTGAGGAACCAGGCAGATCCCAGCCCTTCACCTGTTGCTGCTCCCTGTGGCAGCAGGCAGGGACTGAGCATGGAGGGCACAACGGCTGAGCCAAGGGGGAGTGAAAAATCCTTGCAGCAACCTCCACAGCCTCGAAAGAAACGCCCAGAGGACTTTAACTTTGTCAAGATTCTGGGCGAAGGGTCTTTCTCAACAGTGAGTATCTACTGCAACTGTGGGTTCTGGGAGTGTCATGGCAGAAGCCAGCCGTTTGGCCTTTGTGTATCATTCAGACAGTTCTCTCCCCCTCCCCCCAGCATTCTCTAAGGAAAGCACTTTGCCCACCAGCTTGCCCAGAGGAAGGTTCTACTTGGCTCTGCAGGAGGTCAGAGAAATAATGTTCACAGCTGTTGGCTGTTATGGTACTTTTTGTCCTCTTGTGGCCCCTGCAGTCTCACACCAGACTTTTAGTGAGATGAGGTTACCACCTCTGTCTGTCCTCATTGAACCCCTGCTGTTGTGCACATGTTCCATTGGCAGGTTTTGACTCTCCACCCCTGTGATGTGTCATTGCTTGCTATAGCTACCCCCCCAAAAAAAATCAAAAACAAAAAACCTCTTGGGTACCTTAGGATTTCTGGATTTTATGACTTCTTACAAAATGATGGTTTACCCCTTCCCTTCTGGACATATAGGACCAGATTCACCTAACCAAGCACACTAGCAAAGGCCAGTGCAGTGACTCCCACTCCCCCACCCCCCCGAAAAAAATCTGCCCTAGGAAGTTGGGAGAACCCCCCAGAACAGTTCCTACATGTTGTCTTTAGGGAGTGCTGGGAATGTGTATGAGACTGGCTGATGTAACTGGTGTGGATAGAGCAATGGTCCCTTGGGGCCCTGGGCTCCAATGGGCGGAATTCCCCTTTTCCACTCACCCCCTCAGTAGGTTGGAGACCTTTTGTGGGATCTTAGTTGCGTGCAAAACATAAGGCAGTTCTTATTTCCCATTTAACAGGTCTTCTTGGCCAGAGAATTGTCTACCTCCAGAGAATATGCCAGTGAGTAACCCTTTCTTCATTAGGGTGTGGATTTTAGATGGATGATGTCCTGTCCTCATAATGGAGCCAAAGGAAGTCTAGGTTACGCCTGCTGCTGCTTTTGTGGGAAGCTGCTCTCTAAGTGTAGCTTCATAGTCAAGCAGAGCAGATGAGTTTGCAGCTTCACTGTGTATTTCCCAAGTGTGTTGTAACTTATTTGTCTTTTTAAAAGTTAAAATTCTGGAGAAGCGCCACATCATAAAAGAGGGCAAGGTGCCGTGCGTGAATAGGGAGAAAGATATCATGTCTTGCCTGGATCACCCTTTCTTTGTCAATCTCTACTTCACCTTTCAGGATGATGAGAAGCTCTGTATCCTTCTGGTTGGAAATGTTTCATGGTGATATTTGTTGGGATAATGTGTGTGGAAAAAAGAACCATGTTTCTTCATTTGCTAACCCAATGATGTTTTCCAAATTCATAGGCAGGATACAAATGTGAAAAATCTTAACTCTTGTAAACCTGGCAGAGGACGAATCTTGGGCCCCCCATGGGTATGACAGTGCATTAAGGCACCCCACTCAGCCTCCCTCTCCCACTTTCTATTTTTTAATTGATATTTTTTGTTTGATGAGATTGCCTAGTTTTTGTGGTAGGAGGAGGTTTGTTGTTGCTTTTACTGTGTTTTATTTGTCTCTAGGTGTCTGTGCTTTGCCTTTTAGGTGTATGGGGCTGTTTCTGAATACCACCAGTTTTTCTTCTGTTGAATGTGTATGTTGTGGTGTCCACAAGTTTCTTTTATCTCTAAATGTGCCCCTTGTCCCAAAATGATTGGAGACTAAGTTAACCGCTGCACCATATTGGCCCGAATATAAGCTGCACACTTAAAATTCAAGGTTTATTTACAGGTGCTGGTGCCGGCTGCCCCCCGTTCAGGGCGGTAGTGCCAGGAGGCAGGCATGGAGCGCGCTCAGAGCCCATCACCAGCACCGGCTTGGGTAGCTGGGTGCCTGCCTCCGAGCTGGTTGGCGGTACGCGTGCTCCCTAGCTGCGTGGGGGGGGAGGTGTGCGCAGGCTAACCAGCTAGGGAACATGCGCAGGCTAACCAGCTAGGGAGTGTGTGCACCGCCAACCAGCTGGGAGGCTGCGCATGCTCCCTAGCTGCTTGGCGGGGGGGGGGGCAGTGGCGTACCCACCTCCCTGCTGGTTGGTGGTGCGTACGCTCCACCCCCACCGCCAACCAGCTGGGAGGTGGGCATGCCGCTCCCCCCCCATCAAGCAGCTAGGGAGCGCACACTGCCAACTAGCTGGGAGGTGCGCCACTCCCGCCCCCCGCCAAACATGCGCTCCCCAGCTGCTTTCAGCAGCGTATGGTAAAAAAATCACCAATATAAGCCGTACTTTTAACTTTTCAGGGTCCGAAATTGGGAAAAAAGTGGGGCTTATATTCGGGCCAATACGGTAAATCTTTGGCTGTGTGCAGAGTCCAGCCTTCTCTTTCCAAGCACATCGCCACCTATCCCTTCTAACATTGCCTCAGATTATCTGCCTTTGTGTTTTAGGGTCCAGAGATTCACAGTATAAATTATCCTTAACTTAGTATTCAGATTTTGGTCTTAGCTACGCCAAAAATGGAGAGCTTCTAAAATACATCCGGAAGATTGGCTCATTTGATGAGACATGTACTAGGTTTTATACTGCTGAAATTGTGTCTGCATTAGAGTACTTGCACGGAAAGGGAATCATTCACAGGTAATGTAATGAATTCAAATCCATCTATTCTTGGTTCTTGTTGCTGTTGTCATAGTTACCGTTTGTTGCCCTCCTGATAGATTTCTCCTGGTGGCTCAAAACTCAAAAGTTCCCATAGCAAGCAAGCAAGCAGTGTCTTAGGTACCTTTGTTGAGACTTCCTGGCTTTCCTGCATTCCTCACCTGTGGCGACACCAGCCTAGTTAATTTGGCACAAGGCATTGGCTGCCTTGGAGTACAAAGTATCCAGCAATGGATGGGGATTTTGAACAGTTGAAATCTTTCTTTCCCTCCCTCTGTCGCCTTTTGCCTTGGTTATTTTTTTTTTTTTTTGTAGAGGAGAGGGACGTCCCATTCTGCCAGGTCACTAGCAGAGTAAATGTAGCGCCTCTTCCGTACTGTTTGCCTGCCTGCAGTAGAAGGCAGAAGAGAAGAACTCAGCATGATCTAACATTCAGATTTGCTCCATGTCCCCCTGCCGCCTAGTCCCCTCCTAATCATTTGGGAAGCAGCTCCCAATACCAGGCAGAGGAGCAGGTAGGAATCTACTTCAAACCTACCAGAACAGGCAGAGACAGTAAGGGCCAATGGACAGGCTTAATTTCCTAGATAGCTGCTGTTACTTTAGAAGCCTGGGGGAGAATCAGCTTTCCATGGTTAGGGATTTCCTCAGGGGACACAAATAGTTGGTGAGGGCATGACTCTGTGCATGCATGGCTCATTCCCAGCTGTGCCTTTTGCAGGGACCTGAAGCCAGAGAACATTTTGCTCAGCGGAGACATGCACATTCAGATTACGGACTTTGGGACAGCAAAAGTATTGTCTGCAGACAGCAAGCGAGGTGGGTGCAATTTCTCAACCTGTCAACGACTAAAGCAACTTTCTGCAGTTTCAAATTCCTTAAAACTGACCACAGTATCCGATACTACGTCTCAGTGGGGTTTATGACAGTTCTTTACTGAGTATAGGCTATACCGCAGGAGATGACATCAGAGAGGAAACCTGCGGGGTTACTAAAATGGGGCAGCTGAAATCAGGTGATAGTGGGGTGCCCATGGGGTGAAATATTGCTTGGTAATGCTTAGTGTTGAGGGGGCGGGGAGCGTTTGAAAAACAATAGTCATTATGTAATATTGGATGCCTACAAATATAGTTAAATAAAAGCTGATGAAATTTGAATTGCACAACAAAAATGAAAGCATTGTTTCCAAATGAACACATCCAAGCCTTCATGAGGACCTTGTAAGGACATTTTTAATTATTAAATGCTTACTTGCATCTTGGTTTCTTCAGCACGGGCGAACTCCTTTGTTGGGACAGCACAGTATGTGTCTCCAGAGCTGTTAACAGAGAAGTCTGCCTGCAAAAGGTGAGTTACATACGTTGCCTTTGTAGAGGGGTTGTATGACTGAGAGAGAGATCTTCAAGGCAAATGGGTGAGGCCTATTTCCATTAGGGTGTACCCCATTCTTGTGCCTCAGTGCCTCGTGCATAATCAACACTGAAACATTTTAAACAGCATGACAATGGCTCTTAGGATTGCTTTTGTCTATTTTTCTGCAACACGAATAGTTCATTAGCCCTTGGATTTAACATAACATACCAGCAAAACATGAGACAAGACGTTCTAAGCATTGTCATCATGTTTTCTTGCTGCAATCTCTTGCCGCTTTACTTGGTTTGTACATTAAACAAGACAGAGAATTAGAAAGCTCTTTGTGGCCATTTAATTTATTTTTATTTTTTTAAGCACCTATTCAGCTTGGGATCATCTTCGAAGGGCTGTATTGGGACCTAGGCCTGGGCGATATATCAATATATTGCCCAGGACTGGTCCTTCCTCCAGCAGGCACTGCTAACAGAGGGACTCGGGAGCAGTGGCAGTTTCACCGGCGATATACCACTGAGTGAAGCCGACATCGCGGTCTGCTCCTCATACCAGTCCCGGGCAATATATCAGTATATCACCCAGCCCTCATACAACGGAGAGGGAGAAACAAGCTCTATTGGCGAGGCACCAATACAGCTGTTTCCTCCCTATGCGTCTTTAAACTGCTTGGCTGAGGAGTGTGTAGCTACCCTTTCCTCAGTTGAGCAGTTAAAGGAGCCCCCAGGACAAGTTGCATTGTCCTAACCCACGAGTCTGGGTGAAACTGCCTCAGCACTCGAGGTGAGAGCTGGGGCAGTTTCACCCAGTGTTTTGCGGGGAGAGGACAATGCATCTTGTTTTTTCAGCATTGCAGTATGTCACCAAACTGCTATGTTTGGCTTGCGATACACTGCATTTTTGAAAAGCTGATATCGCTCAGCCCTATTGGGACCTTGCTGAAGTCTCTCTTCTGCTGTTTCAATCCTTCCTGTGGGAGCCTAACCCAAGATGAGGAAATACGTAGATCTGGTTCAGGAAGTGTACAGTGGCAGCTTCTGCATCAGATCCTTGGGAAACGCCCAGGGATAAACACCTTTTCTTCAAGGTGCCTTTACCAGGCATTCCAAGTAAATTAGAGTCTGATACTCCAGGGGAATTTGCAGCTCTGCCTGAAAGGGAATCTGTTGTATGCTTTTGTTGTGGGTGCCTGAACTAGGAGATGGTGACATTGGATATGCCCACAGTGCTAACTCTTCTGCTTTGCCTTCTCATCTTTTTGCCTGTCTTCATGATGCAGTTCGGATCTGTGGGCTCTTGGCTGCATCGTATACCAGCTTGTAGCAGGATTACCACCATTCAGAGCCGGGTAAGACTTTGGAGCACACCAGTGCCAGACTTCCCACCAAGTTAGTGTTTGCCCGTGTACCCATAGGATAGTATAGTTTCAACCTTGAAGTTGACTTATAGGAAATGTTTGCATAGATGTAACTATACTTTTCCCCATCCTTTTTGCAGAAATGAATATCTCATATTCCAGAAGATAATCAAATTGGAGTATGAATTCCCAGAGAAGTTCTTTCCGAAAGCAAAAGATCTCGTAGAAAAGCTTTTGGTAAATGAATTGTATTGTCAAAAGTTTCCAATGCATGCTAGAAGCCTCCAGTCAGATAACTTGCACAAAATGTGGTACTCATTGCTGCTGTTCTACCCCAGCCGGTGTTTTGGCCCTCTAGGCTTCAGAGTCCCACCCCACCAACTGTTACCCCTTTGACTTGTTCCCTGTCCCTCCTGCTTTTCCACAAAGCATCTTCAGGGCCTTGTTTCTTAGTCCCCACCGCCTTCCCATGGGGTTTTCTGCCCTTTCGCTTCCCAGCCTCACCCCGACCCACAGATATACTCCTCTATACCTTGTGTTGAGGTATTAATTTCCAGCTAAGGCTCCCCTACTTTCCCTCTCTTCATGGAACTAGACTGTTAGCTTTGTTCCCAAACTAGCTGGAACTTTTCAGTCAGTTGGTGTTCAAGGTTTTATCACCACAAGAACCATATGATACAGATGTCAGCCTCAAGGCCTGCAACCAGCATTCCTTTCCTTCCTGCCTGTCTCCTTCCATCTCTTTTCTCTTTTAATTGGCCACTTGCCTCCCACTTGCTCCAGGAAGTGGAGCAAAACAAGTTGACTTCATGACCAGTTTCTTGAGATGCTCTCTGTCCTGTTGCTTTATGCCAGTTAAACCTATACAAGCCTTTGTTTCACGGGTTATTGCAAAAGCCCCTTGTGAATCACCATGAAGGGGTGCCTGGAGAAGAAATCTCAATTGTCCTCCTCCTTCCTGGAGTCTCGCTTCTACTAGGTACATCAAAGGTCCCATATTAACAGATTGTCCGCAGAGGTGGACTGCCTGAGTCACCAAGATCTGAAATGACAGGGAGTGGAGCCAGAGACGCCCCCTGAGTCTTTCCAGGGAAAATGTAACTGTGTCTTCACTTAACCAGGTCCAAGATGCTACCAAGAGGTTAGGCTGTGAAGAAATGGGCGGATATGAGCCCTTGAAGGCCCACCCCTTTTTCGACTCCATCACCTGGGAGAATCTGCATCTTCAGACACCACCCAAGCTCACTGCATATTTGCCCGCAATGTCAGAAGATGATGAGGATTGCTATGGAAATGTAAGTGCAGGCTTTGATACTGATGCCAGGGGAGATCAAAGGTTCCTGAAAGGCAGTTTGCCCTTGTGAGTGCCTCACATCCTTCTCCATCCATCTCAGTAGTCGCAGTAGGAGTGCCCATCTTGATCTACCATGCTCCATAGAGGTCTTTTCAATACCCTTGCATCCTTCAAGGGAGAAATAGGCCTGTAGTTCTTGCTCTGGTCTAATCCTTGGCTCCTTTGCCACCCTCACTTTCACTTGTAAAGTTCACATGACCAGAGGGTGAGAGCAGATACTGAGCTGAAAGCAGAGCTCCTTCCCAGCTTGCTCCCTCTCTCGCAGAATTTCTGCATGCAAGTGGAGGGTTAAAGAGTGATACATGCATGTACTGTGAGGAGATAATAAAACAAAGCAAGTAAAAGGAAATGTTCTAGTTTCCAGCTGGTTAAAAATATGGGATCGCTGGTGAAATTTGTGAAAGAGATAGAGGCTTTAAAATTTGGAGACGGGGATTTTTCTGATACATAGATTTAATCAATCAAGGCAGGACTATTGATCATTCAGAAATCAGGAGAAATTTGAATCCAACACCCCCCTTGACTTGAGTGTCTTAACGTAAGATGGGTAATAAAACAAATTATGTAGATAGTGAATCAAGAAATGAGGCTGCAATCCAAGTCCCCTCATCTGCCATATTGTAGCATGGGTAGCATGGAAGGATAGGGCAGAGATATCCTTCTGCTGTTCAGAGTGGCTTCAGCAGCACTCCTCCAGCACCACTGAATTTCTCATGCTGCCTGCCAAATGGGGTATTCTGGAGAGGGAGGACTGAACTGGCTCCACTGCTGTCAGCAGTCTCAGGGTGGATTGTAGGGTGGAGCAAGGGTTTGCTTGTCCCCACATGTGTCCTAGTTGACATGTGCAATGCTGCCCATCACACTCTACTGTGCCTTACCCAGCTTGGGTAAGGATTGCTCTGAGGAAATTAGCTGATTTGGAGAAATTAGGTAAAACAGCCCTTTATTACGATGCAGAGTGATATCCAGTGTCTCAGTGTCATACTCAATAGTAGACCCATTGAAATCATTCTACTGGAGCCTCTTGATTTAAATTGGCCTCTTATGACTTGCAAATCACCCATAAAATTTAGTTAAATAGCTGCAGAATATAGGTAAAATCATTCCGGTGAAAATCTTGGGAAGCCTACTGATTTTCTTAAGGATAACTGGAAAGGAAAATAGAAAAATTCCAGTACAAACATATGCTGGAAGTGTCAACAGGAGAAGGGAGGTGGTTATTATTAATGCTATTATTAAAAAGTGGAAGCAGATCAAGCATTTTACAGTCTATAGATTATGAAACCTCTCTAGGTCCTGTCCTTACTAAAGTGTGTTGAAGCCTCATGAGACAGAGCATAAGGAATTAGTCCCATTTGTGAATTGAAGCAAGAATGTTTTTAAGCAAAGAAATGGAGAATATCACTAACAGCAGAAGTGGCCAGAAAATGAGTGGGATTTTGCCTTGATAGCAAAAGTGATGTACTGAGTAAAATAAAAGATGGCCACACAGTTACCATATTTTTCCGTGTATAAGACGCCCCCATGTATAAGACGATTTTAAAGCCTAAATTAATAAATAAATAATTGCAACATTCTGTGTATAAGACCCCCCCCCAAAAAAAAGTTAACTTATTTTTTGGGGGGGGAAATATAGTCGTATATTGGAAGCTGGCTGTTTTCTTACAGATGAAATGTGTTGCTTTCCTAAAGTATGGGCTTACAGTGTTTATACAGTGTAAATACATGTACTAGTAGCATTTAAAGAGAGCATGCAGAATAATAAATAAATAATATAACATTGGTTATATCCAATGAATATACATTCATTGGCACATCAAATTTAGGCCCATTAATGTTACTGGATTCACTCTTGAAGACAACTTGGATATTATGTTGGCAGAAATATTGGTCAGAAGAAAAGGGTAAGATGCCACATACTTTCCCCCCATTTATTCTGAAAACTATCTTTCTTGTTTTGATAGTATGACAATCTCCTGAGTCAGTTTGGCTGCCTGCAAGTGTCTGGCTCTGCCTCTTCTCAGTCCTTGTCTTCCCCGGAGACGTCCACCCCACAAACCTCAGGCAGCAGCAACAACATAGAGCAATACATTCACAACCTCGACAGCAATTCCTTTGAGCTGGACCTCCAGTTCTCTGAAAAGGAGAAAAGGTTACTCTTGGCAAAGCAGGCTGGTGGAAATCCCTGGTAAGCACTGCGGGGTGTGGGTTTTTTTCCCCATAGAGTGGCTTATGCAAATGTGTGTGCGCGCATGTGCTTGCACTTGCTTTCTCTCCCCCTCCCTCCCCCTCTCTTGAGTGACGTCTTACTCCACAAATAAAGTTCAGCTTCATCACTCTTGCACCTCACTAACAATGGAGGGTGGCAGAATCTTGGGCTTTAGAAAAGAGGGGAAAAGGACCATTTGAATTGGCCAGAGCTTAGAAATGCAGCCAATTTCTGCCATGGGATCTGACCCAGAGCTGACAGTCCCATAAAAGTGCTGCTAGAGACCTTTTTCCTCTGCATGCTGAGCACAATGCCCTTAGCAGGGAGCGCCCATCTGCCTGCTGGCTACTTTTCCTCCTCTCACTGACACTCTGTCTCTAAAAGCCTGTAAGTGGATGGCTTGGCAATGAATGATGGATTGATGGAAATAACACAAGGTGATGTTTTCTTCTCAGGCACCAGTTTGTAGAAAATAATCTAATACTGAAAATGGGTCCAGTTGACAAACGGAAGGTAAGTCACCTTATCCTGTGCCTCGGATTCATTCTCTAAATGATTGTACTTGTGAGTCTAAAGTACTTGGGGATATGAAATAAAAAAACCTGCAGAGTAGTGGAGGAGAAAGAAACATATGCTAAGAGAAACCAAAAGCAGATTATCTAAATGTAGTAGTTTGTGGTGGGGAGTGTAACCCTGTTTGTTCTCCTTGACCTGCACATTTCATAATTTTATTTGTATGCTCTTCCATGTGTACCAGGTGGTTGGTAATTAGGTAACTAAAAAAAAAATGAAAACCAGTGGGGAGGGAGAGAGGCCTTCTAGTGTTTTGCAGAGCCTGCCATATATTTGACTATCTCCCCACTGGGCAGAAGTTGTGGGTGTATCTAGAGTACAGTGAGCTCCAGGAACAAGTTGGTTCCCAGACCTGGAAACGGCAAAAGAGGCAGAGAGAGTGTTGGATGGGGTCTTCAGGGAGGTCCCACTCCCATGATGACAGTTCCCCTGCTGTCATAGGGAATGAGAGCGTTGCCTAGAAGAGAGTTTGAGCTTTGAAGACCTTTCATCATTTGTCCAAAATTTGGTTTGGAGACTGTTGCAGGAAAGGCAAAAAATATAATAGGTACTTCCCCTTGCTCGTCCTGTGAGCTGGTTGTGCTGCATGTGGTAAAGGTGGAGAGGCAGAGGAAACTAGCTTCTCAGAAGATGTTGTGATGATCCCTTTGTGCTCTATAACAAGAGCGTTGAGTCCTAAGCAGTATCCTGTGATGGTGCTAGAATCCTGCCTTTCTTGACCCTTTCGTTGAAGCTGCTGGCCTGCAGCGCTGGCTTAGCTCTAAGTGTTGTGTCCTCCTCTGCAGGGGCTCTTTGCTCGCAGGCGTCAGCTGCTGCTCACTGAAGGGCCACACTTGTACTATGTGGACCCTGTCAACAAAATTCTGAAAGGAGAAATCCCTTGGTCGCTGGAACTCCGGCCGGAAGCCAAGAACTTCAAGACCTTCTTTGTTCACACAGTAAGTGACCCCTTCCTGCTGACAAGTTCTGACTTCACCGGTCCTGTTCTGTGGGCTCTTGCAGGTGTGGTATTAGCAGGGCCCATTCAGCTGCCAGTGCTTCCTGGGAGGTGCTGGAGGTGTTGAGGAAGGTCTGGAGGTGTTAATTGGCTGTGGGATCCTTCCCCTTTTTGAAAAATGGATCTAGAACTTCCTGAAGTAGCAGCTCCCCAGTGACACAGCTCCACACACTGATGACTCTTGTTCTTTCTCAGGCCAGAGTTGGCTCACACAGCCACCCCTGCCTTTTAATAGCTCCTGCCCGTTGTCTGGTTTTTACAGTGGGAGACTTCTGATGTACAAAGTGCTGTGTGCAGCCTTCATCCCCAGGGGAGGGAGGGGAGGCCCAAGCCCATGCATTGCCTGCTGGCCTTGGTCAGCTTAGTTAGGTTCTTGCTGCAGGAATGAGTAGGCACTAAACCTTTGTTTACTTGTAGCCTAACAGGACATACTACCTGATGGACCCAAGTGGGAACGCTCATAAATGGTGCAAAAAGATACACGAGGTTTGGCGACACATATACCACCAGAACACTGCGAAATGAGACTGCCCCCACCCCCAGTGCCCTGCCTCCCTCCTTGCTGCTAGAGCGCCACATGCTCCCAGCCTGAGGACTCCTCCCAGCCCAGCCTACATCCATCTCCAGGGCCAAAACTAGTTCCTTCTCTAAGGAAAAGCCCAACCAATGGAATTCAGGGTCGCTTTGCTTGCTTTTGTGCTTCTGTTGAGGCTTCCAAACACACACACACTTGCACAGCTCTCTTTGCTGCCGTGAGAGACTCCCTTGGCTTCTGCTGCAAACTGCTGACTTCAGTGTAGATGAGTTAAGCCAAGCCACGCGCACAGCCCAGATCATGTGGGGCGGGATTATTACTGTGACTTTCCGATTTTATCATGCAACTGTGTTTCGTCAGGGAGCTTTGAAACATCTCCGTGTGAGAGGCCACCATTGTTTCTGCTGCCACTTCCTCCCTTCTAGTTGGTCTCTAGTTGGTATCCAGCACTTGTAACCGCTGCTGCAAGCGGATGGAGGCCCTTGCTGAACCCTTCAGGCCGTGTCCAGTTGCAGGATTCTCCATGGATGGTACTTCTAATTGCATGTTTTGCAGATAGATACACTCCGGCACAGGTGGTAAGAGAGGGAAAATTTGAATGTGGCACTTAATCCTGGAAATCAAATTTCATACAATTTTAAACATGGAATTTTAATTTGATGCATTTACATGTTGAACTAAGGAGCATTAAAGTTACCAGCATGCTTTTAACTAATACTAACTGAGAGGTTGCCTAGTTAGTACCAAGCTGTATTGATGTAGTAAATAGACTCTTCACCTTTTCCGAAGAGGGGGAGGGGGAGCAAGCTGGTTCTTTCCAGGGTGGAGCACTGCAGGGGGCTGGCCTGTTGTGCCTGGGGAGAGAAGCGCGGTTGTACAACTGATGACTTGATTTGTTGTCTCTTTGTATAATGAGGTGTACAAATATATTCCTGTCTTGTTCAATGGCAAAGCGTCAGACCTTTTAGCAACTTTGAAAATATTTTACATGATTTAAATATATTTAAGCCCCTCCACTAATCAGACTAATTGTTGTGTTTATGTAAAAATGTTGATACAAAGGAGGGGAAGTGTATGGTACTTGAGTCATATCTATCAAATGTTTCATATCGTTCTTTTGTCCTTTTCCTATTAAACTGTTATGGTCAAACATTTCTTGTAACATAGCAAAGATATTGCTTTCTCACTGCAAGCATCCTTTTTCTATGGTGTGCTCTGATATCTGGGTAGCCTAAGCTTTTTTGCAGGGAGGGGAACAGGTTCTTGCCCAGACACCAGTTCTCTTCCTCACCCCCCAAAAGTACTGGTACCACTTCTGTTCACTTTTCACTTGTACCGTAAGAGAGAATATTTCACTAGTGCTGAGCAAGAGGTGTCAGATTTAGGTTCCATTTTGAAGGTGAGGGTTTCTCTTGCCCTTAAAGTCAGGAGTAGACTTGGAAGTGGAGACTGGTTGTTGCTGGAAAGAAGAGAATCCGCTCTTTTCAAAGTTCCACCAGCACAAGGTGAATAGCACTTCTGGAGCAGATGAGGCTGGTCTACTGTTATCTCTAGTTCTGTCTACAAGTTGGACCATTTTTCCTGTAAAGCTTTGACACACCCATGTGTTTGTTTGTTCATACATGCACACTGTCTGCAATAGCCATCACATGGAACATGGATTTATTATTTTCCTGTAGCCAGGCAATGCAACCATGACTCTTAACAAGCCACCAGAAGTAGTGGAGCCAAGTAGAAGTGCTTTTGGCAGTGAAAATCCCCCTCCAACAGCTGTCAATCATGCTGGTTGTTTTTCTTCCTTCCCCCCACCCCTTGGTAAAACTGAATCCCATTGGGTGAAACCAAGCGGCAACTTAGCATCCCCCACAACTGTGTTAGATTGTCTCAGGAGAGGTGCTGGGAAGCTCCTCTCTGGAAAATGATGACACACGCAGATTTGACTTTTCCCATGGATGATAATTGTTCTGCACAATTCATCTCTCTAATGATTCAAGGAGTCTTTCTAGTAAGAAATGTCCAGCGACACTATTATGTTGGCAGAACTGCTCTGCGACTGCACCAGAGGACACATTTTTCTGTTTGGCTTGCCTAAATTTGCTGGCTGCATCCTGCTATTTACTTGGATTAAGAGGAAGCATCTCTGCCCCATTAAAAATGGTGTCCCATCTCTTCCTGACAAGCAGTCTCTCCGAGCCTTGAGAAGAGCCAGGGGGAGGACCATAAGAACAATAGCACTAAAGGGGAAGAGTCAGTTTGGACCAAGGGGGAACAGACAGGAGGAGCAGAGAAGGGGAAAGAGATCCAGTCATCTCACTTTCACAGCAGGTCTGAAGCTTCGAAAGGCAAGAGAATGGAAATGCTGGTTCAGGTGGCTGAGTGGACACCTTTAGAATAGGTGACAATATAATTCAAGTCTGGACTAGGGTTGAGGTATCTAGTTAACAGCACTCTCCATACTCTTGCTCTCAAGTAAATCATCTCTCTTCAGCCACTTTCAGGACAAGTGCAATAGTCTTAAAAGCCGTGTTTGTCACAGTTCACACTGCTGCAAATATTAGACCTTGGGAGGCGGGTAGCATTTTGCTGCTGCATTTGACTGGATTACTAAACTGCTTTGAGGGGTGGTTGTGGTGGTTGTTTTTACAATCAAGTGTATATAAATAAACCACACATAAGGCTGAGTGTTTTGGAAAAGTTCTGTTCGAATTACCACATAGATAACACCATCAGGTATTTGGTCCAGGAAGACAAGCTGGGTCTGCTAACTCGTAAAATGCTGGCACAAACCTTTTGTGCCCCAAACCCAGCCTCTGACTCTGCTTCTCACTTGCCTCAGATTCACCCATCTTCTGCATTGTGAAAGAACTAGAATTGTTTGGAAGCTTCCCATCAATTAAGGAGCAAACTAATGTGTGAAAAGCTTGTTTCAGTTTATGCAAACTTGTTTCTGAAGTCCATGAAGCTCAAAGTGAAAGTTCCAAATGGGAAGCTCTGGGTTTTTCAGGAATTAATTCTGGTTATAGAAATAAACATGAGACCTAGGTTAGTATATTCAGTGATGAATTATTTCATGGGGTAGTGATATAAATTAGCTTGGGATAGCTAATTCTTGTCTACAATTATTATAAGCAATTGCAACCTTTTGGTATGCATGGTACTTAGAAGCAAATCCCACTGAGTCTATGGGACCTACTCCCAGGTAAGTGTACATAGGAGTGCACATACTTTTAAGTGGTGATCAAGCTGAACTCTCCAATAGTAAAAGTTGTAACAATATCCAGTTTTATTGCTACTTCATAGTTACATTATAGGGGTATTTATTTCTGAGCTTTTTCCTCTTAAAAATTGAGTTCCTTCTGTTGCTGCATGATGATGCTTATGTCTGCATACTGTTTCTAATCCCAGATAATAAAACCCTCCTGTTTATTATGGTGATTGTTTCAAGTTTCAACTTTTTTATTTCCTCATTTCTTTCTAAGTGGAAAACCTAAGAGTTGTATAACTTAAGATGCAGCAGCTTGCAGTTTCATCTCTAACACACAGCATTTGTATTACATGTTTGAATAAAACATATCTGCGCTTCATTCACGTTCCCAAAATAGCAAAGCAAATTTAGGTTTAGATAAGTAAACATTGCATATTCCATGGTTCAAAACTTCTGAATTCCCCTATCTGCATTACATATTGCCAGTATGGAAACTGCTGAAGAAAAATGTTGATCCATCTTTAAAGCAAAATACTGGTGGATCCTCCATGTCTTCCTGTATCAATCTGGCAATGGATTGGGAGACTCTCTCTCTCTCTCTCTCTCTCTCTCCATGTCCCACAATCCACATTGGCTTGCATCATTCACTTATTTTCCAGGAGCTGGGTAGGTGGAAGCAGGCCAGTCTCCAGTTCCCAGCCCCTTTTTTGTGTGAGGGCCATTGTCAGGGAACTGACATCGGAGCTAGAGGCGGAGGGGAGGCTCTCAAATGATGCTGGAGAAGGGCCCAGCAGGGAGAGAGGCAGCTCAGCAGATGGGGAAGCAAATCAGCGCAACACCAGGGATAAAGGGGGGCAGATGGGGGAATCAGCGAGAGGGCTCCAGGACTCTTCACCGGACACCAGCGGGGAGAGCATGGGTCTTCCGCTACCCACGCCCTCCCTGCGCAGAAGGCTTCCGCGCAGGGAGAGTAGGAGGAGACTTGGCGTCAAACAACTTTTATGTTGGAAACGGTTTAAGAAACGCCCACTGACTGATTCTGCTAGCGACTGAGGCAGCCACGAAGTGAAGGGCTGTCCAGACAGAAAGGTTTAACAAGGCAACATAGCCAGGAGAGGCGGCAACTTACGCATGAGCAACCCATACTCATTACAGCCATGTATTGTCATATTGTGGCCCAGAAGTGGCTGCTGGGTCCTGAGTGGGAAAAGAACACACAGGCCCCATTATGCTGCATTAGAGTAAGGCTTGCAGTGTCAAACATTACTCCCCCCCACAAAGGTATTTTAAAAGCTGCTTTTTAGGTTTAAGGCTATCCTTTCAAAGAAATGAGGGCTGTAATGGCCAACATCAAATCAGTGTATTCATGAGGATGCAGCCAGTGCTATATCCCCCCAACAGAGGACATTTCCACCCACCCTGGCAGCAAAACTCCTGCCATGTGTTATTCTGCTAACCGTGAAGCCCCGAGCCAGTCCAGGCAATGTGAATGTGATCCGTTTCTTTTGGGGTTTAGGCCCAACTTTGGCACAAAAACTGCTTTAGTGGCCCTGTATGATGATCTCTGTCAGAAGAGAGAGGAAATGTGCCTCTTCTCGACCTGTCAGCAGCTTTCAATGCTGTCAGCCATGGTATCCTTCTGGAGTGGCTGCCCAAGTTAGTGGTGGTTGGCACCACTTTCTGCATGATCATTTCCAGAGGTGATGCTTGGGGAGTGTTCTTCGGCTCTGTGGAGCCTTCAGTGCAGCGTTCCTCAGGGATCGATTTTATCCCCCATGCTACATGAAGCAGCTGAGGGGTTATCTGGAGTTTCGTAGTATGCTCATCAATATGTGGATGACACACAGCTCTACTCCTTTACATCTGCAGGTGAGGCAGTGGATATGCTGGTTTGTTGTCATGCCTTCGTAATGGCCTGGATGAGAGCCAACAAACTGAAGCTTAATCCTGATAAGGATGAGGCACTGTTAGTGGGCAGTTCCCTAGATCAGATGGATGGGAGGTTGCCTGCTCTTGAGGGAGTTTTAACTCCCTCTAAAGGAGCTGATGCACAGCTTGAGGGTACTTCTAGATCCATTGCTGTCACTTGAGGCTCAAGTGGTCTCGGTTGCACAGAGTGCCTTAGAATTATAGAATTGTAGAGTTGGAAGGGACCCTGAGGGCAATCTAGTCCAACCCCCTGCAATGCTGGAATATGTAGGTGTCCCATATGAGGATCAAACCCAGGACCTTGGCATTATTAGCACCATGCTCTAACCATCAGCTTAGACTGGTGGCCCAGCTGCACCCCTGTTTGGACAGGAATAGCCTAACTTCAGTTGATTATGCTCTGGTAACCTCTAGGTTAGATTACTGCAATGTGTTATAGGCAGGGCTGCCTCTGAAGATGGCTTGAAAATGTCAGTGGGCACAGAATTCAGGAGTCTGGTTGTTCACCAGGACAATATGCTTTGAGCATATAACACTGATCCTTTCCCAACTACCAGTAAGTTTCCAGGCCCAATTCAAAGTGCTGGTTTTGACCTATAAAGCCTTAAAAACTACTCAGGACCTCAAGGGTATGAACTTCTGATATGAACTGAGGCCCTTCGTGTGCCTCCTTTGTGAGAGGCCCAGAAGGTGGCAACATGAGAACAGGCCTTTTCTGCAGAGGCTCCCCCTTTATGTTTTGTACCTTCAATACTGTTAAGTTGTGGGTGAACATATCAGCAATTTGAACGACACAGCGATTCTTCAAACAGCTCTTGTTTATTCACAGGCCAGAACAGAACTGAAGGGTTCAGCCAGCCTGCTTATATAGAGCAAGGCAACAGTAACTACTTTCTGTAACTATCCAATCACTGAATGTCACTTTCAATCCCTTATTTGCATATGTGGACCTGAGTGAAAAATATCTACAGTATCCCCCTGCTGGACCAGGGTGAAAACTTCAGTAAATAACAATTACAGATTAGTAGGTGCCAGGCAAAAAACATTCCTCTTCTCCCAGGCCTTTGGCTGATTGATCCAAGGTTTTTAAAATTCTTTTTTTTGGGGGGGGGGGGTTATTGTTTTTTCTTTACTGCTATGTTACGTGCTTTTGTGCTATAAACTGCCCTGTAAGCCTAAAATGAAGGGCGGTACAGAAATTCAATTTAACTAAATAAATGTGGGCATAGATTGGGTATTGACATGCCCCCCGCTTCGCCCGCAAACTCAGGCAGGGAGAGCACAGCGCTTCCTGCGCGAACGGTCTCCTAGCAGACATAGAGCTCCCCCCCCCCCCCCGCCCTCCATCGGCGCGGAAGAAGAGGAGACCAGGCGAGGCGGAGGTTAGATGGTAAAAGCGGCCGGCAGGCAAAGAGTTAATCTGCGCCTCCGCCCCTCATCCCGCTGGCGCACCCAGCAAGCCGAAGAAGCCCGCAGAAGGGGAGGGGCCGCTCTCCTCCCTCACTTCCGGACGGCAGGGGGGCGGAGCCACATCGCCGCCGCCGCACATGCGCTCTCGGAGAGCCTGCTGGGACAGCGGCCCGGAGGGGAAGCCTTTCGAGAGCGGACCTTCCGGCGCGCAGCCAGGATGGCGGCGGAGGGCTCCTGCGAGCTGCCGGTGGTGCCGGCGGCAGGGCTTGGCCTGTCCGGGGGTCCCACCGCCTCCTGCCGGCGCTGCAGCAGCAGCTCCAGTTCGTCGTCGTCGTCCTTCTCCTCGCCTTCGTCGTCGTCCTCGTCGTCGTGCGGGGGCTGCCTCGCTCCCCCGGCCCCTCCCGTCGCGGGCGGCGTGCCCGGGAAATGGGTCCGGCTGAACGTGGGCGGCACCTGCTTCCTCACCACCCGGCAGACGCTCTGCAGGGACCCCAAAAGCTTCCTTTTCCGCCTCTGCCAGGCCGACCCGGACCTCGACTCCGACAAGGTGAGGGGGCGCCGCCGCCGCATTCTGCAGGTGCTCAGGGGACAGGCCGGGCGAGGACCCCATAGCTTGGCCGCCCCACCGCGGGCACTAGGCTGGAGGGCCCCCGCTTTGCTGCCCCGGTTCCTCCTGGAGTGCCGGGCCTCTGCGTGAGAAAGAGCCGCTCAGGCCACCTGTGTCACGGCGCCGTCGTTACCGTGAAAGAGGCGCCCACCGTCAGGTTCTCGCTCTTTTCTGGTCGGTTACCCATCTCCCGCATCTAGGCAGGCAATTTTAAGTGTTGAGCATGTATAATTAGTATGCATTAAGCACAGTAGGACTTGCTTCCGAGGAAACATGCATAGGGTTGCACTGCGAGTTCACGAGGGATCCATACTGTCTTGAGCAGAGGGTGTGGAGCGACGGGGTTGAAGGGAGATCTCAGTGCCAGCTCAAAGCATCTTGCTGCCTGAAGTGGAGCACCAGCCGTAGCCCCCTTTCTATAAAAGAAACCCTTCCTATGCCTGTTCAAAGCCCACCTGGGCCTCAATGGGCATGCTGCTGGTCCCTAGGCATACTGCAAGTGAGAGACTCCAGTACTGAAGCGCTGGGCCCCATCAAAGCCCACAAGTCTTAAAAATGTGTGAAGTTTTCAGTTTATCAGAACTCTCTAGCAAGCAAGATATTAACACAAAGCAAGGTTTTATGAGGGGAAATCAAACCCAAATATAGTTGCTGTGGCCATGTGGCCAGCTGGCTGGTCTCGGTTCCAGCTTGGAGATGCAGGCCAAACGGGTCTATCCTAGGGACTACATGAACCAGGTGACCCACCTGGGATTATGTCCTCATGATTTGAGAAAATAAAGCCTGACTTGTAACACTAATGTTTCTAACACCCTAGACAAAAGACAGATTTCTTAGGCAGAACAGAAGTAACAAGACATGGTAGTATTATTTCACTTGTAAATCTAGAAGGGCCATCATGGGTTATCTGATCCAACTTACTGCTGATCTGGAAAATCAGCTTTGGGAAAGAGACTGTATTTCTTGAGAGTCACTCTAAAAGGCTTGTTCAAAACAGCTTTGTCTCCGGGCTTCTTTTAGTAGATTGAAGGTTCTCTTGTTTTACCCAGGGGGGAATCTATGATTCTCCAAATGCTGGTGGACTTTGACTTCCAACATCCATGGCTGGCAGCAGGAGCTAATGGGGGTTGGAGTCCAACAACATCTGCAGAGGACCAGATTAGCAAAGGCTGGTCTAGACTCTGCATACCTGGGCTCTGGGCATCTCCAGGCCTTGACTTCTCTTCACCAGACAGGTTCCTCTTCTCTGGGGCCAGGATGCCAACTTGAATCAAATATTGGGGGGGGGGGCAGGTAAGCTCCAGTCCACATAATTGATCAAATGATGCAGTGTAACACACCATTTGAATGGCAATGCCCATCAACTTTAGTCCCCCCCCAAATATATTTTATTGGGGAGGCTGAAGGAGACCTTCGCCCCTAGGAGTTGGCTACTTTTCTCTGGAGTAAAGTTGTTATTCTCTCTTCTGGTTGGACTCGTAGATGAAGGCAACATGCAGAAAGTCTTCTCCCAACAGACTAACTCACAAATAGCTAACTTGGTGTCCTCCTTATGTTGGACTGTGACATGCTTCAGCGCCAGCCAGCATGACAAATGGTCAGGGAAAGGTGGGAGTTGTAGTTCAGCAACAACTGGAAGGCACCATGTTGGTTGCTCCTGGATTTGAATAAGGAAACTTCAAAGGGGTTGTGAAACTCTTGGGTTTTAAGCTTTAACGCAAATGTGACACCTCTTTTTGCATTTCATTTCCATATGATCTCACTGTTTGTATTTCTTTCTCTACACCTATGTAGCAATGGCATGCACTGTATCTGATGAGGTAGATGCTAGTCCATAAAAGCTTACAGTCTTCATAGTGCCCCTGGCTGCTTAGTTAATTGTTAAGTGTGCCTTGGCAGTGGTCAGATTGCACTCCAGTCCTGAAAGACTCAGTTGGCATATAGCTTAAGCTTGCTTTTAATGACTCAAGTGAGCTGCCTCTCCTTGCCCTTTAGTTCCTGATAACCCCCCTTGTGTATTGCCTCAGAGTGCAAGTCTGAACTTGCCTAGATCATGTTGTTTGTCGATGCTGGTTCTTACTTAACTTTTAAAATATTCATTGAAAAAATAGAGTGGCTACTTTCATAAACAGTGGGCATACACTAAGAAAATCAGACTGTCAAAACAGCTGTCTCCCAGTAGGTCTTGCCATATTTGCTCATGAGACAATTGTAGGAGGGGGAGAGGGTCCACCTTTCAGGTTGCTCCTATTGGCATAAGTACTGCCAAGCAAAAAACAATTTGTCATGTCAGTATAACCCTAGAATGTCAGTTTCTCAGATAAGCTATTTCCACAATTTTCCCCCCACTGTAGTCTTTTCCATTGCTTGGCTAATTCTAGCCACACTACTACAAGCATAATAGTAATCAGATCCTTATGGAGCAAATATTTATTAGGTCAGTTGAGTAAGCTTAGCAGTGCAAGATTACAGTCTACTCAGATTTGTTTTCTGATAAGAATAGATCTGTGCTCTTGATTGTGCTCTTAAATCATGGGGTCAGCAAAATCCAGTGCTGCTGGACTGCACATTGTACATCTCTGTGCCAAACTCTGCTTTCTAACTTTAGAACTGTGGCAAGCCTGTAATGAAGTGGGGGAAAGAGCTGGACAGATTCTCATGGATCCATGGTTTTTACATGAAGGTGCCTCAAATCCACTATCAAACCAATGCTTATATCTTTGTCCATGGGCTGCTCCATATAAATCACAGTTCATCATGGTGCCAAAAATTAGACCCATGGTAAAACTCATTCAGATCCAAGAAAAGCCATTTCCAGGTTTCATGTTTATGCTAGTGGTGCAAAGACTCACCAGAATTGTGAATTTTGCAATGCAGTTGTTTTATACTTAGAGAGATAATTTGCATCCTCAAAGCCTATCCATCCACAAGTAGGCTGTATATTTATTGTAAGATACCAATCAATGCAACGGGACCTGGATCCTTCAGTGTGGATCTTCACAGCATGGACTGAGAGCACCAAAAAATTTATTGGCCTGAAGTTTGCAACAAGAATGCAAGAGACCTTGTAGCATCGTGCTACGACTATTGTATGTTATGTCCTGGAAGTACCAGAACAGACACTGAATTGGTAATCCATGAATGTCCAGAGTGGGACTGGAATTTCCATTTAATCATTACATGGATCCATCAGGATCTGGCCATCAGAAATGGGCTGTGTACAGCAACAAGAGGCTGATTTTTGTGGTGAGTAACCAGAGGTGTGAACAATAATGATAAGACAAAGGTGGTCAAGGGTTCTATTTGTAAAAAAAAAAAAGATGTATAGAGATCAATGCTTCTTCATTCCCAGTTTTTTTGCACCACAAGCATCACGTAGTATTAGTTTTACAATTTTATAATGTTCATTGTCTTTTGACAGTGAATTTGGGGCATTTTCATGTAAAAATGTTGTCTGATCTTTCTCTGTATTCCTATGGGCATTTATTAAAAATACTTATATACCACTATTTCATAGGGAAAAAAATCAGAGTAGTTTACAATAATGCATAAAACTATACAATCAAAACCATAAAAATTTAAAATCCGACATCAGTTAACTGTCATGGTATTAGATGTGGACTGTGATTATGCAGTGGATTTTGAGTTTCTTTATTTAAAAAATGCTGAGCTTTTTTTCGTGAGAACTACCATTCTGGCCCCTGTAGAACCGAAAGATAGTGACTATTATGTTTTCAATGCAATCAGTGGGGATGGATGCAGGTTGTGAATAGCTGGTAGATTTTTGTGACCTGCTTTCTAAGAATCAAAAGGATCCATGCCTAGAATCTAGGTTTTTGCAGTATGGTAATGTCACAAAACACTGGATCCATGATCTTTGTAGTGCATTCTGCCACCATATTTATTTATTGTTGGATTCCTCCTTTCAGAGTAAAAACTCCCAATGTGGTTTCCGTAGAAGCAGTAGCATACAATACATAAAAAGAGCCCATCTGGTCCAGCACCCTGGGCTCACCAGGTGCTCAAATGACTAGGCCACAAACACGACCTGAACACAGCAGCAGCAGCACTCACCCTTTTGGGCTTCCCTCCAACTGAGCTTCAGAGACATAGCACCTCTGACAGTGGAGGTGGAGCATAGCCATTGTGGCTAGTAGCCATTGGTTGCCATATCTTCCATGAATGTGTCCAGTCCTTTTTAAAAGCCGTTCAAGTTGGTGGTCATCACTACTTCTTGCAGGAGTAAATTCTGTAGTTTAACTATGTGCTGTGTGAAGAAGTCCTTCCTTTTTTCTTGTTAAAAAATCTTAGTGGAAATTCAGTTCTTGTGATTTCCTTTATTTTAGTTTTGGTTTTGCATTTTCACTTTTATTCACAACATTTTATTGACACTTTTATTGTCACAACATCCATATTTCTATATCAAGGAAAAATGAATGAAAAGTCCTTCGTTTTGTCTGTTCTAAATCTTCAAAAGTTCAACCTGTTGTGTGGCCCTGAGTCTTGAGGGAGGGAGAGGTTTCTGTACACCATGCATAATTTTATACACCTCTGCCATGTCTCCCCCCAAACTCATTTCCCCCCTCTAAATATTATAAATTGCAAATATTAAAGCCAATGCCATAAAAACAAATAACATCAGGGCAAATTTAATAATTGGAACCACCCCTATGAGAAAGCACAATAACAAAATTGTCATTCAGGAAAATGCTGTGAGACTTGATTGGATGGTGAATTTTTGTGTTCAGCTCATAAAAATAATGTGAATTCAGAGGGCTCTGGCAACCTTTTGCAAAATCATATTTCTGTACAGGTGTGTAACAAAATACCTTTTAAGCCCCTTTGATGTTTTATTAAACAGCCCCTCTTCTTGACAGGAGGATGAGATTTTTGCTGATTTCCTGTTCAGTTCCTTTTGCCTTCCAAAAATCTGCTCCAGATTGTTGAGGGACCCACCAGAACCTTTGGGTAGGGGAGATTACTGGGGTCTGCAGGGAGAATTGGAGAAAGCCCTCTTCCTGTAGTGGATACCTCAACTCAGTCAGAGCACATTTTATGAACTGTAGGAACTATTCATTACATTTCTAAGCCTGGATCTAACCCGGAGATTTGAGGGCTTTATTGCTTTGGTTGCAATTTTAGGTTTATTATTTAGTATAAAGACCATAACTACTGGTTGAATAAAATGGATTGTTCTCATTTGCATAAATGTTATTAAGCTTTTCTTACCCCACATTAAAATTGATTGTCATTTGAGCCAAATTATTAATTTTCACAATCCCTTGCAGTAATTGATTAGAGATTAGAAACTAGCTGAGTAGTATCTCTGTTTCACAATTAAGACCTCCACACTGAAGCTCTGATTATTCATTAATGCAGTGCATTGAATCCATGGTGGAAGCTTCTGATTTATGACATGGATGAGGGCATGTCAGGGTTGGAATGTCAGGATCTCTGTGGGGTCTCACACTAATTTAATCTGGTATTTTAATTTAGTTGGCTGATCTGGGAATAGGATGGCTTAAGTGTGATAAGACAATTTCTATATAAATAAGTAACATACATATTTTAATTAGGATGAAACAGGTGCCTACTTAATAGACAGAGATCCAACCTACTTTGGACCGGTGTTGAATTATCTCCGACACGGGAAACTGGTTATCAATAAAGACCTCGCAGAGGAAGGTATGTTTTGCTGTTTAGGAAAACTGCTTTAATGCTTGATCACAGCTGTGAAAAATCACTTTGGGTGTAATTGGTTTCACATATGCAAAGCAGGGCGGCCTGTTTGGGCTGGGCTAGTTTGTAGCATTGCTGTGCAACTTGCACTGGCCTTCAGATCTTGAGACCTGAATGATCCTTTAGAAACCAGGATTTGGCACCTGAAGTGCTGTGAGGTCACTGTTTTGGGGAGGTTGTTGGCTGGTGCATGACCTACCTGGAACACTCTCCTTGCTCCTGGGCTTTCTCTTTCTTCTTTGGTCTTGGAGCAGAGGCCTTGCCTTATCCTGACCAGGGCAACAGTTCAGAGGGACAGCCTGCCGCTTGGCCACGCAGTGCCTCTCAGGGCCTGTTTGTGACACAGACTTTCTCACAAGTAGCTGGAGTTTTATGAGGCCCTCTTTTGACTTTGTGTTCCCCTCCAATCAGGTGTGCTTGAAGAAGCTGAATTCTACAACATCACATCCTTAATCAAACTTGTAAAGGACAAAATAAGGGAACGAGACAGCAAAATCTCACAGGTAGGACCTGCTAGTTTTTTAAAAATTTGATTTGTTTTTGAGGTAGCCTTGGCTTGACTTCATTTCATAATGTGTGGCTGTGTTTGGTGCCCAAACTGAGGGAATTATGAGAAGTGGCTTCTGGTGGTATCAGATGCCCTTTTTCCTTCCGTGAGTGAAATGTTTGTGTTTGTGGCAATGCCAAAAGGGAGGAGGGCAGCAGAGAGATCTCAGCAGAGGCTGAGGCGAGTGGCTTTTTTGCACTCTGGAGCTCAGTGGTAACGGAGAAGGGACTCATTTGGAAGACATGATGGTTGAAACCAGTGGCCATTCTTGGCCTGCTTCATCTTTCGGCTGTCTCTCTGTGTTTTTCACCAAAGGTGCCAGTCAAGCACGTTTACAGGGTGCTGCAGTGCCAGGAAGAGGAGTTGACTCAGATGGTCTCCACCATGTCTGATGGCTGGAAATTTGAGCAGGTAAGAGAACAGGAAGCAAACACTTCAGTCTTTCAAGGACCATACAAACAAACAAAAAAGCAGGCGAGAGGAGTGTGAGGGTTGGAATAATTGTGGGTGTTGTGGGCTTGGGTCCTGGAATGGTCAGGAAACTCAGACAAATGTTTGTACTTTTACAGCAGTTTGCCTGGTTGCTCAAAGTGCGTCACATATTAACTCTAGTTGTTTCTTAAAGTAACTCTGTAGAGAAGGACAATATCATTATTTCCCTACTGGGAATAAGCCTTTGGATGTGCCACTGAGCTTGTGCCTTAGGAGATGCTTGATTTGCAGCTTATACTCTCAGCCTGAGCTGCACCTTCTTGGCATTTCCATGGGAAATCACACAGCAGGCACGAAGCACTTCATTCCTCCAGCACTGTGCCATGTGGCCATTTCAAGGCAAAGATCCATTTGCTCCACTTTTTATGTAGAGAGCTCTTGGAAACATAGTCCTCTGGGATTAACTCTGGTGGTGATACGAACACTGTTACACACAAAAAACAGCTAAAAATTAGAAATTCTTGTAACTAGGCTCTAAACTGTAGCCATGTAGTTATGTTTGTCCACCAAGATGCCATGTCAGTGCCAGTGCTTCAGATCCTGCCATCAGTATTGCAGTACTGATCAGATCACTGGTATTTGTTTGTACAAGCACCACAGCTCTCTGTGGTGGAAGATTCTCAGTTAATGGAGATTTGAAGAGCAGGAGGAATCAAGCAAAATCTTTTTGGCTCAGAACTGTCCCTCAACAGGCACTAGCTCTCCAAGAGCAAAGAAGAGTGTGGAATCCCCACAACTATGTCTCTGGGCCTGTATTTTGTACATCCATTGTGGATGGCTCTAGGCCTGCAGTTTTCCTTCTGTGCAACATTCTAGGAGTTTCACAGCTGTGTGTTTACACAGTCAGTGCTCTGTATGGTCAGGATTGCTTACACTCCATGTGAAACACTGACGCCTCTTATCTGCACAATGCCACACTCTCCTGCCTGAGCATGAATTATAGGAAGGGACAGGGGCCACTCTTAATGTTAGATGCCCCTTGTGGGAACAGGAAGGAGAGAGCTCCACCTTTATTTAATAGCCCAGAATGTTGACTGTCAGAGCTTTGGTTGTAATCCCTTATTAAGTTCTGTCTGAAGCACAAGAACAGCCCCCCTCAGTTGTCTCTCTTTCCCACCTCCAGCTAGTCAGCATTGGATCTTCCTATAACTATGGGAATGAAGACCAGGCCGAATTCCTTTGTGTTGTTTCCAAGGAGCTGCACAACACCCCTTATGGCACGGCCAGTGAGCCCAGCGAAAAGGCAAAGGTGAGTCATCTTCAGGGTGGAGCAAGGCCCAGCTGCTGCCTTCCTCTGCCATCAAAGGCTGTTTGCCAGTTGCTACTAAGAAAGGAGCTTGCTTGGGTATCCTCTGCCCACCCTTTCTCAGGTGTCCAAGCACAAGACACACATGAGCACACTGAGCAGTTGTGGAGAAAGGAGGCTCCAACATCACACCTCTTATGCAGGAGCAACAGTAAACCAGCCTTGGGTGTGATAGAGCACTGAGGTGCCTTCATAAGCCATTTTAGGCTTCTGTCCATTTCATTGCTGTTAAACTCAACTGTATGAAGATACCCTGCCCCATGCAAAAAGAATCTCTAATGGTTATGGATGTCTAATCCTCAAACACCCAACTCCCAAAGAGCAGCTAAACCTTTTTCTGGAAAATGATAGGTGCTATTCTAGGTGTGCCTGCATCTGGGTGCAACCCAAAAAACACAGACGCACCCACCAACGCGGAAACCTTCATTTATTGCAACCAAAAAATAAAGGCATATAAATCACATTTCAGTGTCAAGGCTAATTTATGTATGCCAACACAGGCATGCCTTGTTGGCCTGAATATAAGCCACAGTTTCCCCCCAAATTCCGACCATGAAAAGTGTGGCTTATATTCGCGACCTTATGGTATGCAGCCAGGAGTGCGGGGCAAACAGCGGCAGGAATGCGGCAAAGTAGTGCCCGCCCTGCATGTAGTTCCCCATCTTCTCCCTCAAGACCAGGAAGGGAGAGAACAAGGAAGGGGAAAGGCCGCCGGCAATACAGCACAGCTCCCCCTTCCCAGTATGCAACCAGAAGCAGCGAGGATGGGAGCAGCTTATATTCAAGTATATTTTCTTTTCCCCCCTCCAATTTTAAAGGTGCAGCTTATATTTGGGTCAATATGGTATATAGACTGGCAGGTGCTTTTGATTCTAACACACCCATAACTCGAAGCTGGAGAATTTAAGATGCTCTGTATTGGGAGAAGGAAAGGTAGGGTATCCCATGACTTCAGGGTTCTCTTTCTTTCTAGTTTCCAACTTGAGGTACCCAAAGTTTCATGGCCTTAAATCCAGCAAAAGTTTTCCTTGTGAGTGCAGGGTGAAAGAGGCAAAGTGGAGCTCTGAGGAATTCCCCCCACCTACACAATTCAAAGACTTGCTACTGAAATACACTTTTAGTGAAACTTGATCAATAATGTCAATGATGTTCTTACTTTCGAGAAAGTAGTGAGAGTCCGGTGTGTGGCTAATATCTCCTGTCCTGGGGCCGACGTGGAACCCAATTCCGGCTGTCAGCTCCTCTGAGTTAAACAGTCCCTTGATCTACTCCTAGCTTTTCCATAAATCATGGCGAGAAATTTCCCTCTGGCCTGAGAAAGCACTCTGCTGACAGGACTATAATTAGAGGCCCTGCCTTTGGTTGCCAATGTTATTGTCTGGCTGCTCTGCTGCGGTTAAAATCAGGATGTCTGTGTTCATGTCATGTGGCATTCAGTAGAGACAAAAGGGTCAGAATTCTGGGGGATGGGGGAGAGAAAGGCAAAGGGGCATATGTCCCAAGATGCATCAGGCCTATGCCAGGCTACAGTCGACTGAGATGAACCAAGGTTCTGGTGTCATACACCATGCTTGCATAATTGTTAATTAACACAGTCGTGCCATGGACATAAGTTAATGCCAGCCCTCTCTGCACATTTTTCATTGAGTTTTCAACATAAAATACAATGAAAGCCAAACTAATCAAAAGAAGATAAATAGGCACACAAAAGAAGACAATAAAGAAGTAGAAAATGAAGAGAAGAAGAAAAAAAACAAACTTCTCTATCATAATTATATCTTAACCTTTATTCCACACACAGACGGGTGAACCCTCCCACCTGGGAGCTTCCTCCTCTTCCCCCAGCCTCCCTCCCTGGGAGATCCTCTCTGCCCTGCCCCTTGCGCTGGGCCCTTCATCTTCCATCCATCTGCACCTTTTTAAATGAAGCTGCTGCTGCTGTTGTCCAAGAAGCTGGCAAACAGTGTGCCAGGCAGCTTGGAAGCAAATGTGCGATTTCTGTATCACTGTCCTATTTCACTCTCTACCTTATGCTTTCCCTTGGCCTTTGGCTTTGTAAACAGACAGCGAGATTGTAGAGTGATTGTTTCTGAAGGTGCAAATGATGTGCCAGATGTTATAGTTATGTTCAGAAAGATCTAAGCTTCAAGATCCTTGCATGAACTCCTGAATTAATGAAGAGGGCACAGATAGAAGGCAAGGTCTTTTGTGTTCATCTGGCACTCTTGCATTGTGTGGCATTTGCATGCTAGAGAGAAGTGGCCATGCTGGGATTTGGGCCTGTTGAGAAGGAGGAAGATGATGTTGGAGTTGGGTGAATTAGTAAAGGTGCAGGGCAGAGCCCACAGACACGAGAAAGCCCAGCTTCTTGCATCTTCACTAATGGCCAGTCATAGTTCAACAAGACCTCTGGCACACGAGGTGGAATCCAGGTGTCCTTGCAGGCATGAGTGCTCTCCAGCTCACACCCTGCAGAGCAGCTGCTAACCAGCTAAGAAACTGTTTGGATGTTTATCAGGAAAGGTTGTATGGGGGTGGGGTGATGGTGGCTGGGACACAGGGCAAAGGGACAGGCATCTCTCTGAGTTCTTTTGAAGAGAGAGGTGGCTCTTATGCACATCCTTAAGAGTTTGCTTTTAAATATATCAACAAAAAAACAACTCGGGCTCCCATGCCCAATTAAATCTTGATTAACCAAAAAAAGTTGGTTGGGGGAAGTTAGACAAAAGGAAGAGGGAATATGGAATTACAGCATCTGAGCCAGACACCCAGAAAGTTACTAAACTGCTTTCACATGAAAGCACATAAATTAGAAATACTGTTTTTGGTCTGTGGACGAAAGTTCAATTTCCAGTGTTTCCAGGCTAGTAATGTTTAGCCACCAAAAGGTGGGATTTGACCATAAACTATTTGCCTCTTCTGGATGTGAAACCTATGGGATGGTAACCAGTGACTTACTCTAGTGCAAGGTGAGGCACTCCATTTTCAACACACCCACCTATTGCAGCCCCGTGCGCCATGTCCCTTGCTGTGCCAGAGGGTCCTTGACACTGGATATGGGTGTTTTGCTGCTGCTTGGCAGCTTGACAGCTGTTTTCAGTGGTGGTTCGCCCTCTTCACACTGTGGTGGCTTTTTCCTTGCGCTGTAGCTGCTCTTCCAGCGATTGACTGGCTGGCTGCACTGTTGGATTGCTTCTGTGATCAACTCGCGGAAGACTCTTCTGGGTCACCCTTCACAATTCAGGGGCTGGCTTGGACAGAAGTCTCTTGCTAAGACAAATCCAGGCCAGACTTTCCTCAATCTCCTTGTGTAGGGCAGCTGTTGAAGTGAATGGGCCAGTTGTCCAAAGATCACCAAGCAGAAGCCTTGAATCCTCTCTCAGGCAGCCTGGGGACGTTTATACTTTACTCACCTTGCACTCTTTTCTTTTCCTTTCCTTCCTGCTCTTTGCACTTGCTTCATGAAACTCAGAGTGAAGACGAAGAGACGGATTACGATATGAATGACTCAGATTAAGTGTGAATGCCATGGTGAGCACTAGGACTTCACCCACCTGCCTGTCCTCCCTCTGGCCTCTCCCACTGGTGCATCTTGTTTTGTGTTTGTAGTTGCTGCCTTGACCCTGTTGCTGGGTAGCCGTAGGCCCCTAGACTGCCTAGTGGTCCACTTGTGTTGGCTCCTTTACTTCCTGCTGCTGTTGGTCCTCTTCAGAGGAAATGTGTTTTTGTGGCTCTTCTCACAGGGAGGAAAGCAAGACTCCACCAGGGAACCCATCTGCTTTTCACTTTAGAAAACCAGGGGAAGGTAGGGGCCAAAAGGTCTGAGTTGCAGTCGCCTTCCTATGATGGCCACAGACTTTGGTTGCTTGCTCTTTTCTTTTTTAAACTAGTACGCCTTCAGGAATTCCGGATTGCATGCCATGAAACATAGTCTTCAATCAGATGTCTACAATTGCTTTCTCTTTAAGTTTGGGTGCAGACTTCACATCTGCTATGAGAGCAGGGGAAACAAATTGGAAAGAACTCTGTGTTTGTGGAGAAAGTGGATAGAGTTTCTTTCTCCCTCATAATGCTAGAATTCAGAGGGGTCATCAAGGAAGCTGCATGCTGGAAGATTCGGGATAGAGAAAAGGAAGTTCTTCCTAACACAGTGCACACTCCTGCAAGATGATGGCTTTGAAAGAGGATTAGACAGATTTATGGAGGAGGAGGAGACTGTAGATAGCTATGAGGCCCATAGCCAGTATTGGAGGCAGTTGCTGAGGATCGTAAGTGGGAAGATGGTGCACCTGTTGCACTGATATTCTGCTTGTGAGCTTCACAGTGGTTGATCACTGTGATAACAGGATAGTGGACTAGATCCAGCAGGTTCATTCCAAGAGGAGTCTCCTGCTCAAAAATAATCTTGGTTCTTCGCTTTCTGGAGGGAGCAGCCTCATGTTTGCAGGCCAGCCTCAAGACTGGCCTAACGATTCAAAAAGAGCAGAAGGATTGTCACCATGGCTGCCAGAGCTGTAGCAGAAAGTTGGTCTGGTTCTTTTGCTGAGTGAGCAGACTATAAGTGTGTACACCTTCCCTGTTTTGCCATGATGCAAGGAGAAAGAGGTGGGGAGAAGGGTGCCAGGAGTCTGAGTCAGGAGGTGTGAACTTTTCCAATGGCGGCTCTACCTGAAAGCAGCACTGGGATGGGCTGGAAATTCCCTGTGCTTCACTCACCCGTAATGTGCCCTTCCTCCAAGTATATAAAGCTCTGCATTACTGTGTGAGGGACTGGCCTTGAGCTACCTAGTGGATTCCACAATCAAGGTCCTGAGTTGTTTTTAATGCAGCTGGTGTGTTGTTGACTCTTATTTCCCCAGCGACAATCTAGTAAAAGCAAGGCATGTTGTGTTTTTCTCTGCTTGCCCTGAGTGGGGATTTGTCCCTGTTCAAGGCCAACACTATCCATTTTCATCAGTGCTGATGCAAAGAGGAGAAACAGGTGAGGATTTTACAGAGAAGGTCCCTGGGAATTCTTTGGATGAGGAAGAGGCCTAGTGGAAACTGCAGGTGTTGCTGGCCAAATGACGCAGTGCTGAAACAACAACACACACTGTGTTGGCTACAAGGGGTATTTTGCCCTGAGATGTTTTGGGTTCCCAACATGCCAGTGCTATTAAGCAGATAAGGGTCTTTAAAAATAATAATGATTCATGTTATTATTTGAACTATCTTATCCTTGTTTGGTGTAGCCAAGGAGTGAGGCTCCTTGATTCTCTGGCAGAGCCACTGAGTTCTCCTTAGTCCTCGTCCTCCTCAAGCGACACAGATAGTGGCCTGGAATGTGGCTCTTTGGGTGCCCTTCCCAGGTCCTTCAGTTGAGGGCTGAAAAGTACCTCTGATCTGTACTGCTCATCCCCAGGCGAGGAGGAAGGCAGCAGCCGAGGCCACCTGTGAAGTGTCAGAGTGCACAGCCTGCCACAGCAACACCTTTATTTCCTGTTCTTGGCCAAGGTGTCTCCAAAGTGACTTGGAGTTTTATGGTGGTTTCTTCTAGTAGTTGATGTCATCATCACCCAGGTTCCAGGCAGGGAGGAGGCAGCCAAAAGGGTTCTCCAACCCTGATACAGGGCAGGATACTTAATTGCTAGAAAAATCTATGAAGCCAGGATATTTACAAATATTTCCTTAAGAGTGTGAAGTTATACCATGGAACTATTAAATCTCAGTAACTAGATCCCCATTGCCGAAAATTTGATAGAGGGACCTTACAATTGTCTGAAAATGTGCTACACATTTCTGCCTCAAAGAGGAGAGTGAAGTGTACCCCCTCCCAATTAAAGTGCATAATCCTTCAATATTGTATATACGCAAACTAAGAGACTGATGACTGGACACACCGGAAAGTGGGGTATTAGTACATCTTTCTTTGGAAAAGGTTGACAGGCTGCACTGTATTAGAAACTTTAAATCTAGCACACTCGCCACTGAAGACATCCTCATTGCTTGAAAAACAATAAAATAAGCACTAGAGGGAGGGCATCAAAACTGGAGCAAAGAACCCAGGCAGGCATGGTTCTGCAGCCTCAGGTTGCGATCTGCAACTGTTGTTCACTTGAATTAACCTTTCGGAGGGGAGGGGGATTTCCAGTAGCTGCACCCCTACTTGCAGATTTCAAATGTCATACTAATAAATGCTATAGAGTCATAGAATTGTAGAGTTGGAAATGGATCTCCAAGGGTCATTTAGTCCAACTCCCTGCAATGCAGGAATCACAGCTGAAGAATCCCTGACAGATGGCCATCCAACCTCTGCTTGAAAACCTCCAAGGAAGAAGAGCCCACACTTTCCGAGGGAGTCCATTCTACTCTCAAACACTTCTTACCACTAATGCTTAGTGAGAACATAATCAGCAAAATGAGCTGTTGATTGCATAAATGGCCCATTTTTTAATCCACAACTGTTCTTTTCAAACTGGGAGCTGGACCACTCACATACACTGGCCTAGTTGTACAGCCTAGCTAGTTTTGTAGGGAATGGGTGAGTCTGGCCTGTTGGCAGTTCCCTTAATTAACTTCCTATGTTTTGAGTAGCAGCTGACTGCCTAGTTCACCATCATGTGCCAAGGTGTCTTGCGTCAGAGAACAAAATCAGTTTGTTTGCCTGTTTTAAGGTTTTGCCTTCAAGAATGCCGGAGTCTTTCCACTGTGTGAGTCTTGCTGGAGAACCTTACCATGCAGAATCTCACCACTTTTTGTTTGTTTCCTTCCAGATCTTGCAGGAGCGAGGTTCAAGGATGTAACTGTGCCCCAGTATTGAATGCTGACAAGTTTTCCTTTGCATTGCCACACGAAGAGGCTTGGCACCAAGAGGATGTCGCTTGTTCAGACCATTTCTGTAGTTCTGGATTTTGAACCCTGAAGGTGGTGCTGCAGCTGAAGCTGGCTGCTTGCAGACGCCTGCCTTCAGCAGCAAGAAGGGTTGTGTTGGCTCTGGTGCCCGGTTGTGCTGATCTAAATCCCATGGAAAGAAGATTTGACTTCACTCTATGCTTTCCTTCCGAAGAGATATAGCGATGCTTTGCTGATTGTAGGGAAACAATTTGGGTTTTAATAATTGTAGGCAGTTCAAGGTCAACATACTTGGTGCTATGAATAAATTACAGCCCACATGTGGGCAGACATCCTTAAGCAGCTCCAGTTGACTGTGGCGGCTGCTGTACATTCCTTGGGGATCTATTGTAAGAATGCACTAGCCCAGACTAAGGGAGGGGTGCATCTTCTTCCCCCTCCCGACCCTGCTTGCTTCAGTACCCAGAGGGTATTCTCTTCTTGGGAAGAAGGTCTTATTTTGCCCACATCTCTAGGGACAGCCTTCCTCTCCAGGTAACTTGCTCCTGCAAAGGTTAACCTCCAATTTTAGCTACACTTTAGGATTGAAGCCCCAGTTAAACAAAAATAATATGGCAAATACCTTGCCTTGCACACATGTGTGCACACACGAAAACACACACCAAAGTTGCGTTCTTTGTTTTTAGAAATGCCTGCAAGTATTGCTACCCCTGTGGACTCACAGCACTGAAGATAGACATGGGGGTTGAGTCTTCATGGGTGCTCCATCATGAAGGCTGGGAATGAGAATCTCTGTGCTCAAAAGCATCAGAGTTTGTGCAGCTGAAGGCAGGAATTATTGTGATTCTTTAACATGTTTACAGTCATTTCTACATTCTCTTATCTATGCAGTTCCTTCTGATGTTTGGCAAGTACTGTCAATAACACTTGTGGTTTCATTGAGAGAGGCTTGTGGTAAATGTGAAGAAACACAACTGGAGCTTTTTAGTGTACTGTGTTTAAATGAAACCATTAGCATGTCTTTTGAAAATAGGTTTAAAGGAGTATATACAGATCTCTCTGCTTCATAGAGCACAGAGAGGAGCCCTTGCTTGTCTGAGGCTCTCTTAACATGCTACCTATATTTTAACTTTCATTAAGCAACTCACAGAAGCTGTGTGTATACACACCCCTTCCTTTTCCATTCAGATGTGTGGAGTCCTCACAATCTTGAGCATCCCTTGTCTGCCTGCATTTTTGATCTGGTTTTTGGCAAACCTTTTCTGCCCAGTAGATCAGCAAGTGGGCCATTTGTCTTTTGCCATGGAGACTGGTCTGCACAGAAAGTTGCAAGGCCCTCCTCAACATTGAGTAATCCGTTTGTCTTTTTTAAGATGTTAGCATTGAAATGAATTTACTAAAATGTAATTCTTCTGAAGGGTGAAATGTTTCTACTTTTATACTTTTTTAGGCATCTGTGTTTGATTACTGTAAAGCGAACGCTAATGTGCTAAGAGATCACATTTCGTGTACGTAGAAAGAAATGTTACTGCGAGTGTGTCTGCGTGTGCATGTGTGTGTGCACGCACACATATATGCAGATGCAAAGATGGCTCTTGAATCGGCTGAACAGGCCTTGTTCTCCTTCAGGCCCCACCGTTACTGTGACACATTCTGCCAGGGCAGCCTGAGTGACTGACTTGAAAGGCCTCCATCTCCAAACAGCCTTTCCTTAAAGGTGGTCACATGCCTGTCCAGAAACTGCCTTTGAATGTTTTTGCTGTAAGTAGCAAAGGATTTGACTGACACAAATTTCAGGCTTGAGAGGGGGCAGCAGCAAAACATAGTGAGTGGAAGGAGGTGGAGCACAGAAGCAGCCACTCTGTCCATCAAGTGGCCAGTGAACGTGTTTGCTGCTTTGGGGTGGGATTTCCCACCTTGCTGCTACTGTCTCCTTATGTCCTTGGAGGAGGGGATTTTTGATGTTCCTCTTGTTCCCCCTCTGACTTTAAAGCCAGAAAGCGTCAGGAGACACTTTGGAAGGGGCTGAAGCCAGCATCTGTCAGTGTGATGATTTTGGCTGCAGGCAAGGTTTTCTCTCTGCATTGGTTTGGCTTCTTACTGAACGCAGAAAAAGTTTTAGCATGTTGAACAGTATGAAATTTAAGTTGCATCCTAGGATTTAATCTTGCAAGTGTGGAATCTCTTTGTATTCTTCATGATTGTGGAATGTGGTCTGTGGTATAAAGCTTAGCATGTTGAGAACCTCAGCTTCCATTGTTGGCTTAAGAAAAAATACAGGTTTCTTGCCCTCGTGATGGGTAATGTAGGCAGTGAGAGGAGAGCTCAGAAAACAAGTGGGTGCCAGACTAGGCTTTCCTATCCTTTGTGGCTCTGCTTCTGTCTCCCAGAACTGCCACCTCAGGCCTTTTATTCTCTCCTTTTCCCTTTGTTACTTGTCTGTAGGCTCCTGAAACTTGGAAGCCAGGTATCTTTTAAAAATTAGGGGAAGTATTTAAATTGGCACTGCAGAAGATCACTTTCTTTGGTACAAATTTTAGATTGTACCAAAAACCCTATACCATGAAGTGTAGAGGACAGCAGGTAAAGGGCTACCCAGGTGCCTTCTGCTTCTTTGCTCACGTTCTTTAAGGGGAGAGAACAGGTGCTCCTTTCAGCCACTTGCCACTTTCCTCACTTCAGTGTGTTAGTGTCTCTATGCATTATGCAAATTACATCCCCCCCTTGGAGAACTGGATAGATTTCAGCAGCTTAAAAAGGCAAACTTTCCCATTCCCACTGAAAAACTAAAGTGGACACAGACAACTTTTGTTGCACTGCTCAGCTGTAGTTTAGCCTCAGCTTTGCCTTCATTTTACTCAGTTTTTTAAAAGAAATGTCAATTATTTATTTAAAAGGGGGTGGGGAGAGCAAATGTGAAGTTTCTCATGTAAACAAGGGGCTTGAAGGCCCCCCCCCGAAGAGATCATTGATTCTCAAGGCGCAAGAGGCCCTGCAATGATGCCTGACAACAAAAGAAATAGATGCTTCAGTTGCATCTGTGCTCATTTAGCCATGCAACTGTCTTGTCTGTCCCATCCCTTGCTGCCATAAGCTGTCATTCAGTCTGGAAAAAACATACCCCATCTCAGACACTTCCCCCTGCAAGAAAGTTAAGCTTAGAGGCACACATACAACCATGGCCTGACACCTGGATGCTGTCATTCCCTGACTCTCACATATTTTAGTAAAAGGTGGGTAGAATGAGTAGAGAAAATTGTTTTTGTCGCAAGAGGAGAGATCGACCCGAGGCCTGCTGTGTCCTTGTAGAGGGTGGGAGAGAGAACACTCCTTTCTCACTGTCAGAGCTGCCACTTAACAAAGTTGAGTGTTGCCAAACATGCGCATGCTCTCCTACCCCAGGAGTGGCAGCTGTTGCCTCTGTTTCATTGCAAGGTTCTTTCTGCTAGTATGCTGGTCTCTGGAGCAAATGATCTGGCGCACTGATATAGGACTAGGGCCAAACTATGCTCACACATAGGACATCCACACCATCAGGCATTCTGTGCAATTGCTACTTGTATGTAGGGGTTCCCTTGCAGACAGCCAAAATCAGTCACCGTCAGAGGGTAGGACTGGTATGGCATCAGAAAGAGATGCATGGACTCCCTCTGGCTTAAAACCAATAGTTCCCTGCATGTGAGTTAACAGCTGAATTCAAGGAGAAATTTAGTTCCTTTGAAAGGCTGTAGTCCAAGTTCAGTCTTTGTCTACTTCTTGGACCTTCCTTCAAATTCCATTTTTAGTGCTGTTGCTGAACTGAGATATTTTTCACAGCCTGGGCTACTTTACCTGCTTGCAAACAGAAAATGGATTTGAAACAAGCCTTGAAGTGGTTCTTTGCTTATTCAGTGCTCCTTCACTATCTTGGCCATCTCTGAATCCTGCTTTAGAGCTGCCGTCTAAGATGTTGGTAATGCACTTACTTAGGGAAACATGGGTGCCTCAAGCTTTGTGACAACTTGCTCCAAAAACGAGGGCTGAAACGGCTACCGGGCTGTAATTGTCATGCAGTAGGAATGTCAAGGGCTGGCCTTTCCACAGAACTTGAATGCAAGTTAATGAAAGTTTGCTTGCATCTCAGTGGGGCCCTAATCAAGAAGATGCATTTGCTTGTGAACATTCAATCATTTACAAAACTGAATTGTCATGTGTGGAAAAGTGTGTTTTCTGTCCTTCCATAGGGTAGAAAACAGGTCATTGCTTGGGGCCAAGTTTATCAAAGGCAGCGTTCTCACTGTGCTTACAAAGGACTAGATTTTCTGTGCACTTGGACAGGAAGCAAATCCGAATACTTGATGCATGCTTTACTTTTTAAAACATAACTACAAACCTAGAATTATTGCTACTACTAGTCAGGGGGGCTGTGTAGTGCATCCATGAGCAGAGGCACTCCTGTGCTTTTGAATACAGCAGTATGAGTGGGCTTCCCAGGAAGGGTACTTGGTTGGCTTTTGGTCTGATCCAGGACAGTTCTTCCTACGTTAAAACTTCCCAGGTAGACCAACCAACCGGAGAGGTGAGATCATCACGCTGCCTTCCTCTGTGCTCTGGAAAGGTTGACCGTTTAAAACATTGATGAGGAGAGGCTGGTTTGAAATTAGGCTCTTCCTGTGCCTCCCCCCCCCCAACCCACCGGTTTGCTTTCTGTCAGGGTGGGGGAAGCAATTACATTAAAAAAAAAATAAATTAAAAATGTGGTACAATCTTATCTTCCAGACAGTGGATTAGCAATAGTTCTTTTTTGCACCAGTTCTTTATCTTTGAAGAGTACTTTTTGCAGCAATTTGACACCTGGCATTGCACCCTTCCCCACCTCTGTACTTTTGGCCTGGCTGTGAGCAGAACAAAATGAAAGATTTCTTAGAGGAGTCCCTTTCGAGGCATCTCTAGTTCGTTTTCAGATGGATGTGTCACTTCTGGAACAAATATATTACTGATATGTGTGGATGTTTTAAAGAAAAGTTTCGTTACACTCGCTCCTTGAAAAGTGCATGAAATAAACGTCTCCTTTCTAACAAAGCTGCCGTTGTGGGTCTTGGTTTCTCGGGCCGGCGTGGGCTGCGCTTGCAGGGCGGTGTCGGAGCGGTGTCCCAGCCTCTTCAGGGCGCAGCTGGAGTTCGGCTTCCAGCCTCGCTGCTCCAGCCAACCCACCCGCCCTTCTTCGGCTCTGGTCGCGCAGGGAGGGTCGCATCTTGGCCTCGCAGCATTACTACTACTACTACATTTATTACATATTTTATTATTATCCTCCCCCATCTGGCAGGATTGCCCCGGTGCTCTCCACGTGTGGCCCGCTGTGGGGGCGGAGCTTCCCAGCCAAGCTCCAATGGGGAGGAAGGGGAGGGGCAGTCGAGCCCCATCCGGGTTCTTAGAGCGACTCCCGTCATCATGGCAACCAGCCCCACCCCCAGAGGTGGGCTCACCGGTTGCCCAGCTCCGTGGATTGGCGGAGAATTTGCTCCGCCCCTGGGCGGAACCTACTTCTCTACCCGCGCAGAGTCGGCCCGCTCTGAGCTTCCCGGCCTGGCTGTGGCGCTGAAGTGCGCGCGCACCGCGCAAGCGCCGTTTGGCGGACGGGTCGCGCCGAGGGACAGGCTGCGCCGACGCGCTCCGCTTCCTGCGAGGGAAAGTCCAGGCTTGAGACAAAAGGGGGGGAGGCGAGTAGGGAACATCCGGGTCATTCGCCGCCGCCGCCGTCGCCTGAATCCGGGACACGCGCGGGAGCTGCTGCTGCGGCCGCTACACGGTGAGGCCTTTGGCGGGAGGACGCCTAGGAAGAGGCCGCGGGCAGGAGCGGGAAGCGGAGGAGGCGGCAGCGGCGGACTGGGCCTAGAGGCAGCCCGGAGGCGGAGAGGGAAACGCGCGGCGGAGGCCTCTCAGCCCGCGGAGCGGCCGCCTTCTCGGCCTCCTCCCGGGGCTCCCGCTGGTCCCTCAAGGTCAGGCCTGGCTGCTCGCGCTCCGCCTCCGGGGCGAGGAGAAGGCCGGGCCGGGCCCATAGCCGTGTTCCGCCGAGGCGGGGCTGGTTGCTCCGGGGCCGGGCCGGGCCTTCCTGCGGCGGCGGCGATGCTCTTAAGGCTCGCACGGGACTCCTAGGCCGCGGTACTCCTCCGACCTCCTCCCCCCGCCCGCCCGCCCGGTTGTTGGACTTGGGGAGGGAGGAGGCGGCGGCCTGCGGGAAGCAGCAGCAGCGCCCGGGGAGGGGCGAGAGGCTCAGGGTCCTGGGATCCTCCTTTCTCTTCCCCCTCCCCCTCCCGCCTCGTCGGGAAAGCTGACAGTTTCCGGGGCTGCGGCGGCAATGTCGCCCCAAGACGGTTTTTTGCGGCCCATTCGGTGGCGGCGATGCGGAAAACTTCAGCTGCCCTGACTGGCATCTGTTTTGTCTTGCAGAAGGACCTTGAATATGTCGGGGATTGCGCTCAGCCGACTTGCGCAGGAGAGGAAAGCCTGGAGGAAGGACCACCCGTTTGTAAGTGGTAGCATCTCCCACTGTGAAGATGAAGAGGAGGAGGGTTTTGTTTCCGGCATAACTCCAGCCCCTTTTTGGTGTTCTAACATTCCAAAAGAACCATTAGCTCAGCAGAGAGGCTTTTTCAAAAAATGAAATAGTTGATACTAAGTGAATAAGCACAGTACTTGATATTGCATTAGTAAAAAGTATGTAGAATCTGTATTTAAATGCTAAATAGAAATAGCCACCAAGGAATAATATATACATTTTTTGAAGAGACACATTTAAAGTTATTTTGTTTAAAAAAAAAAGTTGCACATTGTAAACAAATGATTTTCAAAGACACCCTGAGTGCCTTTAATCAGGGCAAGTGCCTGTATTCTTTCCAAAATTCTAAGCAGCTATTGGACACTATCAGTGGCTCACTAGAAACTGGCTAGTGGTGAGCCACAACCAATATTTTACACATTTCTGTTCTACAACAAATAATAAACAAAGATGATCACTTAGCTATTGCATAAAAATGCACTTGATTTCTCTCTGAAATTCTAGTCTCTGAATGTCTTCAACATGCTGATAAAGTATGTACACGGTCACAGTGAGTCTGAAGTCCTAAACAGTGTAGTAGCCATTGTTGGCCATACTCAAAGTTGACCTGCTAAGCGTACTGGGCCTAAGGTAGCCATGTCCATTAATTTAAATAGGCCTACTGTGAGTAGGACATTGGAGGAGCACAAGGTTCTGTGACTAGCCCTTTCACTAGCATACACTGTATGTTGCCGTGATATCGCACATCATCTTCAGCTAACCTTTTAATTGTTTTAGGGTTTTGTAGCAGTACCAACAAAAAATCCAGATGGTACGATGAATCTCATGAATTGGGAATGTGCTATTCCAGGAAAGAAAGGGGTAAGGTTTTGGATGCCTACCAACATTACTGTTCCGTTCTTGGAAGATAGTATTTTATGTTTGGTGTATACTAGTTTAAGGGTACTTCGGTTATATCAAAATGACTAAATTTCCATTCACGCCGAAATTACTGTTAACTGCAAAAAGGAATCATCAGTCTGTGTCCTAGTTATTTCTCAGCTGGATGTTTGATTGGTCGTTCTGAAACAGTTTGCTGCTTGTTTCCTAATAAACTCTCAATGCAATGGAATTGAGTGGCCCGGGTGTCTCCATTGGAGAGCATGAAGATGCTTTTCAGAATTCTTCTCATTCTGCTCTTAACGGGAAAGTTTGTATTGGCAAGACTGGAGTTGTATCTACTCAGTAATGGTAGAATAGGCTAAAAAGGCTTGTATGGAAAGAAAAGTTAGCATGTTCTTAAAATGGGGGAGATTTAAAGCGGCTGTAGGAGAAGCAATATTTTAACCTGGTGTAAATCTTTCACAGTGGATTTGCAATACTTTGCTGCGTTAGTTGTCTATCTTGAAGTATATATGTGTGTGTTTGTAGCTGCCTGATATTCTCATTGTACATTATACTGGAGAGTATGCTAGCCTAGGCAGCTTGGTCCTAGATCACTCAATATTTCTAACCTATGCTATGCTCTCCTGACAGACACCATGGGAAGGAGGCTTATTTAAATTACGGATGCTTTTCAAGGATGATTATCCCTCCTCACCCCCAAAATGTAAGTCAAGTGAGATTAACTCATATAAACTGCCCAGAAGTATTTTTTGATTAAGCAGTATTTGAATCTTGCAAAGTAAACAAAATAATGAAAGACTTTCAGATTAAGGTTGTTAAATGATGTAGTGACCCTAGCAACACAATAGTTTGCCACCTGTGTTGTGAAATCTATTCCTTTCACAGGATGCTTTCAACAGTGGTCAGATCTAAAAGTACTTGAAGAAATGTATTATTTCTCTACCAGATTTCTCCCTCGTTTTTGCCTGTACAAATATTAGGAGTCCCTGGAGTAGGAGAACAAATTGTCCTGAACCACTGGAGCTCTGTCTTCATTATTTCCTTTGCCCCGTTTTGTCCTGAAATTGTTTCTAATTTCTTATGGATAGAAGCTCTGGAAAGTGGCCCTCAAGTGACAAAACAAAAGCTGTGGTGTTGTTTCACAGCTTCTGGTGTCCCCATGGATCCTTAGGTGTTGGGCTGCTCCAAGTTTGCTGCTCTTAATAGTTTTTTCAATATTGTTAATAACTGCCTTGAATGACCTTTTGTGCAACAGGCAGAAAAATATTTTAATAATTGTTTTAATATTTTCCCTTTTGGTTTAAAACGAGGATAAACAGATGAATTTTTTAAGTTTAATTCTACTGATGTTTGTTTTTTTAATGATTGCTCCCCCCCTTCAATGTTTTTCACTGTTTCTATTTTAGTTGTAAGCTGCCTTGAATCCCTGTTGATGGAAAAAGGCGGTATATAAACAAACATAATAGAAGTGGCTTCATTGCCTGTTGCCCTTATTTGAATTCACTGTTTTCTCCCCCCCCCCCCGAATGTTTCACTTGATCTTGTTATGAATGCATCCAGAGGAAATATTTCCCCCTCACTTGCTCTCCACTTTAAGCAGGTGTGTGCGCATGCGCGCGCACCTTTCTCCTAAGCTGCAATTCTTTAAATTGTAGGTGGTGGTGACAGTAACAGCTGCTCTCAAACAGCATCCCCTGAATGAGAGTGATGAGCAGTGTGCTGATTGGTGGATCAAAGTGTGATTGTTGCAAATAAATTTACTTGAGGCTCCTTTGAATCAGCAAGGGATTGATTCAGCTTTCTGCCTAAGAGCAGCAGAAGCCCAGCAGATGTATCCCAGTAGGATTTTCTCACCCAGGTTTTTAAGCGCAAATCACCCTCTTCCCTTGCAACCTGGGAAAGTGCAAGTTGCGTGATGCCAAAAAGTTTTTTTCTCCTACAGTGAAGTAGTCACATGATGACAGATGAAGCCTTTCCACATAATTGCTTGGCTTTATGTCTGAACTAGGTCTTCTCTTGTGCAGGCAAATTTGAGCCACCCTTATTTCATCCAAATGTGTACCCTTCAGGCACTGTGTGTCTGTCCATCCTAGAAGAGGATAAGGATTGGAGGCCTGCAATCACAATTAAACAGGTATGCATTTTTCTCTACACAAAAAAAGGGCTACAGGAGGCTGGGATAGACACTTCCCTGGGTGGGTTTAAATTGAGCCAAGTGCCCCTTTTCTTGGCAAAAATCACAGAAATGCAGTAAGCTAGTATTGCCTGCTCTGAATGGCAGTCTCTCTCCAGGCAGATAATTCTTCCATCTCACCTACTGTGCATTTCTTGTACCTGGAGATTAAGCCTGAGACCTATCCAAAGCATATATCTTACCAGTGAACAGTGCTCCCTGGCAGCTGTTGATTCACATAGTTCCTGAGCAAACATGCATACTGAGTGGCGGAAGTAGTTAACTCATCTGGTTGCAGTTAACCTGGGAGTCTTGCTGCCTTGAAACATAGCCCAAAACTTCTGGTTATGTGGCCATCATACTTTTTGCTCTAGAGAACATATAACTACTATGGGAAGCAAAACAATTGTGGAATCTAGAGTTTCCATAAGAACACTAGCAAAGAGAGAGGCTGCAGTCGCTTTGCACCCTGAACTCAAGTCCCTTTCATAAACATACTTAGGGTTGGACTTTACCTGCCTGGAGCTTTCCAGAAAGCAAGAGTGCTCTCTGGCAGGACAATGAGTTGTGTGCAATGTTAGTCAAACTCAGCGTGCAAGGTTAGTCACACTTGGGGTGGACTTCAGTTGGCTACAGTCCATGTTTCTCCATGACATGAGAAGCCAACGTGTACACTCCAAATCACTGGAAGAGCAGGATATAATTCAGTGTACTTGGAAAGGTCTTGGGTTCATGTTTAAGAGACTGTTTTGAGTGGAAAGTCTGTCTTTATTTTTAGAGAGCGCTGAATAATTAAGCTAAATAAACAATCTGATGTAAAATAAAAACAGTTTAGTATATATTTATTCAAAATCATTGTGGCCACACAGGGAGCTTCTCATGTTTCAACTGCATTTTCTCATGCAGACTTAAAATCTGTTTTATAACAATACTTGCGTGAAGGGTGTTTCTTTTCTTCTGTGCTCATAGATCTTGTTAGGAATCCAAGAACTCCTAAATGAACCAAATATTCAGGACCCAGCTCAAGCAGAGGCTTACACAATTTACTGGTGAGTAGACTTCACCTGCTCTGATGTGATACCCCTTGACAATTGCAGTCACAGTAGACAGAACCAAATATCCACCATGTCTCTTTCCCTGTCAATCATAGTAGGTAAGCATTTGTGTAACGCTTTGGGGCTAAACTAGACAAAAAAATGCAGGAGGCAGCTGCTTCAGAAGTTGGAGTGAATCGCTGCCCTTCCTCCAAAATTGTTTGTGTTAGGAAGGAGCTGTTGGCACCAGTGAGGCTTCTGTGCAAGGAGCAGGGGCTGAAATAGTTCAGTTGGTAGAGCATGAGACACTCAATCGCAGGGTTGTGGGTTTGAGCCCCATGTTGGGCAAAAGATTTCTGCATTGCAGGGGATTGGATTAGATGACCCTCATGGTCACTTCCAACCTTGCAATTCTTTGATTCTGTGAAGTGCTTCACCTATGTTAACCATGTTGCTTGTAAAAATGATACCTTCCTAATTCATATCCATACCCCTTTCCATCTCCAGTCAGCAACTCCTGGGAGATCTGTTAGATCCCAGTGTTCTGAATATTCTGCATGTGGGGTCTTAAGTGTTTGATTATCTCAAGCTATGGGCTTGATATAGAATGCCTCATGCAGAGAGATCTTTTAAAAGTCAAGTCACCTTTCTCTTTTTAGCCAAAACAGAGTGGAATATGAAAAGAGGGTTCGAGCACAAGCCAAGAAGTTTGCACCATCATAAGCTCCTGTCATCCAGCATCTTAAAGGAAGGGATTAATTGGCAAGAACTTGTTTACAAAACTTTTGCAAATCTATTGTCACTATGTACAATTAATAGTCACTTAGGGGAGGGGATTGTATGTGTGCCATTTTCCATATTCGCCACTTGTATACAGTTCTAAATTTGCTGAATTGCCCCCCGTTTTTTCATACAGGGTCTCTTCCTTCAGTCTTTTGTATTTTTGATTGTTATGTAAAACTTGCTTTTATTTTAATATTGATGTCAGTATTTCAACTGCTGTAAAACTATAAACTTTTATACTTCTATAAATTCACTAGTATCTCTAGTTTCTTTGCTTTCTGATGCAGGCATGCTTTAAACTGTTTAGAAGTATATTTTGCCTCTACTTGGCTGTAAGAAGAAAAAGAAAAACATGCCCTCCACCCCCTTTTTTGATTTCTACCAATAATAAATTAGGTTGTTGTTGCTTAAAAGCCTCCAGATCCAAAGTCAGCCAGCATCTTGATTCTGCATCACTTCCTTTGTGTTTATGGCGTTTTGTCTGTGTTGCTGTTTAGAGTAAATAAACTTGTTTCTATAAAGCTTTTTTGTCTCACTTTCTTCTTTTAATATACTTGTCACTTTTGGAGTGACCTCTCTTGCAGGCATTCAATAGCTTTGGGAGAGATATCATGCCATGGTCATTCCAGGCAGCAGGAGTTAAAAAAGATCTGTGTGAGAACTTGAAAAGCCACCGGTAGTTAGTTCCATGTGACCATACTGCTGTATTCAAGCATCCAACATACAATAGTGCATCATTTGGCTGCTTGGCTTAATAGGATGAAAGGACAAACTAACCAAACTACATTAGTGTTTATTCCACTCCCATGAATATGAATATACATGTTGGGGGCAAGGATATGCTTTTCAACATTGCCATATAAGGATTTCCTTCCTTCACATCAAAGCATCCTTTTAGCTGGACAATAAGAGACTGAAGGGTTGAAAATGCATGTGTCAGACCCAGTAGCTTCATTATCCTGGTGATATTCTCATTGGCTACTGTCCCACACCCCACTGGTGACCTAAGGAAACTTAGAGTGCAGTTTCATCTTTCCTCTTGCCTGAAAAGTGAGGAAATTTTTTTTTGTATCAAGGCACAAGTGACACAGGTTAAATACTGCAATGGGCTTGGGGTGCTTTTGTAACACTACAATTTCAGCCACCTTTGTTTTGCTACCATCTGATCCCCAAGAGGCAGCTCACTGGAGGAGGATGGAGGGGGTGTGTGCTCCAGCAAGGTAGTCCCTTGTGTTCTTCACCTTCAGCAGTATAAGAAGGGTCAGGGTGCCTGCCCATCTCAGCTGGAGCTTCTCATTCAGCATCTGCATTCCCAGCCACCAGGCCACAGCCTCTCTTGGGTATCAGGAGAGGTACTGAATTGAGAGGTGGAGGCGTTACTTTAGGGAACCTCTCCCAGTTTATTTCCTTCCAACATCACAACATAGTCTACTAGTAGAAACTAGCTGAAATGGTGATTTAAAAGCATGCCACAGTTGCAGCATATGGCCACTACAGCAGAAGAGAGACTGTGAGGCCCCATTTGCTAGCAGTAAGTGGGGACTGCTATCGACAGAAGAAGGTTCTCAACCAACTCTGTATATCTTCTTAACCCACTGGGCTCACCAGAGCAGAGCGCAGTCAAGCCCAATCCTAGACAGGCTTTATTTAAAAGCAAACCCCATCACTGAGTTCAATGGGACTTACTTCCTTGTATCAATGCTCAGGATTGGAACCTTGGTTTGTTTTTAGTTTTCTTCCACACAGCTGGCTTGCTGTGTGCAGCACATGTTGCATTCAGGTCCTCTGAGCTGCTACTCTTTCCAGCATCATCCTCATCTTCATCCTCATCAGATGTTTCTTCATCGGAACTTTCATCACCAGCAGTTATTCTATGAACAGAGATCAGCGTAATACAAACCAAGAAGGAAAAGGGAAATGAGACACTACTGCTATGTCAACTCAGAAGTAAAAGGTAAAGGTACTCCTGCCCGTACGGGCCAGTCGTGTCCGACTCTAGGGTTGTGCGCTCATCTCACTTAAGAGGCCGGGAGCCAGCGCTGTCCGCAGACACTTCCGGGTCGCGTGGCCAGCGTGATGAAGCTGCTCTGGCGAGCCAGCACCAGCGCAGCACACGGAAACGCCATTTACCTTCCCGCTATAAAGCGGTACCTATTTATCTACTTGCACTTAGGGGTGCTTTCGAACTGCTAGGTGGGCAGGAGCTGGGACCGAAAGACGGGAGCTCACCCTGCCGCAGGGATTCGAACCGCCAACCATACGATTGGCAAGTCCTAGGCACTGAGGTTTTACCCACAGCGCCACCCGCGTCCCGCCAACTCAGAAGTAAGCCCCACTAAATTCAGTGGACTTGTTCCCTGGTGGGTTTAGGACTGCAAACCTGAAGCTCTTACCCTGAAGCTCTGGCAGGCCTGTTGGGATTAAAAAACTCTTTTCCAGAGTCAATATCAAAGGGGTCTGCGGAGAGAAAAAAGCAGGATGGTAAGCTATTGTTCCAAGTTTTTTCTTCTTCTCTAGAACCATATGTATGCAGTTACATCCCATCTTTCAGAATGCAAATCATTCCAAGATGACTTAAAAGTAAAATCAATATACAATAATTTACGAGTACAATGCCAATAATAATTGTCACAGGCAGTTGATGGCAGATAACTTGGGAGTGTGGGGTTGGTTTGTTAGTCCAGCTGGTGTAGTCATTGAGGGCAGGGGAGATGGGCAGAGACTTTAGTCTATATTGACAATAATTACTGCATCAAGGAAGACCAGTATCACTGGCTGACAATGAGCTACTAGGCCTAACTCAAGGTGTTAGTGTTGCCATAACAAAGCTCTAAATGTTGAGTTGAGGTGATTTAATACTTGTATTTCACTTTTCCAACAACAACTATTGAACCATTGTTGTCTGATTACGTTGAGGGAGTTTGTGGGATTTTGGAGCAGTATTTTGTATATTGTAGATACCAGCCCTTTGTTGTTAGGAGGAGATTTTGAAGGTTGTCAAGGGCCTAGTTGCTGCTCATTTTACTACCAGATTGTTTAAAAGGGCATGTACTTGGTGGTGTGTTAGCCCAGGGCATTTCGGTGTCCCCTAGTTTGTCTTGTATTTCTTGCGTTGATATGGGTTATTTTTGTAGAAGTCTGCTAAGCGGTATAAGCCTTTGGCTTGCCAGGTTTTTATCTAGAGGTTTTGTGGTGCGTGGTGGAATAGTGGGGTGGTGTGCCAGGGGGATTAGTGGGGATGGGGTTGAGGACAGTTTACGTGCTTCTTCCTTCCATGCTTTAAGCATGGTCTGTGTGAACCTGTTTAGTGTTGTGGGGATTTTCCTTATTTTTTTGAGGAGGAATGGGTATGCTGTGGTGGAGGTATTTTCAAATATGTCTCTCTCCAGGTGTACTCATTGTTTTGTCTTGTCTTCTAGAATGTATGGGAGTATGTGGGACACTTGGTTGATGATGTAGTATAGTTCTATGCTGGGGATTCCCCACGCTCCTAGGGGGCACCCAAGTTATGTGGCTGACTGATCCCATATGTTCATCCCAGAAGAATGGAGCAGCTTTCTGACTAAGCACCACTTGATTTCCTGACCATGGAGGTGCGGGGGAGACAAGGGCAGTGTCAAGGCATTGTTTAAGAAGACTCAAAGGTTCTCAGAAGTAAAAGTCAGTAGGTTCTTACCTATTTCTTCTTTTTCTTTTTCTTGGGCATGAGCCAGAAACTCTTGTTCAACTTTCAGTACTTCCTCTTCACAATTACAGGCAGCATATTTCTCCAGGAGGTCTTTATTCAAATCAAGGAACACTTTTCCCCATTTAAATTTTTGTAAGAGGATTGTGGCAAGATCAGAGAATCCTAAAATAAAGACAAGAAAGTCTGCATTTTAAAAAAAATTACAAGGTACTTTGCAGGCGAAGAAGCTGTCCAGCCCCATACCTCCTAGTTGCTCGTGACATTCTGAAATAAATAAGTTTTTATCTATCTATCTATCTATCTATCTATCTATCTATCTACTTCATTGGCATAAAAAGTGCATTGTATACATGGATCAAAATACAACACAGTTAATGAAACATATTAAGAGGTACTTTAGGATAAAACTGTCCAGACATTGTGAGGTACGTTACGACCTATGGTGACAATTTTATAGCATCACTCAGAAATCTTGCCACATTCTCCAATTAATCAGTTGGGACAGAGGCAGGTAGCTCAAAATAAAGACAGAAGTCCCTCTTAAAAAGTAATTGAGCAATGTGTACATTCGCATACACCTTGCTGTAAGCCTATAGCAGTGCTCAAAAGAAGGGAGGGAACGTGGAGAGAACAGACCCCAGATTCCTCAGCAGATGCCACAGACCCCCAGAACATTTTCAAACTTGCCCTAGTCATCAAGGAAATAAGTTTGACACTAAGGCATGGCTGCACACAGACAGGCATGTATTCATACAGTCCACTATACAGCAAAGAATTAGATCTACAAGCTTTTCTTCCAGCCTCACCCACAATGTAGAAAGTAGCTGCAAATGCTTCCACACAGGAGAGTTTGCATGGCCGGCCGTAGTTCACTGGATTTGCAGCCACCAGAAAGGGCAGCAGGCGGAGATGGCTTCCCTTCATCTTGGCAAACGGCGTCTCATCCAGCTTTGCCCAAGAGCAGTCAATCACTGCAATTCCATTCTGAGCCACAATCTGTCTAAAAACACAGCAACAGCAATTTCAAACCAGGATGTTGCTGGTTTCTCACCCCACTGGAGCTGCTTTGGGATCCAGTTAGGATAGCAGATGTGAGTTGCTCAAGACCGCCAAGCCAGACTTCTCATGCGAAGACACTGGATGTGGCCAAGCTGAACAGAACAAATCTGAATAATCGACCCTAAGCTGTGAAGTTTCATCAGCTCACTAGCTAGTGGAAGCATCCACTTGAACAAAGCCCAAAAAGAACACTGGCTGGGAACGCACCTCAACCCTGAAGTATCAGTCGTACAGGCTCCACATACTGGCCCTACACATGAGCACTAAGAAGAAAGCTCTGTAGCTGGACCAGCCTGTTCTTACAGATGCCTGAGGGAAGCCTGCAAGCAGGGCATGAACACAACAGCACTCATTCAGAGGCAGCAATGGAGACAGAACAAAACAATTATGGCTAGAAGCCACTGATAGGCTTGTCATGAATCTGTCTAATCCTCAGTGAAAATCATTCAAGTTGATGGCTATCACTGCCTCTCAGTGAGCAAATTCCAGAGTTTATTACCAGCTGTGTGAAGAGCTGCTTTCTTTTGTCTGCCAACATTCCCGTTGAGTGGCCCTGAGGTAAAGCATGATTAAAGGTCCTGCCTTTTCCCCTCCACCTGGCAGAAACCCTCCTCCTGTCTTTGCTGGCTTCCCCTTTCCTCTAGATGCCTGTAAATACAATCAGGCAAGTATCTAAAAAGGAAGTATGGGCTTGACCTTTATTGATATTAATACATGTTCCATATTTTCTTTTAACACTATCAATATGCGTAAGAGATTCAGGAACTAAGTATTTACCATCTCAAAGGAATGGCCAGGCTACCCAGAAAAGGCAATCATATAAAGCATTATCAGGTATCCTCGCTGACAGGAGAGAAGCAACACACACAAATTTCTGCTGGGGATCACCTCTTTCTGTGATATATGTATGATGTTTTGGGGGGTGGTCTTGAGCTACAGGGTAGGCTATTTCAAAAGTCTGTAAGGGCTTGCACACCAGTGTTTTGGGTTGCTCCTCCCTCCTGCACGTGGTGAGTGAGCACCCTGTTGCAACAGTTTAATAAAGATCAGGCTTACTAGCTGCTTTGCTTCTCAATATTCTCTGCTTGGCTTCTGTTATTTCCTCCTACCGATAGAGAACCTACATAAGGGCTCTATACGGGCTCTGGATACCCCATAAGGGAAAAGGGAGCAGTTTTTTCTTCTAACACCTTCCTAGCTCCGCCGGCCCCGCTCACCTGTCTGCGGGGGAGACGAAGCGGGTGGCGGCGGGGCTGAGGATGACGCCTCCGAAGCGCTGTCCGAGGCGCAGCGTCCGCACCAGCCCCTTCCTCGCCAGCCGCCGCCCCGTGCAGCGCCGCGGGTCGCAGTGGCCCAAGTCCCACATGGCCAGCGGGGGAGAAGGCGAGGCCCGGACCTCGCCGCATCCCCGGACGCTGCCGCTACCCGGCTCCGGCTCGGACGACCCCGCCGCCGCGCCCTTGACGGGGGAGGAGGAAGAGTGGCCGCGGAGCGGGTCCCCGCCCAAGATGGGGCCGGAGTCGCCGCCGGGGCCTTCCTCATTCTCCGCCTCCGCGAAGGCCTCGAGAGGGGGTCCCGGCCGGGGCTGCCGCTGTCGCCGTTGCTGCTGTTGCTGCCGCTTCCGCCCCATCTCCTCGTGCACCAAAGGGAGAAGAGGCGGGTAGAGCGGCTCCCTGACGCCCCGGAAGAGCAACCCCTGCAGGCGCTTCCGGGTCTCGCCGGAGACCGAAGATGGCGGCATCTGCCGGCGGTGCAAGGAGGAAGCTGGAGGAAGGGACGAGGGTCGGGATGGGCGCGACGGCGTTGCTGCTGCTGCTGCTCCCTCTGATGGGAGGTAGGGAGGCGCCCCCCCAGCCCCCCAACCCCTCTCACCGCCCCTACGCACGCTCCCCTCCATAGCTGTCAACTTTCAGATTTGAAAATAAGGGATCAGCAGCCTCACCTGTCCCGGGGACAGTCTACGGGATATCTAACGATCCGGGATAGCAGCGGGAAACGGCGCTGGAATAAGGGAATTTCCCGCAAAAAAGGGAAGGTTGACAGCTATGCTCCCCTCTCTCTTCCAGAACTGGTCGCTGGCGGGAAGATGAAAGTCGTGGAGGAGCCCAACAGCTTCGGGTGAGCGCTTGAGACCTTTCCAGCCCTGTCCCCCAAGTGGGCGCCCCCCATCATGAGCGCCCCTGAGGACTTCTCTTCCTCTCCTTGCTTCCTTCCCCACCAGGCTCAACAACCCCTTCCTGCCTCCGTCAAACCGCCTCCAGCCCAAAGCGTCCCCTTCGCCTGTGGCAGGTGAGTGGCTGGGCTGGGGCGGGGCAGGTGCCGAGGCAGGCAAGAGCCGCAGGGCTCCACGGCCAGAGCTCCAGAGGGAGAGAGGAGAGCCCTTTGAAGAGGATCCTCCGCCTTCCTCTCCCTGTTGCCTATGGGCTGCCTTTATGAGCGAGCCTCCTTGTTTCTTTCCTAGGACCGGCACATCTTTTTAGGCTGGCAGGCAAGTGCTTCAGTTATGTCGAATCCATGTGAGTATCTCGTTGGCGTGTCAAATAGTGAAACTCTGTACGTTGTAATAAAAGACAAGCATTCAAAATGCTTTCAATATTTAGGTACAAGTATGAGTTCTGCCCATTCCATAATGTCACCCAGCATGAGCAGACTTTCCGGTGGAATGCCTACAGTGGAATTCTCGGGTAAGCAGATTCTGACATTTGTTCCAATATTTGTTTGTTTAAAAGCTAGTATTCTAGGATCAAAAAACTGCCTGGTTTAACAGGAGAGTTAAAAGCAGCACCTTCAAATTCACTCACATTTGTGGCCCGTGCTAGTATACAGTTGAAAACTAGATTTCTACAGTTTTGCCCACCCCAAGGATTCAAACCTTCAGAACTGCAGTATAAGTTATTACAGGGCTTAAGTCCTAGCACACAGTGCCCTTACTGTGCCTGTATTAGTCTTTCATGAAATAAATTAAGTGACTGGGTATTACTTATCCTGCAGTCGCCTAGCTGCTTAACTGCCCTGTTAGATTGACACTTTTGTTTCTGGGTAACAGATGCTTCATAGCCTGAGACAAAACAGAACCCTGCAGGCTGCATGTCAGAGTAGACTGTCAGCACCACTTTATAGAAAAGGCCATTAACTACTGATACCATGATTGATGGCATCAAATTCCACTTTTCCCTTTGAGGTTTTCTTAAAAAACAGATTTTTTTAACCTGTTTACTTTCTTTCTAGAATCTGGCATGAATGGGAAATTGAAAACAATACATTTGTTGGTATGTGGATGAGAGATGGAGATTCGTGTGAAACCAGGAACCGACAAACAAAGGTAAGCAGTAAGATGTACTAAAGAACAAAAATACCTTTTGGCCATCTACAAGCTTTGAACGTGTTCCTTGCTTTCATCACAACACTTGTAAAAAGGGGAGGGGGGCAGACAGGCTTTGCACAGGAGAAGAATTTGGTTCTTCATTGGGCTATTTCACAGCCAAGGAATGGTATCTGAGACATTTTTCTTTACAAAGCACTCAGGTTATACTGTAAGTTTCTCCTAACAGTCTGATTGTATGCTTGCCTACAGCAAGATAAGCTACGTGATGTTCCTTGTGTTTGGGAAGAAACAGGACTACAGTGGTACCTCTGGATGCAAACGGGATGCGTTCCAGAGCCCCGTTCGCATCCTGAGTAGAATGCAGCCCGCGTGTGTGCGGGTCACGATTCACCACTTCTGCGCATGCTCGTGACATGTTGAGCGTCTGTGCATGCGCGAGCGGCGAAACCCAGAAGTAACGTGTTCCGTTATTTCCGGGTCGCCGCAGAGTGTAACCTGAAAATGCTCAACCTGAAGCGACTTCAACCCAAGGTATGACTACTTGGTGCTGTTAAATCTCATGACAGTGCTTGATGCTCACTGACTACTCCAGCAAATGATCCACGGTGAAATGGGATTTGACTTAATACGAAGCCAGCAATGGCTTTTTTCACTTGTTCTCACTTCTCTGCTTTTCAGGTTCTTCTTGTCTGTGGAAAGAACAACAAACTGGCTCACGTGTCTGAACCGAGCACTTGTGTTTATTCTCTTACATTTGAAACTCCACTAGTTTGCCACCCACATTCTCTCTTAGGTAGGTTAAATACCTCCATTTCTGGGTGAGTGCCAGGAGGCACTGCAGTGAAGTGCTAGCTTCTACTGCAAAAGGCCCTTTCACCAGAGTTCCCATCACCAAGGTTCCACTTTTGTGATGCAGAGAAAAGCAAAGAGTGATGGAGCCTCATGATGCCTCCTTTGATTTCTGAGATGTGCCTTCTCTGGCCAGATTTTCAGTATTGGTGCTGCAGTGCATGGCTGGCTGCAGAGATGATGAGGGTCATTTTCATTTTCATCATCTATATATTTGGGAAGTTGTTTGCCTGCTCATTATGTATTTGGGCACCTCTTAAGATACTGTAATGAAATTTTGTATGATGATTCCTTAAAGAAAGGGGAGGTTTCTGTCTATGTTTAGATAATGTTGTATGCAATTTTGAATCAAGATGGTGGACTGAAACCTTCCAAAGGGTGGTGCACTGATTTTTCTTTTCTCCTTACAGTCTATCCAGCTTTGCCTGAAACCCTCCGAAGGAAGTGGGATGAAGTGGAACAGTTGCTTTATGCCGAGCTAATCACAAAACAGGTTTGCTTCTTTTGTTACATCTCTTTCCTACCTTGCTTCTGTGGAACCCCAAGAGGCACACGCAGCTTTCACAGGGAGCCTCCCTTCCAGGCACACTCCAGGCCCAGCTCAGCTCAGCTTAGGCCTTCATTCAGTGCTGCTACGTTCAAAGTCTTGCCCTGGCTGTTCCCTAATTAGGGTGTGAAGGCTGCTCAGAGGAAAAGCTTTAAGGTACCGCTTCCGTATTTAACCTTGCAGTTTGTATATAGCACAGAGGGTGGGGTGGAATAAAGCAATGACATAGCTTCCCCTCAAAATTGACTGAGATTGATTTATAAATTCTCTGTTTAAAAACAACTTGGTTTTTAATAATAATTTAAATTAATATATAGCTGATCCTGTAGCCTGTATTTCTAATCTCTTAAAAGTGAATATTGGTAATCTATCAAGTGTATTGGAGGATGATTCTAATAATGGACTGGAAAAAGTCCTGGACTGGCAGATAGACATTTAATATACCTGGAACTATTGAAGCTTTTTGAGGGAAAATGCTTTTTCAGTGTGATTTGTTTTGTCTTATCTTGGGAAACAGATTTGATTTTTTTATAAACCTTTTCATATAGTATTTCAAGGCTTTTTCATAACAGAAATGAACAGTAACTACAGAAGCAGTTTAAAAATATTAGCATGCCAGTAAAAAGCTACAAAAGCGGGGGAGAGAGAATGTAAGAAAATCATAGTTTCAACCTCTGGAAGGCAGTATAAAAGCAAAAAAGAAAAGTAACCTAAAAGTCTGATGGGTAGCATGGTCCAGATGTTTTGCTATATTCAAGTTTTGCAAAGTTGCTACTTAATTGTAAACCAAAATTAATTGTAGTTATTAGAGTAACTACTTGAGTGTGCATGTGTTCAGGAAATACGTGGATTTCAAATGGGATACAGTACTTGATTTTCATAAATGTATTTTACCCAAGTCATTAAAATCCAGCTGGCCAGTGCTGAAATGCTGGCTCCCAGTTCTGAGTCCAGGCTCCTGGAAAACAGGTGAAAAGCAAATAGCAATTGGGAGGGTAAAAATAAGGCTTTATTTGATATTTTGTTTTCTAGGGATACAAGAAATGGTTGAAAGAGATATTTGAAGAAGCAGGCTTTTTTAAATTAACTGGAGAGAAAGTGAGTGAAGGAAAGAAAACAAAGCCTCAACACCTGGAATTTGATTCACTGGGAAAGTGCAATAAGGTACAAAAATTGGTGCCTGAGATGCTAGGCTGGTACATTGTGGCCGTTGTTTATCATTCTGCATTCTTCTTCTTGTGCTGTTTCAGTGACTTCGTCTATTAAAAAAATAGGCATAGAGGCTGAGTGGGAGGTATGTCAGATTTTGCTGGAATGAATAGCATCAGTGAACGTTGCCCAGTGCTTAAAAGTTCTATGGATGCAAGTAAAGAGTGGCAAGGGCCTGACTGGGTTTCAAGCCTGCTATTAGAGTGGCTCTCCCAGACATAATCATTATCTTGATGACGTAAAGGATTCTCTATTTGGACATTTTGTATTTTCTGAACTTTTATGTTAAGTTGTTACCTGTATTTGTGGATAACCATTGCCCTCTTATTTTCTAGGAGTACAAAGAACTTTCTAAAGATCTGAAGAGGCTTACAGATTTACTTACTCAACATGGAATTTCGTATGAAACAAGCCTGAGTAAGTTGAGCAAAATTATTTCCTCCTCCACACAACACTGACATTGGCGATCTTAGTAACTCTTATTTGGGAATAAGTCTTGCTGAACTTGGCAGGCCCAAACATTGGCAGTGGAGGGAAGGGGAGAATGAAATAGAGGCAGTATTTAACTTTAACTTGTTTTTACTCCTTCAACAACGTAACATGTATAGTTTATAACTTAGGCTTCAAGGTGGGTGAAGTGTTGAAAGGGCTTGAGGTGGGGAAAAGCCAGGTTCAGGGTAGGGGAAATGACAGAGCATCCTTCTGGATTCATCCCAGTCCTTGGTTCTTGGTTGGGTGGGAAAGCTGTTGCTGGCTTATGAGATCAATGGTCTGAGCTTGGTATAAAGTAATTATCTTCTTGTATTCTAGATGGAAACAGAGATGATAACCGTGCCACTCAGGCAGTTGTGACAGAAAAGCCAGCTCTTACTGTTGTTTCAAAGGCTGATTGGCACCTGCGTGGAGACACGGGAACATGGAATGACTCCCTCTAAGGAAAAATCCCCCTGGACAACTCGCTCAGCATTTGGGGTTTTCACAGCAATTAGAATTTAATCCACATTGTGTGGTTGTACTTGGGTTATGGAACCTGTGACCCCTCAGATGAGGCTGGAGTATAGCTTTCATCTTTCAGCATAGGCCACGCTAACTGGACCTGAAGGGAACTGGGATTGAACAAGAAGCATATGGAAAGTCACAAGTTTCCTATTCCTCTTCTGTACCCCACAGGGAAGAGCAGAAACTGTTTAATATAGGACAGTCTTTTCAGCAGACCAGTATCTGGTAGGAGCCTCTGCTGCCAACTCAGGACTCTCTTTTGGAGTGAAGTGAGGGCTGCCCATTGAAGCTGTGGCAGCCTTTTTGAGTTTTGTGTCTTATTGCTTCGTAACAGAGAATGCTGCAACTGAGGGCAGCAGTCTTACGTACTGTGTGGTGTCTTGGGCCAAAAGAGGATCCATCCAATAAATTCCAGTCCTTAGAATTTTATTTAACAAAAGTGCATAGAGACCACAGTATGGGTATAGGCGGAGGGACCCAATACAGGATTTATCCCAAAGGAACATTACAAATGACCAGTCAGTGTTGCAGGCATGCACTATGAAGAAAACTTCAAGCAGAACTAGCCCCCTATGCTTAATTTTACTCCTATTAATTCAGCAGGCCCCTCCACTGCTTTATGATATATTTCTGATTGTTTCTACTAGGCTGTTAAGGCAAGAAACTTAACGTACTTGATTTCTGCCGCCACTTTCATTCATTTCAGCGGGACACTGGGCACAGAGACTGCTGCTCCATAAGCCAGATCTGTTTATCCACCTTGATGAGGCTCAAAATTGCCCATCTTGCCTTCCTACCAAGAACCACCTACTTGATCACATGAGATGGCCCACGGCCAGAGCAGAAGTGCCTCCAGCTGCTGTCTTGGTGGTTTGGTCACCTTAGTAGCCACCATAATGCTATAGGAATATCAAACTACACTACAATAGATTGGGGGGTAGAAGAGGAGGGAAAGTCCAAGACTTGGACTAAACACCCCCAAAGACAACAAACAAACCAACCACTCAGGCTAATAATGGTTTAATTCTGGGTGTTGAGTACATGGGAAACAATATGCAGGAGGCGGTGCAGCCATACGTCAGGATGGGTGCAAAGATCTGGAGCCAGCCGAGGTTGGCAATGTGGGAAGAGAGCTGCTCGTTTTGGGAGCCACTGGTGGGTGAAGCAGCTCACAGAAAGAAACTCAAAGCTCCTTTTCCACAGACTTCCAAGTAACAAGAGTTACTTCCCATAGAACTTCTTGTTTAGGAGAAAAATGAGGAGATTGACATTCACTTTTGCTCGGTCAAACAACTTCATGACAGCCACACCTTCATACTGGAGCTGCAACAGATCCTGTGGGAGCCAGAGGAGGGGCAGGGAGAGAGAGAGAGAGAATAAATTCTCAGCTGTGGCTCCTAGGACACACCTGGTCAGCGTACAGAGGCTTGGCCTATAGCATTCATACATTTTGTCCAGTTTGGACCTCAGAGATGGGCAAATCATACCTAGCAGTCATTTCTCAAATAGCACATGCCATCATTTTTTTGTGATGCTCAGCGGAAGGGGATGCTATCAAGCTGTTATAGTGAAGGGTTCTCTGTTTTGCACAGGGTGGGAAGGAACCCTATTCCATGCATTGATACTTCTCCAAAACTGATTTCCTCACTGGTAAAAGCATGAATGCCGTACCTGTTGGACATTCTAATTTTGTTTTCGGTAATTTTAAGTGCACATTTTTCTTTAATGCTGCCAAATAAGGGGGAAAAAAGTGATTTCCCCATGTAATAATGTGCACATGCCATTTTGCTGAAATAAATTATTCTGGAAATGCCTCTGCACTGACTCTTCAACTCATTTCCAAGAAATGAGGATGGAGCACACATGAGGGACTGTGAATGTTGCGTTTGGCTGCAGATTGAAAGGGAACAGCAAGCCATGTTATGCCCCAGCAATTATACCCCAATTGCTTGATGCTTGCATACTTTCTGATAGCAGGCTAAACGGAGAATAAGTTGGCAGTGAATAGATTAAGCTTTAGGAGTTATTTTTCCTAGGCAAGTTATATGCATTTGCACCATCCACTTTGCTCCCCCCCATATACTCCCCTGAGATTATTTCAGCACATTAAAAAAGTTCTAAGAATGAAATTGGGCAAAAAAGATGAATATAATAACTAAACTCTTACTCCAGTCTAGGATCAACAATTGATAATAGGACTATTGCTTAGAATCACTGCTGGAGATCTCCTTGCTCACTAATTAGGCCATGAGGGAAAAGAGGAGGAATGAACTATTTTTAAAAATAAATATATAAGCGCTACAGCTCTGGCATTGGGCATGGCAGGCCTGGAGGGTGGGAAGGAGGCCTCTGTGCCCTCCAGGAACAAGTCTGGAAGACACAGTCTCCTGATCAAGGAGAAGCCTATTCCCAAACCATTTTGCGATGTCCACCTGCACTGGGGGGTGGGGGATGTGTGAAAAGGCATTTTTTCAGAAAACTGAAGCAGCCACAAAGCTGCTGCATCATCTAGTGCAAACACAATAAATCTCCCCACCACTACCATCCCGGGGGGGGGGGGGGAGTGGAGAGTCATTTTTAAAATCCATCTATTTATGTAAAACTGCTAGCACATTTAAATACATCTGTCTTTTCATTAAGGTCTGCAGCTGGATATTATTATTATTGTTATTATTATTATTATACAATCCAACTCAAGCATCACCTAGGGCCCAGTGGACCCCTCCCCTCGGAGTCTAAACACACAAGCACAGTCATTCCCTGCCTGACTCATTCTGGAGAAGATGGGCCAACATTTTGTTCAATTAGTTCCCCAGATTTTCACTTTCTGCTTCCTTTGAAGAAGTGTGCTCCTCAATCTAATTTAGATAAACCTGGAAGGCAGTCCAGGAGAATAGGTCATAATGATTTTTTGTTCAATATCTAATATTGTCCTCTCCTTCCCCATCACAGTTTGGAGACCCTGAACGAAATCCCCTGATGCAAACTCAGTATAAGGGTGGATTGTACAAACAACATCAAGATCCATACCTGATAATGTAGAATGAACGTCTCCATCTGTACACCCATGAACTTTGCTTTTACCTCAAAGTCTCCAACTTCTTCCGTTGGGCTAATTTCAAATATCACATTTTTGAATCTATACAGTTTGGGGACAAAAAAAAATGCTTATTGTTTTAATGTGCCATTGGGAGCTGAAGTGAAGAATAAAGGATTACTGGATAGGAATTAAGTACTTGCACTAGAGAGATTCAGTGGGGATTTCAGATTGGAAGAACTGAAAGCAATTGTATTTCTAGGTAAAATGAGTCCTTTACTTGACCTGCCAGTCACAAGGTACAGTTTCCTTCCTCTCCCTTACCCATCATTCCATTCTGGCATTGCCATGTCTGGGTAAGCTTAGAGATTACTTTCAGTTTTATAAGACACTTGCAAGCAAGCACTGTTTTTGATGTCTAGTCCACAGAAGCACCATGAAGTGCTTCAGAGGTCTTCTACAGCTCCCACTTTGCCTCTGACAAGCCAAAAGTCCTTCTTAGGAGCCCTACTTGGCCCCAGAATTAGTCTAAATCTGATGCACTCTCCTAGCAAATATTTACACACAAACACCCTAATCCATGAAAATGTTCATTCCCAATTTTATCCAGAATGCTGCTGACTGGGTGAGACTTGCCTCTGTGCACGCTGCTGTGATAAATGGCATACTCACTGGCTGGCTTGCAGATCTTCAATTTCCAACAGGACTCCCTTTTCATGGAGCCGGGCTGCCGTGTATTTCAGGGAGATCTTTTTGCTCTTCTTTCCCTTCATCTCCCGTGGTTTTTTGGAAACCCTGAGGAAAAGAGGGACGGGCACCTCACTGAGAGGCATTCTCCCATTTGTAGGATTTGAGGTCTGACTTGACAAGCATTGAGGCTGACAAAGACTTGACCCAAGGCACTGGGTTTTTGCCTTTCCCTCCCCAAGGGCCACCAATACACCTGGGGGTGGAAATAACTCCCCCTGACTCCTGCTCTTCCTGCAGGCAGCTCTTTGAGAGCTAACCCTCCTTGCTCTTACACTCTTTATCAAGTCACCATTTTTCTTCTCATCACCTGGCAATCCCCCCTCTCCATTTTTTTGTTTTCATGTCAGGAGGTTTCCCAAGGACCCAGGGTACACCCATACAACCCCACACCTCTGGGGGCTGCCACTCACTTGCCCTTGCTGGCTAAGTTATCCAGGCACGTTTTGATATAGCTCTTGTAGTAATCCACCTGCTCCTCATAAAAAGTCGCCTTGGAGGTGAGGGCGTTGTGGGTCTGCTGCAACTTCACCAGCTCTGCTTTTCTCCTTTGGCGATAGCGCCGCTGATTTCGAATGTCCTAGAGTTTGGGGGGGGGAGCAGAAGGGGAAGGGGAAACAGGCTTACCTTCTAACTCATCCCCACCCAAGACATTCCAAGTGTGTGTGCACATGTGCATTGAGTAGCCACCCTCATCCCCAGTTGCCTTTATCCGTCACACAGCATATGCACCTGCCAGCACAAGCCCGCTGGCTGTTAGCTCAGTTTCCCTGGATGCCGCCTACCTTGGCCACATCGTTGATCAGATCCTGGTATCTGTTCTTGGGGTTCACTGTCCCCAGTTCAGTCAGCTTCTTCAGGGCCGATTTTATCTTTTCCTTCTTTTCTTGAAGGCTCAGGTTGCTGTCCTCCTTGACCGCTTTGGATTTCTTCATCTTGTCAGGAGTTTTGGCATCCCGAATGGCTCGCCTCTGCATGGCTCTCTGGTGTTCGGCTTCCTGGGTGGGGATTGGGGTGTCAGAAAGGCTGTTGCAACTGGTCTGTTCTGGTACACACATTCCTGCCCCGCCACACCAACATACACAACCGGAGGCCAGAGCCCTTCTCTTCTTTGAACTGTCAGTCACAGACTGCCGTTCCCCCAGGCCTGCAACACACTCTTGCCCCTTGGAGACAGGAAGACTTTGGCGTCTGCTCCAACATGACTACACCTCCTCCCCATTACCTGTTCAGCACTGGCTGGAGTTTCCAGGATCTCAGTCAGTGTCTCTCCTGGCTGGAAGCGGATCACATCCACAATTAAGCGCTTTGTGCTGAAAAGCAAAAGGAAAGGAAGAATCAACGTGCCATCGCTGAGCAAGTGCCTGTTGTCTCTTCCGCCAAATATGCACCATCAGGGAGATACTCAAAAGAGGAAGGAAATCACAGAAACACCCACCCTTGACAACTCACATCTCAGCGGCACAGAAAGATGCAGATGTTCTTACACGTAGCCTTGCCACTGTGATTTTATGAACTGTGAGCCTGAAGGCTGGGTTACTGTAATGCACTCTACGCAAGGCTTGTGCAGGGGCTGTAGCTACTGCAAAAGGAGGCCCACTGGGGTGCCACATGGAATGCTTATTTCATGTCTCCTGAAGCAGTTGCACTGGCTGCCAATTAGCCCCTGAGCTGGGTTTAAGGTTCTGGTTATGATGTCCAAAACCTCTGAAACAGCTTGGGACCAGGTGACTTGAAGGAGTGCCTTCTCCAGTACAGTCCCACTGGTTCCTTATGACTGGCTAAGGGAAGCAAATTGCCTAATCTAGGGTTCCTCAGCATTAAGGAGAATTACAAGTGGGTTAGCCCTGCCAGCTGTCTTCACTACGGGCCTCAGAAGTCTGTTCAGAAGATTCTAAGCTCTCCAGCCGTCTGCCTGGATAAAGAGTCCCTTGAGAAAGGGATCTTTCCAAGGAGAACTGGGCAAAGAAAACAAGAAGTCTGAACTGACACACCAGGAATGAGGAACGTACCCCAGCAGTCCTGATATTTAGTAAGTATGTGTAGGAATTATTCTGGATTGCATCAAAAGTTTGCATTCCTTATTCAGAAAGCTGTCAATCAATTTCCTCCTAGGAGTTCACACACTGAGCACGATGGCAACACTATCTCTCACTACACCCCTAGTTTCTGAACACAGGTTTTGTGGACACAGGAATTTCAAGTAATCCTTAATAAAAGCCCAGTGTGCTGCTGAATATCACAGCAGTTGCTATGTATCAACATGTAGCATACATGTACAAAGAGATGCAGACTTCTGTACACCTCAAATGGCTGCTAATTACCTGTGGTGGATGATCAGAACCTTGGGACAACAACTTTGCCATCATTTTGAGGACCCTCTCTCCCTCTTCCTCCTCTTAGATACATGATAATCAAATAGTGGAACCCAACATGCTGAGAGCAAGACACATTTTTAGTCATTTCACTTCCCTGAATACTTCTGTTATTTCTGGATGTTGCCATCTTTTGTGTTTTACCTAGAGAACTGGGTAGGGGATTCAGAGTGGAGAGATGCAGGTTCAGAATCTCCACTAAGCCATGAAGCTCACTGATAAGCCTTTGGCTCCCTGCAGCCAGCCAGCCTTTTCTTAAAGCCTCGGCAAATGCTTTGGTGAAATGGGACAGCCCCAGGTGCCTTGGATGTGAAAGTGAGAAAGGTTCAGGGGCTGTCATGGCCCCTACTTACTTCAGCAGAATTGTCTTGGCATCCATCTCTGCGTTCTCGTCCCCAGGAACATCAAATTTGTTAGTCAGTGTGAGTGAAACTTCTGTCTTGGCCAGCATCTCTTTACTGGCTGGATCATTCACGCTGCCAGATCCCTCTCCTTGGAGAAAAGCAAAGCATAGGAAAAGAGTGTGGTTGTTTGCTTCACTCATTTAGTCTCTTCCCCTGTGAAAACTCATTTTTTAAGTAAGTGATTTTAAATGTGTGTGTTCCTGGGTGCCAGCCGTGTCTCTTACCTGGAGGACACTATTTAATCACCTTAGGAATAGCAATGTTGACATGTGCCTGCATTGCTTTGGCTACAGAGGCCTCAATATGCAGGCAGGAGTAAGGCTGGTGGAGAGGCATCTTAGCCCTGCTTCTGGATTGTTTGTGGCTAGTGTTTTAGCACTCAATAGATACACTTGAACCATGTTTCCCATTACTAAATCAGAAAAAAAGCTCACCTATCAGAGATTCAATGGTGGACACCTCCCCCAGGTCATCCAGAAGCTCATGAATAGGGTCATTGTGCTCAGGAGCGATGGCATCTTGATGGTCCAAAAGCAGCTAGTTTGTGAGTAACAAAGATTAGGCAATGAGCTGATAATAATAATGATGATGATGATATTATAACACTTTATTATTTATATGCCGCCCATCTGACTGGGTTGCCCCAGACATTCTGGGCAGTTCCCAACAAAAAATAGTAAAAACATAATACAGGTTGAATAATAATAATTTATGCTTGTGAAGTTTGTGATGTTTTTGTCTAGTTTCTGGTATTCTTTAGGAAAACTGTTTTATTTATACCAAGAGAGTAAGTCTACACCACAACAGTCCAATACACAAAGGAGACTTACAGTGTGTGTGTTTATTATTTCTCCAATGGAAATATAGATCACTGGCTTCGTGAGGGTCACCAAGTCTGAATATTCATCAACATTGAACTTCTCTTGCAGCTCTGGGACTTCACAAGCAGCCTGGAAAAACCGCCTTCAGAAAGGCAAAAGAGAGTTAACCTAATCTGGAAAGTCCCACCCCTGCCACCCCCAACCCAGCTGGTGATGCTTTTCTGCCCCATTTTGGCCAAATAGGTCTTCACAAGCACCATATTTGTCCTCCACCAGGAGATTCTCAGCTGGGGTGATTATAACACTTCACATAAGTCACTATGGTGAGCAGTCCCAAGCAGCATCCTTTAAAACTGGAATGCAACACACTGGATGATGGGAACTGGAGTCACAACAACCTTGGCTTTTAAGTTTGACCACGAAGCACACTCACCCACCCTATTTGGTGAAAGAAAAGATAAAACTAAACTTGTTCTCAAGTGAGTCTCCCCTGCTAAAAATATTTCTGCGTGCCCAATTCTCAGAAAGGAACCTTACTTCCCCAGGTGACAGAACTTTTGGGGAATCTGTTGTTGTGGCTACCTAAATACAAGGGTGTATTTCAGGAGAAATTCCCAAGCAAGGTTGGACTGTGAATTTACGCCAGTCAGCCATGTCTGTGCCATGTCAGAAGCAGCCAACTTCTTGTGGGACTTTACAAGGAAATGTGTCCCCCCCACCAGAGAAACAGATCTCCTCCTTCCTATCTGTTCTGAATAATTCACTGTCATTGGCCCCATCATTCCTTGCGGAAAGTCATTGTCACTCTACTTTACCTGAATTTCTGGTAGGACTGAGAAAGGTACTCGTTGATGATGCCTAGGTGCGCATTGTCCCCCAGGAACATCTTATTGGATGCTGCATGCTGCAACATTTTTGCAATGGAGCCGAGGTTTCGCCGTTGGTCTGTCGTCAACTGTCCTCCAGCTGACAGATCAATGATGTCAAAGGCATCTGGAGCCACAATGGCCGGGTTCATGTAGCGATAGTACAGAAGGTTGCCTACAATCTAGGGAAAGAGTCCTTTGTGACCTCACCTTGTCTGGAGGAAGCCACTTTCACCAATTCTGTCCCCCACCGCCAACCTGCTCAGTTGCACAAAGAGGCAGAGGGGAGGCAATAGGGCTTTAGAAAGGAAAGGAAGCCGCAGGCATTTGGGAGCAGGCAGGCAGGCAGCTGCTGTTTTCCTCACTTTGGAAGAGAATTAGCCACATTGGGAAATGCAGCTGAGATGCGGAAAAAGCCAGGAAGAGCCAGAAACAAGGCAAGGACTTGGCAAACGGAACATCCAGCACAGACGCCCCGGGGCAGATCATTTCTCAGCTCCACTGGGTGGCTACATTAAGCAGGTGCCATTTGTCTGGTTGGAGACACGCCAGGAAAGAAAGGGAGGGAGGGTTGGCTCCCACGGAAGTGCCTTGGAGCTATAATCTTGCCTCCCCAACAGCCTCAAAAGGCAGTAGTCAAAGAAAGCCACAGGCTAGGAAGTTTTCGCTGCTGGACTATGGGGAATGGGCAGTGATCCATGGGCTAAGGGCTCCCAGCTCTTTCCCCAGAGATACAGAGAAGCCAGGAGTTCACAAGCCACTTTAATGAAAAAGTTGAATGGTTTCAGCTCATTGGCTGCTTTAGCAGCTCCCCCCACCCTGAATTGTGCACTTCCATCCTGACTTTTTGCTGCTACCCTGTGGCCGCTGCAAGCTCCTCCGCCTGCTTCCCACCTAAAGGCATGCTTTAAAAAAGGAATTCACCTGCAGAGAAAGCCTAGATTCGATGCTTCAGTGTGGGAAAGCACAGAACTAGAAGAGAAGAAGAAAACAACAGCATTCAGGTCTCTTTTTTAGAAGAAGGCACAAGATGGCTCTTTATCTTTGAGAGAAACTGCCAGGCACAGGTCACGACAGTCCCCAAAACAGGGCAGACCCACTGGACGGAAAGGCCATCCTCGTGAGTTCTCTCAGGCTTTAAACTTGTATGAGAAGAGAGTGCCACTGACCATCCACCAGAGAGACATCCTTGCTCTTTTGAAAAACATTTTTTGAAAAAAAGTTTATTTGTCTACCTGAAAAGCTCTCTTTTTTAAAAAAAGGAAAGTGGCACAGGCTGCTGCTGAGACCAAGTGTGACCACTGGCTGCAGCTCTTTAGAGAGAAGGAAGAAGCCCAGCAGAGATAGATAGACAGAGAGAGAGAGAGAGAGATGCAGTAGAAGCAGCGAGTCCACCCCCTCTGCTCTCAAAGCAGCCCCCACCTCCATGCTCACCTAGGTCGCTGGAGCTGCAAATGTGATTGACAGGTGGTCTGACCAAGAGAGCGCGAAGCAAGTGGAGTGTGTGTGTGTGTGTGTGTGTGTGTGTGTGTTTGAGAAACTCTGCTTCCTCACCTTCAGCAGATCATCCTCACTGGCGTCAGGAAATTTTTCGTGTAGTGAATCTTTCAAGACCTTGGCAATGAAGCGCATGCCGTAGCTGTAGAGGGAGAACAAGGCCGGGAATGAGGAAAGAGGCGGAGAGAAGCTTAGAAGGACCCTCCTCCGCCTGCATCTGCCCGAGGGGCAGCTTGGGACACTCACGGGATTTTCTCCAGGGAGCCGATGATGGCCAGCAGAAACTTGTCGGTGATGGCCCGCATGTTCTTGATGGAGGCATCCAGGCGCGTCTTGACCTCCTCGTGGGCCAGGGCTTGCTCCGGTGTGACGTCGTAGGGCAGCTTACTGTCAAGGAAAGGCGGGTGAGTGGTGGGAAGTGTCGGCTGGAGGGTGCTACCGCTTGCATCCCCCTCTTAGCCCTCCAGCTTATGCTGGACAGACACAACAAACAGCACATGTGCATAAACAGCCATCTGGATCCTGCCCAGGGGGCACCTGGTGACAGATCAGCCCTATTTGAGGTGGGGGGTGGGGAGAGAGAAAGGCCCGCAGGTATGGGCTCTAAGGGAGTCTTCTGTCCCAATCATCCTTCCCACAGGACGGTGGGTGGCAGGTAGCCCAGAGGGCGGGGGGGGGGACATAGGGAGTCCAGCAGGAGCTTTGGGTTTTGAGGTCTTTGCTGACATTCCTCTCCTATGACCATCTGACCCTTGATAAATGCCCCCAAAGCAGAAGGGAGGAATGAATGAAGCAGCTTTCTATATCGCTCTTTACTGAGAACATGGTTTTTAAAAAATGGCTCTAAACCTTTTGCCAGGTTCAGCTCACCTTTGTGCCCTGGAATGACTACATGACCTTTCCTAAGGCCATGACTGTGAGGCCTCCAGGTCTAAACATTTAATCTTATGTATCAGTGAATGGAATCTATTTTTAAAACTTTCGAGGGGAAAAAGGAACTTTTCAGATACAAGCCGCCACAAAACGTGAAAATCCAAATGAGGATGTGTCTCTCTCTCCCCTGAAAAACGTCCAGACCTTTTTTGGTACCTCCTGTGAGCATGAACAGCCCCTCATACCTGGCCTCTCCGGTCTGCGACTCCATCTGATTGACCCAGGACTTGTAGATGTCCACTGGATCAGTTTTAATATTGAGAGATTTGTCCTCCATGATCTCCTTCACAACCGGGGCCAGGATCTGCCTCAAGGTGTTCTGTCCACGAGCACCACGGTTGAAGCTCACCACCATCTTGATCACTGTGGGGTTTCCCGTCACAATCTCTTGAAGCTGATCCACCTTTGATCTGGAAGAAGGCGAGAAAGGTTTGCTGGAAACACATGTGGATGAAAACCAGCTTACTTTCCCAGCAGAAGATGCTGGTACCCAAGCCCAGAGGGTGGCCTTCCAATTTTCATACTTCTCTTTCATACATTCCTGTTGTTGTTGTTGTTGTTGTTGTTGTTGTCTTCATCCTCAGGTTTTCAGATCCAGCTTTTGTTTGCAGGTTGTTTCAGAACCTTCAACCAGGAGGAGTTTCCTCCCCGCCTCTTCTATTAGTCAATGGCCGCCCGGCCAGTCTCCCACAAAGAGGGAAGCACAAGTACCTCTGTCTATCTATATCCAATTTATATACCACCCTTCATCACAAAATCTCAGGGTGGTGCACTTATTCCAATGTGAAAGGAGCCCCCACACCACTATAACTGAGAATGCAAAGTCAGGGGAAAAGCAATGTTTTTCTTTTTGAGTATTTCAATTTAATAGTTTAAATAGATTTATTGCTCCTCCCCTTACAACCGCATGCAAGCATTTACTGCTGTCCACATGGCAAACTCATGCTTGGCTTTCCAACTTGGGAGCCAAAAGTGACAGCAGGAACCAGAAGACCAAAGAAAGCTGCCCTCTGTGACAGGCATCTGGGCTCCACAACTCCCCATGGTAGCCAAGGGCTGCACCTCTACTTAAAAAATGAGAGCCCAAAGCGCGGTGAACAGCTGTAGCCAACAGCTGTCTTTACGCCCCATGCAGCCCCTGAGAGTTAAAGGTTCTCGACCCACGTACTTGATCTCCTCCTGCAGCGCAGTCTTGAAGAGGCGCAGCAACAGGTACTCCTCCCGCTGGTTGGAGGCATAGTTGTACAGCGTGAAGATGACAGAGTCCATGAATTTTGTGGATTTGTTCTGGGGCATTTGGAAAATCAGCTTAGCCAGGTAAGTGGGGTTAGTCTGCAGCAAAACAAGGAGAGGATCATGAGAGCAGTTCACGGACAGGAGAGAAGGAGAGAAGACAAAGGGTCACCTCCCGCTACAGCTCCTCCTCTCTCCTCACCTGCAGCAAGTAGAAGAGGTGCTGATAGGCCTCCAGCTTCTCCCTCTTCTCTTTGCTCAGAGCCTTCAAGCCTCCCCTTTGCTTGTTCAACATCATCATGTCCGAGAGCTGCTCCTTATTCTTCTTGGTAAGCTTCTTGCTGTGAGACACGACATCCTGCAGCGAGGAGGGAAGGGCAGAGGGGAATTCAGAGCCTGTGCTTAGCATCCCATCCTTTCCCTGGGACCCTGGCCTCGTCTCCTGCTGCTGACTCTCCAGGTGGGAGGTCGGGGTTGCCCACGAGAATGAACATTTGATCCAAGAGTAGACTTTGGCAGACTTGGAAATACTGGCTAGCACCCTTCTGGCCCTCAAATCCAAGTTTTCCTTACCTGCTGAGCAGTATCAGTAGATCTATCAATCATTGAAATGGAAATATTGGGACAGAAAAAGAACAAAGATGCTTACCAAAGCTACATAAGGCAATAGCCGAATTGGGGGATTTGGATATCCCTTGAATTGTTCGGGGCCTCTTATCTTCGCAGATACACAACCCACCATATTCAGAGACACAGGATACCCCCAACCGTCACGTTATGTGGATGTGGCCATCTTTCTCATCAGCCATAGGACAACTGACGGATAACTGATCTGGTCTGGCAGGGAAATTATTGACGAGAGGGAACTGTTGCTTTATAAGCTCTAACCTTCAGTGGCTACTAACAAAAACCTTCAGAGCCCACCATACACAACTGTGTCCTTGTTGCTTGAGGAGAACTTGGCAAGGGGGATTGCTCCCCTCCCAGACTATACCTGCAGCGTGATTTTGTTCTTCACCAGCAAGCCAATTTTTATGTCCATGAGGTTGAGGTCATTCTCCAGCTGCTGATTGGAGCGGATCAAGGTCACGACCTCCTCACGCAGCTTCATCACGTCCAGTTCCTCTTGGAAATCTTGATCGCTCTGATCAAGCAAGTGCACAAACTTCCGGACAACCGCCATCGGGGGGTCTTCAGCATTGACTGTGGAGGGAAAGACGCCAGCCAAGGAATGGTGACAAATGCTGATGGCACAAAAGGAGCAGGCCTTTCATTTATTTTCACGAGAGAATTGCTCTTTCTTGTGTACATAAGAAGCAGACAGACTGAAAGGAAAGAACCCAAACCCCTCCATTTTGCCCCGTTTTGAAGGGGAGGGAGGGAGTGGGGAGGTCCAAGGAGCCAAGGCAGGCTCTCAGCAGAAACAGGACAGGCAAGTGAAGCAATCCACTTCTTAATAAGCTTTGGCGAGGTCACATGCCAAACCCACTTCCATGACCAAAATAGCTAGGGCCGAATATTGCCATGGTTACCTCACAATGCCAGTTACAGAGAAAAAGCTTCCACTGAGTGGCTTTGTCCCCTTATGTCCCCTGTGGGACAACTGGATTGTAGGAAACCAATGAAAAATGGCAGCCTTCCTGCTTGCCACAACAGTCCCTTCTTGGGCAGTTTCAGGACATGACTAGCTGCGTGGGCCTCCCTTCCTGCCAATACTCACTCAGCGTCTTGTAGTCATCGCGAGCTTTATTGGCACGGATGAAGGCCTGGATCTTCACAATGTCATTGATCTAGCCAAGAGACAAAAGCAAACCCTTTGCCATCCTGTGCTTTCATCTACGCCCCTCCACCCCTGGATGTCACTGGACTGCAACCTCCACGATCATCATCATGACTGACACCACTATCATCCATTGGCCCTGCTGGTCACCAGGGCTGATGGGAGGGAATCCAGCAATCCCAGGAGCCCCACCTGCAATGCACTTACATGATCCCGGAAGTACTGCAGCCGACCTCGGTACCGTTTCCGGGCCTGGTACATCCTGGTCATGGCTTGAATCTGTGGAAGATGGAAAAAATTGAAAATGGGTGCTCCACTAAACTGAGTAGGGGGGAAAGGAGAGAGAATGGGGCTCTGGGACCTCCTGCTTTCTGGTAGAGAAGGGTAGGTGGAGCCCCTGGCTTTGTATCCTCATCCTGGTTGCACGTGGGTCAGATGAAGCCCCCTCCTTTGCTGTCCTTACATTGCCAGGTGAGGTGACAATCCATGGCTGAGCTTTCCAATCTTGGCACATCATGCACCAGGAGATGCATGGGAAAGGAGGGAAAGGAGGCTTCAAAGCAGGTGACCTAGTCATTTGCTAGGAGGTTACTGTGGACACATTTGGGAAGGAGTAGGCCTGAGTAGTGCTTGGCCCTACCAAGGGGATGATGTTTTTGTTTTGCCTGCAGGCACCATGGCAGTGAGGAAGAGGAAAGCAGATGGCCGAAAGAGGAACAGGACCTTCTTTTCCTTTCCTTTTTTTTTTTGCAGGGGGTGGGGCAGAGTGAGAGGTTAACTGAGAGAGGCAAAGCAAGTAGAAGATGATCAGGCAGAAGGGGATCAGGGCAGACAACCCCTGCCGGCCTTTTTCTGGAAGAGACATGGGAATATTGCTGGCCTCTTGTGAGAGGGTGGGGAAGCGAAGCAAGCACAGCCAAAGAGGAGGGGGCATGGCTTGGGGCTTGATGGAAAGGCCCGGAAGGCTGGATTAGACCCATGGGCCAGAGGATCTCATATCAGGTTTGTTTGAAAGCAGAGGTTGCCAACTCTTTGGGGCTAGTGGGCACACAGGAATTTTGTGGCTGCTGGTTACAAAATGGCTGCTGCGAGGGCATGGCCTAACATAAAATGGCCGCCACATCTAAAAGAGTGTGGGAAATTGTTGTCAAGCATAAATATGTATGTATAAGTGCTATTTAGAGTATGAAGGGGTTAAGACCAGCCACTAGGAGTCCCAGAGGGCTTGGGCTGAGGCAAGGGAGGGGAAGGAGACCACTAGTTTTATCCATCCTGGAAAGATAGAGCAGGTGGGAGCGGGGTGAGGCTCCAATTCCAAAGCGCCTGACCTAGAAAGATAATTACCTTCACTGCTTCGTCCTTGTGGGTCTCCAAGTACTTCAGGCGGTCTTGATAGGCCTTTCGCTGCTTGTAGCCACGCCACTGAGACTGAAACCCAACCCAACACCAGGTTAGAGGCCTCCTTTGCCTGACTGCAACATCTTCTGTATGCTTTTGTACCCCCCCCACACTTCCCTCCAGTCTGCACCCCAAAACTGATCACAGCTGGGGACAGCCACTGCTTCTCTTTGCTCAGCTGCTGGACCAAAAGCAGCCTCTACTGAAAGCCAAACCACCTCAAAACGAGGGACTCTGAACAGAAACAGTGCCAAGAAGTGTGGCACCGTAATGAGCAGCAAACAGGATCTGGGCTTTCAGCAGCATGGCCAGCTCTCTCCAAAGAGCCTCTGTCACCCAGATTTGAAAACAAGGAACCAAAATATCCACCACCCTTGCAACAGATCCCCCGGGGGAGCTTAAAGCTTAAACAACCTCACTCCCCTACCCCAGCAGGAAAGACAAAGAAACTCTTCCAAGCCAATGCTGGACTGTTCTCCTGCATGACTTGGTTGGGGCGAAAGAAGAGGGGACTAAGGGGGGCTGCATGGCCCTTTGCTTAGCTGCCCATCACTCTGGCACCAGAACTGGGCTCCTCAAATTCTCCACAGCCGTGAGGTACAGCCTGCAGAACATGGTATCCCCAGCCAGCAACCGCAAACAACAGAATGAGAACAAAAGGGTTGACTGTGGGAACCTTGAAGAAGCCCAGCCAACAGACCAAAGGAAGTTTTGCCAAGTGGGTACCGCCACAGACCAGCCACTTTACACATCCCTGACCCAGAGTTCCCCACCCTCAATGCCCACCCCCGGCAGCTCTTTGCTTTCTCTCCCCAAGTTCTCCCTGCCCTCCCACCACTAGTTCCCCCTGTACCTGGATGCAGGTGATGGCAGGAACTTGCTTCTTCAAGAAACGCATCCGGCCACTGAACTCCTGGCGGACAAGGTAGCCGCGGCAACAGGCCTGCAGCCTGGTAATCAGGTTCTCATTGGCCAGCCAGAGCTGCTCTCGGTTGTACGCGGCGGTGACAGCGGAGATGGAGCTCTAGATCCCCGTTGGCCCAGGGAAAGGCAGCGGGGGGGCGGGGGGGCAGAGGAAAAAGGCCACACTCAGCACCTAGCCAAAAGGCAACCAACACCCATCCTTGCCCCAGAGGCAGGTCCCTCGACTCAGGGTGACCCAAGAGAACGGCCTTCATGGTGGAAGGAGTTGCTGCCTCTGATGGTCTGTCAGGTGCTCCCGGAATCACCTCAGGGAGTGTTTATTCACTGTACCTTCAGGGACCTTTTAACACATTGCCTTTGCTGCCCTTTTGCCACTGTGTAGGGGTACTACCAGGTTTTAATGTCATTTTAATATTTTGCTAATATAATTGTATTTTATGGTTTTTGTCTGGAATGTAAACTATTATTATTATTATTATTATTATTAAAGCTCCTGAAGTTTATGCCATAATACATCTTTTAGTGTTTAAGGTACTACGAGGCTATTCTTTTTGCTGCAACTATCTCATATAGCTACTACCTTACAATTTTCCAGGCATTGTGCCAAGATTAGAAAAGCAGGCTGTGCCCACAGGCTTACAATCTAATAGACTTGGCACAAAAGGAAAACGGGATGGGGAGGGAGGAGGAAAACCAGCAAACCTAAGACCCATTGCTAAAGTTACGTAATAGCTTTTATAATGAGCAGCTGGAAGGGAGGGGAAGAACCAAATGGCAGGTGGTATTCCTGCCAAGTCAAAGAAGTGGGTCCCACTTCTCCACTCCTATCATAGTTCTGTTTTAAAGAAATAGCGAGAAGAAATCTTGCAGCAGAAGCACCCAGAGCTGCCCCCTGAAGTCATAAAGGGCCTTGCACATGTCAGTGACTGAGCAAAGGAAATCAAGGATCACTTGAGAGGGGGCAAAACAAACCTGATACCCTGTGATGACACCCCTCCCTTGCACTGACCAGGTCAAGAGGCACTTGGCCCTGATTTGGTGGTGCTGAGGACTAGAGGAGGTGGCACATGCTCAACATACCTGGATATCCTCCCGGGAGAGCTGTGTGTTATTTGGCACAAATCCTCCCTGGGGCTCTTCCCAGCTTCCTTCTTTGGTTCTCAGGTTATGGTAATAATGGTAGCCTCCCTTCACCCAGTGCTTCACCCACTCACTGCCGTTGTCTCCTGGAAGAAATGGGATGTCGTGGGGAGGGGGACAAAGAAGCCCTTCTTCTCTGCCTCCGTGAGGAGGAACCGTGGGGCTCTGTGGCACAATGTGTGCAGACACTGCCAGGCAAGTACTCTGGTAGGAGCAGAGTGGGGAGAGGAGGCAAAGCTGGCCTGGATGGCCAAAGACAGCCTAGCTGTGAACACAGCCTCTCCCCTCCGCCAGTCCAGGCCCATGCAGACCACAGCCCCCATTCCTCTCCAGCCCCCGCCTTCACCTGCTGCCAGTTTCGTCCTCTTGACTTCCGCCAGCTCCTGCTGGTACGTGTCTGCACACTCTGGGGTCACGCCATACAGCCCTACGTCAGCTGAACGCAGGCAGCCCAGGGTTACCCCAACATCTCCTTGGTCCACTGCCTCGTTGATGGCCAGGATTCCTACGGCAACTGAGATAAAAGCAAGAGAAGCCCTTGCAACCTCTGCAGAGACACAGGCCAAAACACAGGGAGAGGGTGGAGGGGAGTCTGAGCGACCACAAAATAAACGTCTCCACCTCCATCGTTCTGCCCGGACACTGAGGTCCAGCGCCGAGGGCCTTCTGGTGGTTCCCTCGCTGCGAGAAGCCAAGTTACAGGGAGCCAGGCAGAGGGCCTTCTCGGTAGTGGCACCCGCCCTGTAGAATGCCCTCCCACCAGATGTCAAAGAGAAAAATAACTACCAAACTTTTAGAAGACATCTGAAGGCAGCCCTGTTTAGGGAAGCTTTTAATGTTTGATGTATTACTGTATTTTAATACTTGGTTGGAAGCCGCCCAGAGTGGCTGGGGAAGCCCAGCCAGATGGGCGGGGTATAAATAATAAATTATTATTATTATTATTATTATTAAACACCACAGTGAACACTGGCCATTTTACAAGGAGATCTCAGGCTACTGACTTAGACTTGCAACCTCCCAAGAGACGAAACAGAGACATCCTTGATCCCTAGGGCTAAAATGACCCTAATGCCAGTTGGGAATTAGGAAGCAGGCTTCTGGGAAGTGTGACCAAGAGAAATGCCAGTGTCCAAATAAACAGAACCTGCTTCCCACCCCACTGGCATGGTTGCATCTTTAGATGGGAACAGAGATTGGCAGCTCCCCCCCCCCCCTAAAAAAAAACCCGCTGAAAAGACGACAGGGAGACTCACAGCGCTGGGCTTCCTCTGTGTCCCTGTTTGACTGGAGAACACCCCCCTGGATTTCATCCAGCCAGAGGACAGCTGTTTCATCCCGAGTTTCCTGAAAGCAAAGCAAAGCAAGGTTCATCCCCAGCAGAGAAACTGAAGCCAAACAGAAGAGAGGATGTCATACCGAGGGGAGGGGCAAAAGGCCTACTTTGCCTCTCAATCTTCCCAGCCCACTCCAGTCTCAGCCAGTCCAATTTAGACATGCTAGATGACTGGCGTGCAAAGCAACATTTGCCTCCACCTACAGACTGGCTCAGTTTTAAACTAAAATCCATTTAGCTAAATGGTACACAGTCCAGCTTGCCTCTGATGAAGCACTGATGAAGAGTGAAATACTCTCTTCGAAAGGGATGGTGGCAGCTCCTACCATTATCCCTGACCATCGGCCTTGCTGGAAGTTGGAGTCCAACAGTATCCTGAGGGCACCATATTGGCTACCCCTTGCTCTAAGTGGGTGGAAGGAGATTGGCAGGGTCTCTGCCTCCCCTGCCCTCAGAGAACCAGAAATTTTCCTGATGGGCCAAACGAGACTCAACAGAAGCTCATGAACATAAAGGGGGCTGGGGACAAGCAATGCTATTAATAAACATCAACATTGCATACAAGTGTCTTATTGATGGGCCAAAGAGGACCCCAAAGCTGCAGCAGAAGTTGCACACCTTGTCAGTGCACAGACAGGAGGCCACTTAAAGGCCTCTGAGAGCCAACAGAGGCATCACCGCCATCCTCCCTGGGCGCCAAAGGATGGCCCAGGTTATCTGGCCTGACCCCGCTAAAGTATGGGGCTGTGGAACACTCTCAGCGGAGGAGTCAGACAGTGAAAACCTCCCCACCCCTGGATGCAGGGAGGGATGCCCGACGCACCTGAGCTTTCTCCCTCTTGGTGCGGAGCAGCACATCTTGGTAATGCTGTGCTACTTTGGGGGTGACCCCCTCCAGCTTTGCTGCAGGAATCTGCAGTGCCTGCAAGGTCTTCCTCGCATCTCCTTCGTCCAAAGCCTCATTGATGAGCCCGATTGCCAAGATCCCTGGAGCAAACAGGACAGAAAGGAAGGATGAAGGCAGGGGGATCTCTAGGGGCACATGAGGCACCCCCCCGGTAGGCCTTCTGCTCCTGCTCTCTGCTGGCCCACACACTGCAACTGTTAGGCCAGGCACCTGAGGACGAGGCAAGGAAAGGAAAGGAAGGGAAAAGCACTCCCCAGTTTACTGAAAGGGCTGAGGGAGCAGCCAGGGTTGACTGGGAGAGCCCACAGAGGGGAGCAAGCAGGGAGGGCTGACTTTGCCGTTTATTCCCTCTAAAGGCTTATATGCCACCCTTTAGGGAAACGACTTTCCCAAGGTGGCTTTCATGCAGTATTAAAATATAAAACAAATTACAAAAGTCATATACTAGCCCTAAATATGAATTTATAGAGCTACAGAAGACGTTGTAAAAACCATACACCAGCCATAACAACCCTAATCGGAATGGCTGAGTTCAAGGCAGCTAAAGCCTGACAAGGCCTCTAGCATCTTGTTCCTCAGAGCAACGGAAGCACCTGCTGAACACAAGAGATGCTGGACCCTGGAGGAGGTGCCTCCCTCTGATGAGACCCACTTCACCCTTGCTGACGTTCCCGGGCTGAAGGAGGTCCTCCCATTCTCCTGCCCCTGAGGAGGAGGAGCACCGTCTCCTCCCTCAAGGGAGACACTGACCTCACCCTAACAGAGGCCGAGTGCACAGGGAAGACAAGATGGGCCAGACTTTCGACAGCACATCCTGGCATGCTGTCTTGCCTGGTTAGCATCCCAAGTGTTTGGGGTTGCACCGTGTTATTTTCAGCCCACAACTTCCTGTTGATCTGATACTTTTATAGATAAGGCAACCACCTGACTAACCTATGACAGTCTGGGCTAGAAAACTGCCTTGCGTGGCCACCAATTGAACTAGCCATTGGCCACGCAAAAGACACACACTCCACCTCTGAATATGCCCTTCTGTGCTTTGCTGCCTTCGCATCCATTCCCAGAATGGCGCCTTGATTTCACCAGTGATTTCAGGCTCGCTAAGAAGTCCTGCGCACCCAGTCATGGCACCAACAGGACCAATGCAGGGCTTTCGGATCCCAAGCCACCAACTAGCCCTGATGGGGCTTGGACGGAGGCTTGGGCAACAAGGGCGTCCCCCGCCCCGCGGGAAGTTTCCACACCCCAAGAGCCACTTACGCTCATGCTCTTCGTGCACTGCCACGTTCACCCGGTCAACGCACGACTGGATGTCATTCCAGGTGATGAACTCGGCCCCTTCGCTCCGTGCCTGACTCTTCAGCTTCAGCAAGTCCTCAATGTATCTGCCGAGAGTCAAGACAGCACACGTCAAGGGGCTGGCCGCTGAGAGAACAAAACATGAAGACACAGGCAAGGCCAGAGGAGATGAAGGAAGCAGAAGGCCTGTGCAAAAGGCACCATATTCCCAGTGGCAATGATCTGGAGCACACGAATGCAAAGGGGTTTGCCTGCAGGAAACCCTTCAAGACCTGCTCCCCTGGCCTAACCCTCAGGTTCCAAAAGCCAGAACCTCAAAAGGGGCTCTCACAGGCCACAACTGTCCAATCACTATTTCTACCCCACTTCCCGGAAACCACTTGTCACTTCCTTCCTACTGGCTATTGGAGGTGCTGTTGGGCCCTCTGGTCCATCCCCAGAGCCTCCACTTGGGACTCAGAGGACTCTGGATCACGATGCCAGAGGGCCTAACAGGTCCCATTTCCTTCGTCTCCTCCCATTTCGGCCATCTTGAGCTGCTGCTGCTGCCGCAGGAGCACTTGGCCCTTCTCAAGAGAGAAAGGCTGGTGGGTGTGTTGTGGAGTGGGGTGGGGTGGGGGTCTGACCTCTGGGAGTTTTCATCCTCGACATTTGTCAGACCCGTCACTGAGCTGCTCAGCTGCTTCCAGACCATGTTGACATCCCCGGAGTCCAGAGCTCGGTTGATGAGGGCCACTGAAGAGAGCATCTCCACAGCCACCGACAGTTCTGGGTGTGTGAGGTGACCCTGAGGAGACAGAGAAAGAGGACCATGCTGACCACACAAAGTGAGGAAAGGGAGCCTGGGAAAGGAGGCCTGGACTGCAAGGCCTCAGGGGTGATGGTACTGGCTAAACTCCACTGGCAGAATGTCCAGGGGGGGGAGGGATCTGGGTCTGGGTCAACAATTTCAAGGTTCTTATCATTTCTTCCTCTCTCTGAGCAAAAGAAGCATTCTGCAATATCCCTGGAAGGCCAGGCTGAAAGCCTGACCTGGAGGGATCTACTTGTGCACATTAAGTAGACACGGACAAGAGGAAAAAGCGCAGATCACATCGGCCAAAGTACCAGAGGTATTTCAGAAGCAAATGGTAGGAGAAAACCTCAGCACCACACACACCCCACCGCACCGCCAAGTTCAGCCAGCCAGCCAAGCAGCGCTCCTGCCCCCGGGGCCAGGCACAGCCAAGCACAGCTTGATCCACCTTCCCCAAATGCTCATCCCAGCATGAAGTCCCAGCGATGCTGCAGTAGGAGAGAAGGATGAAGGTGCCCCTGGGAGGCAGAGTGGCCGGCATGCTTGTGAATGTAGCTCATGGAAGAGCTTCTTGTCAAGTTCACATCCTGCACGGGTCATGTTCCTCACTGCATACACATGCAATAGGGAGCCACAGCCAGCTCCTTGACTCATGGTGGAAAACATGCATTTCTCACGGATGCACACAGCCCTGGCAGGAATGCCCAAACAACGTCTCACAAGGGCACCTTAAAAGCAAACCATCAGCAAAAGCCTTCAAGGGACTTACGTCCGGACTCTGCTGCTGCAGGGTGGCCAGTTCCTTCTGGTACAGCTCAGCAGCAAACGGATAGACTGGAGGCAGCTGGGCCTCGGGGTTCATCAGTTCCACCACTGTCTTCTCAGCGAGGCCGTTGCGGATGGCTGTGTTGATCCTCCCCACAGCTGCCAATCCTGAGAGCCCAAGGAGAGAGGATGAAGCTTTTGCTCCCCTGGAGGCTGCTGGGCGTACCAGCATTTCCAGGAGCAAGCCAGGTGCACCAAGAAGAATAACAGTGATGACATGTTGCTGACCCCCAAGAGCAACTCCTAGGGAGGATGCCAGGCTGACCTGCTTCTTCCTCTTCCAAATGGACAGAGGTGAAAAGAGGATCTGGCTGCTTCAAGCAGCGGACAGCAAAGCACCATGCCTTCCCCTCACAAGGAAACTGTCCACTTCAACCACAGCAGAGCCCAAGGCAACAGGTTCCTTTGGGGCTGCAGGACTGCTTTTTTCACAACAGGGACAATGCTTCACCTGAGGTTCCTCCCTCAGGGAGTGATGTAAGTGGGAGGGAAGGACTTGACCCCACCCAGCAGTGGGGAAAAGATGCCCAAGGGAAAGATGCCCAAGGGCACCTGGGCCACAGGGGAGGGGAAATGGAAGGGTGTGTCAGCCACAGCTGCATTAAACAAATGAAGGTAGGAGAAGATGAGGAGGGGATTAATGAAGAAAGAAAGAGTGAGATGGCGTGTTCTTAATGGGAGGAAAAGTGAAGCTGGGGAGGTTGCTCTCACAGCAGTCACAAGAAAACTGGGTGGGAGGACAGCCCCCTGCCCAGACACCCCTCAGAACCTGCAGGAAGGGAGTGCGGAGGGGTGAAGAGAGGACTTGCTTTCCAGTTGAAGCACAAGAAAGGCCTGCCCTGTCCAGCTGCAAAACCCAAACTGCAGGGGCCCCACGGAGGAGAACTTACTCTGCTGGTACTGCTGAGCCATGCCATTAGCCACGTCCACCCCGGCCTGCAGCTCCTCCTTCTGCAAGGGCCCAGCTCTGCCGGCCTGAGGGGGGAAAGAGTAGACTTGTCTGCGCTGCCTCCAACAGCCCCGGCAGATCCAGAACCTCCCTTTATTTCCTTTCCGCTGACCCCCTTATTCGTGACCGGGAACGTGGAGGAGGCGGCAGCAGCAGCATTCTGTGCAACGCCTCCCACAATTCCCAGCGCTTGGCCGAACATGGAGAGCAGCAGCTGGGCAGTATCTCAAAGCAGAACAGGAAGTTTGCACTTGGAGAAGAGACCAAGAATAGGTCAGGCGAACCGGATTAGGAAGCCAGTGGCCAATGCTGAACAAAAACTTAATAGTTGCTCAGGGCCACCATGTATTCACGGGGTCTGTGTTGTTGGTCCTTAAGACATTCTGGGTCCCAACTGCACACCAGCGGAAGGAGCTCCTTGCGAGCCAGGCGCCAGGACCACCCACCTGCTGGCTCCCCTACCTCCAGCTTCTGCTGCTTGTCCCTCAGAAGCTGCTTCAGGTACCAGTCGCTATTCTCCGGCCGCAGCCCCCGGAGACCCAAGGCTGCCGATGACAGGACAGCGTACAATGCGGCAGGGTCTCCTTGGTCCAGAATCAGGTCGATCTTGGACAAGGCCGAGTGGGCTGAGGAGAGAGAGAAAGAGAAGGAAAGCTAGACGGAGCTGGCCTTGGGAAGGCCTCCTCAGGAGGGCTTCTTCACCTCCACCACCCCATGCAGAACCCCAAATGCTCCCCATGCCTGAGATGTCCCAGAGCACAACAGAAGGTTCTAGAAGCCAGTGGGGGAGGGAGTGGCAATATGGACAGAGGATGGTCTCTCCTGGCACTTTGCCTCCCCCGTCCTGCTGCTTACTCCCAGCTAAGTCTCTAGTTCGGCATCTCAAGCACATCCATGAGGCAAATGGAACCCACATAGAAGGATGGTGTTGGAGCACAGTTTTTGGGGAGGGGCGTAGTTTTTTTGGGGGGGGCATCCAGAGATGGGATTTTCTGCTTCCTAAAGGAGTTTCTTGGGCAAAGAGTGTCTCATAAGAAAGCCGGGAATGCTAGGATGGGGCTGATGGGCTTACTGTTGACTTTGTTGACGTTGCCCTGGATCTCTGCTTGAGTCAGCAGCTCTTCATACACGTCCCTTTCCCTTTCCATATCCTCAGAGGCAATCTGAAGGAAGAAGGGAGAAAACAGCAGTCAGGACAGGAGCTGCCTTTGGGGAGCGGTGGCAAAAGCTTCCAAAGCTGGGAGGCACTGGCATGGGGCTCAACAGGTTGGCGGATGCACTAGACCCACGTGGAGACACTGCCTCAAGGGCCTCTAGGCCTTCCTTCCCACTGCCCAAAAGCCAGAAGGCGCTTGGAGACTCAACACCGAGTTCCTGCAATGAAAGGGAACATTCCCTGCCCCCCCCATCCTCCTCCCGGACCAAGCAGCGCTGCCAGAGGCACATTCCCAAACAACTAGCAAGAAATTACTGAAGCATCTTGTGCAAGCCACGTGGCTGCAAGGCAATACCAGCTTTCAGAGCTGGATCCCAACACTGCAAACGTGTATTCAATCAATCTACTGCAGTGTCAGGGAGCATTACTAAACTGAAGGCTGCATTCCTATCTGGGCAATCTTCCAGAGGCCACATACCAGCAGCACACAGGGCCAGAGGCAAAAGTGGGTGGAGCAACTGATGCAAATTTCACCTCTGCACAGTTCACAGTAGGCTAGTTACTACGCAAACCTAGAGTTTGCATTGCCAGACATCAAGCGCACATCCTACCAGACTAAAACACTCAAGGAGAGTAAACTGGACTGGGGAGGCATGTAGCTTAGGAGGGGGTGTGGCCTGGGGAGAGTAACAATGTACAGTAATCACACTTTCCTTACTGCTTTGAGCTTTATAGGAAAAGTTGTGTGTTAACTATCACAGTCTGGTTTAAAGACAGACAGAAAGAAATTCAGCTTAGGTCACTTTCCTGCCAAGTTCCATGCAAGTCCTGATTCCTAGCCAAAGAGACTTTTCCTATTTTAATTCAAAAGCATAATGCGGCATGTGCATCGGCAGGTCCTAGCACTGCGCTCATTCAAGCACATGCCCTGGAGAGGTGCAAGAGAAGAGCAGGGCATGGCAAGCCTTTCCTCCCCACAAGACAGAGCTATCACCTTGTGGCAAGCCTGATCTACCCTGAGGCAGCTGTGGGTCGAAGCCATCAAAGCAATCTCTCCAGCTGCAGGTCTAAGCACTTCCACAATATGGAGCAGAAAGTGCCACGTGCAAACCTCATAGAGGTTTGGGTCATTCGGCGGTATACAAAATAAACTCTACCTTGTTCCGTGCATTTTCTGTCTTGTCCCGCTTCGCCTGGTACAGGGTGCTCTGGTAGGTGGGCGCAAGGGGCTCTTCCAGATTCACCAACATGGCATTGGGGTTCCTCATTGCCGCAAACGTTTCAGCAGGAATCTGGCGGTCGATGGCGTCGTTGATTGCAATCACAGCAGCATGCACTGGAGAGAACACCAGGCACAGGCTCTGGTCAGTCACAGCCCCTGGAGATGCTCAACCCCACAAGCCCAAGCCCCTTCCTTTTCTTGGGAGGAGAACGTGGGCACTTGGGCAGAGAACAGGAGCTCTGGCAGCACAACACTGGCAAGCACCCGTGGCTGCAAAAGAGGTGCTCATCTCAGAAGGCAACCTCCAGGCCCTGCATGATATAAAACCTCTGCCACTTTTACAGACTGAATCCCTTCCATCATATTTAATTCTTCCAATAGATTATGTCTCCATGGCAATGCTCTATCTCATACGACCAACCCGAAAAGGGTGAAACCCATTTCCCCTTACGTGCTGCTTCATCCACAGAGAGCTCGTTGGCCAAAATCCCACCAATCTTTCCAAAGGCAGGCATCTGAATCCCATACTTCTCCAGCTCGAGCCTCATGTTGCTGATTTCCTCCTCTGGAATAGCACAATGGAAAAGGACCAGCAGGTGAGTCCCAGGATATGCCCATATGCCCTTTTGAAAACACCTGGTAAAGGCAGGCAGGCAGCCAGCCAAGGGTTCAACAAAAAGGCAGCCAGTTATTTCCCCATCTCCTTCCCCCCTGCCATCCACAAATCCCAGTGACAGGTCCAGCCACTGGTGGAGGAGATAGCACCTGGGAAGGCCCCTACTCGAGAAGGCAAGGCCTGGTCCAAGTCTGGGGTTTGATCTTTAGCAGAAAGCAAAGGGAGGCTCTGCTGTCCAACCCAACAGCCAGACGGTGCCCTTTCTAAAAACAAAAACTCGAACCACTTCCTCCATGACCGACCCAAGGACAGGAAGGCAGGAGCTCCCCTCACCTGTGAAGTCCACTTTGCCATACAGGTCTTGAATCTGCGGGGCCAATCCCAACTTGAACAGGTACAAACTGAGGGAAAATAAAGGATGATCAGGCAGTGGGGTGGGGGGGTTGGTTTGGTTTGTTCTTTCTCTTGCTTCTATTATGCATTTTGAGTTTTTGTACTGCTTTTATGCTATGAACCTCCTGAGATCTTCAGATGAAGGGCGGAATACAAATTCAATAAATAATAAAATAATAATAATAACCCCTGGGGGAGATTAAAGGAGAAGCCACAGAAATGCTGTTTGAAGGAAATTTTTGGGATCTCTTCCTCTTACGACTTTTAGATTCAAGTTGCCTCTTGCCCTTAAGTCTTCTGCACATAGAAGATCTCCCCCTGCCAGAACAGGGCAAATTAGAAGCAGGGTAACTCCCTAAATTCCCAAGAATAAATAGCTTCTCACCATGACAGAAATGGAGGGGGGGGTTGTTCTGTAGGGGGCAGGATTAATCACCCATCCATGCTGATGTTAGCACAACCGATTCAGGACCGAGGCAGAAAAAGTTTAATTTCTTTTCTGGCCACCCTAGAAACTAATACTGTATACTGTTAGCATCAGCATGTTCAGTTTTCCAGGCAGGAACTATGGGTGCATGGTTTAATTTTTGATAGAATCAACAAACATAATGTAAGCCCAGATGGGGTTTAAGTAGGCAGTTGAAAAGAATGCATTTCCTTGCCAACAAAGCAAGGAAAGTGAGAATTGACTGATTCTGCTGGGAAGCAGACTGTTGGTGCCTGTTACCTTTCTAAGAGACAGAGAGAAAGAGAAAGGGGCAGACAGGCAAGGATGTTTCTTCCAGCCTCAAAACATCATCTGTTGTATCGCCTCACCTGTGCCCCTCTGTGTGATTACCTGAGTGCGTGAATGCAGTAGATGCAGCGTGGCATGTTCTTCCGGTCATAGATGTCTGTTGTTTCTGGGTAAAAAATCTGAACGCAAAGAGAAAAAGGCTCACTGATTCCTCCACATGCTTGGCAGAGCAAAACAGAGCTCACTCCACTGTGCCCACAAGCTCAGTCCTTTTGTGGGGAGGGGGGAACAGGGAGAAGAGAGGGGGCACTCGGCAGCAAGGAAGAGTTGGCAGGAGGGAGAAACATGACGACTATGCCAAGAACCTGGAGTGAAGAGGTAAAGTGGTTTGGAGTGCTCCGGTCTTGGTTCCCATGTGCCTATTTCTTCTGCCAACACCCCACCCCCCACCTTCAAAGACTCCTTCCGTTCCCAGTCCAGGCAAAGTTACCTTGGGGAGGCCAATCTCTGCCATTGCATTCAGCCACTGAATCACGTTGTCTGTATGCCGGAAGTGGAGGCCCGTAGCCTGAAACGCAGAGGAAAAAGCGGGAGATGTGAAGGAAGGTGCATTGTAAGTTTCTTTAAAACTGCTTTTGGTATTGTGTTTTAGTATTGTAACCTGCCCTGAGACCTTAGGGTGAAGGGCAGGTAATAAGTAAATAAATAAAACAACGGAGAAGCATCATGCACGCAGGCAGACTGTGTTCAGGTGGATCAGCCCCCTTCACTCCAGAAGCCAGGGATTTGGGGTGGGGGTGGGAGTCGTGTTGACACATTTCTGTGCAAAAGCTGCCGCCTGAGCCTCACCATAGCTGCAAGGGCCTTCAGAAAGCATCCCATGCTCTCCTCTAAGGAAGACTTTCTGCGATCAACAAACGAAACTGAGACTATTCGCATACTTTCTTATTGCTAGTGAAAAGCCATGCACCAATTTTTAGGAAGCGAAATAAAAATCGGGGCACACCAACTGTGACACATCTTCTCATATATCCTGCTCTGGACTTTCCAACAGCTGCAGTTGGGCCAATTGCTTATTTCTGCCCCCGCGAGATGCTTCATTACAGAAGAAAAATGCTTGCCTACCTTATACCTGGTCTGCTCCCGGTCGTAGATCTTCTTGAGAGACACCACTTTGGGGGAGAAAAAGTTTCCAAGTTTGGCCAGGTAGACCCCGTTCCTGAGCCCCTCCTCCAGCTCCGTTGTGGGGGGCAACTCTTCATTGAGGCAGGCCTCCATCCACCTACAAGCAGGAGGGGTGGGGGAGAAGGATGTGAGTTGGGAAAGAGACCACCCAGTTCTAGCTTTTTATTTTTTACGCTTGCATGCCTGCCTTTCAACAAATAACTACCAAGGATGGCTCATAAGGAATTAATAAGATCAACTGCGGTGGGGAAGGGCTGTGGAACTACATTCCTGACCCCACTTGGGAGTCCAGCCCAGAAACACCCTCATCCAAGAGCATCTGGACCTGCACACAGACAAAGCACCTGCTTGAGCATCTGGCCCAGAAAGGAACTCCCCCTCCTGCAGAGGCTTCCTTGGTCAGTCATCTGCCACTGCCGGTTCTCCCAAGGAGGCACAGCCATTAATAATGGTCTCTTGGGCCTGCTAGCCAAGTGGTCTCCTCCAACTACCTGTTATAAGTAAAGATGGCCAAGAATCAAGCTGGCAGGCCCCAAGGCTAAGGCTGGCCGATATCTGGTTTTCAACATTGGGATATATCACCAGTTAAACATTGTGATATACAGTGGTACCTCTGGTTACGTACTTAATTAGTTCCGAAGGTCCGTTCTTAACCTGAAACTGTTCTTAACCTGAAGCACTTTAGCTAATGGGGCCTCCTGCTGCCGCCGCACCACCGGAGCACAATTTCTGTTCTCATCCTGAAGCAAAGTTCTTAACCCGAGGTACTATTTCTGGGTTAGCAGAGTCTGTAACCTGAAGCGTATGTAACCCGAGGTACCACTGTACCAATATATTGTATAACAATGTCTGAAATAAAGATGGAACTATGTAGAGGGGAACAGTAGGGCTGGGTGATATCTGGTTTTCAACTTTGTGATATACCACCAGCTAAACATCTCAATATTCTGATATATCACAATGACTGAAATACGGATGGAGATATATAGAGGCATTGGTGGGCTTCACAGTTTTTCCCATGTTGTGAGTTTTGCATAACACACACACACACACACACACACACACACACACACACCTCGTATTAAATCCAGGTCAAAAACTAGGAAAACAATATAATATCATGATATGGACTTCAAACCAGTTTTGAACAATATATTGCCTAGCCCTACCCAAGGCAAACTCCTTTGAGAACATTCTCCACCACTTTGGGTTTCAACAGCTGAACAGCGTCCCACAGAGCATAAGCAGAGGTGACCCTCAGCCTCTTTGCCCAGTGACTGAGCAGCAGCAGCAGCAGCAGCAGCCCTCCTCGCAGGGGTGTTGGTTGTACAGTATGTTTCAGTCGCTGCACTGGCTTCCCTCAAGCTGTCATAGTGAAGACAATCCAGCTAGCTTCAGGTTCTGCCCCCTCAATTCCAAAAGGACCGAGAAAAGACCTTCCAGGCAGACCTGCTTTGGCAACAACTTCCTTCCGACTACAGAATACAAAACAGCAAAGGGTGACTCAGGAAGCAGCAGGATTACCGCATCTGCAGGGGGTGACTTTGGCTGAACCAGCGACAACTGGTCCCATCCTTTTTCTCCCAGAAACCACAGCTCTGCACTTCCTCCTCTGCTGGGTGCTTTTCTCTTTCACCCCCCCCTTCCTGTTTATTGCCAGGGAAGGCAGCTGCCCAACCCCTCCCTCTCTTCACGGCCTGCTCCAGCCAGGTCTGAGGCAACATCCAAAGAAGAAATGTAAGCCAAGGGCCATCTATGGGCTACAAAAACGAGCCACAAGGCATCCTCCAAGATGGTGGGGCAGGTGGGCACAGGTGCTTTCTGCATGGGTAAAATGATGCCAGAAGAGGGGGTGCAATTGTGCCCCTTCCTGTCTCCAATAGAGCAATGAGTCTAAGCCACAAGGAAGTCTCTTGCAGGGGAATGAAGGGGCCCAGCTGCCCTTGTAATAGCCAATGTCTGGCTTCTGCAGGGGGGGCTGTGGCCTCCATGAACCATCCATGCTGGATCCCCACTAGCAGCTGCCTGGGGGAGCCGCAGGAGCTCAGGTACCCTCAGCTCCTTCTCAGCCCTAACGTGGGGAAAGTTTTGGAGCGTTGCTGAGGACCCCAGAAGGTGACGCTTCAGCAGAGGCATCTCTTCCCCAGGCCAACTGTGGAGTGGAGGCCCTGGGGGACCCACAGCCCTCTCTGTCTCCCTCCCTCTGGGCCAGGGCTCTGCTTCCCTACCTGCATGCACCAATAGGGGGGGGACTGGGGCACTGGCCTCCCACTGTCAGCTCCTCAGGCTGGGTGGCGGGGGGGGGGGAGGAATAAACCAGCCATTGAAGCCTCTGACAAATAAGTCTACAATGCTCAGGAAGGGAGGAGGGAAGAGAGGCAGAACCCAACACACCCAAACACACCAGCCAGACATGTTTCACCATGAGAGGAGGAGGCGGAGAGCCCTCCAAAGCTTGCAGCTGGACAGACAATTTGGGGGTGGGGCACTGCAGGGAACTGGAAGAAGCAGCACAGGAAGTGCAGGTGGCAGATGTGGGGTGGGGGTTGATTTAGCAGGCTCCAGAAGGGCCGGCACACTCTTGCAAACCTTTGAGAACAACTATTTTTAGGAGCCTCCAGAAAGGCCCTTTCCCCACTTTCCGAGCCAGAGGCTCGTGGGCTGTCCTGGCTGGCTCCAGCTCTCCAATGCCCTCTGAGCCAGGCAGAGAAGTAGGGAAGGAAGACGCTTCCCCCCAGCCTGCAGCAGATGCCCCCTGCCCCCGGCATTTGCCTCTGCTCTGCCACCAAAAGCCTCTGGGAGGAAAAGGAGCAGAAAGGAAAGTGTGGCTGGGAGGCCTGCTGTTCCACCCCCTGACAGTCCCATGAGCTCCGAAGGTGGGGCAGCTACTGCCACACCCCTTCCTCTGTTGCACAGGTCTTTCCTTTCAGTTAGCTTTTGGGGGGGCACGGGGAGCGGAAGGCTGCCTCTAAAAAACACCTCTGAAAAGGGTGCATCTGTGCGAGGGAAACTGCCTTGTCTAGACTCACACAGAGAAACAGCTAGGAAAAGGAATCCAGCCCACCCAGAGGCAGTCCTGAAATGGAAAGTTATTTTCCAAGGACGAAGCAACATTTCACAGAAACTCTGGCCAAATCCTCAGATTGCTCAGTTCCAACCTCTTCCTCCTACACCCACCGAAAAAAACTTTCCAGTGAGCGGCTCAGGCAGGCAGGCAGGCAGGCACTGCTACCAAATTTAAAGCATGACATCATCCCAGGCCACACCCAGGCCTGCTGTGGCTGCTGTGGCATTGAATGTGCTGGCAGAGTTAGGCCAAGCCACGCAGCTGGGCTCTGGGAAAGACCAGCGCTCAGGCAAGATGTTTTACGTTCTTAACACTGCAGGGGAAAAGGGCCCACTCTGAGGAAACACCCCCATTTTCATGCACCCCAGCTAGGACAAACAGGTGCTCTGGGCAGCCCCAGCCCCACCCGGAAAACCCCTCCCCATTTCAGCCACCAGTCTCTGGTGCAGGATGCCAACAGCACCTGTTGAGAAGGTGGCTAATACTACACCAGTGTGGTGTAGTGGTTAAGAGCGGTAGTCTCTTAATCTGGGGAACCGGGTTCGTGTCTCCGCTCCTCCACATGCAGCTGCTGGGTGACCTTGGGCCAGTCACACTTCTCTGAAGTCTCTCAGCCCCACTCACCTCACAGAGTGTTTGTTGTGGGGGAGGAAAGGAAAGGAGAATGTTAGCCGCTTTGAGACTCCTGAAGGGGAGTAATAAAGCGGGATATCAAATCCAAACTCTTCTTCTTCTTCTACTACTACTACTACTACTACTACTACTAATAATAATAATAATAATAATTTATTATTTATACCCCGCCCATCTGGCTGGGCTTCCCCAGCCACCCTGGGTGGCTTCCAACCAAATATTAAAATACAGTAATACATCAAACATTAAAAGCTTCCCTAAACAGGGCTGCCTTAGAAGGCTAAGCCTTCCTGAACTCTCAGGAGAGCCTCATGCACTGCTTCCTCCCTCCGCCTCCAAGGAGGCAGCAAGAGAAGGGTGCTCTCTGGGCAAACAGCGGCCCTGCCAAGGGGAGCCGGGCAGGAGGGACTCTCAAAGGGAAGCAAAGGACTCTCTGAGGCAGAAGAGGAGGTCAGATGCTGGGGGGGCCACATCCCCTAAGCTCTCTCATCAGACGGGACAGCTGAATGGGACAAAGCTGTGGGCAGCCATCCATCTTGGGCCTGCCCATCATCCATGTTTACTATGGCAAACAGCCAGCATACTAAAACCAGAATTTCTGCATATAGCCTGCCCATAAAAAGCAAGTTTGGAGTGAGAGACTAGGGTTCACTGTTTCCAGGAACCCTTCTCGTAGTGAGAATTTTGTGGGTGAGCTGAGAGTTTGTTTGGATGCTGAAGGCAGAGGAGGAGGATGTGTCAGAAGGAAAATGAATTGATATTGATTTATTCATATATTATAAACTTTGCATTAATATGTTTTTACATGTAACTGTGTATTTTTTGTAATATTTTGTTTAAGTTGACTGTAGTTGCTTCAGTTTTCTGTACACAGCTTAGAGATACTTTTAATATATCATATTTAATATGTTATCATAATATAAATAATCTAAAAAGAGCCTGATGACACCAAGGGCAGAAAAAGAACCTGTCAGCAGCACCAGGAGGAGAATTCCCATTTCCACAGGCAGCTGAGCTGTAAAAAAGGTAAAGGTAAAGGACCCCTGGATGGTTAAGTCCAGTCAAAGGCGACTATGGGGTTGCAGCGCTCATCTCGCTTTCAGGCCAAGGGAGCTGGCATTTGTCCACAGACAGCTTTCCGGGTCATGTGGCCAGCAGGACTAAGCCACTTCTGGTGCAACGGAACACCGTGACAGAAACCAGAGCACACAGAAACGCCGTTTACCTTCCCGCCACAACGGTACCTATTAATCTACTTGCACTGGCATGCTTTCGAACTGCTAGGTTGGCAGGAGCTGGGACAGAGCAACACTTTGTTGTATGCCAGGAGTATTTGCTGCCCCACTGAAATTCACAGCCCTATGTTAGCTGTGCCCATTAATTTCAACGAGCATACTCAGAGGAAGACTAGCACGGGGCACAACCCTTGATCTACAGATTGAAGGCAAGGCATCCGCAACGGTAATCAAGGCCCATCATATAATCAAAACCAACAAATCCAGAAAACTCTGTCAGCACAGCAGGGACAAAATGGGAGTGGGAAGGAGTTTCCTCTGAAGGGCAAGAAGAACAAAGCAAACCCGTCCAACTTGTTTGGCCTCCCCTGAAGGGCCCTCCCCGTGCGGGAAAACTAGGTGCAGGAAGGAGGAGCGCCAGGTAGTTCTGGGAGATGTTCCAGCCACCTTCATCAGCTGCAAGGAGGAGGCAGCCTCCATCCCCCTGCCCTGAGGCCGCTGCTGGGGGGGGGGAGGAGGGAAGGGTCAAGCAGCCTCAGCCTTAGAGAGCAGCTGCTGCAGCCCCATCCTTTGGGGAGGCAACTGACCTCCTAAAAAAACCCTGCCAGCCAGGTGGGCTGCCCTTCTACTTCCTTCTCTCTACAGCGCCTGCCATGGATCATGACCCCTGCCTCTCTTTGACACCTTCAGCCCTCCATTACTGCCTTGGACCTTGACCTCCTCTGACCTCTCACTCCTCAGGCGCTTGACCTCCACCAGCCCATGTGCCTGTGGGTGACTGGCCAGGTCTGTTGCCCTCCCAGCCCGCCCTCTGGGGCAATGGGAGCTGGAGTCTGACAACAGCTAGAGGGGCCCTGAGGCCCCCAAAAGATCAACACTTCTCTGCCCAGATCTCCCCCAAGAGGTTCTTTGTCTTGGGACTCCAGAAACAAGCACACCACTGGGCCAGCCCTGAAGTGAAGGCAACCATAGGCCCGAGTCCTGAGCTGCGCCTCTCATCTGGAAGCTTCCTCAGCTGAGGCTTCCTAGTGCTTTTTGCGTATCATTCCATTTTCCCAACATGTATTCAAAGCAGCATGCAATGGAAAAAATAAACCACAGCCATAAAACAAGAGACACGTGAGATTCAAAGCAGCTCTTAGCCGTTCAAGGGAGCAAAGTCCTCCCCTCCAGCACGATCCCAAATATCTTGCCCTGAAGACCACAGCACCCAGCTCCTCAAAATGCATGGCAGGGTCTCTCCCTCAGCACAGCAGCAGAACCCACCACCTGGTTCTTGGGCCCCAGGGCCATTATGGCCGCTTGGCAGCTGCAGGGATCTGTGCAGAGCGGTAGCAGCAGGCAGCAGCATCTTCTCCTTGCCCAAGCCCTCTTCCAAGGTCATCTTCCAATTCACAATGGGCCACAATGAGTCCACCTCCCTTCTCCAACCTGACACTGCAAAGAACCTCCAGTGTCACAAGGGGAAAACAGTCAAGCAGAGGAGCAGGGTCATAGAGCAGAAAGCAGCAGAGTGCCATCTTGGTGAGAACTATAGGCTGGAAACGTTTCGTTTTAAACCACTACTAAATTTTTGTTACAGCTGGGTTCTTTTAAGTCATGTTTATGCAGTATTTTATCAGTATTTTGTGCCTCAGCTGGAGAGGGGTGTCCAACCTCACTGAGCATGAGCAAAACCCACCCACTGAAAGAGCTGTCCCGCCAGGAAGCTGAGCTTGACTGGGCAGGCAACCAAAGAGCCCACCTCTGACTGCAGCCAACCCTGTCAATACAGTGGTATCTCAGGTTAAGTATTTAATTAGTTCCGGAGGTCCGTACTTAACCTGAAACTGTTCTTAACCTGAAGCACCACTTTAGCTAATGGGGCCTCCTGCTGCCGCCGCACCACCAGAGCACGATTTCTGTTCTCATCCTGAAGCAAAGTTCTTAATCTGAAGCACTATTTCTGGGTTAGCGGAGTCTGTAACCTGAAGCGTATGTAACCTGAAGCATATGTAACCTGAGGTACCACTGTATTTGTTTTCAACAAGAAAGGTGGGGGGACTGGCCTAAGGCATTATGCCATTACGCAGAGCCATCATGGCCAGGGACTTTGGTGACCAAGGGCACTCCAAGGGCCACAACAGGTTCTTACCCCGACATAAATATTTTTTTCAGAGGAGGTGGAACACCAACAGGCTTTGCGGTTATTGAGAACTCTGGGTGGACCAGAGCTGGGGTAGGGGAGAAGAGAGAGGGGCAAGGACTCCAAAGGCCAAATGAGCCACTGCTCACCAGGCCCTGAAGAAGCCTGGAACCAAAGCAGAGCCTGAAACTGAACCCAGCGGTGGGAGGAAGGTGACAGTCTCCGACCTAGAAGACATGGTGCAAACCCTGCTGCGAGTGTCTCTCTTGTGCAAGACACATGTCGGGGGGGAAACGTTACTTCCTCTTCCAAGAGGTGTTTTGTCCTCACTCGGTACTCACAAAGGGGCCTTCACGGGCTGTGCTTGAAAGAAAGCCAGGATCTCTGCCCTGAAGGCCTCAAGGTCTAGTTCCCACACCACAGGGCCTGTTCAGGCAAGCAGCGAGTGCTTTGTTCCAAAGGCTGACTGAGGGTCAGTGGTTGCAACACCAGGCCAGCGCTCAAGCAGCTGGGAGGGGGGAATTGGGAGATCCCTTTTCTGCGTCAATGTGGCCTGAATCCTCCTGACACACTTGGCTCGCCCGCACTGGTGCGCACGGCCAGCCTTCACACAGCAAGTCAAAGTGCGGGGAGGAAGAGAGAAGACAACAGCCCTCCTTCGGCAGCTAAAGAAAAGGATCAGCCTGGGCACGCTGCTGCTTCTTCAGAATCTCCAACGGCACATCTGGGAGGATCCTTGCCAGGTGTGTGGAGCCCCATTGTTGTCAGCTGCCAAAACGCAGGATCCTCCCCCACCGATAACAAGCCCAGGCACCTGCTGAAAACTCCCGACTGTCAAGCATGTACAAGTCCCTAGCAAGTAACTTGGAGGGCATAAGACTGCAAAGCCTCCCAGGATCCCCCAGACATGCAGGGCTGGGGCTCAGAGCTGGAAAAATGGCTAAGGACCAGCATCAGGTTTTAGATTCGGGGGGGGGATGGGGACCAGCTGCCTAATTTAGATAGTTGCTGGGATTTATCCAGCCTTGATGGTGGGTGTTGCAAAGAGCAGCAGCAGGATACAGGCAGTCAGAGGCAGAGGAACCAGGAAGGCACAAGGAGGCAAATGCTAGCCAAGGCAGAAGTATCAGCCCCCAGGAGACACCCCAGCCATTTGACTCCCAGCTACACAGAGAGGAGGGACGCGGGTTAAACCACAGAGCCTAGGACTTGCCGAACAGAAGGTCGGCGGTTTGAATCCCCACGGCGGGGTGAGCTCCCGTTGCTCGGTCCCTGCTCCTGCCAACCTAGCAGTTCGAAAGCACGTCAAAGTGCAAGTAGATAAATAGGTACCGCTCCGGCGGGAAGGTAAACGGCGTTTCCGTACGCTGCTCCGGTTCACCAGAAGCGGCTTAGTCATGCTGGCCACATGACCCAGAAGCTGTATGCCAGCTCCCTCGGCCAATAAAGCGAGATGAGCGCCGCAACCCCAGAGTTGGCCACGACTGGGCCTAATGGTCAGGGGTCCCTTTACCCTTTACCTTTACACAGAGAGGAGGGGCTTGAATCTAGATAGCTGTTGGTTAGAGCATGGTGCTGATAACACCAAGGTCACAGGTTTGATCCCCATATGGGACAGCTGCATATCCCTGCATTGCAGTGGGTCGGACTAGATGATCCTCAAGCTCCCTTCCAACTCTATAATTCTATTAATTCAAGGCAAGTTCAGGGAAGAGGCATTGAGGTGGGGGGCAGCCATCCCTGTCCCCACTTCCCAGAGAGCCTGTGACATCAATGCACTGAGAGTTTTACAGACAGTTTATAAACTAAGAGAGTAAAGCTGCAAACCCAGGTGGGCAAGAAAGATGGAAGTCCCCCCCCCCCCCGTAAAAAGGCCAAGAGGCCAAGAAATTGGTCTGTGCTTCCTTCCATCTCAACTTCATCCTGTTCATGCAAGCAGCAACCTCTCTATGAAGGAGAAGGGCAAGAGTGGCCCATGGGGGGAAGCACCTGCTGTTCCACGCCCAAGCAAAAGTGGGCTTTAAAAAAGAAGAAAAAAGACTAGGGCTAAGGGGACGGTTATCACAGTACCAAACCTGGCAGTAGTACTTTACCATTTACTGGTCTCCACTTTGCTGTCTCGGAAAAGGACCACTGAGAAGCCCTGTGAGATTGGAAAGGGGGACAAAAGGAATCTGCAGCAGGCTGGCGGTGTCTATCGTGCCAAGTATGCTAGAGAAAGGAAGAGAGGCTGCCAAGCCAGGAACTGAGGAACTCTGGGCAGAAGTGCAGCACCTCTGGGCAGAAGTACGGCACACTGATAAGCACCTGTCCACAGCAATTCAAAGAAAAAATTACAGAAGCTTAAAAAAATTGCTTTGTAGGCTTCTGCTGGTACATCTGAGATATGAATGAATGAAGTATATGAATGAATATGGCACACACAACCCAGCTCACCTCCCTCCCAACCCTGGCCAACCTGGCCATGGAAGCAGAGAGCAGCATTTCAGGCGATGGAAGGGCCTGGTGCCTCCACACAGGAGTTGCTTTTATCTATCAGGCTGTAGAGAGAGGATTTAAAAATGGGAACAAGCTTAGAACTTCTGAATGGCACAGCAGTGGAAACCTTGCATGTCCCAAAAGCTGAAAAGTAAAGGGCTGAATCAGCTGAGCTGGCCTTCATCCCTTATGACATAGGTTGCACCAGAACAGGGCCAGCATGGGCTCAAATTACAAGGAGAAGGAACTACGGCTAACCATTGGGTTGTGGGTACTGTTTGGGGGGGGGGTTGTTGGGGGGGGTTAAAGAATTTTATTTGCAATATACATATTAAAAGGTTATGGACCCCTGACAGTTAAGTCCAGTCGCGAACAACTCTGGGGTTGCGGCGCTCATCTCGCTTTACTGGCCAAGGGAGCCGGCGTTTGTCCGCAGACAGGTTTTCCGGGTCATGTGGCCTGCATGACCAAGCCGCTTCTGGCGAAACCAGAGCAGCGCACAGAAACGACGTTTACCTTCCCTCCAGAGCGGTACCTATTTATTTACTTGCACTTTGACGTGCTTTCGAACTGCTAGGTTGGCAGGGGCTGGGACCGAGCAACGGGAGCTCACCCCGTCGCAGGGATTCGAACCACCGACCTTCTGATCGGCAAGCCCTAGGTTCAGTGGTTTATTACATACATACAAAAAGAAAACAATTGTACAAATAACAAGGAGGGGAAAAAACATGTACCGAAAAATGAAAAAGAAAATTAGAAAAAAGAAAAAGAACAAAGAGAAAAAAGAGAAAAGGAAAAAGAGAAAAAGTAAAAATAGAGAAAGGACTTACATGAAAATTGTTTAAATGGGTTGTGTACTTTTGATGGTCTTATTGTTTATGACTACTTTTATTACATTTGTAATTATGTGGGTTTTACTCATGTTGTAAGTCGCCTTGTACATAGTTTTAACTATGGAAACGCAGCATACAAATAATATGCATGTATTATGCAAAAGTTCTTTCTGGAGGCATGGACTGTCCAGGCAATGGAGCAGCTGGAAGCTGGCAGATTCATTTCCTTAGAGGTCACCTTCCCGGACAGCGACCTCTGACCAAGGATGCTGCAGTCAAGGACATCCTGCATCATCGCCAGCCGCCCAGGTCTCTTCAGACCGTGAGGATTCTATGAACTTAAGCCTCGAACTGCAACAGCAGCAAACTGGAATTGGCTGTTTATTTGCCAGCAGTTCTGTACATGCCAAGTCTATTTCCCAAAGGAACAGAAGGTCAACCACAAAATAAGGCTGTTGTCCCTCATCCCCAGATGGATCAACTGCGGATCAGCATGAGGGCAGGAGTGGAAGTTTTGCCTTTGCTGCTCCGCAACTACAGTGTCCACAAAGCAGAGCCCACTGACACTTCACAGGGCAGATGCTCTTACCAGCCAAAAATACTGACCTTTTGCTGCACATGGCAAAGCAGCAGAACAACCACAAGAGGATACTTGCTAAAACCAAGGTTTAGTTTTATTTTTGCAAACTACTTTTACAGATTTTTCAGAAAACACCACAAGAGCAAGCCAGATATAACACAAGGGAAAAGAGGAATTTCCAAGCACATTTATGACTGCAGCAGGAAATCCAGACAGACACTAAGAATCCAATCAGAGAGTCTCTCACATCCATCGCTCACATCAGATCAGAATGATTAATGACCCACAGAAAAAGAGAGACGCTCTCTCATTGGCCAATGAAATAAATGGAAACCAACATGATTCTGTGGGCAGTGTTAATCCATTTGTTCTGGCCCGTTTCGAAAGTATTTGGTCCCACTACTGGTTGACAGGCGGCATCAAAGGGTCTCTCACCTGGCTGCCCGCATCAGATAATCCAACAAGCTTCCTACCCTGTGGATTTCAAACTGCATCCACTTCAACAACACTGAGCAAAAAAACCATCATAGCTTCAGGCTCCACAGATTTACTCAATCCAAGGCGAAGTTCACAAAACACTTGAGCCCAGCCAGCTATTTCCCCACAACTTCTCCACCCTCCAGAGGAGAGCCCCTTGTCAACAGCTTTAAGAGATGGAAACTAACTGAAAAGGGCCTAGAGGGCACTTTATTGCCAACTAACCAAACCAACATTTCTAACTGGAAAGGCTTCGCAAATTGCAGAAGCGCAAAGCCTCTTGCAAGGCTGCTGCAGGCTCTGCACTTTGGGCCCGGAAGAAAGAAAGGAGGGAGGAAAACGTGAGTCACTTCCTCATCTCATTCTTGGCCCAACAGTTCCTGTGTCATATTAGGGAGAGACAGAGAGACAGAGGAAGGAGGTGGTTAGGGTCAACCACATCGCACAAACTTGGGCAGCAAATGTTGCTGGTGGGGGGTGAACTCATGGGAGCTGTGGGCCAGGGATTCCCCATCAGCCCAAATCTCAGGTGCTGCTTGGAGGGGAGACCAGACACCAGTCTGGCAAGTGGAGATAGCCCCTTGCTCTGGTTCCTGTTCCAGGGCTTGCCTTGTCACAGAAAAGGCTCCCCAAGAAGCCTCAAGGGGGCAGGGGGCAAGATGCTCAGAGAAAGATGCTCCAGGGAAAGGCTTCTTGGTGGCTCCACTCTACCTTGGGAAGGTCTCTGGGTTTGATGCACAGCACTTCCAGGCAGAACTGGGGAACAGACCACTTCCTGAAATCCTGGGCTTGCCTTGTAAACAACACTGAGCTAGATGGGCCAATGGTATGAGGCAGCTTCCTCTCTTCCTAGAGCAGGAGAACCTGAACTGCCTCTGGACCGTAAGACATCATCAATCCACCTCAAGCATCTGCAAAAGCAGTGTTGAACCTGCTTTTAAATCCTCTCCACTCCTGTAGCTCCATGGCCAGTTCAGAGGTCAAACGCAACCCATAACCAACCCCAAAACACACTTGATACATCCCCCTCATTGCAGGAAGCAGCTTCCCTATTAAACCCCAAGCTTCCCTCACCTTCTGACATATCCCACAAACCTGATTTATCTTCCAGGCTATTAACCACTACCTTTTTGCTTTCGTATCCAGCAGTGTTATTATTCTGCCCTGTAATCATGCTCATTAATTTGGCGATCACATGCTGATTTATGCTTAAAATACTATTTGTTTCCAGAGCAGCTTCAGGTGATACGAAAATATGGTTTCTTTGAAAGCAAAAGGAGTAAAAAGAGGTCAAAAATAATCCACTGGGAACTGCAGGTGGGAGTGGCACAGCCAAAGAGAAAGCAACGGAGCAGCTTAATTGGCCTGTCTCTAGGTGCCAGAAAACGGGGCAGCTGTTTCTGCAAAAGGCTAGGCCTGGCAACAAAGCAGCAGGTCCAACGGCTCAGGGATGCTCTGTTCCTCTCCCCACCCCAGCTGGAAGCTGCAATGAGCACCACTGGTGGTTTGAGCCAATGATACCCCTTGAGCATCTTAGCAGCATGGGGTTCACCACCCCTCTGAAAGGGCCCTCTTACCTCTTGGCTTCCTCCAGGTGGCAAAGATATTCATAGGCCACATTCTGCCGTCTCCGCTCATCCATCTCTTCTGCAGTCATCCTCTCATTATCCAGGACAGCTGCAAAAAGGCAGGACAGGGTCAGTCCAGGGAAGCCAGAAGGCTCCGAGGCAAAGTGCAGCTCAACAGGGGGTCGTCCCCAAGTGGGAGGTGTTGGGAGCTGAAGGAGCAAAGCCTCACTTGGGTGCCCAGAAGCACCCAAGGTCCGGCACCCCACCCACTCCCCCCAAACAGGACAGCTAGTGCCAAGGGTTTGTTTTTGTTTTTTTGAATGGCTCACCTGTTCCCTCCAAGTCCCACCTCAATACAAGCAACAAATGGGGAGTCAACCCCCCTATACCACTTTACTATGTATTTAATTTAAAGCATTTTCACCCACCCTCTCACCCCTTAGGCAAGAAGATTGCCAGGGCTGCCTTGTTTGCAAAAACCAGGAGCAGGATTTTAACCCCAGACTCCGCTGGGAAGACGCTCGCCAACCGAAAGCACAGTGCAGGGAGCATCCTGCCCACCCTAGAAAGTACTAAAATAAGGCTCCACCATGCAGAGCAGAGGCCCCAGGCTCCAACAGAGGAGGAAGCTAATCCAGATAGCCAGTCCAAGGACAGACTTGCCAGGTGCACACACCTGCTGTGACAACAGGGTGAACAGTTTACATTCAGTGTGCTCCCTTCCCCCCCTCCACAAATAAAAAACAAGCTGATGACAACATAAAGCCACTGCACTGCCTGAAACTGAAAGTTCTTCTGAGACTTCCTGACTATGCTCACAACCATTCACAAGAAATAGACAAACTAACCCTGTGCCTTGGGGGGGGGGGGGAGAGACAAGACACAAATCAGTGACTCTTGCAGAGGCAGGATGAGTGGCTGGGGTAACCCAGTCACATGGGCAGGGTACAAATAAAATAATTATCATCATCATCATCACCATCCTCCTCTCTTTGCTGAACAAGCCAGCTTACTAACTGAACGTTCTAATAATTACAGCATCCTGGTTTGCCATGAAACAGAGCCACTCCAAATCCTTGTAAGCAAAACGCAGACTTTGGGCCCTGGAGCCCACATGCCTTTTGCATCAGACAAGGAGTCTTGCGACACCTTAAAGACCAACGCCTGAGATTCTGCACTACAGAACTACTTGATTTGAGGCAAAGTGAGCTTTTGTGAAATGGGCGGGGCTCCTCAGTGGCACTTTCTGTATAAAACTTTGAGATCTTGACCAGTCAGTGCCCAGAACCTTCCAGAAGCATGGGAGGATAGCTTGTGAGCAGAAACGCGTTTCTCCATGAGTCAGAAAAGGAACGGTCCAGCCAAAGTGAGGCATGAGAACGCTCTGCTGACTCCTCTGGGAGAATAGAGCAAAGGGCACCTTCCCTCCCTGCATCTAAAAATACCAGGCTGTTTGGTTGAGAGTGGTAAATATTCATAATTTGCCACAGAAATATATCTGACAGATCATAACACTTTGCCTCAGGTATAAGATCCCCACTGATTCCCTTTGTGTAGGAAAGTCAGCTTTAGTTCAATGACTTTGGTAACAGTCCCATGCTCCACATTTTAAAAGTATCCATCAAATCTAGTTGAAGACATAAGGCTATAATGGCGGGGTAATGAAGACCTCCAGTGGGAGGGTGCTCCACAGGACCAGCCCCACAACCAAAAAGGCCCTGCTCCTCACAACCAGTGCTGCAGGACTCAAGATAAGAGCTGTTAAGACAGTGGAAAGGTGTCCCTCGGGAAGTTGTGGACTCTCCTTCCTTGGAGGAGATGTTGGATGGCCATCTGTCATGGATGCTTTTGCTGAGATTCCTGCACTGCAGGGGGTTGGACTAGATGACCACTGGGTCCCTCCCAGCTCCACAATTCTATTATATTTTACAAATGCACATTATATTCCCAGGCAACTATTTAAATCAGAGGATCCTAAAATAACTTCCTTTAACATAGTGGTTTGGGAGAAGATCCTCAGTTGGGAGAAGACACTCATTTCTTCAGTCATCTGGATGAGACAATCCTGACACCCCTTGAGCAGCTAGGATGAGCAGGACTTGCACACAAGATGCTCCAGTTCCAACCCTGGAGCTGAAAAGTCCTGGCTCAGATTAGAGCTGCACGCTGTAATTGACAGCACGTTCCTACACCACCACACAAAGAACTGCAGTTTGGTAAGAGTGCTGGGAACTGTAGCTCAGTGAATGGTAAACTACAGTTCCCGGGATTATTTCTGGGGTGTGTTTAAATGAATAGTATATATACACCCACATATGCCTCACTGCCTCTAACGGGGTCATCCACTCCTACCTGCTGGGCAAATTCCAGGTATAGGTTTGTGGAGACAGTGGACACTCGGGTTGCGAACGTGATCCGTGCGGGATGCACGTTCGCAACCTGCATCTGCGCGGGTTGCGATTCAGCGCTTCTGTGCATGCGCAATTTAGCGTTTCTGCGTATGCGCGACCGCCGAAACCCGGAAGTAACCCATTCAGGTACTTCCGGGTTTCGGCGGTCCGCAACCCCAAAAAACACAACCTGAAGCGGCTGTAACCCGAGGTATGACTGTACTTCTGTCCCGTGACATTTGCCATTCTGCCCCCATGTTTTTCAGCCTTTATGTGAAGCCACTGAATGAGCTCATCCACTGGTGAAAACCAGATCTGTCGGGAAAGGGTTTGGAAACAATGGACTAGATGAGGCCCAGTAAACTGAAAAGCCAACCTGACAAGGTAGAAGAACCATCTGACAGCTTTGTGTGTCCAGGATGGTGGTGCTCCACATGCTCTGGAGGGGCTGTACTCTCCCTAAAGCAAGGGTCCCCAGCATTTCTGGGCCCAGGGATAGATTTAAAAAAATCTAAGAGCTGTCAGGGCCACCACAAAGTACCCATTTCACAGAAGAAAAACTGGGGATGCTCATAAACATTCCCTGCAACAGACAAACCCCACTGTCCATGAATCGTTCCAAGGCCTAAGGATGAAGGGTGATATACAAATTTAATAAATAACAGTAATAGCCCCTTTTGCACCTCACCAGCCAGGCCCGATTCTATAGCCGGCAGTTCCAGAGCCACCAAAGAGGAATCCCTTCCTGCTGCCAGCTTTGAAACTACGCCTGGAGAGATAGGAAAGGACAGAGCAACCATCCTTATTGCCTGTAGACAGATCCTGTGGCTGTTTTCGATGCTGCCATTTCCTGGCAGTTTGGCATAGCAGGAACTGGGCAGCAGCATTATTCACACAGCCCACCCACAAAAAGTAGCAGCAATGACTTATGAAAGAATGTAGGTTTTAAAGTAAGGCTTTGACGTTTTTTAAAATCCCCCTGCTGCCACCAGTACAGAGAGCCAGGCTGATGTAATAGTTACCGACTGCTGGATTAGGGGTGGGGAGATCCAGGTTCAAATGCCCATCAGCCCAAAAGTTCATTGGCTGATCCCTGGTTAGCCCTGTCTCTCAGCCTAACCTACCTCACAGGGTTGTTGGGAGGATGAAATGGGATAGAGAGAACCTTCAGGTCTTTGCAGGAATGCTGGCAAACAATGTAAAATGGACAGCTCATTTCCCCCACTTTCTACATGGAAAGGGTAGCTTGGATTAGCAGGCAGAAATCCAACAGGTTATGGCAAGGGTTCAGCTCTTTAACTTGCCTCCCCCCCTACTCAGACCCATTTCCAGCCTAAACCCAGCACTCAGCTGCAGGCAGAAACCTTGAGCTTCATCCACTTGCACAAAGGGGTGTCATCCACAGAGTTCACAAGAAACAGGGAACACACGGTCGCCTGAGCCCAGCAACACTGAAATATTGGGACTCTTCCAATGTTTTCTAGCTCTCAATACTTCCCTGGGATGCCAAGGTGTCTCCTACAAAATGTGAGGGTGGCTAAGCACTGCCTCGCTGGTATGACACCTTTTGCATCTAGTCCAGCCCTGAAACTCCTCCTCACAGAAACCAGCGAGTTATCCGCTGACGCCCACGTGGAAAGGTAGACTGCCCTCAACCACGGAGGTTTGATTCGCTCAAAGGCTGCCACCCTGCTCGGTGGGAGCCAAGCCTCCTGCACTTGGTGAAGCGAGGCATCCATGGAGCTGGGAGAACGGGCAGTTCGTGCCGAGGACCCGCCCCAGGAGCTGCACGTCGCCGCCCTTCCTGCTCGGGGAGGGGAGCGGTCCTTACCCCGCCCCACGGCCCCTAAAATCGGGCCTCCTCCTCTTCCTCTCCCCCCCCCCCCCGGTCCTCCCGGGAAAAGAAAGAGCGCGAGAGAAAGCGGCTGCTTCGCTCAAAGATGCCCAACAGGGGACCCGGCCCGTGACCCCGCGAAAGGCGACAGCGCGTGCAAACGAGCCCGAGAGAAACGCGCGCCGCTCGGCGAGGCAGGCCGTTCACACGATCAATCCGGGGAGCGCTGCTTCCCGCCCGCCCGCCCGCCATGTTGAGGGGGCGATGGGGAGGCAGGGGGCGCGGAGACTTTCACAGCGGGCCCGGCTTCCTGCTCGGCCAAATAAACCCACAGCCCCGGGCCAAGCAAGCCAGCGTCCTCCTCCCCCGCCAGTCGGAACGATTCCTCCGGGCCCGGTAAGGGCTGTGCCTGGGCGCCAGCTCCAACAAAACGGCCCCGGCGGAGTAGGAGGAGACGCTGGCACTAAACCGACGGCCCGAGGCATCTCTCAAGCCGCAAGCAACGCGCCCTTCCCTCCCTCGGCCCCAGACTCACAGCCGTAGTGGGGCCGGGCCACGCCCGCCCCGTCGATCTCCTCCGGAGTGGCCATGAGGACGAGCCGAGGCAGAGGGAGCAGCGGCGGTTCCGTCTAATCGGAGCCCGTCGGTCGTCCGGCCGGGACGAGAAGGCTGCTGCTGTTTCTCAGGCTGCGGCGGCTGCTCGGAACGCGGGAGGGGAGTGTCCGCTCCGTCCGTTGGGCGGCGGCGAGGAGGTGGAGGCGGAGGGGAAGGCGGTAGGGAGCGGCCGCCCGTTCTCCTTCCTGGCGCGGTGGCGGCGCTGTCGGGCCAGCCCAGCGGGGTGTGTCTCCGGCTGCACCTCCCAGCCCAACCAGCTTGGCAGGAGCCTCCGCCAGGTCGCCCCGCCCAGTGGGCACTTGCTGGAAGAAGCGGCGGCTGGAGCCTCTCCGGGGAGCGACGCAGCGGGGAAAGGGCTCCCACCGGAGAAGAGCCCGAGAGGCGATGCACGGCCCCTTTCCTGAAGACGCGCGACTCCGCGGAGAACCTCCATGCCCAGAGGCAGGATACCCCGTTCTTGCCGACGAAGAAGGTCTTGCCTTCGTATTGCCCGCTTTCTGCCTCCTTGTTGCGGCTCCGGGCTAGCTGCGGTTGGAAACAGGACACTGGGGCAAAGGGACCCATTTGGGAAGCGGGGGTGGTGTTCTGCCCCGTTGCAGTTTGCAACTCTGCATTGCCAACTCCGCGCCCAGTGCAATCGCGAAGGATCTGCAGGAAACCACGGAGCGAGCTGCCTCCGCTTCCTCGGGAAGGAGGGAGCGCCACCGATATAAAGGCAGCTCCAGTACGATCTAGTTATACTATACGGGGATGAGAGGCATTGGAGGGCTTCAGCCCTGCTTGGTAGCAAATCGGTTGCTTGTTCCCTGAGGAAAGAGGAGACATTCTGCGCATGCTCGGGGGTGGGGGTGGCACCTCAAAGCGGGAGGAATCAAGCTCACAACGGGGCACATTGATAGAAAAGGGGCGGGGAAGGTTCGTTTCCTTTAATGATGGCAGATTTTGGCGAGCCCACGAAGAAACGAGGCCGTATTTCGGTTTGCTGGAATTTTTTTCCTGCCCTCATAGGAGTCACGCCGAGGAGTCTTCGCTGCCCCCCAATAAAATATTTGAGAGATCCAGCCCCCCCATAGCTGTCAACTTTCAGATTTGAAAATAAGGGATCAGCAGCCTCAAAAATAAGCGATCAGCAGCCTCACCTGTCCCGGGGACAGCCTGCGGGATATCTAACAATCCGGGATAGCAGCGGGAAACAGCGCTGGAATAAGGGAATTTCCCGCAAAAAAAAGGGAAGGTTGACAGCTATGCCGCCCCCCCCCCCAGTTGATAGTTATTGGCATTCAAATTGTGTGCCTGCACCCTGCCACGTGATCGATTGTGCGGGGCGGGGCTTGCCTGCCCTCCCATATTTTATTCAAGTTGGCAACCCTGCCACCAACTGGAAACCATAAGAAAAATTAAGATTTTTTTTATTAGGTAGCAAGAGTGCTTTTTTTCTTTAAAAAATGTTTAGGGGGTACTCTCTTTTTTTAATATATTTTTATTAAGTACAAATTAGAAAACATACATATTCACAACAAAAGAAAATACAAAAGAAAACGAAAATACATCTAACCAAGGGAAAAAAATTAGAGAATATTTTGTCTCTTTTCATATTTACAGTTACTTATACCTCTATAAAATGCTATTCACAATAAAGCAGTGAAATGAAAGATAAGATATCAGAAAAAAGAAAAAAAGAACAAAGAAAGAATAAAGAAGTAAGAGAAAAAGATCATAAGTGAAAATTTTTAAAAGTAGATAAGTACTCACAATACATAGCCATTTCCCATCTACATTTATATTAAATTGTATAATTTCATCTTGTCCTTATCCTACCTTAAATAAATTGTTTTTTGTTTTTAGGGGTACTCTCATTTTCCTACTCATATTGAAATACTGCCCCTCAATGAGGCCAAACTTAGATGCACAAAATGTTTAGGGGTATGCATCCCCCCTGAAAAAAAGCGCTGGGTAGCAATCTCTCTCTCACACACACACACACTTACACATGCGCGTGTAGCAGCCAATATCAGAGTCCCTCCTCTTTGTAACTTAGTTCTGATTTAAACCTCCGGATATATTATTTCAGGCTACAATTCAGATTTTTAAAATGACCCTGCAAATGCAGCCAGTCCACCATCGTTCTCCGACTGAGAGCTGCTTATAATACCCTCTATAGAGTTTCCATATTTAAAAAAGTGAAAATCCGGACACAAAAGTCTGCCCCCCTCAAAATCGTGTCTCCACTAATGGGAGTCCCCCCATATATCAAGCGGTTGGAAAGTGTTTCTTTTTTTACATAGCCACGTGCAGTTCACCTGTGGCTGTGATGTCATTGCTGCCCCCCCCCTCGTGGCACCATGGGTGTAGGCAGGGGGGCAGCTGCTGCCCCCAAATCAAATAATTAAAAGTATTGCAGTTTTCAAAGAGCTCCCTGATGTTAATTTTTTAATTTAACTTTCTAGTTTTCAAATGACTGAAGATTTTGAGATTTTCCTGAACACTTGGGGCCAAAAGAAAGTAATTTAAAACAACTGTAGTTGGGACATTTAATTCCGAATCTGCTAGACAGAGCCAGACAGAGGATGATGACAGGTGAGTGTCCTGCTCTCCCCGCCCCCCCAAATCCTAGCTACGCCCACGCGGGGCACCTTACGAATTCCATTCTGAAACCCGCCCCTCCTCCATCCAAAGTCGCGGGCGGTTTGAACGCAGCCCCGCAGCCGAGGGCCTCCTGCCTCTGCTATCTTTTGCTAGCTCTACACGTACAAGCAGTGCATTGAAAGCACATTCCCGCCTCGCCCCCAAAATCTTCCCTGCAGCGCCTGCTGCGATTGGCTTCCTCGCCCGTGTTTCGTTTTTTTGCAAAGCCGCGCACAGATCTCCTGCTGCCGCTCTCCTCGCGGTTTGAAGCGCTGTCCCGCTCAGCTTTGCAAGTGCTCGGCCAACGAGCCACGCGCGGTGAGGGCCGCCTGCCCATCCCAGCCTTTTGCTAGCTCTATGCGCTCGGAGGCGGTAGGCGCGCGCACCCCCTCCTTTTCCCGTCGGGCCTTGCGGGGCGCCGTCGTTCGCTCTTCGCCGGCCGCCGCGATGATCCACGAGCTGCTGCTGGCGCTGCGCGGCTACACCGGGGGCCTCTTCGTCGCCGTTGGAGGCGGCGGCAGCGTCTGCCTGCAGGTGGCGTCCCGCTCCGCCCCCTGGGGAAGAGGCGCCCCAGGCCGCCGCCGCCGCCTCCCACCCTAACCGGCTTCTCGTTGCCCTCCCCTCCCGCAGGTGCCTCAGGAGCCGGTGCTGCCGCCTTTCCTTCACCCGAGCGAGGCCGCCCTCCTGGCCCGCGTCTGCCGCCTCGGCGCCTTCTACATTCGCTTCAGCGACTTCGTCGAGCAGTTCGCAGCCGAGCACGTCCAGCCGCCGCCCTCGCAAGGAGGCCCCTCGCAGGGCGGGCAGCAGCAGCAGCAGCCGCCGCCCCCCGGCGCCCCGTCAGCCCCTTCAGCAGCAGCAGCTCTGCCCGTGCAGCCGCAGGTGAGCGGTCCCCTGAGCATGTGCAGAGGTAGGCAAGCGACGCCCCCACTTTTGCCCGCTTGCCTGTCCCTTCTCCGGCCGTCTATGTGCAGTGACCCTCTGCGGAAGCGACTCGGCCCTTTCCCTCACAGGCTGTTTCTCACTGTCCGTTCTCAAGGCCCAAAACAGCCAGGACATGAAGGGCTGCAGCCGGCCGCCTCCACATCTCTCTCCCTCCTGCCCCTCAATACCCAGAAGGGCCCCACATCCCTGTCAATGAGGTCCTCCGAGGTTTATTTTTCCGTTGGCTTTCTTTTTTCAATTGCTGGGCCTTGGGCTTGTTCATTGTTTTGGCTGCTTTTATGGAAGAATGTTGTACTGTAATACTGCTGTCATTTTGAACAGTGATGTTTGTGGAGCAGCTTTCTTGAAAAGCAAGGTGTGCATTTATTGAACAAGCCCTCCTCCCAACTGCACCTCCTGTGCAAGGGCTTTTGTGGCAGGATGCAGTCCCAGAACAATGGAGGGACAGGGGGGTTGCATTGCCTTTGAGTCGCTTCCACTCATGGCAATAGAGGTGGTTCTGGAGCCTTATTCATGCCAGGAGATTAACCATTCCTTGATCCACTTTCAGGATCTGCACCCCTCCCAGCAAGGGATTTATCTGCGGGCTTTCTGCACTGGGCTTGATGCTGTGCTGCATCCATACCGGCAGGCCCTGCTTGACTTGGAGCAGGAGGTAAGGAGGACACAGTGGGTTTCTGTAGTAAATATTGCATGATGCTCTGCCCATCAAATCCAACTGCAGCTTTTTGTCACTAATAGTGGTTTGTTAATCTGTATTAATGACTCCTTTTCACTAAGTCACCCCACAACTAGACATTGTACAAGAATAGAGCATAAATGACTACTTGCTTGCTTAGCAGAGAGAGCACCAATCAGATTGCATCTGTTGATGGTGTCCTTCATAATAAACAGAGACAAAATCATTAGCCATGCAGACAAAAATGCTGATGAGCATTAAATTCCAGCACTATGGCTGTGTAGCTCTGTAGCAGCTAAACCACAGAGGAGGTGTTGGCCCCTTGAAGCAAGAGAAGACAGGCTTCTCTTCTGGTAAGCAGCAGGGTCACGGCATCTACCTGTTTGAGCCAGTTACAAAATTGAAGCTCAGAGAGAAGAACTGGTTGCAGCTACCTTCTGAGCTTTGGGGGTGTGGCGGGGGGCACGGAAAGAGAGACATGGCTATAAAAGGACAGCAGGTCTAACACCAAGCTCTAAAATGCCCCAGGGGATCTGGTTACTGGCAGCCAGTCAGTTCCAGCCTAGTACTCTGGGTGTAAGTCAAGGTTCGGCAGCAGCCACAGACCCAAAATGAGCCCAGAGTGAGTGCAGGGCTGGGGAAACTTATTGACCATGATGCCCAAAGCACCAACTCATGAGCTCCCAGGTGCACAGTACTGGAAGGCAAGAGCAGGGAAAGCACAATTGAAGAGGATGAAGGAATCTCCCAAACAGGCAGCAACATGGGGGGAGGAGGTTGGGGGAAGAGCAGGCAGGGAGCAGAAGGAGGTGGTGAGAAAAGGCTAGTTGAGAGAATGGGCAAGAGGAGCTTAATGCAATATTGAAAGCTGAGGCTGGAGGAGGCTCCCTTCTTCGCAGAAGCAGGGGCTAAGGCTGGAGGTGGTTCCAGACCCAGCAGGTGCTTACCTGACAAGCCAACCTGCACCAAGTTTCTGTATTTTCCCTGACTTCGGGCATAGGGCTCCACAGCCAAAGATTGTCTGTGCCTCAAAGCAGCACTTACCAATTTGTAATTTAAAAGCAGCAGGCCAGTGTAGGCAACAAATATACTGAATAAACCTGCTTTGTTATCCCACTGCTTTGACCTAAAAGGTCTGGACACGGACAGTTCTTGACATGCCAGCCAGTGTCATGCATTGCTAATACCACCCATGTATGTTGGATCTCTGTAGGAAACAGTGCCATCCGCATAACTGCTATATTCAAAAAGCTCCAGGGAGTGCTCCTTCCCTGCTTGATCAACTTAGGAGTTGCAAAACAACAAGTCAAAACAAAGTCTTACTCCAGTCTCTTACCCCCACCTTTCATTTTTTGCAGTTTCTGGCCGATCCTCACCTTACCATCTCGCATGTCAATTATTCGCTGGATCAAGTGAGTTCTCCCTGCCCATACCTCCATTCTGTTAGAGGAGCTCCCTTCTCTGGATTGTGCCTTCTCTTCATGGTTGCCTGCTGAAAAGAGGCTTGCCTATATGAGTGAGCTGTATTAGTTCACACTGTCTTGAATAAGGTCTGGAGGTCTGTTTTGAAGGGCAGGACCTCAACTGCTCTTGCTCTTGTCTGGCTGAGCCCTGGAGCTCTAGCACAAGGGATGAAGCTCCACGGCCACTTTCCTGTCTCCGATCCTTTTCCTGCAGTGGAATAAATAAAAAATCTGAGGCAGGAGGAAGCCTTGACACAACCTCCATAAAGGCAAGGAATCTCTTCCTTCCCTCAGTCAGATTCATTGGCTATCCCAGTCTCTGTAAGGGCCCTCCTGCCCCAAAGGACATCCTGTGAACTGCCAGTGTGAGCAATGGGCGAGTACTTTCTTGAGTCTCTCAGAGAGAGGCTCTTGGGACACAGGAAGCTTGGAAAGAGAGATACAAGGTTTATCATCCTGAGTGGCTAGAATATGAGAATGGAGGGTCTTATACAAGAGCTCTGGCTCCATCTGAGGGGCCACTTACCAGCTTTCCCCCAGAGCACCTTTATTCACCTGCTTAAGGGACTAGTCAGTTTGGAGAGGCCGGATCCTGACGGGGGACTCAGTCTCTCTTCCCACCAAAGAGAAAGGAGAGCTGCCTAGGGATGATTATGCATCACTCTTAACTCCTGTTGGCTGCCTTCCACTGAAAATTATTCTACATTGCAGGCTGCACTGAAGGAAGACAAGGGGGTTAATCAGACCACATTCTTGTGGGGCAGGGGGCTGCCTAGGCAAGCTCAGTTTTTGCTAGAGTACCCATCCTATGAGCAAAGGGCCTCCTCATGAAAGGTAACATTAGTTTAGGCAGATGCCCATTTTCAGTGATAATAGCAAATTCTGGACCCAGCCCAGGTGGCGGCAGCAGCATCAGAGCTTTTCACAAGGAAACATTGTAGACACGCAGAGAAACTAGGAGGCTGCAATCCACATGCCTCTTCCAACTGGTTCATTAAGGTGGCACATCTTTTGTGCAGTATTTAATATGTACTTTGGGTCTGACGGGAAGCTTAGTCTTCCGAACTGCATTTATAGCCTGCATTGATGTTGATCCTTGTTAGTTATTGCATCCTTGCCTGATGTTCAGTAGGCAACATGGAAGGCCTTTCCTTTCCCGTTTCGAGAAAAAGGCTTGCACAGGCATTATCTTAAGGAACATAATCCTGATCATGTGGAAAGTTTGCAAAAACCTAAAGTGTGGTGCAAGTAATTGTGTGTGGTTTAGGAAACATACTGTGGCAGAGTGAATCTCTGTGAGTAGAATCTTGGCAGCCAGTTCCAATTTCTGATGTCCTAAGCAAGAGAAATCTGACACTTTTATCCTATCTTTATCCTACACAGTAGGTACAGTGTCTGCACCTTAAAAGGGGGCAAATAACATTCCTTGAAGAATTAATGAAGTTAGGGAGGTAATCTTAGTAGATGTCTACTTATTTAGGTAGACTATCGGGGGGGAGCCCCAACTGCAGGGGTGGGGTGGGGGACAAAGCATGAAGGCCACACACAAATGAAGCCGCTGTGCAAGAAGGAAGATACTTCCATTTTGCTGTGTGACACTGAAATTAGGGAAGGCTCTTTCCCATGCAGGCTGTTCTGTATAGCCTTCCCTATTGGAGTGAGTGGGGGGAGCAGTTCATAGGAGGATTCCCAACCCACATTAGAAAAAGATCTTGTCTGTCACATTAAGTACAACACTCTGTTCTCTTTTTTCCCCATCCTTGTCTCAAACTAGCAAATCATTCCTCACCATCTGATTCTTGTTTTGCAGTTCCAGCTTCTTTTCCCCTCACTGATGACTGTGGTGGAGCAAATAAAGACCCAGAAGGTACAGTTGAGAATCCTGATCTCCCTTGGTGGTGGCCCTCTTTTTATAGGCACCTGCCTGGCTTGATTTAAAAAGAGAGGGCAAATCTTGTGTGTAACTGAGATGGTGCTGATTTCTCTCACCTCAGTGGAGGTGAAAAATGGGAAGTAGGAGTTCTGATACCATCATCTGCAGAAAAGTAGAGCAGGGAGCTGGAAATGCTGCCTGCATGTGGATGAGGAGCTTAAGATGGGCTCCTCTTCCTCCATCCAGGCCAGCTGGTCTCTGGATCTTTCAGAATCCAGCTGCCAGCCAGTGTTGTAGGAACATGTGGTAACATCAGCTCTTGCAAGGGATCTGCTTTTCATTTGCAGATTCATGGCTGTCAAATCCTGGAGGTGGTTCACAGACACAGCCGAGGTGGCCTGCCACCCGTGCGCCGTGCTTTGGAAAAGTAAGAAACTCTCCTGGGTGGGGCCAGCCCAAGCGCTAAGGAGGAATGCCAGGTTATGGGTCCCAGGAACCTGCCCCCTGAACAAGTTAATGTTCCTGAAGTCCCACTGTCGCCTTGGATGGTTGGATGTTCCATTGTGGCTGCAGCCTGGTCAAGCCCCCTTCCCTCTGCTGCTGTGCCTCCCTCCAGGGTCTTGGCCATGTGCCATGCTGCCATGTACAAGCAGCTCTCTGCCTGGATGCTGCATGGGCTGCTCCTGGACCAACATGAGGAGTTCTTCATCAAGCAAGGCCCTTCCTCGGGGTCTGTCCCTGCCCAGCCCGAAGAGGAGGAGGAGGACCTGGGGATCGGAGGGCTGACGGGGAAACAGCTGCGAGAGCTGCAGGACATGGTGAGGTTTGGGTGCTAGATACAAAGGAAGCTGAATCCGCCTCCCAATCCCTCTAGCTCTGCATTGTCCACACTGCCTAGCAGCCCCTTCCTAGGGCTTCACAGGCTTCTGCCAGTCCCACATGGAGATATTGTTGTGGGGTTGGACATGCAAGGCTGCTTGCATGCAAAGCAGATGCTCAGCCACCGAGCCAGGTGCTCTCTTGCCTCGTGAAACCTGCTTAGCCCCCTCCAGTCATCTTTTTGTAGTTGGAGCTAGAACTTTCTGTTTTGATAGCTCAAGTATTCTTTTCTGACTCTTTAGCCATTGTTTCATGGATCAAGAATCCTGCTCTGCTCCCCACTGACACAGATTGGTGGTTCCAACTAAGTCTTAACACACACCTACCCTTTGATGGACAGTCCTCAGGATTGGGGGTGGGGCTTTCTATTTGGAGCCCCCACGTTTGTGCGTGGGGTTCTTTGACTTTCCCCCATTTTCACCTCTCCTTCCAACAGCGGCTGATTGAAGAGGAGAACATGTTGGCACCCTCCCCAAAGCAGTTCTCTCTGCGGATTGAAATGCTGCCATCCTACATCCCTGTGCGAGTTGCTGAGAAGATCCTTTTTGTGGGAGAGTCTGTCCAGATGTTTGAGAGTCAAAATGTGAGCCTTACCAAAAAAGGTAGGAAACACTTTGACTCATTTCATTCTGCATGGGGGCAGCAAGGATTGAAAGCTGTAGGGTGGTTGTTTCTTGGCTGTCCATTCATAAGGGCACCCTGGGACATAGCAGGGAAGTGCTGGGATGCCTCACCAGAGGTCTGCGCAAGATGGAATGGACCCTCCCTGTAAAGCACTCAAGCCACCCCTCCCCCTTGCTCTGCCACTCTTTCCTTGGGGTAGAGTATGGTGGCTCCATAAAGGTAAAGGTAAAGGACCCCTGACAGTTAAGTCCAGTTGCGAATGGCTCTGGGGCTACGGCGCTCATTTTGCTTTACTGGCCGAGGGAGACGGCGTTTGTCCACAGACAGGTTTTCCAGGTCATGTGGCCAACATGAAAAAGCCGCTTCTGGCGAAGCCAGAGCAGCGCACGGAAACACCATTTAGCTTCCTGCCGGAGCAGTACCTATTTATCTACAGTGGTGCCCCGCAAGACGAATGCCTCGCAAGACGGAAAACTCGCTAGACGAAAGGGTTTTCCGTTTTTTGAGCTGCTTCGCAAGATGAATTTCCCTATGGGCTTGCTTCGCAAGACGAAAACGTCTTGCAAGTTTGTTTCCTTTTTCTTAACACCGTTAATACAGTTGCGACTTGACTTCGAGGAGCAACTCATAGAACGCAGTGTACATAGTAGCCTTTTTTGAGGTTTTTAAAGACTTTGGTGATTTTTGAAGCTTTTCCAAAACTTCTTTTGCAGCCATTTGGTAAGTTAAGCTTTTAAAACTTTTTGGGGGGGTTTTGGATTTTGGGTTGGGGTGTTTGGAATTCAAGGACTTGGTGTTGGGGAGGGGTTTGCAAGAATCTAGAAGCTTGTGGTTTTTTTCTGCATTTTTATGATTTTCTGTGACCATTGGGCCACTCTGCTGTTTTTTAAAAAAATTCTGGATTTGAATTTCTGTGTGCTGGGTGGCTGGGGGAACAGTTGGGGAGGGGTTACAAGAATCTGGAAGCTTGTTTTTTTCCCTGCATTTTTATGATTTTCTGTGACCATTGGGCAACTCTGCTGTTTGAAAATTCTGGGTTTGAATTTTGAAATGCTCTTTACAGTATGTGTGACTTTAAAGAGCACTTAATAAACTCTTGTTGTACCAAATTTGGCTTTGTTTGGACTTTTTTTGACCATAGGAACGCATTAATTGATTTTCAATGCATTCCTATGGGAAACCGTGCTTCGCAAGACGAAAAATTCGCTAGACGAAAAAATTCGCGGAACGAATTAATTTCGTCTTGCGAGGCACCACTGTACTTGCACTTTGATGTGCTTTTGAACTACTAGGTTGGCAGGAGCTGGGACCGAGCAATGGGAGCTTACCCCGTTGCGGGGATTCAAACCGCTGACCTTCCAATTGGCAAGCCCTAGGCTCAGTAGTTTAGACCACAATGCCACCCATGTCCCTACTATGGTGGCTCCATAGCTTTTGGTAAAAAGAAAAGAAAAAGTGAGGCCCTGTTGCTGTTTTGCCTCACCAATACAGCCCCCAAGGAGGTGCCTTTAGTGTTTACATTGAATTAAAATTTCTTCTGCCTGCTGGGTCTAGCTCTCAGGCTGCTTTCTGATGGCTGCTGTGTGTGTGTGTGTGTGTGTGTGTGTGTGTGTGTGTGTAGGACCTGCTTCCTCCTAGCTCTGGTATTTGTACTTAATATAGAACGACTGGGAAGCACTGAAAATATTTTGGAGCTACAGTGCCCTCCTCTCAGGAAGGCCACTTTGGAACAGCAAGAGGTTTTCTGACTTAATACCAGCCAGCTGTTTCCAGGAGAAAACAAAGGCAGACCATCCTCAGCCCACCTCCATTGTCTGCTTTGTTACCAGTTTCCCAAATTGTAGTTGCATCCGCTGCCATCAGATGCACTGCAGAGTCCTCAGTGGGCTGGAGTGAAGCTGTTTTCCATTTCCATCTGTTTAAAATATTTGAAGCATCTTGGTCGTCTACTATATAAGCTTGGGTTGTTGGCATCTGTCAGCCACAAAGCAAAAAGGAGAACAGGCTCTGGTGCTCACAGATGCAAAACTTCATTGAAGCTCAGTGTGTTTCAGGAGCTTGAAAGGCTTCAAATTCTTACAATTCAAACACTCTCCAGTCTTAAATTCTGACCTATTCAAGAACTCGCTTGAAAAACTGGGAGAGCAATTCCCCCTTTTCCTCTCCTCCACTTTTCCAAGCTGGATCTTGATGCAGCCTTGAACAGCCTTTGTCCTCTGCAAAGCTCTGCTGATGGAGGCCATGACTGGCATCTTGCGTCCAGATTAGGCCACTCTTCCTTGCCTTCCGTTGCCTCACAGGCTCCATCCTGAAGAACCAGGAGGACACCTTTGCGGCTGAGCTGCATCGCCTCAAACAGCAGCCTCTCTTCAACCTGGTGGACTTTGAGACAGTGGTGGACTGGATACGGAGCACTGTGGCGGAGGTCAGCCGTAGCTCTAGAGTTGCATGTGCTAAGTTCTTTGTGCGGTAGCAGCAGGGAGCCGTTTGCAAACCCCTCGGCCAGAGCTTGCTGGAAAACCTTTTTCAGGCTGAGGGCCACATTCCTTCTTGGGATTACATGCTGGGAAGGTGGCAGGGATGGAGTCAGAAGCGCCAGGCCAGGCCAGAGCAACCCCATCACCACCAGCGGCATCCATTCAGTGAATTCTCTCCCCTCTCAAGAAAGCCTATGTTAAAAGCTCCCATTAGCAACAATAAAAGCTTTAATAAAGCCTAATCTCTGTGGGGGAGATTTGATTTTAATGGCAGATCAATGCATAGAGCGAGGTGATATTAGTCCTCTCCCCTGCTTTTCAAAAGTCTAATTGGTGCGGGGGGAGGGGGGACAGGTGGGGATCCAGAATTAACATTTGTCTCTTGCTAATGCACCCTGCACAATAATTAAACTTTTTAAAAGCCTCAACTGTTACAATATCCCATAGACCAGCTGTTTGTCAGTCCTGCCATATAGAGCATGGAGAGCCTGCCCAGCAAGGGGCAAGTAGTCTCTGTCACTCAAAGCAAACAGATCAAGTCCTGGCTGCAGTGGGGTGGAAGGTCCCAGCAGCAGCTCGGAGCTGCTGCTGCTGGGGATCCCTGGTTCTTGATGCTGATGGACTGTTTTCTCTCCCTTAGCACTTATGGAAGCTCATGGTGGAAGAATCGGATTTAATAGGACAACTGAAGGTACATGCAAACCTCCATACGGCGCTTCCAAAGCTGTTCCTTTCTCTTTGTGCAGGAGGAGACTCACTCCTGCCAGTGGAGTGTTGCTTGCAGGGGTCCATGGGTTCTGTATCCTGATGCATTTAGTCATTCTCTCCTCCTTTCTAGATTATTAAAGATTTTTATCTCTTGGGGAGAGGAGAACTGTTTCAGGCCTTCATTGACACCGCACAGCAGATGCTGAAGACACCTCCCACTGCAGTGACAGAACATGGTGAGTTTCATGGGCTCTGGCTTCTCCATTAGGCTGAGATGATATGATTGGTGGATCAGACCAACGACTCTCTACTCAGATACTTCCCTGCTTCCCAAGCCTTTCTACCAAGACTCTTGGCCCCTGCATAGGCACAGTTTGGCTCTGTAAGCTGTTGTGGCACAAACTCTGAAAAGGCCATGGGGGGTGGGAGAGTGGAAGCAGGTGACTGTGCCTTCCTTGCTCACTGTGCACTCATCTGGAGTAAGTCGTTCTGGTCTGGCTCTCTTCCTCAGATGTGAATGTGGCCTTCCAGCAGTCTGCCCACAAAGTGCTGCTTGACGATGACAACCTCCTTCCTCTTCTTCACCTGACCATCCACTATTATGGAAAGGAGCACCGAGGTGGGTGCTGCTGCCAGGGAGCCAAGCAGTCCTGAACAGGGCAGGTTTCGGCCCTACCACAACTACAAGCACAAAGCCAATTTGGTTCCGTAGAGGCAGAATGGCAGCCCTAGGTCTGGGAAGCTGGGAGTTCAAAGCCCAAGGCCAGTCTTGTCAATCCCCTGGGTGGCCTGGAGCAAGTCTCTCACCTGCATTAGCTGCCCATTGATAAAATGAGGAGGGTGGCAGGGAAGGAGGGTGGGGTCCAGCAAGGGTTGCTGCCGTTTTGTTGCCCACCTGCCTCCTGGCTTCCTTTTCAGATGCCGCTCAAGCTCGAGATACGCCTTCTCGGGAACTGTCTCCTCATGAATCCCCTGCATCAGGCTGGGCTGCTCTGGGGCTCTCCTACAGGGTGCAGTGGCCCCTGCATATCCTCTTTACTCCTGCCGTCCTGGAAAAGTGAGGGCTGCTTTATCCCTGTTTCTGTTTCCAGGTGGATTCTGTGGCATTTTGGTGTCAAAGGTTGATGGTAGCAGAGCACATTTTTCCTGGGTGGGAGGAGGAGATGCTGGCCTGGTCTGAGCTCCTGGTCTACTTGCCCAGAGACCTGACCCAGCTATCTTTTGCTTGCCTTCCTCTTGGCTTGCAGGTACAATGTGGTCTTCAAGTACCTGCTAAGTGTGCGTCGAGTCCAGGCTGAGCTGCAGCACTGCTGGGCTCTACAGATGTGGTGCAAGCGCCTGGAATCCAACAGGACAGATGCCATCAAGTGGCAACTGCGCCATCACATGACTTTCCTTGTAGACAATCTGCAGTACTACCTGCAGGTGAGCAGCAACACAGGTCTCAGGGGCTGAGGCTTTGGTGCTGCTCCTCCAAGGGATATGCATCAGTCAGTTCTCCCAGCAATACCCTAAATCTCCCACCAAAAATTGATGGTTGGAAATGACTGAAAACAGCAGGCAGTATATTCTCCCTCACTTTTCCTTATCCTCAGGTGGATGTTCTGGAGTCTCAGTTCTCCCAACTTCTGCAGCAGATCAACTCCACCCGTGACTTTGAGAGCATTCGACTGGCACACGATCACTTCTTGAGCAATCTCCTAGCACAGTCCTTCATTCTGCTGAAACCAGTGAGTGATTCCCATAGTCTGTTTGCCTTGTGTCCCCAGGAGAAGAACTGGTCCTGTTCGAACAGTCCAAATGCCCATCCAGTGCAGCACTCCTAGCTCACTTCAATACAAACATGGCAAGAAGGAACTAAAGCAAAAGCCAGACCCTTGTGAGCATGGCTGTGTTGCTTGGCCATGAGCACAACCAAAGCCCTTACCTGCTAAAGTGAATAATGAAGTACAGGTCTGTATAGAAAAGCAGGATAGAAAATAAATGAACTGCAACTGTGTCAGTTTGCCTTCATCATGTGTTTTTTGGGGGGAGTGTCTTCCTGGTGACTTGGTAGCATTTGGCAATCTGGAGAAGCCTGTCAAAGTCCTTCCCCAGAGCACCAGGCAAGTAGGTATGTTCATTGGTCTTGGAAACTCATGTTTAGAGCAGCTTATGATGCTTGAACAGAAATTTCAGGCTTTGGTAGCTGCTGTGCAGTGTATGAAGATTTTTGTTTTGTTTTGTTTGATTGCATCAGCTCCATTAGACCTTAAGAATTGCTCTACTAAGCAAGAAGTGAAATGGTTTGAGTAAACCAGTCCAAATAATCCTGCGGAATCTGGTCATTATCTCAGGCTGCGGAAGGGCAAGACGAGAAGCATCTGTTCTGGTGAGGCCCTCCTGGGCCTTCATCTCCTTTCTGCTCTTTGGTTTTGCAGGCTTTCCACTGTCTGAATGAAATACTGGATCTATGCCATAGCTTCTGCTCACTTGTCAGCCAGAACCGGGGACCATTGGATGAGCGGGGGACGGCCCAGCTGAGCATCCTGGCCAAGGTGGGCCTTGCACTTTTCTACCTGAAAAACATCGCCCAAAGCTTTTGGGGCATCTCTCCTGTGGATGCTGTTGGAAACTCAGAGCAGGCAGCTCTCTGATGAATTCAGCATGGGGTGGGGGAGGGGATAGGAACACAAGAAGTCTGGCCATTGCTCTTCCATGAAACTCATCAGAAACAGCCTTGGTCAGGCCCTTGTGGCATGCTGGCAGCAACAGCTGGGGCCTTTCCTCCTCCAGGACAGCAATTCCCAAAGGGTGAGCGATGAGGTGGGGCAGTTGCCTGGGATGCTTTCTCCCCATATGGGTTCGAGTGGCCTTCAAGTCATCTCTGTTCAGCCCTTTCTGCTAAGGCAGAGCCCTCAATTTATGGCTCATGGGTGCCGTTTACCTTTGCAGGGCTTCAGCTGTCAGTCTTCACTCCTTTTCAAGATCCTCTCCAGTGTTCACAATCACCAGATCAATTCAGACTTAGCTCAGTTGCTGTTACGTCTTGACTACAACAAATACTATACCCAGGCTGGAGGCACCTTGGGCAGGTAGGTCTTGGCGAGTGCCAGGAAATCACACAAGCCCCTTTAGTTATATTTGTGCTGGTGGTGGGAGGTGGGGGGCTCTGCCTGAATGTGGACTCTTCTACAGCTATCCTTAGCCTGGGTTTCCTTGCCTTCCAGGGCTTAAGGTTTTCCAAGGACTGGGAATCTTTAATTACACAGGCCTGTTACTAACCAGAAACGCACAAGGTCTTAAGCCTATTTGAGAGCTGCTGGTGAGAGGGATGTGATTAGGCATCATCTAGACTTTCTGCTGTTTCTGTTTTGGGACCCAGAAGGTGGGATATAAATGTATTTATAACCAGCTGTGTGCTATGTTAAAAAATGCAATTCAAACTTTGCACACTGTGGTCTGTAAATAATATGAAATTGGTTGTGTGTGCATCTCTAACAAGTAGTTTTGGCTACTGTGCCCAATTTACACAACCCTTCTCCCTTCTGCAGCCACAGAGCCCTTCCTCTAATTAACTGCCCCTTCTTTCTCTACAGTGTGGGATTAGAATAGACCACCAGTCTCACAATGAAGGCCATTGCCACCTTTTCTGGGAAGCAAACCTGCTCTGGTCAGGATACATGTTCTGGCTTCTGGAGGAAGGTGCTGAGAGATATTGGGACCTCACCCTGGCACTCAGAAAGGACTCAGTCAGTGTGTGCTTCATTAAATGTGTCTCTAGTGCTGCTCTCCTTATGCTGCATGTTTTTCCGGAAGTGAAAGTGCTGCTTAGCATTGACTTTGAATTGTTTTCAAATGCTGCTGTCACTTGTCAGCAAATTTGGCTCTTTCTACTGCTAGCACTGCAAGTAAGGCTGCGAGCAAAGGAGGTTCTCTCATTGCCCTCGTCATCCAGGAGCCACATTGTGCAAATCAGGGTGAGCGTTGACCTGCTCTTAATGGAAAAGTGTGATCGACTGCAGGAAAGTTGCTTTTCTGAAAATGCAATTTCGTGTCTCTAAATACAGAAGCAGGGAGAAGATACCGTATATTTCCATTCTGGGCTGAGTCTGCCAATGAAAGTGTTCCTTCTACTTTTTTGTGTGGGGGGGTTTGGTGCAGCTTCTTTTCCTCTCACATACGGTGAGGGAGAGGAGGAGAATAAACAAGTGGTGCCTTTCAGGTAACCTGCCCTCCTACACCCCTATTTGTTTCATTTTCTTCTGCCATCACTCTTAATTTTGCTTTTTTTCTCCAGCCCACACGTTTCTTTCTACTCTTCCAAGTTCAGCAGCAAAGGCATACCATGGAAGAACTCTAGCTAGTGCCCAATCCACTGTGTATATATATTTTACTTACCTGAGGGGCAGGAGTCTCCACAAGGAGATTGCCCCTCCCACTCATGAGCTGTCCTACACCAACAATGTGTAAACACCTCCACGTTTGTTGGCAGATCCTAGTCTGCATCTACACAGAGTGTAGGCTGGTATAACTGAGTAAGGAACTCTGGGGAACCCTTGAATGAGACCGTTCTTGGACCAAGGGATAAAAAGGACAGGCCATCTACAGCAATTGATGTCAGCGTATTAAATGAGCAACTTTCCCTTCTTCCCTCCACTGGCAGCTGCAAGCAATCATGCTGGGCCACTTTAGAGAGGGTAAGAGGACAAATCCTAGATACTGCAACAAGAAAATTGACGTTTATTATCATAAAAGTCCAGAAGTTAAAACTATATACAGCACTTCATGCACAGTTCAAGTGACACAGACATTTAAAACCTGGGTGACAATGACAGCCTCCACAAAGCAAAAAGGTTCAACTGGGGACAGAATCAAGCTGATACTTTGGGTGTTTGAATCCAACTTTCTTCCCAGCAATGAGGCACTGGATCACCCACTCTTGGGTCACCACTGGCAGCTGTAGCGCTTCAGCACATTTCAAGAAAGCTGTTGGGCATGAAGCATCAGTCACCACGACATCAAACACAGCCAGACTCACATCTGTGGAAATAGAAAGCAAGAATTGCCCTGTGTAGTCAAACCTTTCCTCTTGCTTGTTCACAGCACCAGATACTTGATCTTGCTGCCTTTGGAAAAGGATGGATGGCAGCTCCACACAAGGAAAGGGGTGAAGCAGCCAATCAATTCTTGCCCTGCCTCATCCAACTTCTCAGCAACCCTCTGGAATCTAAGTTAAAGCTCCTCCCACACCAGGCCTCTTTTCTGCACAGGGGGATTGGTATGTCTCAGTGGGCAACGGAGAGCCTCTTGCCAATATACCCGCCACAGAAACCAGCTGGCTGCCTTCCAGGGGCTTGTACCTTTGCTCCATGAGGCAGATTCCTGCAGTTTAACAGAAGCAGCGCCCCCCATCATGAGAATCTCAGACCAGAGCTCCAGGAAGTCCTGCTGCTCACTGGACACCAGAAGCACCTTCAGCTTACTGAAAGGGTTCTCACGAGAGTGCCTAGAAGGAAGCAAAGGTTAGAAGCAGTTCCACTGCAAGGGAACTGGACATGCCACCCTGTTCCACCTGCACCAGGTGGGTAAGCTGCTCATGGTCCCTCCAACATTCATGGACTTACCAGTCCAGCAACCTCTGCTCCTGCAGGCTATAACCAGCTGGCAACAAATAATTCCGGTAGTTCTGCAGCTGGTTGGCATGACAACTGTCATGGACCCAGACGTGAGACACACAGGGGATTCCTCGGGCAAGGCACAGAAAGTAAATCCGGTTGCGGCAGTGTCTGTCTGCTATCAGGAAGCACTGGTAGGCTGCACTGCACTGGACAAAGGAAGTGGAGGCTGGGACCTGGGCTTCCATAGAAACACAAAGCCCTGGAAGAGGCTGCAGGTTCAGTATAAAACACCCAGTGTGGTCAAATGCTTATTTGACAACTAGCCAGCCAGGCTAACTGCAAAATGGAAGGCTCAGTACTGGCAGAAGTAGAGAACTGAGAAATGTGCCAATGGAAGGGAAAGAGGCTCTCTCTGCCTCTACTTCAAGCAGCCCCTATCAAGATCTGTCCCATTCCAAGAAGCATCATGGCCAGGCACCTCCTTTCCTCATCCCAGGTCTTGAAAGGAGAACAAATGGCAATTCTCACTTGACAACCTGTGTGCAGGTGAAGCTGCGGCCCGTCACACACCTGCCACCCTTGGACCACACCCAGAAAAGCATCAATTTCATAATTAAAAGGAAAACAGCAGCAAAGCACCAACACCCTCTCCAAATAAATCTCCACTGCCAACTTGGGTGATGCTACTTCATGCATCCCCAGCTCTGGCTCCTGACCTGGCTTTCATTGAAGTCCTCCAGGATGAAACCACCTCCAGCTTGCAGCTGCAGTCCAATGTAGTGTTTGTTGTAAGGTGTTACCTCCAAGAAGTCTAGAAAACAGGATGAAGTTAGAGTTAATTCTTTAGCATAAATAGAGCACTACACCTCTTCCCTTGCAAGAGGACTGTGAAATATTCCCACACAATCAAAATCTCAGATTTTATTTCTATTTTAAAAGCTGCATGTTGACTTCTTTTAAATGCTTGCTTCTGTCAATTTTTAAGTTAGTATTTTGATTTTTCTTTGTAAACTATGAATTTTGTTAAATAAAGAACATTAAAACAACTGCATTGAAATTCAGTTCAGAGACTAAACATGATTAGGAACAGCTATTCACTTTAAAAATTATTCTCCACTGTTCAGTAATGTGCTCTAAGAACTGTTTTTATACTCAACAGAAAATAATACAATTGACAAGAACGTGTGTGCAGCACAGTAGCAGATTATTTAGACATTTAAAGATGCCTAGAGAAACGCAGAAAGGTCTTCACCTAGTGCCAAGATGACATAAGAGATAGTAGTAACAGGTGAGGAAAGTGACCCAAAGGGGTGTGCTATTGCCAAGAAAACCTTCAAGACACACCCATGTAATTAAGAGAAGGAGGGGGAACCCAGAGAAGACCCTTCAGTGATGACCTCAGTACCTGGGCTGATTCATTCAGAAGGTGGTGGTCCTTCAAAAATCCAAGCCCCTTGCTGCAAAGGGTTTTAAAAGGTAAGCACCAACACTTGGAGCCATGTTCAGAAATTGACTGTTAAGTTAGTGAAATTATTTTCTGAGCCCTAAAGCGAGCCCCAAATGGTAGCTGTAAGGAGCATGAAAGTTGTAAGAGAGATCTGCAGCTCATTCCGAAATCACGGATTTCTCTTAGAGGGCCACAAGATGGCAAACATGTTCTGCCCCACACTTGGCAATTCCTTATCTTTGGGGCTTCTAGGACCTGGAATAGCAGAAGGCATGACTGCCACCTGGTATGGCTCCTCAAGTAGCCTTCAAGGGATTTCATACTGTCATGTTGCCCAACAGCCCTCCTGTGATGTGCTTGCACACTGGCTGGCAAGGTGCAAAGATACAGCCAGTCTTACCAAGTCCCAGGTTCAACTATCCCCTCAATAAACTAACTTTGGAAAGTGCAGTAAGATACTGGCTTGTTGACTTCAAGTTCTTGCAGCCCCACAACTTGCCACTTCCTTAGCCCTTGTAGGCACACCACTATCCTGCAAAGAGGACAGAAACCGCAGCTAGCAGAATCCCTACCAGGGATCCTTGGCCAAGCTGCCTTCCTTTGGCCCCCATGTGAACAAGATGCTTAACTAGGTGGGCTCCCTTGGGTCCCTTCCTAGTTCTGCCTTTTCTGTCACCCGCTGGAGTTTCACCACCCTAAACCAGATTCAGTCAACGAGGGCCACCCCTGCCCCCAACAACATCCCTGGAGCAATGGAGTGCTCACCTTCCTCTTCACTGCTCACTGCAGGCTCCTGGCAACTGGAGAGTTTATCTGTGGGGTCTGCCATTGTGAGGAGAAAGGCATAGCCCAGAAAGAGAGTCTTGTTGTGGGGCATAGGCCCCCATCGCTCATCTGGTGCCGGGATATCTCCCAAGTCCACTCCACTGACAGATGGGCTCACTGCTTCCCTGGAACAGGCAGCCCCTGTGGAGGGAGGGAGGAAAATCAAAGTCCTGTGGCTGCCTCCTGACAGCAGGTCAGCAGCCTCAACCTAGAATTTCTCTCATGGAGAGGGGAGCCTTGATCCTCCTGGTGCAAGAGCTCAGCTCCAGCTCCTCTGATTTGGGAGGAAAGGCTGGAGGAGACCAAGAAGGGAAAGTCTGGTCCAGGGAGAAGAGATGCAATGCAAGGAGACATAAAACAGTCTGACCTGGCTTTGTAGGGGTTGCCCGCCGCCCTCGTTTGGCAGGGGATCTCTCCTCTTCTGAGGCAACTAGCTTCCTCTTGCTAGACAGCCTGTGCGGGGTCTGGGGGCTCTCAGGGCCCTTGCGGGTGGGTGTTGTGTTGTTGGAGGTGCTGGGGGAGCCAAGGTTGCGCCTCTTCCGCTTTCCTTCCACCAGGTTATCTAGCCCCACAAGGAGAATGTTGTTAGCTCCCACCTCAACATGCAGCAGCACCAAGCCCCCCCCCTGCATGTTTTCTGCAGGGTAGCAGAAGGAAGTCACTTGCGCCTCTTAAAACTGAAGAGTTTACCCAAGGCCAGCACCCTGCAGCTCCTGCCCTCAATTAAGAGGTTCCTAGGGGTTTCCATTTCTCTCGGCCAGACCCACAGGGCAGTTGCCCACAGGCTGCTTACCAAGGCTGATGTCAGCCGCCTTTGTCAGGGGCATGACGGGTTCGTAGGGGCCCAACCCAAATTGCTCTCGGAGCCGATTCCCTTGCTCTAAAGACAAGATGACTGCTCTCCGCCGGTACCACTTCCGCTGGCCCTCCTTCTCAATGCAATAGAACAGCTCCCCGGCCTCCTTCCGATGCCCCTTCACTACCCCTGCAGCCAAGGCAGAAGGCATCATAAGGGCAGCTCACAGACTGGGACCCAACTCTCCGCTACCGCCCACCCCAAACACTGCAGGTCACTTGCCAGCCAGACGAGTTACCTGCGCTGAAGTATTCGTCCTCCGAAAGGGCCGTCACCTCTGTTTCCAGGGGGAGAGGGTCGCACAGCAAGATGTCTTTGCCCGGAACATCACATTCATAGCCATCGTCAAAGCGCAGCTTATATTTGACACCCCCTACATCCTGTGTGATAGTCCCAGAGTAGAAGTAGCCATTCGAGGACCACTTTGCCACCACCCGGAGGCCCACAAAGCTGTTCGCAGAAGAGGAGGTGGCGGCAGAGGAAAGCTCTGTGCTGGTAGAAACCCCCAGACGCTCTTGCAAGGGGATTTCAGGGGAGATGCTGCGGTCCTGCCCCTTCAAAGGGCGATGCGTGTGGAAGTCCTCTTCTGGCAAGGCTGTGGTTGACAGATCCTCCACAGCTGGCAGGCTGGCCCTGCAGATCCAGGGAGAGAAACAGCTGGAGAAGCTGCAAGGGCCTTTAGCTCTTGCTACTCCACCCCACCAGGGTCACCTCCCTCATCAGCATCAGCTGACCTTCACCACGCTACCTGGCTCCGGCCGATCGTGATGTGAGGCGGCCCCTTCGCCCTCGTCTGCGAGGAGTTGGAGGGGCTCTGCCACTCCTCTGGCTGATCACACCTTGCGCTTCCTCCTCACACCCCCCAGGAACTGCTGCATGGTCAGGCTGGACTGGAGACTGAGGCTGGCTGCCTCCCTTCCTAGGGCTAGGAAAACCAAAGGCAGCGTTAACCTCTGCACAGCCAGCCTGCCTGCCAGCCACACACATGCTCCCAGGGTCATGGCACAGAACTGGGGCACAAAGAATTTATCCCTCGCATTTCAAGGTAAACAGCAAAGCCCAAATAAAGCTGCTCACAAGGCAACCCAACATGATTTGCCGCATTGTTCCCCCAGTTTGAAACATCACTCAATACAACACCAACCTTCAAGTATTTAAAACCTTGACATCAAAAATATTAACTCGCCAACTGTGAATAAATTCAATTCGTTTTAGAACCCATGGCCTTTTAAAAGTATAGCACAGGCTTTCAGTTTGGAATCTGGTTAAACAACACACTGACAGAGTCATATTCATGCCCCACCTGAAACAAAACTCCAAAGAATGCAAAATGGCCTCTCTCTCTTCCACCCTGCTGTTCCCCCAAAGTGAAGCCTTCCTCTGATGTCCTTTTCCCAGAGGCCCTGCACCCACCTGAGCTTTCTGACCCCTGGGAAGGCCAAGTCTCCAGGCCCGGCTCCTTGGCAAGGTCTCCCTCCTCTCAGAAGAGTGCCTCCTTGCCCAGAACTTGTCCCACTGTGTGTGACGGACAAGGCACTGCTCCCTCCACTGGACATGCGCTGGAGGCCAGAGGCCTTGGATGAGAAGGAGCTGATGTCACCAAGGTCTCCAGAGGCAAGCGAAGAAGAGCCTCCCGTACGAGAGGGGGAGACATCCACCTCGCTCTCCTGGCACTCCATGATGGGGTCCTCTCTCTCCTGAAAGAAAAGCAGACTGGGATTCAAGGGAGGGAGGGAAGGCGCCAGGTGCCAGGTACAAGGGGAGAGATGCCCTAGGACCAGCGCTTTCAGATCCCAAGAGGGATCCATCCACAGGCAAGTCCCTCTCAGCCAGATACATGTAGGGCAGGGCAAAGCTCCCAGAGCAGTGCTCTTCCCACAACAGAGATACTTTCTGACATTCTAAACAGGAAACTCTTTGGGTATCCATCCTGTTGATGCTCAGCTCTATCAGAGAAAGAGAGAGAAAGTGCTGCACCCTTTAGCCACAAGGCATTTTATTCCACTCTCCTCCGCTCAACAAAATAAAATACTTACCTGTAAGGTCGGAACAGGCAAAATGATGTTCTTCTCGCTGGAGAAGGCACTTCAAGCGCCCATCTCAAAAGAGCAGAGCTGAACTGCGGAAGCAAACCCTGACAAAAGCTCGCCTACTCCAAGGTTCCCTACCTCCCCAAAGCTCCTTTAAATTTTCAAGAAGCAATTTAAAAATAAAACCTGCCTTAACAGTATTAGCAGCCAGAGAAAACCCAGAGAAATAAGCTGATGGTGAAAACACCCCACACAATGCCTGTCTGATCTTGAAAGAGTCTTGCAGGAAACTCTGGAGTGTATAGTCCAGTTGCAGGAAAGACAGAAAAATGTAAACCTAAACCAAAACACTTAGATATACACTATGCACATGTAAAAGATTGCATTTTAAAAGGATGGATCAAGCTTAGGTATTGTTCTACAGGGTTTATAATTGCATATATTTTTACAAAGCCTTTAAATTTAAAATGCTGACTATGGAATTGGGTCTTACCGAGTAAAAGCAGAAAAAAAATGCCAGGTGTTCAAGACAGAATTTCAAGTTAGGAGGGCTGCTGGAATATTCTAGAAAGAACTTGAGAATTGGTCTTGAACAGGTTGCTAGGCAACAGAAAAATCTCCCCAGCAACAGGTGCCCTTATTAAGGGCATGTGGTCAATAAAGGTCAGTTAGTGTGTAAATGAACAAAGTTGTAAATGAGTCAGCAATTGAGTCTCTGGTCAGATGGCTAAAGGAGAAGGAATTATATGGTTTTATTAGTTTTATTTGACCGGTGTAATTTTTTTGTAAATAATAAAGATTCTCTGTAAAAGAAACTCTGCTGCAAGTCTTAAAAAGAATACAACGCAAGAGTAGATGCTCACACGTCAGCAACCAGCACCAAATAGGTAATTTGTGATCACAGTGCCTTAAGGTTCACAGGTCCAACACTCAAAGGTGCAAGATAGGGAGCAGGATTTGTGGCTCCAAAATGGCCTGGATGCATATGATATGGTGTGTATTCTCAAGTAGGGGACCAATACGGCAAACTCAGAGAAGCAACTGGCAAAGCACAAGAAGCCCTAGGAAACCAATGAAAAGGAGAGGGAGGCCTAGAGACAACAAGCAGGCAAGTGACTGTCCCAAGATCACATAGGATAAGGTCAGAGATTTCCCTTTCTGAGGTCCACACACCCATCTGGCAGTCCAAAGGAACAAGGGCAAGCATGCCCTGTCCGCTACGGGAATGAACTTGTGGGGATTTAATGATGAATTCTCCTGTACAGGAGTAGGTAGTGCTCGCAATACCTCTATGGTGGTCAACTGATAACTGCTGGTGTTTGACAACTCATTTTGAGTAACAGGTTTGTCTTGCTTATTTAATCCAAAGGAGAAAGCATTTTGAGTCTTATTCAGTGTTCTCCAAAACAGCAAAATTATTGGTTGGGAAAAGTAGGAAAAATTCTCTGAACTGTCCCGGCCTTGACATCTCTCGCCTTACCTCCACTACCTTGCGTTCCACTTCTGCCCCATCCTTGTAGTAGATGTCTGTGATGAGTCTTGTGACAACAGTTCGTACTTCACGGATGGTCCGTATATGACGCCGGAGGGCTCTGCCTGGGGGCGGGCGAGGCAAATCAAACCCTTCCTCGTGCTGAAGAAAAGAAAAAGGCAGAAAGTTTTCAGAGATTCCTCCACAGCACATTGCTGTTTGGAATGAAAGGGGAACATCACTGTCAGAGGAACAGGAGACTGCATTATACAGAATTATACAGCACTGGTCAATCCAGCTCAGTACCATCTGGACACTAACAGGCAACAGCAGCTCTCCACTGTTTCTTAGCTCCAATCCCATCAGCACTCACCACCTGAGCTTGCTATTAGAGGCAGGAACGGCTTTCACAGAGCTGCAAATGGCACATAAAAGGGCAACTAAAAATGGCTTGGTGACGAGAGAGGCCTCCTGCAGCACCAGAATTATCCAATACAAGCAACTGGCAGCAAATGCAGGACATGCCCCAAAATGCATCTGGACAATCATGCCCTCCTGAAATTCACTGTCACAGGACAGGGTCATCACATGCACTTGCAGAAACCATTCACCTATGATGGCAATAGTTTGAGATTTCTTTGTCAGACAGCTCTGCCTGATCTGTTTGACATTTTTACATGGCATGTCGTGACATATGAAATAAATGTTTATAAATATATTTAAATATAAATCTCATACAGCCAAACCTCAGCTCCCGAAAACCCAGAAGTAACTGCTCCGGTTTTTGAATGGTTTTCGGAAGCCGAACGGTCTTCCGGAACAGATTACGTTCGATAACAGAGGTTTGACTGTATTTATATATAAACAAACAAACGAAATACGTTCAGAGGCAGGGATAGCCACTGCCACCCTTGTGGGCTTCTCACTAGCACCTGGCTGATCACTACTGCGAGGGGGACTTGGTGGACCTTTGGGCTGACCAATCAAAGTGCTTCTCTTGATGAGGCTGCTTCTTCCCACCTTGCTCAGAGTTGGAAAGTCTGGGGGAGGCACATGTGGCAACTGCCACCTCCCACTCTAAAAGCTGAGACCAGGAGGTAGTAGATAATCCTTCGCCCCTGCCACAGGCAGCAGCACCTCTCTCCCCCCTCCCCCTTTTCAAGTACACGATCCAACTCCCTCTCACCTGGTTGTGCTGGGTCCCTGGCGCATGCCCAGCCCTGGCAGGCCTAGATCCATGGTCCTCTTCCACCTGCACCTTAGTGTCCTGCTGTCCAGGCCACAACCCAGCCGTGCTGGTCCCCACCTCCACCTGGCCAGTAGGCACTGTCTGTGTGGCTGCCGACGTGAATTCCGTTGGCCCTTGAAGGAACTCTGCCACAGCCTGGGTCCCCTTGCTGCTGGTGCCAGATTTTGGCGTTTGAGTTCCATCATTCCCTGCAGCCACCAGAACGGAAGCTGCCTTTTGGGGGGCCCTCTGTTCTTTTTGCTCCTGAGTTCCTGCTGTTTCAACTTCCATGGCCTCTCCCTCCTCTGCACAACCCACTGTCCGCTTAGCGCTCAAGCCAGAGTCCTGGACTGGTCCACAACCCAGGGGCACAAGCCTTCGCTGGCTCTGCCAGGTTGCAGGTGGCTCCTGCTCCTCCTGGGAACTTGGGAAATTGAACAGGTCACCCCTGAAAGCAATCAGAAAAGCATGAGAGGAGCTCTGCCAGATCACAATGAATGTCCACCCAAATCCAGTCTTCTGTCACCAGCAGGGGCAAGTCAGATGTTCCTAGGGAGCCCAGAAGCAGATACAAAGGCAAAGTTCTCCCTTACTAAGAGATTAGCTGACTCTCAGCCTGCAGCCCCATTTGGAATGACTGTGTTGAGAGACCTTTTGTCCATGGCTTTGTCTAGCCTACCCATTTAAGACTAAGAGGGTCTGCGATTTGGAGTCTTCCCTTTAATCCCTGTACATAAACCATCAAGTATACAAAGATTCATATTGCACAGAGACTGCATAGGCATATTTTTAGTTTAGGTGTATTTTTGCTGTAGTCAAGTATATCCAATGACTCAACAAGCCATGCATGCGTATGAACACACACACAGGGACACAGCATTCAGAAAAATATCCCGCAATCCATCGCATTTGCGTGATGCCAACTGTCCCAACAAGCTGCCTGGCTGTCCAGGAGACCTGCTCAGAAAAAGGATCTTTCAACTGCTGCTGTTTTGTAGCCCTCGCCCTGCAAGACCAGCTGCCCCGGGACAAACACTGCCCACTGAGCATGTCCTAGTTGTATCCTGCTTGCCTCACAACTGGCAATAGGCCTGGCACAAGCATATGATTCCAACAGGCAGAACTTGGGGTGGCTCAGCAAAGCAAAGACGCACCTTAGCCAGGGGAGGGATTTCCCAGGAGTATCTACTGCACACAGAGGGAAGCAGCACATGGCCTGGGATGAGTTATTAGTTCATGTGGAAGGGAAGTTGCACAGAGACAGCCCTAGAGACAGCACCAGGGAGGCCTTCCATGGACTTGCCTGAACAGTGGACAAGGCAGCTCAGGGCATTGAGCCTTGTCTTCTTCACGCTGTACTTCACAGACTCGAGTGAAGACGGATGGCACCTTCCGGGAGCTATAGGCAGAAGAGAGAGACAGGCTCAGAAAGGACCAATCCTGCCAAAGAGATAGCTAAGGCCTATGAGCTTGCTAGCAGTGAGGCAACCTGGCCAGTATTTGGTGGCCCCAGAAACTGCCCCAGAATGCTGGGGCCTCAAGCACCCACAAGGACCTCCAGTTCAGAAAACCCCTCAGATGCCATTAAATACCAACATCCTTCACCTCCCTAGCAGCAGCTCAGAGTATCTGGAAGGATGGAGGGAGCAAGACAGGGTTTCCTGCCCCTCCAAATACCTCTCTGGGGCTCAGCCCTCTCTGACATGGGCAGTTCACCCACGCATGGGGAAAACTGATGAAAGCAGCCCAGTTGGGCCTGACTGGATGGCAGGAGGATGGCACAAAAGCACACACACCCCTTTCCCAGCAGATGCCATTCACCTCTGTCACAAAGGGCTTAAGTACCAGTACCTGCCTATTACCTGGAAACAACTCCTGTGACAGACCCGTTCTTCTTTTCACTGGATGTGGGCTCTGGGGGCAAAGAGGAAGGCATTAGAAGCATTCCACCCCCTCCCAAACACTTTGGATCAAAAGTCACCACCCAGTTAGAAAGCCTTGCCATCTTCTTCACAACTTGCCCAGGACAAGGACCACCTCTTCCTTGCCTAAAGGGCCAGGTTTCTGCAAGTGTTTCCAACAGCACTGCCAAATCAGCCCTTCCCAGGCAGAGATGGAATCATGAGAACTATAAAGACTGCTAGTCAAGTAGTCAGTACTGTTTGGAGTCACTAGTCCAGGGCAGGGGACTATCGCTCCGCAACTGCTCTTGAACAGGAATCTCTTACTGTCCAGGCTGAAGGGCAGGGACTCGTCACTCTCTTCCGTCACAGGGGTCACAAGGTTCATGCGCAAGGACAGCTTCCCCTGCTCCTCACAGGCGGCCTCAGCGCTCCCTTTGCCACTCTCCTCCATCTCAACAGAGGTCAGAGCACTCTCCACTGTCACATTGTTGGTGCCCTCAGCTGTGACATCGCTGGTTGCTATGGTATTATCCGGGCAGTTTCCAGCCTCTGAAACAAGCAAAGCAAGATGGCAGGTTCACCAACAGCCACCCAGGCTTGCTGGAAAGAACCAGCACAGAAAGCCTCTTGGCCACCCCCAAGCAGATGGCAGCTTTGCAGCACCAGAATCTGCCTTAGCCCTTGGGCCAACTGCTCTAACATCAGAGAGAGACCAAATGAGCTGGGCTCCTAATCCAAAGCTATGTGGGTTGTACTTCTGCAAGGCAGCCAAAAAGAATTTGGGCCCTTGCACCTTCCAGAATTTTGTGGAGGAAGCCACAGCAGCAGTTGGAGCTGCATCCAGATTTGCTTCAGATTATAACAGTGTAGACAGCAACTGTCCACACTTCTCAGCTGCTCCAAGAGCAGAGTCTGTCATACCCCTTGTGGTCTGTAGCTGCTTCCAAATGGCAGAGGAAGTGGCAGAGCACTTGCTTTGTATGCACAAGGTCCCAGATTCAATCCCTAGCAGTCGCTCCAGTTAGAGGGATCAGTCAGCTGGTGCTGTGAGATCCTCTTCACACTTGAAGCCCCAGCTGCTGCCAGTCAGATATGACAATAGAACAAAATGAACAGGCAATATGGCGCAATGTAAGGTCATATCTTCCAAGCTCACACCGTTCTGGCAATATGTAAACAGCTACCACAGGGCCTCCCTCCCACTGGGGTTTTGCTTTACTGATGGCTGCTTGGATCAGTCCCCTCCTTGCTCTCCACCAGCACACACACCTTCTGAAGGCAAAGAGAAGGACAAAAGATGGCCACTTTGGGAAGGCTGGAAGGCAGTTGGTGCCCATCTCCATCACTCACAGAAACCCCACCCCACGTCTCCTACTCACCAATAGGAGTGCTGTGTCGCCTGGGGCCTTTCTTTAGCTGGCCAATGTGAGGTGGTGTGATGCCTGTCAGAGGCTCAATCACATGCTTCTCCTTCAGCAGGGCGAGATGAAAGGGGGTTCCTGGAACAAGGTAATACAACAGACAGGTTGTGAGCTCATATTCTGCTACTAGGCACCCTCCTTGCCATAAATTCTCGGCAGCTAAATGGTCAGCCAAAGGCCCCAACTGGAAGAAAACAGCATGGCATAACACTACCAGGCAAGGTCATCTCCTTTGGTGATCACTCGTAGCCGAGTAAGATTGTCTTCCATAAACACAGTTTTAACAATGAGTCCAGAGAGTGAGACCAGGCAAGGTGAAGCAGGCAAGAAGATTCCTTTGCAAATCCTGTGCCCAGGCTTCTTACTTCCTGCCATGTGCTGCATAGAGGCTGGTACAAGGCACAGATACCGGAGAAGTCTGTTTTATCGGGGGTGGGGTGGGGGGGGGGGGTTAGTTTCTAGTCCAGAAGGTTGAAACCATGGGCAGGGCAGAGCCCAAGTCCCCAGTGCATAACATCCCAGCTCCTCCCACCTATGCTAAACATATTGTACTCTAGACAGGCACTTACAGAACATGCTGTGCTTCTCCAACAATGTAATCACTGAAAACAGATAACAGTAACTGCTGAAAGATAGCAGGGTGGGGGGTGAGACCTTGCCAGTCATCAAGCCACAGAGAGCACTAGAACTCTGTTCCAACAGCCTGGAAGGCTCTCACTGCAGCTGCAAAGGAGTCTGAGCTGATTTGAATTATGCCTGTACATGGTGACTTCCATTTCTTGTCTGTGAACTGCCCAGAGAGCTCTGGCTATTAGGCAGTCCACATATGTACTTAATAAGCAATAAATAAAGGAGAATTTAAAAGCCAAGAGGCCAATGCAGCCTCTGTGAGAACAGATGCAATGCACCCTTCACACACCAGACAGGCACAGAGGCAGGAAGGAAACAGCCTCCATCTCAGTCTATGTTTATCATGCCCTTTGGCAACCACTGGAGAGTATTTCAAGGAAATAACTCACACAATAGGGAAGGGACTAGGGAGAGGAGGGGGCAAGAGAAATTATCTTCTTAAGCTGCAAAAGGCTACTCTCCTTTCTCTCTCAGCCACATTGGCTCAAGCCTAGGCAGCCTGGGTCACTCCACAGGGATGCTTTCCAATGATGCAATTCTACTGCTGCTCTTACTCTCCAGAACCACTTACCGCTGGGCAGGCTAGCAGGTGGCTCAGGACCCCTCTGGCACAGCTGCACCTCTCTCTCCAGCCCACGTGGCTTCTGCTGGCTCTCCATCTGGTCCTCTGCACTCCCAGGATGGGATCCCTCTTCCAAAGTCACTGCTGGTGCTTTCTCCTTCCCAGGCAAGGGCCCCAGCTCTGAATCTTCCCTTGCAGTAACTGATGGGCTACCTGGAATGGCAGCAGACTTCCTACTGCCTTGCTCTGGAGGTGCTGCTGCTGCTTGGCTCTCTGCAGTTTCATCCTCCTTGGCTGTTGTTGGCACACCACTCCCTTCCCCCTGGGGGGGCAGCAGTGGCAAGCTCTCCTCCTCCTCCTGCACACTTCCCAAGTTGCTTCTGCCTGGAGAGATGGCAGCAGGCAGCCCCACTCCAGGGGCAACGATGGACCTCACCTGGGACCTGCTTCCCTCCAGCTCTGGTTGGGAGTCAGAGAGCTTCAGTGTCACCCCAGGGCCGATCCTCAGGGACGCCTCCTCCTTGGAGTCTTCCATGGGGTCTCCTTTTACGTTTCCTGGATCTGGGTGTGCAGGCTCTCCAGCTGTCTGGAGCACATTCTCAGAGTCTTCTCTGGCTGCAGCAGGTTCTACATGCTGGTCCACCTTTTCTTCCTGAGAGTGAGTAGAGTGAAGGCAAGACCTTCCGTCCCTCAGCAGCTCAGCTTCTCCCTGCGCTTCCCCAGGCGTTTCTGGGACAGCTTCACATTCTGGCTCCTGAGACCCCTGGCACAAGAGGTGGCCCTGACTTCCAAGGTCATCTCCAACTCCAACTTGGGCAGTGGAACCTCTTCCTGCAGGCTGCCCAGTTGAGGCATGGCTGTCCTCATTAAACCGCTGCTGCTCACTACATCTACCATCCAAGCCAAGCTTCTCCACTGGAGGACCATGAGCTTCCATGGCTGTTTCCTCAGGCTGCACAGCCTCAGTGGACTGGCTGCACTCACTGGCAGACAGCGCCAATAGGCAGGCCTCACCCGAGGGCCATGACAAGGGGCCCTCCACAACAGATGCAGGTGCCTCAGGGACTTCAGAGCTGTCTGCTGGCAAACTGATACCACAATCATCTCCTTTCTCTGTCTGTGCCTCAGGCCCTTTCTCTAAGCTTGGAGTTGGGAGGAAAGTGTCCTAAAACAGGGGGAAACACAAACACATTGGAATATGACAGCTCCACACCTGAGATTCTGCAACCAGGCCAGCTCTCAAGAGAACCAGAAGTAATTCTTGACACTGCAACCAAGACATACCAGCAGGGCAATCACAAAGCAAGATACTTCATAAAGTATTGCTTCCTGTTTTCCACAACCAACATGGTGGCCAGGAGATTTGCCCTTCTATACACAAAGCCAGGCTAACGCTTAGTGAATGTCTCAAAAATCCTCCTATGACAAAAAAGCACAAGCAAAGGAAAGGATTGTCAAACTGTAGGGCAAGAGGCGTGGGGGCCTCCTTACTTCTACCAAGGATGAACGCAGCACAGAGAAGACCAGTCTCAGTGCTGGGCACCTTCTGACCACTCACATGGGAGAACTCTGGTTGTGATGGTATGGGAGTGAATGCTGGAGTAAAAGCTGGCGCATCTTGAGCGACAGGTGTAGAGGACTGAGGAAGCCCTGGAGTCCGAGTCTCCTTTGGCCCTTCTTGCTTCCCTCCTCCTCCTCCTCCTCCTGTTGCTGCTGCTGCAACAGAAGATGTGGATAAATTAACATTATTGCCTTAGCAGAGAAAGACAGCCTCGTTCCTGCCACTGGAGCAGAACACCTCACTGCCAAAAAAGCTGAAGGGTACCAATTGGCCCTCTGCACCCCTCTTTCAGTGCTCAAAACGAGGAGGGGCCTCCACATTCGCTCAGAAATGAAAGAAAAGAAACCTGGGTCACCATTACTAAGTTGTCTTTTTGAACACCATAGCTTGGGCCAAGGGCTACCAAGGCCTCCAGCAGAAAGAGTTGGCATACCTTCTGTTCCCTGTTCTGTTGGGCTTCTTGGAATGATGAGGGGTACAGAATGTGAGATGCCAGGAGATGGCGTAGGAAGGCCTGAAGCACAACTACAGAGAAAAAGAGATCACTCAGTTGCCTCACTGTCTGCATATGCAAGGTCACAAGAAAAAAGCAAATGAGCTAATCTATTCCAGAGATCTGAAGGCCGAAGCCAAGGCTCAGCTCACAGGCACAGACCACATTTGTACCTCCCACGGAACATGAAACACAAACAGCGCTCAGTTGTGTGTATCATCAGGGAACAGAAAGGAGAAAAAGGAAGGCAACAAAGACCAACGAGCGCAGAAGGAGTAGAGGCAAAGAAAGCTCAGTTACTTTGAAAGGTGGACACAATTACAACACTATCAATGAAAGCATAAGAGCCAATCAATACAGGGATAACCAACTGCGCAACTGACTCAATTAGTGAATTCAGGAGGCAAGGAAGTAATAAGTGGATCATCAATTAGCTGAGAAGGAAAAAGGTCATAGTGGAAGAGCACCTTCTTCATATGAGGAAGGCCCAAGGTTCAATTCCGGGTTGCATTTCCAAGCACGGCTGGGAATGCCCCCCATCTGAAATCCTGGAAAGCTGCTGCCAGTCAGTGTGAGCAATACTGAGCTAGATGGACCTGACTCAGTGTAAGGGACCTGACTCAGTGTAAGGCAGCTTCCTAGAAGCAATTATTCAGGGAAACAGGTAACAAAAGCAACCTGAGCAGGCTTGTTACTTACATGGAAAGAGGTCCCTGTCCAGAGAGATGAAGGACATGCAGAGAATCGGCAGGAGTGCACACTGGAGAATTTGCTGCTTCCACTCTGGACACAGCACTGTCACCATCTGGAACAAGAGGCAATTAAAATTAACAAAACCATTTAGCAGTTTTGTCAAACAACCCAATGGACACTGCCTTGAAAATCTGTCTCCCAGCTGCACTGATCTTTTCCCTACATCGGAGTCAATTTTAATACCTTGTTGCAACTGCTCAAAATTGCAGAAGACCACCCACAATTTGTGGTGTGCAAAAATATGACTGTAAATTTAAGTAAACCCAACAGGGATGGAAAATGTTTTACGTTCCTCAGCAACACCATCAAATATTGATGACCGGCTGAGATTTTTCCCAAAGAGCTGCTATCTCTAAATCTAGAGAAATTTACTCCTGGGCACCTGATTGGCCACTGTTGGAAGGGAAAATAGTATGTCCTTCAGCCACAGTGGCAGCTGGCAGGTTTTGATGCTGTCACCAAAGAATGATTTTGCATATTTGCCTGAAAACTAGAACTCTCAGGGTGCTGAACGCAAGTCAGCAATGCAACTGATGAGCTACGTTTTGAGCAGCCCATGCTAGAATCTGACAACCCTGTACAACTTGTTCAGCACTGGTGATCTGTGCCACTACATATTCAAAGCCATCTGCACAAACAAAAGAGGCAAAATTTGAAGAATTCAAAACACTAAGACATTTTCAAAATGCAGCAACAGCAAAGGGTGACATAGAAACACATCCGTTGAAAGGCAACTTTATCAGTGCCACTGGAATTCCCATCATCCACAAAGCAACTGCCTACCATTCCTCCCACAGCAACTGTGTGTCGTGCATAGGAGACATACCCTAAGCTGTCTATGTGGTCCCATGAACCTATGTAGCACTATCTATATAGTAATCAAGTAGGAAACCTTCCTTTGCTATCAGGATAGGCAGAGCTTCAGCAAACTGCACCTGCTTCCCCCTCATGGGTTGCAGGGGCCACGGCACAGGCATGCAGTCTGTTTTCACCTGTTGTGCTGCTCTGGCCAAACATGTCCTCTTGAGTAGATAAGATATCAGCATCCTGTGTATGCCACCCAGAGGGATCCATCCCTTGTGGCCTTCTGTCAAGTGGATGGCAGGCAGAAGTTGGACTCCTTGCAGGTTCTTTATGGAACTGCAGAATTTTTGGGGTGCTGCTGGGAACATAAGTGTAATCAATATTCCCCAGGGTGTCATTGTTTTTATTTGTTGCCTGCTTTTCACTGTAAGGCCCCAGGGTGGACTACATCTTGAGAAAAATAATACGACAAGCTGAAAGAATGCCACACAAACAAGCTGATAGCTTCCCTGGGGATTAAAAACAGGACACAAAGCATGCACAGAACTTGCGGGGTGGAAGAATGTTTGCTTTTGTGCTGAGCTTTGCCAAAGGTGCAAACAGAACTTTGCTGTTGGGCCTGAAAAATCCCAGTAGGAATGGATATAAGCTACTCCACCATTTCTTTAGGTAATGCAGAAGAGAAAAGAATCAGGGAACTTTTTTTCTCATTCAAATGAGGTTTAGTAAGAGTGCCAGCAGCACCTTGGTGCAACCCCCTCCTGTAAAATCCCAATGGGAAGGTCTGTCCCTTCTTTCTTTCCTTCTTGGCCAGGAGGCAACAGCAAGGCACCTCCGATACTTTTAGCCGAATCCCAACTAACAGGAATGAAAATATCTTTCCTTCACAAAGAACAAGGCAGAAAGGTAGTAGCAGCTTCTCGCCTACCAGCAGCAGGAATGTTCGGCACATGTGTGACAGCAAGAAGGACTTCATGGAACCACATGTGCTTCACAGCTGGTTTAATGGGCAAAGAAACTGCACCCCCTACAGAATAGGCAAGCTCTCCATACCCCCTTTCCTGAAGGTTCAACCATGCAACAAGTTAGCCAACAAGTATGAGAGGTGAAAGCAGATATTTACCTATCAGGAGAGTCACTCCCAGACTTTGTCACTTCATCTGGATCTGCATGCAGAGCAAAAAAAGCATCAAGAATTGGTGCTTCACTTGAAATACCAGAGCACAACTGCATATGTTGCATTCTAAGGACTTTTCCAGAGAATTACTAAATCTGATTTCGATCTAGGTGCCAAGTCAAAATCTGCTTGGATTCAGGGCTGATAGCATTCCCTGTATGACCTATTATCTATTATGGGCTTTGGTTTTTTTGCTAGTTTTATATGTATTTTATTGGTAATTTTATTATGTACACTGCTAAGATTGCACCTAACTTAAATTAATGAACCTACATCACTCATGTCTACTAATTTCAATGGGTCTATTCAGAGTAGTACTAACAATGGATACAACTCAATGTTCGTTTAGAAGACAATCTCTAATGGAGAAGACAACAGGATAGCAGTGAGTGCCAACCCAAAAGATACTTATAACATCACATCCAACCACAATCCAATCAGCATTACTATCTTCAAAAGATTTAGGAACATAAGAAGCTGCCTGATATGTGATCAGATTATTTGCCCCCCTAGTCTATTCTGAGAGCAGCTTCCCAGGGCTCAAGCTCAGTCAGGCTCCCTTGTTTCTGCCTGCAAACTACATGCTCTACCACTGGCAACTACAGTCCCTCAATTGCCTTGCAGGAATACTGTGTACAAAAGTACTGTTACTCCAGAGACTCAGTTTATTGGTAAGTACTAGGCGAACAGAACTGTAAGGCTCCCATCTGTCACCCAGAAGCAGCCATTCCATCCAGCTGCAGAACAGCAGAAAGGGGAAGTAACTGGCCTGTCTCTATCCCATCCAGCTTGTTGTAAGAATAATATGTTTAAAACCTGGTGCCTGAGCTTGCTTTCCCCCACTCACCCTGCTGCCCAGTGCATGTCTTTTAGACTGTATGCCCAAGGGAAGGGACCGCTTACTTTGTAAGCCATTCTGGAAGCTTTTGCCATCTACATTGTAAACTGGGTAAAATGTTCTTCAAATGAATGAATGAACAAGTAAGGATGATTTAAAAGAAAGAAGGTTCTGTTTGGGCCTGAAGTCCTTTTGAGGCAGTGTGGATAGTTTCGCAGAAGGGTTGGAGTGAAGTTTTCCTATCCCAGAGGAAAGGGCTGCTCAGCTAGACTCAGGAGGCCGCCCCCACTTCACCTACCGCCTTTGGAATCCTCCTCCTGCTCCTCTTCTTCCAAGGCCACTTTGGGTTGCAGCTGCTCCTTATCACTAACCACACTAGCTGTGGAGTCTCCTTCAAGGTTCTGGCTCTGGGAGAGCTCCAAAACACCGAAGCCCACCTGCGACATGCCTGATTCTAGCATCAGAAGATAAGAACTTCCTCAGCACATGTGGAAGGGCTCCAGCATCCAAAGGGAGGAAATGGGCCCGGCAAACAACCCCTCCCTCTCCCACCCCGCCAAGGTTACTTGTGAACCCAAGAGGGCTGCAGAACAGTCACGAGGGGACCCCGACCCCCCCACCGTTCAAGGACAGCCTCCAGCGAGAACAGGCGACGGCCTGTGCAGCACCCCCCCCCGGGGGCTGGATTCTCAGCAATGGCGAAGGGGCAGCCCCCAAGGGCCGTCCCCAGCAGCAGCAGGCGGAGGAGGCCACTTACCTTCCGCGCAGAGCGAGCCCGGTGCAGCAGCAGCAGCGCCGCCGCGGGGGTCGTCCGCCGGCCTGCAAGGGAGACAAGCAACGTCTCAGAGGGGTCAAGCAGGCCGAAAGCCCGCCCGCGGAGAAGGAACGGCGGTGCCCACCTGGTGTTCCTGGCGAGCGGCGGCGGCAGCTGCTCCAAGACCTGGCTGAGGAGGGCGCGCGGCGAGTCGGAGGCCGGCAGCGGAGGCTGCAAGGGAGCGGGCCCAGAGCCCCCTGCGGGACCCCGCTCAGCCCCCTGGCCCTCCTCCTGCTGCTCCTCCGGGCCTCCTCCTGCCGCCTTCGCTCCCGGAAGGACCCGCGGCCCATCCGCCTCGTCCTGCGCCCCTGGTCCCCGCCACCTCCTCTTCAGGCCGGGCAGAGCCTGCGGCTCCTCGCCGTCGTCCTGGGCGGAGTCCGGCTCCGGCTGCGAGTCCTCCACCAGCAGGCAGGGCGCCGACGGGCAGAAGCCCAAGTCCAGCGGGCTCCCCGCGGGGTCCATCCTGTGCCAGGCGGGGATGGAGGCCTCTCGGAGGGGAGGACGGAGGGTCGCGTGAGCTGCGAATCCTCCCCCAACAGACACAGAGACGAGCGCGCGCGCGCACAGGCAAAAAAAAAAAGGCGGGGAGCGAGCGCACGCGCGAGAAGAACGCCTTGCCCCGCCCCCTCGGGCGTTCGCGCGGCGGCTTCGGCCGGCCACGCTGCAGGCCCCGCCCCCACGTGTTCCGCGCTGCGCGGGGGTTGCCGTGACAACGCGGCGCCACATGCCCCGGCCAAGGCCAGGGAGGGGGCGGGGCTCGCGGAAAGCTCCACCTCCCCGCTTCCAATACCAGGCCTGAATATAAATGAGCAAGAGAATGGTCCGTGGTCTCGGGTGGTGACGCTGATGGGAGTCCAAGCTGGCTCTGAAGGCCCGGTCGCCAGCAGCGCACGCCAGGAGGCAGCAGTGCACAAGCTCCCCAAAGCGAGGGTCACGTGTGCCCGGTCACCTTTAGAACAGGGAACGATAATAATATAATAGATGCAGCTCCACCAGGTGGATTGTCAAAGATGGCACAGATGACGAAGGGGGATTTTGATGGAAAGACGCTTGGCACTATCCGGCTGGCTGCACACCTGAGATAGCAAGGGCACACTCCTAGAACTGTCTTTGTGCAAGGGCATAGCAGCACCCACAGAGGAAGGAGGGGTGTCATGGGCGTAGCCAGGATTTATTTTGGGGGGTGGCAGGCATTATGTTGGGGGAGGCAGCACTGAGTTATCTGTGATGCTGTTGGTCAGTTAGTTAAGTATTTTTATTTATTCATTTATTTATTCAGGGGAAGGGCAGCTGCACCCCCCTGGCTACACCCATGAGGGGTGCCCCTGCCACAAAGGTGGAGCTGCTGCAACCCTCTGAGTCTTTCATGTTTCCTTCCAGCCCTTCTCTATGGAGTCATAATTCCATACATGGGATATTTGGAACAGGATGGTGTAGATCTGGTACAGGATCACAACGGAGCAAGCAACAATTTGGGGGGGGGCAGAAGCAACTCCCCTGCAAGAAGAAGGTTACAACATTTGGGACTTTTTAGTTTGGTAAGATGGGACATGACAGAGCTGGCAGGGGAGCCTCTGATCCTCCAGGCCAAATTAGGCCTGGCAGGGATCCTACTTTTGGTCACAAGGCCTTTTTCCTCAAGCCATGCCCATCAAATTAGTGCTATTTAAATCTTGATTCCAAATGGCATCCAGTTGTATCCAAACATAGACAAAAACCTCCATCTCAGGAACAAACAATTTGGTCATGATATCTTAAGAGGTGTCCAAATGCATAGCAAACAGTCAATTTCCAAAATATATAGATGTAAAGATAGGATTTTTTACCCATGTGCATCATTTTACATTTGCTTACACTGAAGCAGTGTTGCAAATTTAATGCCCCTTCCCCCAGATTGAAAATATCCATTTGGAGCTCTTTACTATCCCATTTTGCTTTTAACATCCTGAATAACTAGGTGTCATCAGCATATTTGACTACCTCAATGTTCATCCTGACTCCGTATCACTTATGAAGCAATTAAATAGCACGGGTCCCAGTACAGTGGTGCCCCGCAAGACGAATGCCTCGCAAGACGGAAAAACCGCTAGACGAAAGGGTTTTCCGTTTTGGAGTTGCTTCGCAGGACGAATTCCCCTATGGGCTTGCTTCGCAAGACGAAAATGTCTTGCGAGTCTTGAGATTTTTTTCGCTTTCCCCCCCCTTTATCTAATCTGCTAAGCCTTTAATAGCCTTTAATAGCCTTTTAGCAGCTAATCCACCGCTAAACCGCTAATAGCGCTAATCCGTTAAGCCGCTAATAGGGTTGCTTCGCAAGACGAAAAAACCGCTAGACGAAGACTCTCGCGGAACGGATTAATTTCGTCTTGCGAGGCACCACTGTACAGATATCTGGGGAATCCCATTTCTTCCAAGTACACAATGTCTATCAGATAACACCTTTAGGGGGTCCTCATGAGAAGAGAAGACTCCCTGGAAAAGACCCTGATGTTGGGAAAGATGGAGGACACAAGGAGAAGGGGATGACAGAGGATGAGATGGTTGGACAGTGTTCTCGAAGCTACCAGCATGAGTTTGACTAAACTGTGGGAGGCAGTGGACGACAGAAGTGCCTGGCGTGCTCTGGTCCATGGGGTCACAAAGAGTCGGACACGACTAAACAACTAAACAACAACAACAACAAAGTTTGTTCTGGGTATAAGCTTTCGTGTGCATGGAGAAGCCATGCTGATTCATCTTCAGCAAGACTTGTTATTTTTTATGCTTTGTAATGCTCTTCTATATGATTTTTAATACCAATTGCTGGGAATTACAAGTGGGGAGAGTCCTGTTACCCTCAAGTACTGCTTGTGGGCTTCCCAGTGGGGCAACTGGTCAGTTATTGTGAAAACAGGATGTTGAATTAGGTGGGCCTTTGGCCTGATCCAGCAGCAAGGCTCTTCCTACATAATTGCCTGAGGGCACCAGATGATTGCCCCTCCCTACTGTGTCACATTTTAAAGTGCTGAGGTGCTACATGGGGAGGAGAAGGGCTATGTCTGGTTTTGTCATCAGAGATGTGTTTTGCATCCTAGGAAGAAGCCTTGCCCACCCTGCTCTGGAGACCAGTCTGCAGCCTGTTCCCTTTAAACAAAACACCTGAAGGAGAAAAAAGAAAAGTTAGTCTGTTTCTTAAAATAAACAGAATGTTCTTTACCTGTTAAGAGATGACATTTTTGTTCTATAGTTGGTTTCTCCTGCAATAAATGCTGGTATTCCAAAACTAAAAGAAGCAGAGCTGGGCAGGAGCTGCCTTCCTTCTAAGCATCAATTCTCTATGATGCCATTTACTCCTGGAAGAGAAAGAGATGGCTCTGGAACCAGGTCCTGCATGATAGGTAAAACAGGAAATACTGGTCTTTGTACATTGCCTCCATAAATAATTACTTTGAAGAAAGAGCTTTTTTTTCCAATTAAAATTGAAGCAGTTAGATTTTGGAAGAAATATAGTTAGGCTCCTATTCAGTTGCTGCTGAATTCCAGTTCAATCACATTTTGTTTGCTTACTAAGGAGTTTTGTTGGGTAAGAGAAAGAGATTTGTTGAATAAATACAGCCTGATAAAAGGCATGTTTACTTTGAAACCCACTAAAATCAGTGGAACCTGCGTGCAGGTAAATGTCCACAGGAGCACAGCCTTAATTGGTCTAGCCTCAGTGTATTCCAGTTAGAAACTTACACACTGCAGGAATGGAGATTCTTGCACTGTGGCTGTCAAATAGATAGAGAGATGGACATTTGTGGATTTTTACTTATTTCACATTATTTCCTTCCTCTCCTCTTTTCCTCTAAGGAGCTCAGGCCAAGTTTGAGACTCCTCATACCACCAGAGGTGGACAACCTCTGCCCCTTCATATGATGCTGGACTCCAGCTCCCTGAACACGGATTTAATCCTGGATCAATACCAGATAGATAATCTATAACTGGAGGCCTCTGTCTTGTCTTTGGTCTGAAGCATTGATCAGACACTGATCACAAGGGAACACCAGAGGCCCCATGGTCATCCATCCAGAGTAGCTGTGTGCCCTGATACAGAACATAATTTATTGGTTAATAACAAACTAGGATATAGCAGTAAAGATACTATATAGATATGAACTGTCCAAAAGACTGAGAAAGGCAATAAGACTGGGAGATGGAAAATCAGGAGTACTTAGCTCTTGAAACCATTTGGAGCAAGTTCTTTGCTGTTGGGAACTGTCCTTGGTCCTGCATGTTCTATTGCTGCCTTTGCTTCCTTGTTTTACAACAAAGATGGGAAGTGGGAGGTGTATAATCTGATCACCTGGTTTCTTTTTATTTTCTTCAGAATAGTTGCCACATTGACTGAAATTGCACTGGTGGACAGATGCTATTTGTACCTGTCCCAAGTCGTCTCCCTCTGGCAAAAGGTGTGGGGCAACAGGTGCTTGTATTTACCCTCCTCTTCAGTGGTGCACATGCCAGCATAAGGCAGCCCTGTTCAGGGAAGTTTTTAATGTGTGACATTTTAATGTATTTTTAATCTTTGTTGGAAGCCGCCCAGAGTGGCTGGGGAAACCCAGCCCGATGGGTGGGGTACAAAAAATAAATTATTATTATTATTATTAGGACTATTCTTACAATTGAGGAAAGGGCAGGGGGAGAGAATGAAAAGCTCTCCCCTCAGTGCTGTTTCCCGGCTTAAATTAGCAGCCCACTTCAGGTTCTTTGAAGAAAAAGAGATAGGAAGTGCCCTGTTGAGGACTCATTTGGTCCAGCATCTGATTTCCCAACAGTGGCCCATCAGGTGCCCCAAGGAGTGTCCGACAACAGGCAAAACACAAGGTGATTGTCTTCCATATTTTCTTATTTTCTTATTCCCTTTCAAAGGCATCTGAGTTCTGATCCATCGCCACACCTATAGTGTGTGATGTTTTACTGTGGTTTTATAATTTTCTAGAAACTGCCCAGAGTGGCTGGGGCAACCCAGTCAGATGGGTAGCATATAAATAATATTTTTAAAATTAAATTATTGTTGTGGAAGTGAATTCCATCATTTAACTACGTGCCATGTGAAAAAATCTTCCTTTTGTCTGACCTAAATCTTCCAGTGTTCAGCTTCACTGTATGTCCCTAGGATCTAGTATTTTGAAAGAAGGCAAAGGGCAGCTGTCCCCTTTCTCCACACCATGTATAATTATCTATCACTCCTCTGCTGCCTTTCTTCTTTCTAAGCTAAGAAGCCCCCAATGCTCAGCACCACCTTCTGCCCTGCCAAGAACCTGCAGCCCCTTGGGGATGGACACCAGCTGCTAGCGTGGAGGTAAAAGAGGAAGGTTGGGGAACTGGCTGGCAGGGCTTCCCTTCTGAGGGAGGAGGGCTATAGGGTCACCAGAATTGCAGGGGCCCCGCGGGTTGCCACACCTCATTCTGCATTGTAGACAGGCGCTGCAGCTGGGGGCCAAGGCAGCTTCCCCACTTCTTCTCGTTTGGAGGCCGCTGGCCTGACGGAGGGGGGGGCAGACCTCGGGCCGGCGGGGAGGGATCGCCTTCTCGCGGCAGGCAAAGGGGTTTGCTCTCCCTTGCCCCACCCGATGGAAAGAGGGAAGGGTCGCCCTCATTCCTCGGTGCCGGGTGGGGATACATCACCGGAGCCCAGCAGCAGGAGTAAAAGCTGGATCAAACCCTGGCGCGTAGGGGAAGAGGCTCCACTAACAGAGATAAGCGCCTGTTGGGCTTCAGGACAGCGGCTGGGATCGCCTCGGGTCCTGGAAGGAGCGTGTATATCTCTCCAGGAGAGGAGAAGGAAGATGCAATTCCGCCCCGCCCCTCCCAGCCCGTTCGACGCGGGGAGTGGAAAGAGCCCCGCCCCTTCTGTGACTCCGCCCCACGCCCTGCTTATCCTAAGCACGCCTGGGTAGGTGGGCGGGGACGCCCTCGGGGGGCGGGGCCACGGGAATCCCCGCCCCAGTGCCTCGTGGGGCACGTGCGTTCTGAGCAGCCAATCCTCGCGCGGCCGGCTCTCCCCTTAAGAGGCGCGCGCAGGAGGCTGCTGCGGCATCTGCGGAGTTGGGAACCAGTTGCTATGGGGACGCCGGCGGCCGGGCCTGTCGCCATGGAGACGCCGGCGGCGCCCGGCAGCGGGAGGCGGGGGAGGCAGCGGCGGGGCCACGCGGTGCTTGCCGTGATCGGCGAGGTCGGCACCGAGCAAGAGCGGGAAACGCTGCGCCGGAGCCTCGAGCGCGGTAAGGACGGGCGGAGGGAGGGAGGGAGAAGGGGAGGCCTGCCGGAAGCCGCCGCTGCCGCCGCCTGCGCGTTCAGCACCCTGGAGAGGGCCTGCCGTGTCGCCGCCGTCGGGAGCACCTGAGGGGCGCGTGACCGGTTGGATCTGGCCCTGGCGCGGCGCTCCCTGGGCCGGAATTCCCAAGCGCGGTGGCGTCCCCATCCCCGGAGAGTCCGTGGCTGGGAGGGGGCGGGACACTGGCCGCCAAGAGGAGGAAGGATAAGCGGGTCGCCAGGCCCAGCCGCCGCCGCTGGACCTGCCCAGGGAGCTCGCTGAGCGGGGCGGCTTCTTCTGGCCGGAGCCTTCTCCTTGCCCGCTGCTACCTGGGCAGGAGCCCCCGAGGCGCTACTCCCTGGAAGATCCACCTGGCGGTCAGTCTTCTTGCCATTTTAATTTTGCCGGTTCGGGAGTAACTGAAGACAAATTTGCTCTGTCATCTATGGGAGAGCCCGGGAACTGTCATCGTTTTCGTCTATTAGTCCTTTCTTCTTAAACTGCTGCAGTGCCCAGAAGTACAGGACTCCAGCTGAAGGCTGACCAAAGCAGAATTTAGCGGTCCCATAGCTTATCGTGATCCAGACACTATGTTTCTGTTGTAGCCTAGAATTGTATTAGCCTTTTTAGTAGCGGCATCACATTGCTGGCTCATTTTTAGCTCATGGTGTGCTAAGAAACCTGGCTCTACTGTCAAGCCAGGTGCTTTCCACCCTGTACTTGTGTGTCTTGATTTTCCTACCTAAATGCATAATGTTGCATTTATCTGTGCTGAAATTAAATTTGTTACTTTGGTCCAGTTCTTCATCATGCTAGACTCACCTTGAATTTTGTTGGCTTGGTGATATCTGCTGATTTGATGAACATTTTCTCTACTCTTTTGTGTCCAAGTCTTTTATACAAAGTTGTTGAGCCACCAGCTACACATCTGCATAACAGTAGCAGGTCTTTCATGTGGGGGTGGGGAACCTTCATAGGCAGTATTCTGGGAACTGTTTGTCAAAGATGGGCAGGACTAGAAGCAAAATGAGTTGAGCAACAGATGTGACTCTTCTTAGTACAATAGACTACAGCCCTGCCACAATAAAGCCAATGATTTCCCCGCACACCCTTCTCCATCCACTGACACAATTCAAGGACACATTTCAGCCAGGCAAAAGCCTATAGGAGGAACTGGATCCAGAGCCCTTGAGGGTTTTGGCTTGGGGAAAGTCTAAAGAGTTGGATAAGGAGTTCTGGAAGTCTCTATTCTGCCCCTGAATCCAAGAGTCCCCAAGCTTAGTCTATCACACATTTTAGCAGCTTGTCAACAAGAATATTGTGGAGGAGCTTGTTGAAAGCCTTGCTGAAAACAAGCTATACTACATCTTGTAACATCCCCCTGTTCTATCAAGTTAGCTGTAAAATGGGGGAGGTAGATGAAGTTCGTCTGGTATGACTTTTTCTTAAGAAAATTGACTTGTAGTTGCATTTCTGTCTGGCACAATGTTGCTGCTTCTGCTTGAACTGATGGGAATGATGGAGTATAAAGCTAGGAGTAAACAAATACAAAGTATATACTGTAATCTTTCCTGCAAAGGGCATAAGGAATGAGACAGTAAGTGCACTCCCAATAAGGCTTTACAGCTGGGGTGGAACCCTTAATGCCCTCTCTCCTCAGGAACTCCAGCCTGGCAGGGGGGAAAGGCATGCAACCCCACTGACCATGTATCCAGGTAAGTGAGGAAGGTTCCTCTTCTCTGCAGCCTGGAGGGTGTGGCTGGTGCTTGCCCAGCTGCTGCCAGCAAAATGTCCCATATTGGCCCTCCCCCAAGAATGCAAATCAGTGTCATGGGATTGACACTGCAGTGCTATTCAAGGACCTCCTAGTTGCAGCTCTGATTTTCAGCAACTTATGGGAAACCCACATCTTTCTTGCTGCACATAAGGGGAGCAGATGGAAGCAAGCTGGCAAGCTTGGAAAGAGGCAGGTAGTGGCTGCTGCTGCTGTTGCGGCTGCTGCTGTGGTGTGTAGTTGGTGCTGCAGTGCAGCTTTCTTTCCTGCTAGTTCCTGGACTTTCTCTCTGCAGTGAGTGTGAAGCAGGAGCAGCATGAAAGTGCCTCCTTGGTGAGCAGGAAGTAGGTGAGGGCTCTTTTCTTACCTGGCATTCTCCAGGAATGGAGTAAAGGCAGCCCTCTTGTCTCTCCTTAGGGTGATATTTGTAGCACCTTGTCAATGTGGATGGGTCATTTCAAGGGAATGAAAGAGGAATTGCCACTGTGGTTGGCTCCTCCTTTGGACATATGGAAATCACCTCCTTTTCTTTTCTTTTCCTCCCCTGTGGTTGGCTGAATCCTTTTAAAGCAGTCTTACACTGCAGGGTTTGTGGAGAGGGGCTGTCTTTGTAAGTCTGGAAGGGCATTGCTTTATTCTTATTTAATTTCAAAAATACATATCTCTTGTTTTTAAATTTAAATAAGTTTCTAAAGCAATGCACAATACTGGTAAAACAGCACAATGTAAATGTAATAGCACATTATTATTAATTTTTAACTCAAAAGATCAGTGGAAATAAAATAAGTTGGACAACATAACAGGGAAGATAAAACAGGCTGTACACAATTCAGCAAATAAAATTAAAATGTTGCTCATGAAAAGCTCCTACAAATGAAACAGTCTTTATCTGGCACTGGAAACTTAGCAAACGTGTGGAGCAGCTGTATATGGAGGGCGTTGCAGTGATGGGACATAATCTCTCCAGCTACCACCTGCCTTGCTTCTGCAGGCAAAGGAAGGTTTGCATAGGAGTAGGTGGTCTTCCAGATAGCAAGGTTCTAAGGCATAAATGATTTTAAAAGGTAAAACTAGCAGTTTACCTGGGGGAAATGGGAAATCTGGAGCTACTTTTGAACATAATGGTGTGTTCCTCATTACTAGTACCAAGCAATAACCTAAACTGCAGCATTTTACATTTCTGCATTGTCTTCAAATATAATCTAAAGATAGATGGGCATAGTATGGGCAATAGTGGCAAGGGGTCACAGCTAGTGAACCTGACTAGTCTGATGATGCAGATGCCCCAGGATATCCAAATTATTAGAAGGATTTAACAGCACTCCAAAATTCTGGGCTTGATCCTTAAGGGGTGTATAGTCCCATTCCGAATAGGCCAAAACTGTCTTCCTAGTCACATTTTATTTGTTTCTTAATTTATTGCATTTATAACTCTCCATTTCCTCCATGGAGTATGAGGTGGTATACATCATGCCCCTCCTTCTTCATTTAACTCCCACAACAGCCTTGTGAGGTAGGTTAGGTTGAGAAGCAGTGATGGCCCCTGGTTACCCAGTGAGCATCATGGCCAATTGGGGATTTGAACCCTGGTCTCCCAAGTCCTAGTCTGACACTTTAACTTCTATACCATTCTGGCTTAGATGAAATTCCTCTAAAAAGCAGTTCTGTCTTGCCTGGACTCACATAGTATATAAGCCCCCATCCAATCCATTACTGACCTCTGACACCTATTCAGAACTATTTGCTCCTCTTGTTCACCTGAAACCAGAACTCTTCCTGCTGGGACTAATGGCTGTACAACTAGAAAAAGAATATGGAATACAATATATGATCACAGCAGTGAGATTTTAATAAGCACAACAAAGACAGAAGAACTTACTATTACCTACTATGAAAGAATGGTTATTGAAATTAATGGATTTGGCTGAGATTGCAAAGTTGACATGTTAGAGAAAAATCATTGTTGACATTTTGAAGACTGAAAAAAGTTGGTTTATGTAAAGTAGAAGAGTTGGATGTTATTGTGGAGTAAGTTTTTGCACAAGCTTTTAAAACTAATAGATGGAGAATTGGAAATCTTTTCTTTTTCTGTAACTTATTTATTTTAGCTTTTATTTTTAAAAATGCTGGAAATTTAATGCTGAATTCTTTATATTGTTTATTCCTTGTTTGTTTTTCAAGCTTTAATAAAAATAGCTTTTTAAAAAAATTACTTTTAGCTCCTCTCCTAAATTCAAGGAAGACTGGAAGGTCCTTGAGGGACGTTTTCCTGATTCCCACTATTTCACTTCATTCATTCCAGCAGCACCATGATAAGCTGAATGTTAGGGAACATAATGAGGAAATCTGTTTTGTATGGAGTATAGATTACAATGTATGCAACTGAAATTGGTACATATTGTTTGGTCTTAAATTGTTCTGTCATTATCAAATTGAGCATACATGCTTCTTGTGTGTATGTCTTGTACATTTTAAATAACCTTAGAAATGACAGCCAGATAGCCTGTCTTGGGTGGTCCCAGTTTCATTCTTTATTGTCCCAGTTCCTTTAGTCTTTACTGAAATTGGAATATTCTGTGTACAGTTTTGACCAGAACCTGAGACTGGATAGCCCAGGGTAGAAGAGATGCATTTCATTCAGGGTGCCCCATTGCATTGAAAGGTATTCTCCCCCCCCCCCCGGTCTATTCAAACAAATTAAGCCCAATAGTGTTAGAAAAAATAAATACTTTAGCTCCAGGTCAGTCCCCTGGTACTCCAGGGAGCTTGTGGTCATAAATCTTCAGTAGCCCACTGTAATTTACTTGCAAATAACTTCAAATTGGGTTCTGCTTTGAATACTGCAAAAATATGGGCTGCTGCCTTGACTGCATCTGGTAGCACTTGCTTGGATGAGTTTCAGTTGTTGCAGCCAGAGGGTGAAGGCAGGATGCATGGAGAGACAAAGTTTCCCACTTCTGTGCTCTGTTGGAAGCTGCTGCCAAATAAACCTTCCTTGGACCATCACCATGAGCTAAATATAAATCAGCAATCCAATGCAGTAACTAAAAAGGCCAATACACTTCTAGACTGCATTAACCAATGTATAAAATATCCACACCACAAAACTAATGATGGCACCCTATTCTGCTTTGGTCAGACCTCATCTAGACCTACCTGTGTCCAGCTGTGGTGGGCACAGCAGCTGAAGGAGTTCCCAACTGGAGTATGCCCAGAAATGGGCAACAAAGATGGTGAGGCCCCTGGGAACCACATCCTGTGAGGAAAAGATGAAGGAGGTGGGTATGTTTAGCCAGGAGAAGAGACCATTAAGAGGTGAGATGAGACAAAACCATGTTCATATACTTAAAGAGTGTCTCATAGATAATGGAGCAATTTATTTCTCCAGAGAATAGGACCAGAACTAATAGGTTAAAATTATAGGATTTCTACTAACCATTAGAATGAGCTTTCAATGGTGGAAGAGACTGCCTTGGAAGGTGGGGGGCTCTCCTTAATTATAGGTTTTTTAGTGCAAGTTGTATGGTCACCCATCATAAATGCTTTAGCAGTAGACTGACAAGTGGGGCTGAGCTGAGGTACCTTCCAGTTCTTTGTGTGTCCAGCCTTACTCATTGATACAGGTGCTTGAATTGGTGGTAAGGACCTGGCTCCAAATATTCCTAAATGGTGCTGATGATATGGACTTATTTCATCTCACTTCCAGCCTGCTTTTAGGACTAAAACTGCTTTGGTCAGCAAGGCAACATCGATGAAGCTGATCAGCATTGATGAAGCTGGTCAGTGCAGTGTACATCACTGCAGTGTAGTATAAATCTGTGCTAAATGAAATAGGACATACACAAGCCCATTCTTCAGCTTTCCATAGTGCCAGGTGGCTGAGGCAAACAGTCCCTATGAAGGAATATTCTCTGGACAGTGTGGAAGAAACTCAACTCATGGACCTGAAGGTGACTCCCACCGCATGATGGGGAAGCCACATGGATTACCTGGAGAGGCTAAACTGCTGTTTGGAAGGACAGACTGAGCACCCTGCTGGGATAGGAAGGTGATTAGCCCTCATAGATTACGTGGATTAAAGAGCAAACTCTGAGGCTATCAGGATGCTCAGGGGCTTTGGGAAAGTGATTAGGCAGTAGAAGCTTGGACTAGAGTTGGACTCTCATCCAAGGAGCAAAGCATCCAATGCACAGAAAAGGACTCTTGTTCCTACTGGGTGGTCAAACCCACTTCCTTTTTTTTTTTTTTTAATAATTTTTTATTAAGGTTTTAAACAAACAAAAAAGAAAAACAACACACACAAAAAACAATACAAAACTTAACAATAAAAACACAAAACATAACACTTAAAAACAAACTCTCTTTTCCATTTCCAATTTTAAATTACTTATTTTCTGGACTTCCTCATACCTCCCTCTTTTGTATTCCAATCCACATTATTTGTCCAGCAGTTTCTTTTCCACTTTTTAATCTCAATCTTTAATTTAATAAAACATTAAAATATATAACTTCAACTTTTTAAACCTAATCCTTGATCTTAATGTCATATAGCTTTAAATTTTTCCCTTTTATTATCAAATTTCCATTTCTTTAAACATCTTTAATCTTGATCTTTAATCTTAATCTATCCTTAACTTTAACCTGTACAGCTGGAAACCACTTGTTTTCAGTCCAACATCACTCTAACATTCCTTAATTTTGCAATGTTTCTGAAGATAGTCTTTGAATTTCTTCCAGTCTTCCTCCATCGACTCTTCTCCCTGGTCACGGATTCTACCAGTCATTTCCGCCAATTCCATATAGTCCATAAGTTTCATCTGCCATTCCTCCAGCGTGGGAAGTTCTTGTGTCTTCCAATACTTTGCGATAAGTATTCTTGCTGCTGTTGTTGCATACATAAAGAAAGTTCTATCCTTTTTAACACCATTTGGCCTACTATGCCCAGGAGAAAGGCCTCTGGTTTCTTGGGGAAGGTATACTTAAATACCTTTTTAATTCATTATATATCATTTCCCAGAAAGCCTTAATCTTTGGGCACATCCACCAAAGGTGAAAAAATGTACCTTCAATTTCTTTACATTTCCAACATTTGTTATCGGGCAAGTGATAGATTTTCGCAAGCTTGACTGGGGTTATGTACCACCTGTATATCATTTTCATAATATTCTCTCTTAAGGCATTACATGCCGTAAATTTCATACCTGTGGTCCATAACTGTTCCCAGTCAGCAAACATAATGTTATGACCAACGTCCTGTGCCCATTTAATCATAGCCGATTTTACCGTTTCATCTTGAGTATTCCATTTCAGCAGCAAGTTATACATTCTTGACAAATTCTTGGTATTGGGTTCTAACAATTCTGTTTCTAATTTGGATCTTTCCACCTGGAAGCCAATTTTCCTGTCCAATTTAAATACCTCCATTATTTGATAATAATGAAGCCAGTCTCGCACTTTGTTTTATAGTTTTTCAAAACTCTGCAATTTCAGTCTATCTCCGTCTTGTTCCAAAATTTCCCAATATTTCGGCCATTTGACCTCCATATTGACCTTTTTCAAAGCTTTCGCTTCCATTGGTGACAGCCACCTTGGGGTTTTATTTTCTAGCAAATCCTTATATCTTATCCAGACATTAAACAGCGCTTTCCTGACAATGTGGTTTTTAAATGCTTTATGTGCTTTGACCTTATCATACCATAAATATGCATGCCATCCAAATACATTATTAAAACCTTCTAGATCCAAAATGTCAGTGTTTTCAAGAAGTAGCCATTCTTTCAACCAGCAAAAGGCTGCTGATTCATAGTACAGTTTAAGGTCTGGCAGGGCAAATCCACCTCTTTCCTTTGCATCCGTTAATATTTTAAATTTTATTCTGGGTTTCTTGCCCTGCCAGACAAATTTAGAAATATCTTTCTGCCATCTCTTGAAACAATCCATTTTGTCCACGATCTGCAAAGTTTGAAACAAAAACAACATTCTGGGCAATACATTCATCTTTATCGTAGCAATACGGCCTAGCAGTGAAAGCTTCAAATTTGACCAAATTTCTAAATCTTTTTCACTTCTGACCAACATTTTTCATAATTATCTTTAAATAAATTCCCATATTTTGCTGTCATGTTAATCCCCAAGTATTTAACTTTCTTAACCACTGTTAAACCTGTCTCATTCTGAAACCTCTCTCTTTCAAACGGTGTTAAATTTTTCTCTAAAACCTTGGTTTTTGACTTGTTCAATTTAAATCCTGCCACTTGACCAAATTCTTGAATCAGTTCTAAAACCCTTTTTGTACTAGATTCTGGCTCCTGTAACGTCAATACTAAGTCATCTGCAAATGCTCTCAATTTATAGTGTTTAATTCCGACCTGTATACCTTTAACCATCTGGTCCCTTCTAATCATATTCAGCAGAACCACCAGGAGGTCAAACCCACTTCCTCACCCAAGGTACAAGCCAGGCCTGTGTTCCTCTTAATCAGTGTACAGCTTTGGTCTCTTCCAGGAGAGCACATGAACTCATTCCTCTCTCCCTTTCTCTCAACAGGTCTTCGCTCATGGGACATTGACCTCTCTTCCTGTGACCTTAATCAGCAACTGAGACTGTTTGTTACACGTCATCTTGCACATTTTTCATCAGAGGTCAAAGGTCAGTGCCCACCTTGTTTATCTTAATTTTTGAGATTTGCATTTATGCCCAGAGCTACTGTCAGCTTTGAGGGAGGCTTCTGGGGTGATGTGCTGTCTCCTGGTGGCTTCAGAAATAGGAGCAGAGCTCTGTCTGCTGCCAGCCTTACTCTTTCCTACAGTGCACTGGGATGCTAGTGGCATCTGACCCAGCCCCAAGGGAGAGTCTATGGGGCACAATGGGCTACTCCAAGTTGGGGGGGGGGAGTCCAAGTTGGGGGCTAGGAAGCAGCCTCAGGCTGCAGTTGCAGCACCATGGACAGCTCCAAATGGGCAGCTTGGAGTTGCTGCACTCCACTGACATTTTATGTTTGTATTGGGCTGGGGTCCTCAAACTTTTTAAACAGGGGGCCAGTTCACCGTCCCTCGGACACTGTTGGGGGCTGGACTATAGTTTGAAAAAAATATGAACTAATTCCTATACACACTGCACATATTTTATTTGTAGTGCACAAAAAACAGGAAAAACAATACAATATTTAAAATGAAGAACAATTTTAATCAACATAAACAAGCCAGGCCCAAGCCAGGGGTGAGGTGGGGTAGGGGGATCCCCTCTCAAAGTTTCTGCATTTGCATATAATATTTTGGGGTGGGGCCACCGAAGGCTACATAAATGTGCTGTTCCACACAAACTCCCATTTCAATACACACACCTTTGAAGGGGAAAGGGCAAGATATTGCTGTGGGAGCAGGAGGGAGGAAAAGAGATGCCTGCTATCCCACCGCAAGGCTGTGGCAGTTGAGGGCTGGCAGTGGAGACCACGCAGCTTGCCCTTCCAGACTTACAGCATTGGGGAAGGGGGGTGTTTGCTCCACACGACCTCCCACCCAACAGCACCCCCTAAACATCCGACTCGCCCCCTCCCCTTTCCCAACCATTAGGAGGGAAGTGGTTGTGGGAGGGGGGAGAACCCTCCTCACCTTTCACCCCCCAAAAATAAAACACCCGCCCATTCAAGTGAGGGGGGGATGAGGAGGCGAACCCCCACCACCACTTCTCCTCACAGGAAGGAGGCTCCGCTGCCACTGCATGGTCCGGCCCCACTGCGCCCCCGCCACCGTTCATAGGAGGAGGGCAGTCCGGCTGAGGAGGAGTGGGAGGGCTGAGGCAGGTGGTGGCGGCAGTGGTGCAGGGTGGCACACTGAGGCAGCTCCTGCTCCTCCCGCTGCTGCTGTCTGTGGAGCTGTCTCCTCAGCTCCACTGCTGCATGAATGAAGAGCTGGCGCCTCATAAACACCCTCCTTTTCTCCCCTCCCCCACTTCCTCCTCTCCTTTGGGTTCTGCAATGGCTGGGCGGGTCAGTTTTAGGACCCTGGCGGGCCAGATCCAGCCCACGGACCGTAGTTTGAGGACCCCTGGTCTTGGGCCTGATCTCCCCACTCCTTCAGTCTCTCCCCCAGATCCTCAAGAGTGGAGACTCCCTGAAGCCAGTCCTTTGGCCTGAATCCCAGCTATCACCCTGTTACCTTGAGAGTGGCTGGGGTAACTGAATCCAGATGAGTGGCATATAAATAAATAAATTATTATAATTATTAATTATTAATTATTATTATCATCATCATCATCCTCTCCCGCTTTCTATATCACCCGTGTTTGGGAGTGGGGTAGGGGTGGGGTGTCAAGGGTTCCTTGTGAGAATCAGGCTCCGGAAGTGCTGTCTTTGTGGAGTTGTCTGTGACAGGGGGGTCAGATACAGACTAAGGCTCATTGTTGGGGATTGAAGTTTAGCCCCTTTTCTGTTTGTATTCCTGCTATGCCTGGTGCAGCAGGCTTCTCCACTTCTGCTTCAAGATTCCTGGTAACTGCTTGGGTTCAGGGTCATGGTAGGCATCCTGAGGAGACGGAAGCAGGGTGGTGGCAGCTGGAGCTCTGCTTCTTCTGAGCCAACATCTCCTACAACCAGGACTCAGTTCTGGCACCTCTCAGGTAGGAATAGGAATAGACGGGTGGAAAGATCAAGCTAGATATCATCAGCATAACACCACAGAGGTAGCTTAGAAGGAACAAAGGGAGGGGGCTGAGAACAGAGAACTATCAGGTCTCCAAATGGAAGGAGAAACCATGGAAAAGAGACTTCAGAACCACAGGAGTTACCGTAATTCATGGAAGGATGTTGCTACATCTCAAAGAGCAAACTGAACTAAGAAAGAAAGAGATGTCAAGAAAGAGTGTTGCACTTCCATCTTTAAGGTGCCACAACACTCTTTGTTGATGTCTCATTTATTATTCTAAGCTTTAGTGACTGACATCCACTTCCTTACATGCAACCATGGCCAGTGCTGATGAAATAATTGGGGAAGCAGCTTGTGTAAAGCAAGGAGGGACAACCCTGAAGAATGCGAGAAGTCAGAGATGCAGGAAAGGATGTAAACAGGCCTGTCTCCTGATGCTTTCCCTTCATGGAAGGATAGCAAGAGAGTCAGGAGTTTGTGTGCAGCTCATTACCCATGGAATCCTGGCCTTTGGTTCATGGCTAGATCTACACAGAGCTCAATCTTGCTTCTAACAGGTTCTGGTCTGCAAGATCCCTGGAGATTTCAGCTCATGTGTCATCACCTCTTTAACATTTCAAAGTCTCCATGCAAGTCAATGGAACGGGAGGCTTCTGTAGGATGAGTTTTATGGGTAGGAGAGGATATATTAACTGCAATTTATCCCTTTTGGCTCCCACGTGTGTAGGTTGAACAGAGTTTTAAAATCCCATCCTTGGCAGCAAAAATTTAAAGCATAAGAATTAGGCTGTAGAATCATAGAATTGTAGAGTTGGAAGGAATCCCAAGGGTCATCTAGTCCAACCCCCTTGCAATGCAGGAATCTCAGTTAATGCATCCGTGACAGATGGTCATCCAACCTCTGCTTAAAAAGCTCCAAAGAAGGAGGGTCTACTTCAATGCCTACTTTTAAAGTCCACTGTAAAGCCTACTTTTGAGCAAGTTCAGCTATGAAATAACCTGGTTTTCTATTTCTTACCCCACTTAACAAAGAATCAAGAAACAACTTGTAAAGTAAGTTTAAAACAAGATTTACTTCCTTTATAACCTTCCACTGGTTCACAGTAAAGGCAGCAGTAAAAACTATGCAGGCAAAACATGTATTCATATCTACAGTATAACCAGCTTCAGCCTATAGCTGGAGCAAGTGGAGGTTTGTCTGTATCCAATGCTTGTCAAAGAAAGAAAGGGAGGGAGGGAGGAAGAAGCAGGAAATGCTACATGCTCCTTCTACAGCAGAAGAGGGAGAAATGACATCACATAGATGTCTACCAATTGTATTTCTATGGTCTGAGTATCTGCCTGTCAACAATACAGCTCTGTGGTGTTAGCCCCTTCTCATGCTAACTAGCAAGAATATGTATTTCTAAAGTTTGGCTGCTAATGTCCCACATCTTCTACACACAGCTGAGTGCTTGGCTAGGCCACGGTGGAGAGTTAAGCGCATGACAGATTTGCTGCAACCTGACAAATATGAGAATCCAAATCTGCCTCAGCCCTGCTGGTGACCTGAAATATTAAGAGCATTGAAGGTCTGCCATACACTACTCTGTCCTGCCACAGTCTTCCAGTCAGCAATAGGGGTGTAACACTGAGCTGCTCCTTGTTTAATGCTTCCCAGCTCAATCTGCAATGCAAGCATAAAATGATGGATATCATGGCAAAAGTGTAAGCTGCACTCTCAGCTTCCACCCAACCTGCAACAGGGGCCTAACAGCTGTGGACAAGTATTAGACCCCTATTTTTGGAAACCGTAGGATTCAGTGTGAGCTGTGCTGCCACTCCCTGCTAGCCACAACCCCTGTCAAGGGGTTAATGAACAGTATTTGCTTTGGAGTTTGTATTAGCAGGGATAATTTAAAAATGTTTCACACTAAATAAGAAATGAATTTGCAACAAAGGAAAGAGTTTCTGCTCTAACATTTTTTTGGAGGGTGGGTGGACACACTGCTGCCCAAATCTATCTATATTAAAATATTGGACTTTTCCATTAATTTCTATAGGTCACTCTCACTTTCATCCCTCGAGCAATTTAGCCTATCAACACAATGGTCAACTCTGTCCTTTCTGTATCTGGGTGTCTCTCTTTTGCTGGAAAAAGTGGAGAGAAATGGATCAAGAGAGACTGGAGGAGGAGACAGCAGCACAGAGGCCAAGCTGCCCACCTCCTACTCTCATTATGCCTTATTTGCTCCCCTCCAGTTTTCTTTTCCAACTGACCACAGGTTCCGTGGATATGAAGCAATCTGAAATCTGAATTTAATCTGTGGAAATCTGAATTTAAGATTGGAAAACTGATAAACTGAAATAATGATACCCACCCATCCCTAGTGGATGGTGCTGTTTTGCCTTCATGCAGATCTGTACTCACCCCTGATCTTTGCGAAGAGAGGGAAGGAGGATGACACACCTATACAATGTTTATTGGGGAGTTGGGGTGAAGTAATATTCTTTGCAATTGTTGTTTCTTATGAGATAAGCCAGTATCACACTCTTCCATATAGAACCTCCCTGGATTGTGTACTCATTGCAGCTCAGTACATGCACTTCCAAGTCAGTTATAGGCACCTGTCAACTCCTGTAGGTGAGGCATGAAATTTTCCCTATTACTCTCTTGCATGAAGAGGCTGGAATTCCATTATATACAAAGCCCTTCTAAGACACAAATGTATTTCCCAAGCTGAAAATCACACCTCTACCCTCACAGGCACCAAGCTTTTATGTGCTGGTCATCTGTCAGGAATCAGCTGGATATCCTGTTCTGTAGACGTCTTAATTTCCTGGAGTTTTGCTGCATTCGCTGGAATGCATTATACTGATGGAGATGATGTCCCAGTCTCCCTGTTCAGCTTTCTCAGTGTTGGACAGAGAAGCACAACTCAAGTGTGTTTGCCACTGCTAGAGATATTCTGGGACAATATCTGATCTTCCACATCTTGAGTAAGATGAACAGGCCAGCCTCTACACAAAAGAAGAATAAGACCTCAGAAATGGCAACATTAAGAATTAGTGTTTGTTAATGGTGATTTCTTAATGGTGGTGCTACATATAAATTAATTAATCAGTAAGAACAGCAACAGTTTAATTGCTTTCCTGTTCTTGTTAACCTTAGCAGAACTAGTCCACTAAATGCATCCCTTGCCTGGACTAGGTTGGACATCTCCCTGGACACCTTAATTTAGACCAGATTTGAGCTGGGCTTGACAGGCAGAAGCTATAGCAGGAGTGGCCAAGCACATACTAGGCCTGGCCAGTTGAAAGGCTTCCTGTTGCCAATTGCTCTGAATGTGGCAACACCTCCTCTTCCTTCCAGGCTAGCAAATCCTTCCAACAGCCATGAACAGCACTCCCAGGCCAGAGTGGCTTCCTGGCCACAGAAGTGGAACTTCTTGCTTCAAGCCCCCAAACTCCTCCCATCTCTCTTGTCTTTTTAATTACAACCAGCCTGGCAGAGCTTAGCAGACCCTCCGGGCAGCAACTGGGGTTAAGAGGACCTGTAATTCATTTCGGTTCTCTTAATCATATGGGATCTGTACGTTCATTTCCAGGCCCAAGACGACAGCCAAGCATGGTTTAATGATGGGAGGATGCCTCCTGTTGTGGTTCCCTTTGGGCACCAGATAGTGACATTGGATGTATGCTAAAGCACATCCAAATGGGGGCTCAGCTCAGGCATGCCAAATCCTGCTCCCCCCCCCAAAAAAATAATTCTCTCTGCAGTTGGGCATCATTTTCTTGTGTGGAAACAGCTCCCCACATTTCCCAGGGAATCTGGCTTCTCTTCCATTTTCACAGCAGCCCGTTTCGGTGACTTGGGAGAAAGCCCCTTTGGAAACAACGGGACTTAATTTGGAGACGACTTGACTGCACTGTTGATGCATCCTCTAGAACAGCACTTGCGGGCTCCCCTTCCCCAGGTCTTGCAAGAGGGAAGTGGAGTGGCTCCTTTTGCATCCACAACCTGAGCGAGCTCCTGTCCTGCGGAAGAGCCGTGCAACGCCCCCCACTTCCAGCCCTCTCTTGCCCCCTTTCCTGCTCAGTCGTGTGCTTGGGCAGTTCGGAGGCTTTGGGCCTTGCCGCGGCTCACGAGGGGTTAAGGCTGCCGGGGCGGGGGGGGGAGCAGCTCCGCCCCCTCCTCCCCCCCACTCCGCCGCCGCCGCTTTGCACTGACAGCAGCTGCCTGGCGCAGCCCAGGCCCAGCCGGCATCGTCGCGGAGGGCAGCCGAGGGCGGAGGGACGCGTCGCCACCTCACCGGGTACGTGCATGGGGTGGGGGGAGCGGGGATGGGACCGGCCGCGGCCGGCCAGCCGGCCAGAGGGGTAGGTTCCTGGGAGGACGAGGGTGGCCAGAGCCCTCCGCGCATCGCACGGGCCGAGAGGAGGCCCGTCGGGGGACGGAAGGGGGGCTGCACCCCGCATGCCCGACCTCCGGAAGGGAGCGGAGTGGGGAGAGGAGGGAGGGGGCGCAGCAGCATCCTCGTCCGCAGGTGCTGCCCCCCCCGGGCTTCATTGCTTCCCCCCGCGGGGACGTGCCCCGAGGGGTATCCCTGCCCGGGGGGGGACTGGTCTTGGGCAGATGGGCCAGCTAGCCCTCCTGGGACTGGAAGGCGGAGGCGCTGGTGCTTTTGCTCCGGAAGGGGCAGCTCGCAGGCTGGCTAGCTAGCCTGCCCATCAAGGCCTCCGGGAAAGGGTCCGGCCAGCGCCCCCTTTCGCCTTTGCCGGGGAGGGGGGACGCGGTGGCGGAGGCTCTTGAGCGCGCACGCGAGGCGCGCACACTGCGGCAAATTTTGCAGCTGGCGCCCGCCTGCTCCAAGTGCCGCGTGGGGTGGGGGTGGGGGGCGCAGGGAGTCAGCTTGGCGGCCTCCGGCCTGCCGGACCCCTTGGGAGCACGCCTCCTCCGGGACCAGCCCCCGCCTTCTCAGACACCGATGCTTCCAGAAGCGGTGCGGGAGGGGGGATGTTCTCCAAGAGCTCTTGAACGCTGCCGGAGATGCCGGAGATGGATTGGAAAGAAGCACTGCCCCCCCCCCGCACATGCTTTCTGCTGGCCTGCTTGCCCAGCCCCCGTCGTTCCCCGCGTTGCTGCTCAGATGTCTCAGCTTAGTCCCGTGGAGTTCCCCCTCTTCTTCCAACATGGGTGCCCCACCCTCTGGTGCCAGTGAGGATGCCAGCAGCACGGTGCCAAGCATCATCTTGTCTGCCAGTCAGGTCAAGCTCTCTCTCTCTCTGACCCCCCCCCCCAGTCCCACTGCCTCTTGGAAGCCCCTTCCCACATCAAGGGTCCTAAGCACTTTAGAGGAGCCCTGCAGCTGCAAGATCAGGCCTAAGGGGGCTCAGCTGGTACTGTACTCTGTTTTCACAATGGCCAAGCAGGTGCCCCAAGGGGAAGCTCAAAAGCAGGACAAGAGCACAGTGCTCCTCCACATTTCCTCAGCATCCTGACCCTGGAGGGAGAACACAGCCATTTGTGCTTGCACTAATTGGTAACCTTATCCCCCTCCATGAAGTTGTCCACTCCTCTTTTCAAGTTTTCCCCATTTGTGACCACCATCACTGCCTCTCCTAGGAGTGAATTTCAGGGTTTAACTCTGTGCTGCTGTGTGAAGGAGTCCTTCCTTTTGTCTGGCCTGGACCATCCTGGCTGAGCCAAAGAAAGGAGGCCCCAGAAGCCGCCTGCTGATGGAAGGCTTTTCTTCCTGCATGTGGACAATCTGTGAAAGTCACTATCTGAAGCTACAGGAACATCTGTCTAAGAACAAATCAGTGGGGCTTAAAGGTGCTTAGCTTTGGCTGGATTGTGCCCTAAGCAAGGCATTATCTTTATTGGATCAGCTGGCTGGTATGGAGGAGATACAGGCTTTTGAGTCATACAACCCTCTTTATCAGGCAGAATGGAATGGAAGCCAAATCTTGGGGTGGGGATGCTGCTTCCTCATGCAGAAGCTTCCAGTGGCATCCTGAGGCCATCCATTGCAAACGCTTCAACACTAGAGAAGAATATCAATTTGATTGCCAAAGGTTGCAGGGCATTACAGGGAGCCAGGAGGCCTGGTTGCAACCCTAGGCTTGGCTACTCAGAAGTAAGCCACATTGAGTTATCTGGAACTTACTTCCAGGTAAGTGTGTGTAGGACTGAATTCTTAATTTTTTTCCTCCTCCAGGCATAAAGGCCAAGGTACAGTGCAATTACCTCTGAGGGTGAGGACTGGGTTAGTTATGCAGAAGGATACAGCCAGAGTTTGCATCCAGAATCGCTTCCCTGCTTCTCCAGCTCTGAAAGGTGAAGGGTAGTAGTGCCTCAGTCATTAGATCACCTCCTTTGTCTGCAAAAGGTCCCAAGCTTAGTCCTTGATGACATCTTCAGGTAGACCTGGGAATGTCCCCTGACATCATGGAGTCTCATTGTTGCCAATCAGTGTATAAAAAACTGAGTTTGGTGGACCCCATTGGTCTGGTTCTGTATAAGGCAACTGCTTCCACTGTGGTTCCACAGTAGTCAGAGTAGACCGAGTGTAGGAGGCCAACCTGCTATGCAAATTTTGGAGTGGATTTTGCACCCCTGATGCAAATAATTTTGCATTCCCAAAGGCACGCCTCATGGAGTTCTGGAGACTCATTTCCTGTACTTGATCATTTTAAGGCTGCTTTCTTCATGGTATTTTTAAAAACTTTGTATTATTTCCCTAAGCTACAGAGTAATTCCCAATAAAACAAGTAAATAAGAATCCATAAAAAACACAGTCCATTAAAAGAACAACAAATCACTAAGCAACATTTAATAGCAGCAATCGGACCTCTCCTCCAAATGCCCTCCAAGAAGATGTACCCTCTTAAAATGCTCTTAGCTACCTTGAAAGACTGCGTGGAAAGGAAAGAAAGGGAGACTTTCCCTAAGTATATGATAAAGTACTAGAACTGGGTTTTGTTCCTAAAGCCCCAAAATAGTTTTGTATTTTGCAGCCAACTGAGGAGAATTTAAATTTAAAACTTTAAATGGAGTTACAAGTACATAAGACATCTAGGCCAGCATCTTGTTTCTCAGAGGTCCAGCCCCAGGTATTCAGAATCTTTTGATCATGGAGGTTTGTGTACAGCTAGCCTGACTGGTAGCCATAAAGAGCGTTCATGGGTTTGTTTAATAATTCTCCTTCAGAGCACTGGTGAACATCTTGGGACATCAAATTCCATGGTTCCACTATATATTTTGGGAAGAAGGCCTTCCTTTTGTCTGTCCTGAATCATCCAACATTCAGCCTTATTGAATGACCCCGCTGGTTTCATGAGAAAGGAAGAAAAACTTCTCTGTATCTAATTTTGCCATACCATGCTGAATTTTATATCTCTTTAGCACATCTCTCTCTCTCTCTCTCTCTCTCTCTCTCTCTCTCTCTCTCTCTCCCCCTCCCAACACACACACTGCTTACCCTTTTCTTAAACTAAAAAGATTTAGAGGGCTGACATTATTAAACCTGACAACCTAGTTTATTCATTTCAATGGATCACTTTGGCAGAACACCCCCTAAACTATGTCACCTTTCTCTATAGGAGAGTTGTGCCAACCCCTTCTCTCCTTCGTTCGGGTTGCCCATTTCTGCACCTTTTCCAGCTCTCCAATGGCCTTTTTGAGGCACAGAAACCAGAACGGTACACAATATTCCAAGTCATTACAATATAGGGAGATTCCCCCTCCCCCCACTTTCCTAAAGATCCCTCAAAAGGAATTCACCATATGCAATTGGCCCACTGATCTCACCTGAGCAAAGCTGCTCCTGGACATCGCCAGGACCTGGACATCTGTGTCCAAGGCTGGATCCAGGAGCATTCCAAGCTGCAAACCTGAGCTTTCAAGGGGGATGCAGCTTCAGCCAAGGCAGACTGAATCCCCATTCCCTGAGCTGCCATTCTGTGACTAGGAAAACATCTGTCTTGTTGGGATTAAGCATCATTTTGTTAGCCCTTTTCTGATCCAATGCTAACTGCAAATGCTAATGTAGGAGTTGGGGGGGGGGAGAATGGATTTAGATGGGAAGGAAATATAGAGTTGGGGGTCACCCACATCTCAGTAGCATCAAATCCCCAAAGCTTGCATGACTTCTCTGAGCAGTTTATTAATGAACAAGTTAAAAAAATCTAGTCCATGTGCAGTCCCTCCTTTAGGATGAGAATTGTTCAAATGCAAGGAGATGAGTCAGATGAGGACTGCAGGAGTTGAGTGGCTCCATCTACAAAAACATTACCTGAAGGCTCACTAGGTCACCCACCTTGCGTCTGCGCTCCCTCCTCTGTGTGGGTGCCACCCATCTGCCTTACAAAGCTGACATCACTGCTCCTACCTTTCCTTTCTGCTCCTTTCTAGTTCTCTTTGACCCATCAGCTACTGACAGGTCACCCTACAGGTAGGTCTAGTTGCTGTGAAGTGCTGCAAAGGCAGGCCACCACCAGCAGATTCAGAAAGGGAGTGGACATCTTCCTGGAAAAAGAGTGGGGGCTCATCAGTTGAGCCCCACGGGTTTCTGGGCAGTGCCAAGAAGCGAATGGACAGTGGCAAAACTGCCCCCCTCCAGGGCCAAACTCTCTCTTTTTTCACATGGTCGGCCACAGAGCCAAATCCCAGCAGCCATCAGAATGGTATGCAGGAATCCAGAACAGATGATGGCTTTGTGCTTTGTCTGGCCCTGCTGGAGCCATTGGCCTGGCACACATTGTCAGCCACAAGGAGAGGAGTTCCTGCCCACTCGCAGGGCCAAGGGTTCTCTCGTTGCCCAGCTTCTAGTCTGCCCCCTCTCCAAAGGGCAAGAGTGGAACCCTAACCCATTTGCATGGGTGTTTGAAGGCAGAAGTAGAGGTGGGGCTGGGGTTTTCTTGCAATAAATTTAACTATGGGCAGGGAGGATGCAAAGAACTCCCAGCCACAGTATGCATGGCTTAGTCCAGAGCTCTAGCGCCATCTAACGTCTTGATCTGGTGCACCATGTCTCAAGGGCCAGGCAGGGTATTGAGGAGATGTCAGATTTCCAGTTCCCTTAGATTTCTTTAGATCAGTTGATCAAACTCTTCCAAGGGACCCCTGTGTAGAGCATGTTATAGTAGATGAATAGACTGCTGTAATGCACTCCATGTGGGGCTGCCTATGGAGACTTCACATGAAACAGAATGCATGTGGAGGAGAGCATAAAAAAGCATAGAACAAGCCTGGGCTTTCCCTGACCCATAGGTTTGGACCCTGTTTTATGGGTATGAACCCCTTAAATTTCTGCTTGATTTAGGTGTTTAGTCTGTCTTATTGGCTGTCTTTTAGATTTTATATTGTATATAACGTACACTATTTAGAGATTTTTGAAATATTAAGTAGTTTAGAATTACTTTTTTAAAAGTATAAATAAATAAGTCATCACTACTACATACCAAATGCCTTTAGCTCTGATTTGCTTCTGGGCTCAATTTAAAATGCTAATCTGGACCTTTCTATCCATAAATGGTTTGAATGTTGGTTTTATTTGATGGACCACCTGCATATGAAGCTGCCTGGGCCCCAGAAGCCTTCCTTGCAGGCTCGTGGCAGATACAACAGGCTAACAGGCATTAGAGATGAGGCCTTTTTAGGAGTGGCTCCGGATCTTTGGAATTCTTGCTCAAAAGAGGTCTGCATGGCCACATCTTTGTTCATTTTAAAATGAGACTTTAAAACTTACTTGTTTCAGATTTCATTCTGTTAGAAGTGTGGTGAGGTGGGTTTTACCCTGCTGCTGTTTTTAGTTTTTGTAACTGGATTCTTTCATTTATACTTTAAAAACTGTTTTATGGTTTAAAGATCTTTTGCAAGCTGCCTGGAAGAGCTTTGGCCTGAAAGGTGTTGCAGGGGAGCTTTACATAGACAGCCTTGAAACCAGGTTGTGAGGCCTTTACAGCTTCTTCCCACTGGGGCATTGGAGAACCTAGTTTGGTCCACATTTGTAAGCAGGCCAACTCATTTGCATTTGTCAGATGGGATGCTTGGCCTGCAAGAGGAGAGTACAAGAGGAAAGGAGAGATGGGCTGCAAGCAGCAGGTACCAGGAGATGGTGGAAGCAGCCTGGAGTTCTGCAAAGGCCTCTGGAATCTGCTGGGGAGGGGAGATGGGGTGGGGGGTGGGTGGGAAGGCCAGCAAACAAGAGGCTGCCATCTCCTGGACACCTGTCCTTGACCCAGTGGCTTCTCCACGCCCCTGCCTGGCCTGCCTCCTTCCCCTGCCCACTTCTTGCAATATCAACTGCGAGCAGAGGAAATCCTCTGATGCAAGCAGAATACTAAGCAGCCAAGCTTTGTTTTCCTGGGAGAGATTACTGACACGAATTGCTGCAGCAGCAGCCAGCAGCTGGGCAGGCCCACAGAGGGTTGGAGGCAGGCAGGGTGCTCTCTGGTGGCCAGCTTTGTCCTTTAAGGCTTAGTCTGAAGCTGGTGCAGGTGACCAGGCACAGAGGCCAAGGCCAACCAGAAACGCTCCCTGCTGGGCTTCAGTGGGAGAGGACCAGTGGCAGTGTGGTGAGCATCCTCCTCTGCGATACCTGCAATCCATGAAATGCTGCAGGTTCAGTGGCAAGACACCCACACCCCTCCCAGCACTTTCTGGGTGCCTTGGGATTGGGAACAGAAGAAAATTAAGTGGGGGTGGGGGAACCGTTGCTCAGCAAATGTATATTGACAAGAGGTTTTGCATCCACTTTGCAAGGCAAGTGAGGGGGCATTCCCAAGAGACTCTGGAAGGAAGGAGGAAGGGGATGCAGCAGAGGGAGAGAGGGAGATGGTTTCCTAAACAGAGGCCTTTGGGGAGAAGTGGTCCTCAGCTTTGGCCTGGCTCAACCTCCTTGTTTAGTGGCTCGGAGGAACATTTGTTTGTATATCCATTCACTTCTTAAGGAGTTCCTGGGTTGCTAGTCACACAGTGCTGGGCAAAGCAGCCTCATGCTTCCAATGAGCATGACTCATTTTTTCCAGAGCTTGACCCTAGAGAATGAAAGGTGTGCTTGATTTTTGTCATAAAATCATTTTATGAACACCCTCCCTCCTTTATAGCATTTCCCGAACACCCTCCCTCCTTTCAGAATCCTCTGTCCATCTTCATCTATAGAGAAATACAGAGAGCTGGAAGGGCCGGGGAGGGGAGGGGAGTTGAGCAGCTCATGGCTTCAGCTCAGTCCTTGGAGCCCAGAGCAGCTGCTGTACGATGGATGCCAAGCAGGAACAGCTGCTGTAGTGCAAAATCCTGGGTGCGCGCACACACGCACACACACACTGTGTGTCTGTCTTTTTTTTTTTTTTAATGGATGCATTTTAAATTGGCCACAGAGCTCAACCCATGGAGTGTTTTACAACTCAGCAGCAGGAGCCCAGGCTCCCAGGGAAAGTACCGGGTTGGGCAGCGCATCTCTTTTGCAAGGATTACTGCAGGCTCATGAGGAACCCTCACCACACACACACTGCTCATTTCCCAAACTCACAACTGCCTGCACAATTCTGAGGAGTGGGGAGGGGCTGCCCGAAGCTAGAGCATTTGCAAGATCCATGCTATGGGCATGTTTATGTCTTGCTCATTGAACATCCAAACACATCTGCACATCCAGCAGTGCTGGAAGAAGCTTCCTCATCAGCACCCATCTCAAATTTGCAGGACTCCAGAGCAGCCTTTCAGCCCTAAAGCAAATCACTTTCCGTCCCAATGAAAGCTGAAGTCAGCCCCCCAAATGGCTAGCATAAACTGTGCAGAGCAATACTGCCTGTGCCAAAATGTATTGGTCTAGTTTGGTTTTCATTTGTTGTTTGAAGCCACTCACCAAGGAATCTTCCTGCAGCTTCCCTGGGGTGGGAGTTCAAAAGTAGCTGGTCTGGGCTACTGTACTGGAGGTCACTTCCCCCAGGAAGAGGGCAGGGAAAGCTGAAGCCAGCTTGGAAACTGCCAGCCCTTCCAGCTTCTCCTGGATAGCCACAATGGCCTGGTTCTGAAGGCAGTTGTTTTGCCCTTGGGCTCTGACTATGAGCACTTGTTTTGAACATAGCCTTTTCTACTGTCTCCCTAGGTCAGAGGACCCTCCACCACCAGAGCGAGGACCTGGACACAGTCATCCTAGTAAACCCTGATGAACAGAGCACTGTGTCAGAGGTAAAGCTCTGGGGTTCCTGTCTACCTGGGGTCAATGTAACCAATGGGATTACACCTCTAAGAGTTGCTACAGTGGCATGGTGCAAAAGTTGCCCGCTTCTTGACTTTGGGGGCAAACCAGCTGCAAATCCCTTGTGAAACCATCCTCCTGCCCCGTCAGGATAAATATTTATGCAGGGGAGTAGATAAAGGCCTTAAAACAAAGACGCTCCTGCAAAGCCCTGTGCTCAGGACTGCACCAAGTTTCCTCCCCCACTTCTAGGGACCTGGCTGCCTTCCTGCTTTTCCTCTCTGCCTGCAGCTAAATTTGACTGCACAGATTATCCTGACCAGGTGTGGGAGGTATTTGGGTTCCCTGCCACCCCTCCTGTGACCTTGCCTGGGGCAGGGCTGGGATATTATGGGGCTGTGTCTAGAGCCCAGACTCAAGCATGTTTAGGCAAGATGCAAAGCTGCCTTTCAATGGGGCTGCCTTTCCAAGCTCATTCATCAGACATGGCCGTTTGCATTATCCGAGTGAGGGCATCATTTCTGCAAGTCCAAAACTCAGGAGCTGAAACTGTCTCTCCTGCTGCAAACAGGTTCGTTCCTTGATATGTGACCCTTCTGCCTACAAGCTGCTAGTGCTCTGTGGACAGAGCACAGACCAAGAAGGAGATTTGATCCTGCAGGCTGGGACCTTCACCTACCAGAAATTTGCTGAGATCCTTGCAGATCCAGAGGTAAATTGGGTGGGTAGAGAATCTGGGATTTGTATGTGTAGGAATCTGGCTGACATAGGTGGCTTTGGAGGCCATCCTCAGGCTGTTGTCTTCTTTTTAGTCCTAGCTTAAGTCTTTTTTCACAGCTTGTCTTGGAAAATCCTTTGCCTAAGATTAACACCCTGCGGTGTCATGGGGACTGAGTTTGGAACCACCTTAAATGAGGATTGCTGCTACTACTGTTGTACACGTTACAAATCTTCCCAGGCATTCAGGATGTGTTACCAGAACTTTATTCACCATGCATTCCAACTCCTGTCTTATTGTAGGCTTGGGAAACACTCGATTTCCTGCAGAGGCCCCTTTCAGATTATTAGTCTCCAGAGTAACATATTTCCAGGATGCTATTATTGATACATCTGGTGGACACCTCTGGCCACCCAAGAACAATAGTTAGTTACATAGGTTGACTGGTAGGTTTCCAGTTCTAGTTAAAGGTTGAGCTTGCATGGATTTGACTAAAAAAGACATTTTGGGTTTTTTTGTCAAGGACCTTTTGTGGTGCTTCTGACTATTGCCTGCTTCTGACTCTTGTAGGTTGCCCAGCTTCTCAGCAACACAGATCCAGCTTCCAAGGCCTCCCTGACTGTGTCGTGCTTGGGAGAGGGAGATTGGAGCAACCTAGGACACCCCCGATTCCAGGACCTTCTCAGTCTGAGACTGAACCCTGACCCAATTCTGCCAGAGATGGATGGGATCTCTGAGTTTGCCGAGTATGTCTCTGAGACAGTGGATGTCCCATCTCCCTTTGACCTCTTGGAACCCCCAACCTCAGGGGGCTTCCTCAAGCTGTCCAAGCCCTGCTGCTACATCTTCCCTGGAGGGAGGGGGGATTCAGCGCTCTTTGCCGTCAATGGGTTCAACATCCTGGTGGATGGTGGTTCAGAGAGGAAGTCCTGTTTCTGGAAGCTGGTGCGGCACCTGGACAGAATTGACTCTGTTCTCCTGACCCACATTGGGGCCGATAACCTCCCTGGCATCAATGGTCTCTTGCAGAGGAAGATCGCTGAGCAGGACGAGGAGCAGTCTCAGGGCTCCACCAACTACAGTGACTGGATGAAGAATCTCATCTCCCCTGAGCTTGGGGTGGTTTTCTTCAATGTCCCTGAGAAGCTCAAAATGCCCGAGTCTTCCATGAAGGTCAAGAGAAGCATTGAGGAGGCTAGCCTGACCCTGCAGTACCTCAACAGGCTGGGCGTGAAGCCAGAGCCCCTTTACAGGGTAGTCAGCAACACAATTGAGCCCATCACCTTGTTCCACAAAATGGGTGTTGGGAAACTGGACATGTATGTCTTGAACCCAGTCAAGGAGAGCAAGGAAATGCAGTTCCTCATGCAGAAGTGGGCTGGGAACAGCAAGGCCAAGACGGGCATCATTCTGGCCAATGGGAAGGAAGGGGAGATCTCTGTACCCTACCTGACCTCCATCACCGCCTTGGTTGTGTGGCTCCCAGCAAGTCCAACGGAAAAAATAGTGCGAGTTTTGTTCCCTGGGAATGCACCACAAAACAAGATTTTGGAAGGGCTTGAGAAACTCAGGCACTTGGATTTCCTGAAGTATCCTGTTGCTACGCAGAAGGAAATTGCCTCTGGCCTTCCCACCCTGGCACTCAAGCAGACCAAGATCAAGCAGAGGACAGACAGCAAGGAGAGCCTCAAGTCTTCTAAGCCGGCAGCTGCCAAGGCAGGTGGTGAGGAGGGAGCAAAGGAGGTGAAGTCCGAGGTCCTCAAAGAGGCCAAGACAGAGAAGAAGGCCAAGGAGCCACTGGAAAAGCCCCCCAAGGCAGAGAAAGTAAGAATGGACTCCAGTGATGCCCTCAAAGCAGAGAAAAGGAAACACAGCAAGGACAAAATGGGCAAGAAGCACCTCAAGGAGAAAGTGTCTAAGCTGGAGGAGAAAAGGGACAAGGAGAAGAAAGAGATCAAGAAAGAGAGGAAGGAGATTAAGAAAGACGATGGGAAGAAAGAGGAAAGGAAGGAGTCAAAGAAAGAAGAGAAAAAGAAGGAAGCCAAGCCGGAGCTGAAAAAGATTTCAAAGCCAGACTTGAAGTCATTCACCCCTGAAGTGAGGAAGACTTTGTACAAGGCAAAAGCTCCTGGTCGGATCAAAGCGGAGAAAGCTCGCAGCAAAGCTGAGAAGGACGCTACCCATGGAGAGCCAAAAAAGGCCTTGCCTGTGCCCAGGAAGCCACCAAGCCAGCCCCCAGAACCAGCAGGCGTGGCTGAGCACAGGCTGGTCTTGTCTTCCCCAGAAGACCTCACCAAGGACTTTGAGGAGCTGAAGGCTGAAAAGCAGGCCAGGCTTCCAGAGGCACCTGGTCCTGCAGAAGGAGAGGCAGGAAAGCAGGGTCTTAGTGATGTGGCTGCTCAGGAGACAGACCTGATCCCAGAAGGAGTCAGTGGCCCAGACTCCTGGTCCCAAGGTGCAACAGAGGAGGAAACAGGCAAGGAGGGAGGAGGGGAAATGCCCAAAAGACCTGATGAGAGAGCAGCAGCCTTGGGGGAGCCCCTTGAGAGAACAGCAGAAGTCTCCGGAAAAGAAGCAGGAGAGAGAGATATAATGCAGGCTTCCGGTGACTGCTCGGAAGACAAATATTCTGCTTTGGAAATGAAGTGGATGGAGACACAGGCAGAGAGGCAAATGGACAGGAGAGACAAGGGATTGGAACAGGCAGAGCTGGAAGGAACTGAACAGCCCCTTGCAGAGGCCAAAAGGGAAGAGGCAGAGAAGAGTGAGCTTTCTCTCTTCCAGCAGCCAGAAAGTCCCCTCTTTCCCTCCAGAGGGAAGGAAAAAGAGGCCAAGGAGGAAAGCAGACTGCCTGGGAAGCAAAGAATGGGCAAGGGGGAGGAAGAGGAATCCTGCCTGGGCAGCGCTCCAGCCCCACTTGGAGAACACATCTCCTACATCCAGGATGAGACCATCCCTGGCTACTCAGAGACAGAGCAGACCATCTCCGATGAGGAGATCCACGATGAGCAGGAGGAGAGGCTGCCCCAGCTCAAGACAGATATTAGCTCCTCTGACATTGCGGTGCCAGACCAGACCGGCTCCTTTGAAGCTATCCACGGGATCCAGGCCATGGCAGCTGCTGGCCAAGACCCTGCAGTCCTTGCCTACCCCACCAACATTGTGGCTGCCCCCTTGGCAGAAGAGGAGCATGTTTCTTCAGCAACATCCATCACAGAGTGTGACAAGCTCTCCTCTTTCGCCACCTCTGTTGCAGAGGACCAGTCTGTTGCCTCGATAACAGCACCGCAGACAGAGGATACTGGCAAAAGCTCCTTGCTGCTGGATACAGTGAACAGCATCCCTTCCTCTAGAACAGAGGCTACCCAAGGTCTGGACTATGTTCCCTCTGCTGGCACCATTTCTCCCACATCTTCACTAGAGGAGGACAAAGGCTTCAAGTCTCCACCTCCAGAAGACTTCCGTATACAAGCAGAAGGTGAAAGAAGGCTTGAGGCCTGCAAAAAGGGCCTGCAGCAGCAACAGGAACCAGAACAGGAGGAGGAGGAAGAGGAGGAGGAAGAAGAAGATGAGACACCAAATATTGAGAAGCCTTGGAGAGCGCAGGGTCATTATGATGCACCTTTGTTTTCTCAGCAAGGGCCCCTGGGAGATGGTTTAACAGGAGTGCCAGTGGAAGGATCCCAAGAGGCCGTGCTGATACTTGACGGAGAAGCCCAGTTGCTGCAGGTAGTTGCAGGCTCTGGTGAGGCTGAAGAGCGGTGCATGAGCCCTGATGACAGCACAGTCAAGATGGCATCTCCCACCCAGTCGGGCCCCACCAGCGCTGGGCACACACCTTTCCACCAGTCCCCTGTAGAGGAGAAATCGGACACTGTGGAGGCTGAGCTGTTTGACAAGTCTTCTGAGGCCCCTGTGAAATGGGATGAAGAAGGAAGTCCCAGCAAAGCCACTGAGATCTCCAGGGCTTTTGAAGGAGAGGTTGCTGCTACTGAGGGGATCTTTTCTGGAGAGAAAGAGGCATCAGCTGTCCTTCAGGACAAGCCTGTCCCAGAAAGTGTGGCTGCATCAGAATCTGCACCTGTCCAGAGTGAGGATCGGAGACTGCTTCTTGAGAAAGAGGAGCTGGCCATCAGCTTCTACCACAAGCAAGAGACCCTGGACATTTCTGACCTTTATCCTCTCACCAAAGACACACTTCTAGAGCCCAAAGAGGGTTCTCCATTGAAGGGAGCAGACACTACCGAGGAAGCCTCCCAGGAAAGCATGAAGTGCCCTGCCCATGAGGTGCTCTTCTCTGCGGCTGAAATTCCTCCTCCAGAAGGGTGGGAGGAACTTTCCGATAGAGCTTTTGGTGAGAGTTCTTCGCAAGTGCCCACAAAACCGCTTTCACCAGAGGAAGCAAAGGTGTTCCCATTTATTGAAGACACTCCTGGGAAAGCAAAATATTCAGATGATTTTGGAATGGAAAAAATGCCAGAAGATGGGAATGCCCTACATTTCACAGAGCGCAGCTTAGGCCAAGAGGGACCCCCCGCAGTTGCTATCAAATACACTTCCCCAGAAGGCAGCGACATTTCTGTGAGCCTTAGTGAAGAAACCTCTTTGCACTTGTTCACAGGAGAGAGTTCTCAACCCGATGCTCCGTCTCTGTCTACAAAAGAGGTCCCTGCTCAGAAGTCCTCATCAGACGTGTTCACAGAACAATTCTCTCCTGAAATGAGCTACCAGGCTTACACAGAGCAGAGCCCTTTTGGAAGCAAAACATCTGAAGCTTTGGCCAAAGACAATTCATTTAGTTCCCTTTCATTCCATGGGAAGGGTCCATTCCAAGACAGTCATGCCACCCTCACGATGTCTTCTGCAGACACTATTATGGAAGATGCCAGAGCCGTATCCTTAGCTGAAAAAGAGCCCATCAAAGAACCATCTCCAAGACCTTCCCCCAAAGAAAGTCCAGGTTCAAAGTCTTCAAGCTTCACAGAACCAAGCCCAATTCTAGAGAAGGAGCCCTCGCAAGTCTCCTCTGAGGAGATGGGGCCTTGTCGGTTGCTGGAAGAGGAGCAGGATACTGAAGAGGAGGAGGAGGAGGAAGAAGAGGAATCTCCAGAAATGGAAGATATTTATCTGAAAGACACAAACTCTGAGAAGAAAGTGTGGTTTCCAGAGGAGATGAAGGAAGTGCCATGCAAAGAGCAAAAGCCAAAGTATGGGAAAGAAAGAGGGGAATGTACCTTCTTGGATGAGGAAGTAGAAAAACATGAAACAAAGGCTCCTCCCATGACTGAAGAGGGAGTGATTTCTCACTCTGTGGCCGAGTCTGAAGATGACATTTCTGGACTGGCCACGAAAGACATTTGGGACTCAGGATACAGGCACTTCCATGAAAACGTTGCCACTTTGAAGCAAGAGACACCTCCTGAGAATCGCTTTCCCCATGTGAGTGACAAGGTTGTGGCCCAGCAGATGCCAGAAACAACATCTGACCAAACACAGGCATTTCCACAAGCAGCTGCTGAACACAGTGCCATGGACACAAAGGAATCCAAGATGCCTGGCTCCAAAAGCCCCCCATCTTCTGGGCTAGAAAGTGTGTCAACATCCGGCCTGGAATGGGCCATACTGTCCCCTCCACACCAGGTCAAGATTCCACCTACAACAGGGTGGAGGGAGGAGTCCCCGCTTGGGCAAGCTGAGGAGGAAGTGGCCACAGAGCCATGGCCCAGCTCTGTGGTGGAGCCTCCTGCTTTGGAAGAGAGAGAAGCATCTGCACCAGAGCAGCGAAAGTCCCCTGCAGTAGACCAAAGTGTGCCCACACTCCAATCAGGAACCACAGAGAGGAGATCAGAGGGTGATGATGTCTACAAAAGCAAGTGGGATCCCAAAGAGATGCAGGACAGAGAGCAGGAGGCTGAGGTGGAATCTCACACTTGCTCAGAGGAAAGCCAAAAGGAGCAGGTTGTGAGGGCAGCTCTGCTGAGTCCAGTAGGATCCCAGGAAGACAGGGCCCCTGCAGTTGTGGAGCCAGGGAAGAGTGAGTCCACCCACCTTGGAGGAAGTGGAGACCTCACAACCCCTTTGCAGGACACAATCTCCATTGACCAAGCAGAGCATCACTCCTGGTTCAGCACCACAGACTCTCCCAGTCAGTCTGGGCTCTGTGAACCCAAAGTTGACACTCTTGGGAAAGGGGAAGAGAGAGAAGCAACTCCTTACCCTCATGAGAAGACTTTCCATTATGCAGATATCTATGAGAATGTTGTCATGTCTAGCATTGGCCACTTTGGAAAAGATGTGGGTCTTAAGATAGGGACAACCCTTTACCCCATCTCCTCCAAGGAAGAAGAGTCTTGCCTCTACACTCCTACTGAGAAAGAGCTCTCGTCTCCAGTTTCCCCAAAGGACAAAGCAGAGCCCTCCTTTGAGTACGCAGAGGTCCATGCCCAGGGCCATCCTCTTCAGATAGCAGAGAAGCCCAGTGTACCACAGAGCTTGGCAGCCCAGGACAACCCACAGCCTGATGAGAGCCTTGCAGACTCTTCACCTCTTCTGCCAGGAAGTCTGGTGAGCTCCCTGCCTGCAGCCTCTCTGGGGGACAAGGGCTTTACCTCCCACATTGATGTGGCAGGCGTGCTGAAGCAGGAGGAGACAGCTCTTTACATTGAAGGTGCCCACCCTCCAGATGCAAACATCAGCCAGGAACAAATGTCTCCTTCTCCTAAGCACTCCCTGCCCAAGGATATGTACTATGAGCAAGCCAGAAGGGGAGAAGAGAGCACCAGCGACTCAGAGCTGGAGAAGGGGGCCAAGGAGAAGTCTGAAAAGGAATCCAAGCACCCAGGGGAGCCCCCTTCAGCTCTGAAGCCAGCCAGCGAGAGGGAAGAGGAACCCTATGCAGACATTTCAGGATTGGAGAAGGAGAATTGTTTGTCAGTGACATGGCAAGGAGCATCCTATGGTGCATTGTTGGGAGAGGAGAGTCAGACAGAGAGAAGAGCCTTGAAGGCTGAGGATGTTGCTGCCTATGGCAGCCTTGCAGGTCCAGAAAGGGAGGAGTGGGCCTCAAGCAAGCCATTCTCCAAAAAGGAGGAGGAGGAAGAAGAAGAGGAGGAGGAGGAGGAGGAAGAAGAAGAGGAAGAGGCCTCCATAGGGAAAGGCTTTGCTGATACTGACTCCAAAGGCTTCTGCTTTGGTTCTGCTGCTAAAGAGAAGGACCCTCCAAAGGGCCCAGCACTGCTGACAAAAGGACTGGATTGCTCTTCCTCGGGCTTTGAACTCTCTTCCCTGGGCATGCACCAGCCATCCATCCTGTTCCGGCACGAAGCACATTTCTCGTCCCACTTAAGGGACAAACCCCTCGCTTTTGGCATCCCTGATTCTGACCCCTTTGAAAAGGGCAAGAGAGATGAATACTTGGAGGTATCCAAAAAGGTTTCTAGTGAGGATTCATCGTTCCCAGTAGGAGGAGGGAAGCTTCTCTCTGGGGCACCCCAAGAGCAGCAGCTGCACAGGGAGTCATCTAGCTCTCCTGAGGAAACCTTCTTGAGGGGCTCCATCTCAACACATCCAGCAGTCAGTGAGAGCCCCTTGTTCCCCCCCTATCGAGGAACAGCTGCTGGGCCAGATGCCCAGGGAGCACAGCAACCCACGTCCCCACAGCTTCCAGCAGGTTCTGCAAAGATGTTTTCAGGTGAAATGGGAGGAGATGCCTCTGCCAGCTTGGGCCTGCCCTCTCTGCCCACTCAGCAGTCTAGGTCCAGCTGCACAGTTAGCTGCACACAGCAGCCCCCAAGCCCTGGAGAGTGGCCAGCAGCCACTCCCCTCCCTGACATCCTGGCTGTTTCCCCCCATTGCCAGCAGGAGGCAGCTGCCACTGCCAACGGGCCCACAGAGGTGAGCCTCAGCCCCCTTGCTTTCCATGGTGGGCCACATCTCACAGGGGCAACAAGGAGTGAGGAGGACGACGAGGAGGAAGACGAGGAGGAGAAGGAGGATGACGAGAAGGAGGACTGTGAGAGACAAAGCCGTCCCTCTTCCTTGTTGAGCTGTGAGCCAGCTTTCCCGCCCTTCTTTCCAGATGCCCAGCATGGCAGCCAAGCAGAGGATCATGGTGACGCCTCCCATGAGTTGGAGCCATCTCTGGGAGCTACCTCAGAGTACGGGCAGAGGTTCTCGTGTGAGTATAAGCAAAGGAAGGGAGAGCTGTCCCCATCGTTCATCAATCCCAGTCCTCAAGATTCATCAGAGGAGAGTGAATGTTCCCAGGCTGAAGGTCACCCTTCTGTGAAAGGAAGGCCACACTCCATCCCTGGTGGCCATAGGCAACCCCCTGCCACAACAGAAGAAACTCCCCCCACCTCCGCAAGTGACTCTGGCACCTCCCAGTCTGACTCGGATGTCCCTCCAGAAACAGAGGAGTGCCCCTCCATCACAGCTGACGCGGCCATGGACTCCGACGAAGACGCCGATTTCCTCCCAGTCGACAAAGCTGTGGGCAGCTCCCATCACAGCAGCAGCAGCAGCAGCACAAGAGCTGGTCATGATCCCCCACCCATCACCCTGGTGGACCCCCATCCTCACCCTCCACACCCAGATGTCTGCATGATGGACCCTGAGGTGCTGCTCAATGATCAGAACATGAGCAGGCCTGACAAAATATCCAAGAAGGATCTGAAGGAGAAAAACAAAGGGGTGAGGAAGCCACTGGGCAAGCCCAAGTCCTCTTCCCCTGCCCGGAAGCCTGAGAAATGGTCCCCGACCCCCTTGAAGCAACAGCCACCAGACCGGCCTCCAAAGCCAGCACTGGCCAAGAGAGAGAAGCCCCTGAAGGCCCATGGAGATGAGACAGGTCCCCCCAACCCTGGCAAGAACCTTGTCAACGGCGTCAAAACCAGCCCAGGTAAGACTGAGCAGAGGCCTGGCTCTCTTGGTGGGAATTGTGGGGGCGTCTGTGCTGTCAGCTCTGGTTGTCAAGCCATTTGTCTTCTGCCCAAAGTCAGGGAGACTTTCCCAGAACCAGGATGTGCTGCTTCTGCTCCCTGGTTTAGGGTCAAAGATTGCCAGAAGCACTTCCTGTGGATTTAATCTTGGGCATGAATGACAAATCAGTCCTACCTTTTCCTGATGGAAAATACACTGTCTCCAGTTCTGAAACGCTGCACTCTGGTGTGGCTATTACCAAATACATTATTATGAGGGGGAATCTCTCTGGAGGGATCTCAGGCAGAGATGCAAAGGGATCACCAGCCAGGTGAGCCCTCCACTGTCAGAGGTGATAGGTTCTTGAGACCCAGTTGCTGCAGACTGCAAGCAGGGAGAGTCCTGCTGTTGCGCTCACGTTCTGCTTGGAGGCTTCTTCCCTTTGGGGCTTTTGGTTGGCCAAGGGGAGAGCAGAGTGCTGGACTGTGATGAACTTCCTCTGGCCTGACCCTACTGCAGCTACAGGATTCTTCTTAGGCAGTAATTCAGACTGTGGAGCTCTGTCTTGGGCCCTATAATAGTCTGCCTTTCTATAAACGCATTGGATGAAGGATGGAATTGTTGATTTAAGCAGAGTCTCGTGCCCAGCGGAAGGATGAGGAATACGTGCTACATACTCTATATTGCTTTATTTACAGTTCAAAGCTGGTATATTACAGAAAGACATCTTGCCTCTGCCGGAGCAGAAAAATGCATCCTCTCTCCTCGACAGCTCGGAGAGAATCACACAGTGAAAAACAGGAAACCAGTGTACGTCACATCCAGTCTCCCTTTCCCGTGAGAAACTCCAACAGTACAGACTGTGGAATGTAAACACCTGTCTCGTGACAAGCAGAGCTGCACAGTGAAGGAAAGCAGAAACCAACATCCTCCCCTTTCTGTGAACATCACTGGGCAGCGTGTTTGCACAATATCAGTACAAACCCAACTTCTGCACATAGGTACAGTGTTGATCCCTTGATACAATCTTGGACAATACATCAGCAGGAATTTCATTACCTGGCATATAGGACACCGTTACGAGTCCCTTCTGAATACATTCCCTAGCATGCTGCAACTTTAATTGCAAGTGCTTTGTGCTTTGCTTACAACCTTCAGACTTCAGCAAAGCCAAACATGCTTTGTTGTCCTGGTAAACCTGGATTGGACATTTGACAGGAATTTTCATATCTTTGCACAATTGTACTAACCATTCACAATCCTTAAGTGAATAAGACAGTGCATTCAGTTCGGCTTCACAAGTACTTAAGCTAACTGTTGTTTGCTTCTTGCATGACCAATCAAACAGACTCTGATTGTACATGTAGCAAACTCCAGACGTACTTTTCCTGTCTGTAGCGTCACTTCCAAAACTTGCATCTGCAAATATCTCAAGACCACCAGACTTCTGATTGTTAAATCTCAGTCTGTAATGCATAGTGCCTTTCAAATACCGCGCTATGCGTTTCAGAGCTTTCCAATCCTTGACACTAGGATTGTTGACTTGTCTGCTTAGCAAATTACAGCTAACAGCAATGTCTGGTCTTGAACATCTGGCAATGAAGTTTAGCTTGCCTAGCACACTCCTGTACAGTGTAGTGTCAGAAAATGCTTCTTCAGTGTCATCTACCTGATAACCTGTTGTCATCGGTGTGTCTACAGGGTTAGCATCCATCAGATTTAGTTTGCTTAACACATCAGCAATTTTCCGTGACTGGTGTACTAGAATGTTACCATCTTGATCTCTCTCTATTTCCAGAGATAGGTAGTTGTTTACCTCACCAAGATCTTTCATGTCAAAGTGCTCTTTCAGTTGAGCTAGGGCGCTATTGTACATTGCAACATCTTTCCAAAAGAATAATAAATCATCAACATAAAACAAACAGTACAGTTTCTTTTGCCCCTCCTCTTTGACAAATACACATGGATCAGCTTTCCCTTGCTGAAAACCTAGAGAAAACAATACTTCAGTGAGTTTTGTGTGCCAACACCGTGCACTTTGTTTGAGACCATAAAGGGATTTCTTCAGAGCACAAACAAATCCCTGTTTTACCTGTACGCCATCAGGTGGAAGCATATAAAGTGATTCATCTAGAGATCCGTACAGAAAAGCTGTATTAATATCATGGTGACTAATGTGTAGATTTTCCTCTGCAGCTAGCTTGAGCATAAGCCTAATGCTTTCATATCTCACTGTGGGTGAATAGGTCTCGTGATAGTCTTCACCTGGTACCTGTGCAAAACCTCTGGCTACCAATCTGGCTTTGTGTCTGACTATCTTGCCATTTTGATCTGTCTTCGCTTTGAAGACCCATTTGCTTCCAAGCAGTTTCATTCCTGGAACTACTGGAACTAGCTCCCATGTTTTGTTCCTTTCTAAGGAATCAAGCTCAGCCTTCATGGCATTTAACCATGGCTCAGCTTCCTTCGAATCCAAACCCTGGATTTCTTGGAAACTTGAAGGTTCAAATACCTTCTTGGAGCTTTTAACAGCTGTTACTGCTATCTTAGCAAACTCATCAGCAAATCTCTTTGGAGGTTTGCCTTTGTGGCTCTCTGTGACCTACGAATTAGCCTTAAGTCTTCAACACTCTCCTCTTCCTTCTTAGGAGAAAAACGACCTATTGTGAACAATGGTTCTTCCAATTCTTGATCAGAGCTTTCAGAGGGTCGCATAGAGGCTTTCGCACTCTCGAAATCCTCTGAATCACCCGATTCAGTTTCAGATTCAGACTCAGAACTTTCATCAGTGGGTGTGGGTTGTTGTGGTTGCTTTTGACTATCCTCAGTCTCATCACCGTCATCAGGATAACATTGGAAAATTCCCACATTCTCCCCCCCACTTTGCATTGTACTCAACACTTCTCGTGAGCTTAATTGTCTTAGAGTCAGTCATCATTATTCTGTAAGACCCTTTCTGATAACCTAGAAAGATACCATGCAATCCACGCTTGTCTAACTTGGAGTTTTGTGGTGAGCGAACCCACATGTCAGAACCAAAATCTTCATGTGTTTGATGTATGGCTTCTTGCCAAACATCTTCTCATAGGAGTACAACCAATCGCTGAAGATAACCTGCGATTGTAACTGTAAACAAAACACGAGAGAGATTCGGCCCAATAACTCTCTGGAAGATTGGCATCATGCAGCAAGGTCTTTAACCCTTGAAGCAAAGTCTGATTTGCCCGTTCCGCAAGTCCATTCTGCCATGGCGAGCGAGGACTAGACAAATCGTGTTGAATTCCTTTCTCAGTCAGAAAAGCTTCAAACTGCTGAGAAGTGAATTCCCCAGCGATCACTGAAAAGAGTCTTTATCTTCTTACCATGCACATTTTCCAACCAAGCACAGAATTCCTTGAACCTAGGAAAAGCCTCCGATTTCTGCTTGAGATTGTACACAAAAATATATCTAGAAAATGCATCAATGAGAACCATGAAGTATCTATTTCCACCCAAAGAGGGCGCTAGTGGTCCAACCAAATCAGCATGAACAACCTGGTATGGTTCTGTAGCTTTCCTACTAGACACCTTACCTTTCGCAGCCATTTTACCTTGTTTGCTGCGCATGCTTTGCACTTCATGTGGTACCTGCAGGGTTTAATAGTCATACCTTCAACCAAGGCAGGCATTTTAGATACTGCCTCAAAATGCAAATGACCAAATTTTCGATGAAAATCGTGAATACATTCTGCATGCAAACTTTTGTTAGAACCTGCAATGCAACAAGTGTCATTCTGCACCACATCATCATAATACAAAACAAACAAATGATCAACATATTCTGCATGCAATACATAATCATTTTTCTTTGTGATGACGCACTTCTTGTTCTTGAAGGAAACGTCAATGTTCCGCTCATTCAGCTGTCCAACGCTGAGCAGATTATGTTTGGCGTCTGGCACGTAAAGCACATTCTGTATCGATAAGTCCAAACTGTGAAGAACAACAGTTCCGTAGCCTTTACTGGGAATAGTGTGGTCATCCGCCTGGTGAATCGCACCTTCCTGCGGTGTAAAAGACACAAACAGTCTCTTATCGTTGCACATGTGGTGGGTGGCCGCTGAATCAACAACGAAGAAAGATCTAGACGTCTTCTGGACCTCTGCAACCTTTGGAGTGAAGCGTGAAACCATAGCCTTGTGCTGCGTTGTCCTAGACACCGGACCTTTGCCTTTGCCTCGGCCTTTTCCGCGCGATGAGCTTTCGCTGCGCTGCTCTGTCTTGGCCCTGGGATGTCTGCATTCCCTCTTCATATGGCCTAGACGTCCACACGAGTAGCATTTGACTGCCTTCAAAGCTTTGGCGCCATCTGGTGGTTCCACTGCACTATGGGATGACGTCTGTGAAGACTCCCCTTGCCCATGCAGCTAGCACCCCGGCGATCTGCTTCATTTAAAATCACGGCAGTAACAAAGTCCACTGTCAGCTGAGCAGTTGGTTGCACAGCAATCTGGGTTGCAACAGACTCCCAACCTGAACCCAAAGATTGTAGTATCATGAAAGAATACACAGCCTCTGGAAAGTTGAGTCCTCTCTGTTGCAGCTCATGTCTCAGATTTTGTATCTCCATCAGATGTAAACGCACATCTCCACCTTCAGCAAGAGCCATATTATGCAGCTTGTTAAAGTAAAACATAGTGGATCCAGCTTCTGTCCTTAAGTGAGCCTCTCTCAAAGCGTCCCAAATTTCTCTGGCTGAGGTCTTATCACGCAATAGACAGAGCTCTTCTGGGGATACTATCAATGTAAGAGTTCCCCTTGCTTTGGAATCCTTAGCTTTCCATGCATCTGTAACTGGAACTGGGGGGGGTTTCTGTAATCACCTCAAACAAACCCTCTTTCCGCAGAATTGCCTCTGCATACTGAACCCAGTTGGCATAATTTTTCTTGTTGAGCTTGGGAATCCCACAAGCATCCTGAAGGGCCATCATGACTCTGGCATTAGCCTTCAGCGTCATATGCTGCTTTAAATCTTGCTGCGTCACTGCTGCAGCTGCCTTATTACAAAGGCACACTTAAAAGTTACTTCGATTTCCCAGCATAGTGACTTGTGCCTGGGAGCCTTTGCCTATTCCCGGCAAAACCGGCTTTAAAGTTCAAAGTCCAGCCATAAAGCCATTAACTTGAAGCTGGCAGGCTGCCCGGAGCAGTAGCACATACCTCATCAATCACTTCTACGCGCAGAGCAGATTCCGTTCCGATCCGTCCCTCTGCATTCCGATCCTTTGCCGGCACTCCGATTCGACTTCTGGAGTCCATAACCACGTGTTGATTTAAGCAGAGTCTCGTGCCCAGCGGAAAGATGAGGAATACGTGCTACATACTCTATATTGCTTTATTTACAGTTCAAAGCTGGTATATTACAGAAAGACATCTTGCCTCTGCCGGAGCAGAAAAATGCATCCTCTCTCCTCGACAGCTCGGAGAGAATCACACAGTGAAAAACAGGAAACCAGTGTACGTCACATCCAGTCTCCCTTTCCCGTGAGAAACTCCAACAGTACAGACTGTGGAATGTAAACACCTGTCTCGTGACAAGCAGAGCTGCACAGTGAAGGAAAGCAGAAACCAACAGGAATCTCAGAGAACCCTAGAAGGCAGGGCCAGGCTTGTTTGTGTGGAGGGGGGAGGGAGGCCCCTTCACTTGCTCCAAAGAGTCAGAAGCTGATCCTTTCCTCCACCAGCAGGAGGTGCTATGCTGGAAGTGGAAGGTGGTCCTTGGGCTCCCAGTAGAACACCTCTTTGCAGAACTGGGCAAAGTGGGCTGTGATTGCATAGGGAGGACCGAAGTCATGCCCTCAGGCTGTTGTTGGCCCCCAGTCACACTGGCAAAGGTAAATGGCAGTGAGAGCTGTCCAGTGGCATCTGGGAGGGCAACAATTTGGCCACTATTGCGTGATCAGCTTCTCCCAGTGTATTCCAGTTTGCTTTTCTCTTAGCTTCTCCTGGCTCCTTGACTTTTCCATTCTAAAGAGAGGAGCTGAAGTGGGCCAGTTGTGGGATGTGAAGAAATGTTAAGAATGATGTTATGTGAGAGATCCCTAGTTGGCGCATTTTCATCAGGAGAAATACAAATAAATCAAGAAAAGATAATTGTGGTAGGAGTGTATGCCCCAAATAATAATAAATCTGAATTTTAGAGGAAATTGGAAGAAAATCTTTGGGAACTTGAGAATGGAAAGATAATTTTGAGATTTTAATGGAGTTATATCTATCGAAATGGATAGAACCCAGAGAGGGGGGGAATCAAACTCAGGCAGACTACCATTATCGTTTTTTCAGCTGACAGATAATCTTAATTTATTTGATACTTGGAGACTGAAGCATCCTACTGAAAAGGATATTACCTATTTTTCCAAAGATAAAAAATCGGGAGGGAGAATAGATGCAATTTGAGTCTGGTAAAAGCAGAGATTTTGAACAAATCTCTCACAGATCATAATCCAGTTACTATACACATAAAAAACATATGAGGGAGGTAGAGGATGAATGATGAGATATGGAGAGATGAGCAAAAGGTGAATAAAATGAGGGAATTGTTGAAGGAATTTTTCGCAATTAACAAGAGACAAGGGACAGATAGGAAAATCATTTGGGATACCAGTAAAGCCTATATGAGAGGAATTGGAATACAACAAATGGCGAGAATAAGGAAGGGTAAAGAAAATGATATTGTGGAAATAAATAAACAGATAAGGGAGAACGAAAAAGAATTGTTGAAAAATCCAAAACAAGAGAGTATAATCCAAAATATTAAAATTCTACAATCCCAATTAACTAATTTAATAAAGAGGTGGAAAATAAGATTAAATGGGCAAAACAAAGGTACCGCATTTTTCGCTCTATAAGATGCACCTAGTTTTTGGAGGTTGAAAATAAGGAAAAAAATATTCTGAATCCCGGAAGCCAGAACAGCAAGAGGGATCACTGACAGATAAGTGACAGTGACAGATATAATAAGACAAAAACTAAAAAGTGTTGTGAAAAAGGAATGGGAGTACCTAAACAAATACCTTAAAAGACAAGGTTCGAGGACAGAAACCTGGCTGAGTCTGGAATAACCTTGTGAAGTGAAAGGATAAGAAAGAGGGATATATATTTAGATGCTGGGATAGAGATGATAAGGAAAACAGGAAGATACAATGAGAGGTAAAGGAGGTGCTGTGGGATTGGTGGAAGTCAACGTTTGTTTTCCTTTTTAGTGTTTATACTATTAATTTGTAAGTTTTGGATTTGTTTTTCATATGTTTGTTTTTGTGTTTTGTGTATTGCTATTTTTCGTTTTCTGTTTCTTGTTGTGTGGAAAATATTAATAAAATTTACTATTTTTTTTAAAAAGAACGATGTTATGTGAGAGATCCCTAGTTGGGGCATTTTCACCAGGAGCTGATGGGCTGGCAACTACCCTGCTCAGTTGCCACCAGCTGGTTTAATGTCCCTTCCCTCTTCTCTCTCCCTAAGTCTCCAGCAACCCCAAAAGCAGCTCCTCTGTGCCCCCTGGGCCCCCCATCTATGTGGACCTGGCTTACATCCCCAATCACTGCAGTGGGAAGAACACGGACCAGGAATTCTTCAAGAGGGTCCGGGCCTCCTACTACGTCATGAGCGGCAACGACCCAGGCAGCGGGGAGCCCAGTCGCACAGTGTTGGACGCCCTCCTGGAAGGGAAGGCCCAGTGGGGGGAGAACCTGCAGGTATGGGCTGGGCTGGCTTCTCTGTGGAGCCAGTGGGGGGAGGAGAGGGCGAGAGTTTGCAAGCATGCCTAAGGGCTACAGCAGAGCATGGCTCATGGAGAGCTTACTTTCTCTGCAAAGTATGACTTCTCAGTGCAACAAGAACTGGTCACTTGAAGGGAAACTGCCTAGGTCAGTCCTGGCAAGCCACCAGGCAAGCCAGTGCTCAGCTACTGCTTGGTCTCATCTGGCCAGGAAGGCATTGTCTCCATTGGCCCACCCAGCCACCTCTCCTTGGCCTAGAATAATTCTGAGCCAAGTCCAAAGAGGGAGGCCCACTCACCTCCACCAGATCTGCTCCAGCTGCTGGAAAAATTAGCTCCAGCCTGCTCCTTTGACCCAACCCTGCAGCAAACCTCCTTCTGCCTCTGCAAGGGATGCTCTATTAACCAGAGGTAGCTGCCTTGTTTCCTGGCCCTGCTGTGATTGGCCAGAGCACCAGGGAAACCCCTTCCCAGCCTGTCTCTTGTGCTTCCTCAGGTGACTCTCATCCCAACACACGACACGGAAGTGACCCGGGAATGGTACCAACAGACCCACGAGAAGCAGCAGGAGCTAAGCATCATGGTCCTGGCCAGCAGCAGCACAGTGGTGATGCAGGATGAGTCCTTTCCTGCATGCAAGATCGAGTTCTGAGGCCCCCCTGGCTGCAGCAGCGCGTCTCATCCGTCCATCCGCCTTCCCCACCCCCCCTCCATGCAGCACTGGGAGATCCATCTACTCACAGCGCAAGTCTCCTTCCTGTCCCAAATGTGGTCTGGATTTGCTGGGCACATGCTGCCTGCACATGGCTCTTGTTTGCCACCATGCCCAGGACGTGTCCATCATGCCTGGATGTGTGTGGAGTGGAGGGACCCTCTTGGGAGCTGCTTCACTTTTCCAGATTTATTTTGCTGCCTCCGTCATTGCTGTAGAATAATTCAGCTGCTTTGATGCTGCTTGCGAAAGCGCTGCCCCCCCTCCCCGCTTCCTTGCCTGAGGGCTCTTCTGCAGGGTCAGACCTCCAGAACTTTGTCCGACTTAGCCCACGGGGTAGCTTCAGATGGAAGCAGCACAAGAGACCAGTAAAAAGGAGGATGAGAGCAGGAAGAGAAAGAGAGACACCATTCCTCAGCCTCTCAGGTGTGAAGTGAGAACTGAGCTGGGAGGAGGAGGAGGAAGAGGAGATGATGACACAGAAAAGTGGAAACCGGCTTGCTTGCCCCCCAACACTCTGCCAAAGCTGTGCTGGAAAAAGACTCCAGCCTGGCGCACCAAGGAGTACATTGCAGAGAAGCCCTTCAGCTCTGCAGTCAGAATATGCCAAATACTGCATCTTCAGCAGTGCCAGAGGTGAAGCTGGCCCCTGCCAAGTGACTCTGCCCCTTGGAGGAGGATCATGTTTATAAAGTCCCAGTATTTCCCTGTGAGCAAAGTGGCTAGAAGGGGGGGGGAAATTGGGGTAGGTGGGTGGGGACTGGATCCCTCTGGGGATGGAGCTGGCACTGCTACACATACAAGGACATCCTTTTCTCCCGTTTGCTAGAACTGAGGGCCAAGCCAAGTGAAGGGGGTGTTTGCAGGCTCTTCCTCCAGCTCCCCGCATGCACTGCCATTCTCCTTGCAGCTATTGCACATAGCATTAGAGGCCCTTCAAGCTGTCAGCAGCCAGTGAGGGCCCCCGTTTTCGTCCTCTGTGCTGCTGGCAAAGCCAGGGCTGATGTCCCAGCACATTGTAGCCACAGGGAGGGAGGGGGCAGAGCACACTTGAGAAGTCACAAATCATGGGTGTGAAGCTTTGGGCAAGCTCTGAAAAAGGCTTACAGAGTCTTTGGGTGTGGCTCTTGGTCTAGGAAAGAATGTGCTCAGCCCTCTTAGCTGGTCTAAATTGTTCCTGCCATCAGACTGGCAAAAAAGGAAAAAAGGAAAGAAAAAGTGGAGCTGGGGAGAATCCCATAGGAACTATTTTTCTGGTCACTTGTCTATATATTTATTTTGGGTTTCTTTGGGTTGTAATTGGAACTGACCTTTTATTGGAACTGTGTATGTTATTTTGTGTGAGTGTGTGTGTGTGTGTGTGTGTTTAAAATATTTTTACTGTGAGCTGCCATCACCACACTGAAGGCTTCTGGGTTTCAGGGCACAGGGTAAACATCACATTTCTAAATGCAGTAAGCTTGACAGATGATAGACAAGCCCCTGCCCCCCTGCCTTCCCCCTGGCATTTGGTTCTGCAGCCTCCAGGGGCTCAGTTCCATGCTCCAGCTCCCTGCCCGGCAGGAAGGGGCCCAGCAAGCCCAATTGTTGCTTTCCTGTTGAGCTTATCCATTGTGGTTTGGGTCTTGGACTTGCCCTCATGGCTTGTGCTGAGGCAGCAGCCAGAGACCAGTGCCTACAAGCCATGTACACTCAGGCCCAGCAGCAGAGGTGGTGGGTCCCTGGGCCTGGACAGACAAGCTGCTGCGCTAACCCACCTATGAATGTGTCTATCTTAAAACTTGAAGCAGGGGCCAGTGGGATTTAGACCCACTGCTCCATCAGAGGAGAAAGTACTTCAGGGGAATATCTTCCCCCACATCCCTCCCCACCCCATGGTTACTCAATGATCTGCTCTCCACAACCCCAATTTCCCCACCCAACCAGCTTGAGTCCTTCCCCAAAATTTGTAGTTTTGAAGCTGGCTTCAGCATCTCCCTTCTTCACGTTCTATGGCAAACCTTGTAAAAACTGCTGTTTATAATGCACCCAGACTGAGCTCCATTAGCAATCCCACCACCACCCACCCAGAGGGACCGGTGGGGAGCCCAGGAAAGAAATGACGAGAAAGACATTGAGCTCCTGCTTCTGCTTGTTCCTGCATGGGGGCCCCAGCACGCAATTCCTCCTCTGCTGCGTCATGCTCATGGGGACCTTTCTCAAAGGCAGCAGCGGCGAGAAGGACTTTAAGGCCAGCTCCCGTTGCTACTGAATGTTGTATAAATAGAGCCCAGTGCTCCCCCCGCCATCCTCCTCTCCTCCATGTTATGTACAATCCAAGGTCCTGAGTTTCCTCTTCCCCCCTCCCCTCGCATTTCTGTGTGCAACTCTCTGTAATTCTAATGATTGTAAATGGAGGGGCCTGCACTAACCAATAAAGCCACATTAACTGCGACTCAGAAGGGGCTCCTGTCCTGCTTCCACTGACTGATGCACTGGCAAAGTGCCCAGCCCTGGTCCTCCATCCACCGCCGAGTCTCTTCCAGCCTTTTGGAGCTGGGCTTCTGCTCCTCCGCCAGCATCCATGAGCCAGTGTCTCCCCGGCCCAATGGCATTGAGCTCCATAGGTCAAGGGAAGGAGAAGGGCTGCTCTGTTCCCTCAAAGCCCCTCTGGGGGCATTCCAGAGCAGCTGCCTGCCTGCCTGCCTGCCTGCCTGCTGCCTGGGCCTTGCTCCTGCTGCTTCCCTCGCCCCACACAGCAGAGGCCTAAAGGAGGGCAGGCCAAAAAGTTTATCTCCTTTTTGCTTGGTGGGGAATAAACAGAACAACCTGCTTTATTGTCCACATACCTTTTGTTCAAAACGACATTTCCAGAAAACTGCTTAGGTTTGATGTTTGCAGCACAGGAACAAGGATTTGGCCTCTGTCTGTGTAACGTTCCTCATGAGCCATAGAATCATAGAATCTTAAGAGTCGGAAGGTACCCAAGGGTCACCTAGTCCAGAGCAAAAGAATCCAGAAGAGAATGGCACCCTAGAAAACAACTGGTTTCCCTTGTAGGTATGGAACACCAACAAAGAGTGCAAGAGCAGAGCAACCTTCTAGCTGGGCCACGAACACAGGCCAGACAGTTAGGAGACCCTCAAGGTGAGGGAAAGAGCTGCCTGCTGCAACTGTGGTTGTTGAATCCCACCTCTGAACCTGTGAAATTCTGCATCCCCATCACAACCGATTATGTGCAGTTTCTTCCTCTCACCTATCCCAAATCTAGTCCAGTCCATTTCATTAATTGCCTTTCCCCTCCAAACTAAAGAGTCACCAATATTTGTCTTTCCTTGCATGAAGGTGTTTCAACTCGGTGGGGTAGATCAGAACTGCACACAGTATTCCATATGTATTTCCTTGATAACCACGGCAGCATGCATAGTTTTTGTTCTGTTCTTTGCATATCAATTTACATTTACATTGGGCAGCATTTGCCATTTTCTTGCCCATTCACCAAACCTGGAGAGAACCATTTAGGGTGCTGCACAATATAGTTTGGTTTTTATATACCCACACACACTAAAAACAAAACCCCCACACACACCAAAACGGCATCTAAGGTGGCTGCTCCTTCCAACCTCCAGAGGGAGAAGTTAAAAAGCACCAGCACCAATGTAGGCCCTTGCCTTGTAGGAGTTGGGGGAGGAGAGAATCCCTCCCCTCTGAGAATTGCAGGTTTATTCCTACTCTCCGCTTTGTGTTGTTTAACCAGTTCCTGACCTATAAAGAAGAGCTGTCCTCTCACCCCAAGGCTGCTAAATTTGCTCAGGAGCCTTTGGCAAGCGTCTGTTAAAGTCTTACTGAAAATACAAGTATGCAGGATCCATGTGTTTGTTGACACGCTCAAAAGAACTCCAAAAGTCTAGCAAGGCCAGATTTGTTCATCCATATTGGGGTAGTCAATTTAGTGCCCCCCATGTTGTTCAACTGGAAGAACTCCCAACATCCCAGATGGGTCAGGCAGGCTACATGGAGCCAAAAGGAATTGGCGTCCACAAACATCTGTAAGGGAGCGCGTTGGCTCCCCTTGTTCTATATGCTTTGTAATTTTCACTTCAAAAACATGTTCCACTAACCACTATACTGTGCAGCAAGAATGCCTCTCAATGTGCAGGACAGCTGTGCTTCAGGAATTCTTGCCAGCTTAGCCCTGTTCTGTGCAGCCTCCTCCTCCCGGACCCCCAAGCTGCCCCCGCACAAAGGCACACCAAGAGACCCCCAAGCGGCTCCCTCCAAAGAGACACACACAAGCCACCCGTCTTGGGAGTGTCGGCGTTTTACTCCACGCACAAAATGCAGCACAAGGAGGACTCCAGGGGACGGCTATACAATCCCTCGCAAGAGAAACACAGACACATCTGAACCACGGACGACACACGCCGGGCCACGGAGCGGGGGTGGGGGAGTGGGGACCTCCAGCAGCCCCCTCCACCTGCCAGCACGAATAATATATTAAATATTTACTCTGTACTGTACACCATTTGGCATCTCATCCACATGTTTCTAAGAAAACCTGATTTTTCCAAAGCAGCTTTGTACCCTGGCAATGGCCAGCAGGATTGGAGGACCTCCCCCCCACTGAGAGCCTCACACCCCCACCGCTGCCGCCAGCAAGGAAGACCTCTTCAGTTCTCGCACTCAAGACTGCCAGGGGGACACCACTTGGGGGAGGGTGTCTCTTCAAGTTTCCCCCCACTCTGGGCAGCTGCAGCCAGACACTTTGGAGAAAGAAGGCCATCCTGGCTGGGCCAGTGAGGCTCATGTCCCAGAAGTGGGGGACGACCCCAACCTCTGCTGGTACAGAGCCCATCCCCGCCAGGTGGACTCCGAGCAAGACGGGGCCCCTGGCTCAGGCAGGCAGCCTCCTGGAGGGGCAAGAAAGATTCTCACTTGGCCAGCCTCAGCTGACAGCAGGCCTCTCCTGCCTAAGTGCTTTCCCCAACTGGGAGAAAGGGACTGAGCAGGGCCTCCTCCCAGGTGGCCTCTCCTGAGCCAGTTTCCGCTGCTGCCGCCTCCTCTTCCTCCTCCTCCTCTGGCAGGTCCAGCTCCCTCCGTCCTTCGCTTGCCTGCCCTTCCCTTGCACCTCTGCTGCTCCCGACTTCCAGCAGCTCCAGTGCTGCGGGCAGCTGCTCACTCTCTTCCCCCACCACTACAGCCGCTGCCACCTCCTCTTCCTCCTGGGGTGAGGCAGCCTCCTCCCCTCCCTCAAGTCCCTTCTGCAGTAAGGTAGTGGCTGCCTGCCCGCCAGGCTCTGTCTCCTCCTTCTCCTCCTGCGCTGAGGCTTCCCTGCCAAGGCTCTGCTCTTCTCCCTTCTCCCTGAAGGCTCCGTTGTTGCCCGGCTGGCTCCCTTCCATGGGCCCTGCCAGCCGCTCCTTGCTGGTCTGAGAGACGAAGCTGAAGCGGGGGCAGCTCTCCACAGAGGAGGTGGGTGACGAAGGGCCTGCGCTGGAGACGGTGCTGGAGGGGCCGCTGCTGTCTGCAAGGGAATCAGAACGAGGTGGTCATGGGGGGGATGAGGTGCTAAGAATGCTCCCCCCCACAAGCTCCTTGCAAACCCCTTCCTTGGCACCGTCACAGCTTTGGGCACAGGGCCTGGCAACTGTCCCACCCTGAAGAATGCCAGGAGGATCCCAGGGCAGCGTCTAATAGTAGCCACACAATCCGGGTGGGGTGGGGGTGCATATTGCCCCAAGCAAAGTTAGGGTGAGGGTCCCATCCTGTGCAGCCCGCAGGTTAGATCTGCTGGCCTTGCCCCCTCCCGCTAGAGAAGTGCTGCCCTGCCCAACTCCAAGCGTCAGGAAGGTCTGGGCTCAGGGCCCCTGGCAACCTTGCAACCAGCCCAGTCTACCTAGCTGCTGCTGTTGCCACCCCCAGCCCCCGCTCCTTCTGTTCCCATTGGCTGGGATTCCTCCTGCTGGCACAAAGCCCACCCCAAAGGCCTGCAATGTCCCCTCGGGCAGCCTTGCCTTCTGTTCCTCCGAGTCTGTTCCATCAAACTGCTCCTCCCTCCCAAGCCCTGTGCCTACTTACACCAGGGGGGCTTGTCTGAGCGGGGGTGCAGAGGCAGAGAAGAGGAGAGAATCTGCTGCGGCGTCAAGTCCTCGCCTGGCCCCTGGCTCTCCATCAGGGAGTCCAAGAGCGCTGCAGGACAGAGGAGGAGGACAACACTGTGAGCCCCCTGGCAAGGGCCTGCTTCTAGGCACCACCCCTTCTGCCCACTCCCACCTTGGAGTCAAAGATGCCCCTTGCGCAGGCTAACCTTTGAGGGGCCTGGGGTTTTCCTGGTGACCAGGAAGGCACTTCTGTCAAAGCCCCCAGGCCAGGCCAGCCCCCACACTTACACCAAAGGGTCTCCGTGCTGAGATGGGGTGCCCTTTCGGTGGTGGCACCCCAGAAAACGGGTATTCTATTTCTGTGTGCAGTGAAATGTGTTGCTTCTACACAGCTGGGCAAAGTTGCTTTGGAAAACATGGGTGCTGCCCTGCGAGACGTCCTGGGGCAGAAGGGGGCTCAGTTTGAAGGGGTGGCCACCCGGGACCCCAGCACAGCGCCCAACCTGCCTGCCTCTGATGGTACCTGGGGCAGCTCCTGGGTGGGGAGTGCTGGTGCTGCATGTCCTGGAGACGGCCGTCAGGAAGCTGTTGACCTGGCGCAGGGAGAGCGAGTTGTGCAGGGTCTCCAAGGGGTAGATGCTGGGCACCATGGAGCAGCCTTCAAAGCCTGCAGGCAGAGCAGACCCCCCACCCAGCGTCAAGGACCTCTGCAGAGGAGAAAACTCAGTGGCGGCTGCCTCCCCACCAGACGCCCAAAATAAGCCCCAATGTCCCCCTCGAGCCACAGGCATGGAGCCCCCAAAACACACCAAAGAGCAGGCCAGACCCAGCCCAGCATCTCAGAAGCAAAAGCACGCAGGGGCTGGGAGGAAAACCTGGAGCTCACCTAGCCCACCTTCCCGCTGCCTGGCTGCTGCTCCTCCCTGTCCCTGGGGAAGGGAAAGCCCTTCCTTAGCACCTGGAGCCCTGAACAGACCCCCAAAGGCCCTTCTCGACTTGCCTAGCGGGCTGTTAGAGGTGATGCGACAAACTTCGAAACCAGTTTGCCCAGGGACTCTAGTGGTGCACCGTACCTGGTCCTGGTGATGGCAGCCCCAGCCTCCCCAACCTTTGGGCAGCCGTTCTCAGTCTCCAGTTCTGTGTTACCCATGCTGGGTGAACTGGCATTTCTAACCCTGGAGATGGGAGAGGGATGGGAGCAGCAACCCAGCAGATGGGAGAGGGAGAGTGTTAGGGTTAGGGAAATACTGTCCAACCTCAGCTCCCTGCCTCCTAGTTCCCATGGAAGGGAAGGATGAAGCCCCTGCCCCCGCCACTCTGTTTCTGAAATGTCCCATCAACAACAGTTTACTCATTCTTTTCTTACAAAGCATTTCTGAAAATTTTAGAGATCACCGCTTTGTTCTCCACACAACAGACACACACACACACTTGGTTCCTTGCTCCCTTTCCAGTATCATCCCCCACCCCCACCCTGGAGGACCTGTGCTTCTATGCAGCCTGCGCCCCACACAGAGCCTGCTCCAAGCTGGGCTGGGAGGAAAGCTTGGCCAGGAAGGGATAAGAAGGGCAGAGGGTTTGGGCCTGAACAGTGTTCGAAACTCCAATTGTTCTAGGCGCATTTTGTGACAGGGAATTTCATTAGCATGAGCAGTTCTGAGCTTTGGGTGTAGTACTGCGCCTAAGATTTCAGATTAAAACTGCAGAGTGGAAGGAAAGGAGGACCTTTTTCTGCCTCCCCACTTCCAGCTACTCTGAAGACTGGAGAAGAGACCCTCTTAAGAATATTATGGGGGTGGGCAGGGGAAGGACTAGACTATGTCAAAAATGAACATAATATTTTACCTGCAGTTCATTCATTTTCAGCTTTGCATTCTTGTTATTGAAAAAATGCACCTAGTTCTAGACATTCCGTTGTTGTGCCCTTAACCTAGGTTTAAGGTGCCATTTAGCCCCTAGCTTTCATTTCTCAGTTTCTAACAATGAGCCTGGGCAGAGGCCTCTGCACTCCCAGAGGAGTTGGGGGTCCAGAGCCCCCCGCCCCTTGTCAGTCGGCCAGCCCCACCATGCACTGAGCTCTGGAGTCAAGGCCCTCATGGCTTAGGGCTATACAGTCTGCAAATAGCTGCTCAGGAGCTGCCGCCCACCTGCAGGCTGTTTAGGTGCCCCATCCAGGAGGTGGCTTTTGTCGCTGAAGCACCTGAGGAGGACGCTGCAGAATGCTCAGCGATACTCCAGTGGGTCTGCGTGGAAGGGAAAGGGCTGCATCAGGCAAGGAAGCCTGGGCTCCAGTTCCTCACGTCGGTCAAACCAGCAGAACATCCGCTAACCAATTCTGGCATCACAAACCAACATTCAACCGTCTTAAGGAGAGCTGAGCCAATTTTCTGAAGCTGCAAAATCTGCATTTATGACCCAAGAAACTCTTAGGAAGCCACTGTGCAAATTATACACAAACCTGAAACTGTTCCTCTCTTGGACGCTGAGCACCACTCGGGGGGCGCTTTGCACCAGTCCAAAAGAGCTGCTGGCTTTTAAACTGCAGGGACTTGTGCTGCAAATAAGGCAGGGTTGTGAAAGGAGCCTGCAAGTGAGCGTCCTCTCCCCGGGAAGGGAACGGCGCCAGTGGAAGAGAAGCCCCCGCCCAGAAGACGCAGGCCAAAGGGAGGGGAGGCCTGGTCCTCTTTCCTGCTGAGCTGCCCTGATAGTGGAACCCAAACCAGCCTGGCCATCATGCAGGGGCAGACAGAAGGAAGAAGGCCATTCCTGGGCAGTGTTGGGCTGCAATGACCCAAGCAGTAGACTCTTCTGGAAGACAAGCCAGGCATCTTGCAGGCAGCTGCCAACCTCCCCCACCTGTAGGTTCCCGGTCAAGAGCCACCTGGGCAGCTTTGCCCTAAAATCAGGCTTTGGCCTCCTGGGAAGAAAGCCCAGCCCAGTGCTCAGAGCCATGCAGGGAGTGGCTGGGCCTGTATGCCAGGGTGGGAAAGAGGAAGGGAGGGGGCCTATGGGCCTGCCCAAGAGCCCTCCATCCTTCAAGTCCCACACTGCTCCCCCTTGGCAGGTTGTGGGGCAGGGAAGCTCCTTTGCCCATGCAACACAATTCCCACACCCACACATGCACACTCTGCAAGGGTTTTGGCACCAGGTGCAGAACAGCCTGTGCTGGCTGGGGAGACAACGCCCAGGGCCTGGGGGGCTCCCAGAAGCCAAACCAAACCTCATGCAAAGAAGTGGCGGCAGCAGCAGCAGCAGCAGCAGCAGCAGCAGGGGCAGCCCTTCCTCAGTCGCCCGGCTTCCATGGGGGGTGGGCAGGGGGCAAGCGAGACCCACCAGGGCTCGCAGCCTTTCTAGGTAGCCAGGAATTTAGCTGTTTTTTTAATGTTGTGTTTTAACATTGCTGTAGCCCGGTGAAGAGGAGCGGGGAAAGAATTGGCAGGACAAGAGAAGAGGTTTCCTGGCTGGCCTCCTCCAGGCAAAGGGCAGCTGGGCAGGGGAGGGAGGGAAGCAGCCCCTGAAGAGGCAGAGCCACAGGGACCCCCTGGGCGGGGAGGGCCCAGCCAAGGAGGCCCCCAAGGCACCATGCAGTGCCATGCCGTACCGTCGAGGCTCTCCAGGTCCCCCCGGCCAGAGACCAGCCAGTCCCGGAAGAGGCGGAAGTGGTAGGAGCACTGGCGGAGGTGATGTGCCAGGGCGGCATCCAGGAGGGAGGCGGGCTGGCTGGCGGCAAAGTCAGAGGAAAAGTGGCGCAGCAGCAGCCGCCCGCAGGGGCCTTCCAGCTCATCTGGGGGGAGGGGCCACAAAGGGTGAGTTGGGGAGGGGCACAGCAGAGCCAAAGCCAAGGCAACAGAGAGGGGAAGGGCAGGGGGAGCCCAGCCTGGACCATGGAAGAGCATGGGGAGGGAGGACAGCTGCCAGCACCACCTGCCATGGAGCAAACTCTGTTCCCACTTCAAAGACAACACAGGCAAAGACTTTCTGGGCACCTGAAGGCCCTTTGAGACATTTGGCAAAAGCATTGTCTGGTCAGCACCAATTCAGTTTCCATAAAATCATCAGAAGAATCCAAAGGACCTGGCATCCTCTTCCCAAGTGGCCAACCACATGTCCCTAAGGGAAGCCCCCATTTGGAAGAAACCCTCCCCCCAGGCAGAAATAGCCAGTCAGGAGGAGAAGTTGGCCTTGTTGTTCGGCATGCAAGGAAGGGGCATGTAAGCCTACAGCCTTTGAGTCTCTTGCTCATCGCACCCCTCCCAGCGGCTCTGGGCTGCCCCTCCTCCTCAGAGTCCCTCCAACACTCTTTCTCAAACCTCACATGGGCTGCAAAGGACTCCACTGAGCAAAATGTGGGGGTGCCCCTCCACTGGGAGCCAGCCACAGGGGAGGCAGGGATATTCCTCAACTCTACCGAGGGGAGAAATGCACTCAAGCACCATAGACAGTGGTTTTTAAAACCTTGCTTTTAACTCCTAGAAACCCAAAAGCCCAGTTGTTAAATGAATAAATTGTAGAACTACAGAAGCACCAAATATGAGGCTCGGAGTTTACAACCAGCCCTGTCTTCCAACCGGTCCCTCCAGTGATCTAAGCAAGACTTTTTGCTAGCTGGCAAATAACAGAAGAGGGAAGCAAAGAAGAAAGTGACAATAAGCACAAAGGAAAGGGAGATGATTGAGGCTTAGAAGGAGTTTGCAGCCCTCTACTTTAGCAAGCAGAAACAGAAGGATCCTGTCTTTTCCAGAAGTTAAAAGACTTGGAAATCTCTCTAATGCAATTACAGTGGTACCTCTGGTTACGTACTTAATTCGTTCCGGAGGTCCTTTCTTAACCTGAAACTGTTCTTAACCTGAAGCACCACTTTAGCTAATGGGGCCTCCCGCTGCTGCCACGCCACCACCACGCGATTTCTGTTCTCATCCTGAAGCAAATTTCTTAACCCGAGATACTATTTCTGGGTTAGCAGAGTCTGTAACCTGAAGTGTATGTAACCCTGTTTTACTCTGAAAGAAAACCTTCCCCAAGGGGCTGTGAGCAGCTTCCCCCACCCAAATTTCCACCCACCAGACACCTCCAAGCCTGCCCAGGGCCAGCCAAGACCTCCTGCAGTCGGGCAAGAGCCAGACACCCCGGCAGAGGCAAAGACCCCCATGAGAAGAGAGCGGCACCTCCTCTGAACTCACACTGCCCAGCAAGACCTGCTGCCTGGGGGTGGGAGAAGTGGAGGGCAGGCAGGCAGGCAAGCAAGCAGGCAAGCGGCCAAAAGAGAGGGGGGAACTGGGCAAGGCTGTCTCCCCACTCTGGGTCACAGCGAGGGGGGAGGAGCTGGTACCCCTATTGGCTCTCTCTCATCAGGTCACTCCAGCCGGGTGGGGGCAGGTGCCTCATCTTGCCCTCCCTGCTGCTGCTGTTTATGTGTTGAGGGGTCCCTCTGCTCCCGTCCCATCCCCGTGAGAACACAGAAGGGAGAGCCAAGAGGGTGGTTAGTGGCGGGGGGGGGGACAGCACAGCACGACACAGCTGCCCACTCATGCACGCGGGGATGGAAGACATAGGAAGGGTGGAGGGAGCAGGAGGAGCGGGGAGGGGCGTCAAATTAAGAAGCAAACGTACCGTTAGTTGGATGCTTTGCAAATGACACAGAAAACCGCTTTACAGCTGGCATAGACAAGAGCTCTGAGGAAACAAGATGAGAGCATCGCGTCAGTTAGGCGCCCATCTGCTTGTGGCGCCCCCTGCTGGAAGCACAGGCCCACCGCAGGAAGGGGCCTCACCCCACACTAGACTGCCCCCCCAGGAGGTTGCTGGGAGGAGCAACATGCACAAGGGACGGTTTGACACACACACACACAGAGGGGCAATGGGCACCACAGGACAGCGGCGCAACGGGAGACTGAAGACAAGCGCTCCCCAGATGGGTCCCATGGGAGAGAAGGGCAGAGGAGGAGGGCAGTAAACCCTGCTTCTTCAACCTCCCTGTCCGGAGCCACAATGAATGGTGCAGGAATACTCCACAACACTCTACTGGCCAAGGACCAGCACCAGCCCAGCTCCTTGACCTGCCAATATCCCTGAGCTGGGTCAGGCAGCGTTACCGAGACCCCTAAGCTTCTGGCTGGGAAAGAAGAGAAAGCACCCACCATACAACCCTGTGGAGAATCACCCTGGCTTGGTGCTAGGAGCAGCCCCCAAGAGGCCAACCTTAATAGCCCACAAAAACAGGCTTCCCCTTCCTCTGCCACACCAACCCAGGCCTCAGCAACCGCTATAGAATCTCTCTCTATCTCTTTCAACAACCAAGCAAATGCAAGAAGCCAAAAAGACCTTGGGAGGACCAGAAGGTGCCAGAAGAGGCTCAGAAAGTTCTTGAGCAGCTCCCCAACTATTTGAGAGCCATGTTCCAAGCCCAGTTTGCAAGACAGGCTGGTCACAACAGGGCTGGAGCCAAGAAGAATTCTCCGCTGCAAGGGGCAGAAAGCAAGCCCCTCTCAAACAGGAGGGTGTTATTTGGTGTGAAAACCCTGCCAGGACTTTATAACAACCTTGTGTATGCCTGAAGGCTGAAGGCAGCTGCCAGAGGAATAAACCCCAAGAGAGACCCAGGAAATGCCACTGAGGAGGAGGAGAATCATCCCTGCAGGCTGTTTGGCAGAGACTTGCGGCAACTCCATCTCCTGTTCTGCTTCACCTGAAAAGCCAACCCAGCTGCTCGCCCTGCCCCACACTGCCGCCCATAACAACTCCTGGCACCTGTGGCTTCTCTCCAATGCTAGGCAACTCCCATCCTGCTCTGGGATGGGGAAGGAGTACTTTACTAGTGAGGCTGATCCCTGAGAGCTTCAAACCTGCTCTCCATCCCCCTGCTAATGGATGCCGTGACTAAGTCTGCTTCTCCGTCCTTATGAGGACCTGTGGTGTTGGTGAGACCAGGCAGCTCCAGGCAAGAGGCCCTCAGGATGTGGAGACGCCTCCTCCCAGCCCTGCTCTCCCAGGACCCACGAGGGCAAGGGGGTCCTCAGAGTGCTCAGCCCCCAAGCTTCCCTGGAGCCTCCCCACCAAATGCCCAGCCCCAAGCCTCAGGATGTCTTCAGAGGGTGCACCTACCATCTTTGTATAGAAAGCTGGAGGCGAACTTCTTCCCATGGCTGCGGGCATAATCCTGGAGGTTGGGGGCACTGGAGGAGCCCCCCAGGACCGTGGTGCTGAAGAGACCCGTGCACTGCGACCCTGAAAAGGTCCAGCAGGCTGTTAGTATCACACATTTGCACACAAAAACACACACCCCACATGCAGCTCAGGCAACCCAGGTTAGTGGGGCAGAAAGCAGCAGAGCAGCCCTTGCAGGAAGAGGCCCAAAAAGGCGCTGCAGCACCCGATTGCCACCCCCCAAGTGGCAAACGAAGAAGCAGAGAGGGGGTCTGCAGCTCCTAAATCTGCTCTGAAGGGCAACACAAAACAGAGGAGCAGGGGCAGACCTCTGTGGCCAGGGCACAGCCAGCCAGCTCCAGCTTCTCACAGCCTCACCGTCTTCTCTCAGCTCACATGCCGTGGCCAGAAGCGATGGTCAGTGGTCCAGCCCACAAGCCCAGGACCAGACCAAAACACTCCCAAGCCCGAGGGACAGGGGAAGAGGCTGACCACCCAGGCAGAGAGCCCTGTGGCTCAGAGCAAGGGCAGGTGCAGGTGCAAGAGGGAGCATCACAATACAGGTTTGGGTGCAGAGTGGGGTGGGTGGGTGGGCTTTTACTGGCTCAGGCAAGCACCGTGATTGGACCACACGCCAAGTTCCCCCGCCAGCAAGGCCAGGTAGAGCAGGCTGGAGCCAAGTGCAGAGTGTCCCCCACCCCCAGTTTAGACTCCAGGCCAAGAGTGCAGGTGATTTAGCAAGCAGCCTGTTACGTAAGGGGAGTAATGGTCTCGAGGTGCAGGTAAGCAGGCCTGGGTGCTGGGTCAGTGCCCGGATTCAAACAGACAGCACAAAACACATACACACCGCCGCACCCTCCAATCTTGCCCTTGGAGAAGCTCCTTCCTCCCACCTCTGTCTTTGGCTCTGGGGAGATGGGAAGGGGTCCCCCGGCCAGTGACCTTCTTTTGGGAAGGAAGGGCCTGTGAGGAAGCCCCCGAATCTGCCCCCGCCTCAGAAAAAGGGCTCTAAATCAGAACCTGCCTTTTTTTCTTGAGTGATTGCACACACACAAGGCATTTGGAAGACAACTCGTGACTTGGGGGTAGGGTTCTCCGCCGCCAGGGCTTTTTCAATGAGACAGGGGCTATTATTCTTCCGTTAAGATGTAATATTCATTCATTACATGAATATAGCTCCTTTCATTTTGCGGGGAGGGGGTCATTCCTATGTGCCAGGGAAACAGCCTGCCAAAGCTGGAGGGCACAGGGTGGCCACTGCCATTGCTTCTTCACCCAAGAAGGGCTGGTAAAAATCCATTTATGTGTTTCTGCCCCCCCCCTTAAATCCCAAAGGTTTTTTTAAAAAAGAAAAACCACATTTAGCCCTCAGGCCAAGACTCCCTGTCCCTCCTGCTGACTGTCAGAAACTGCCTGCCTTCCTACCTGAGACATTCCTTGCCTGGACTCTCAAAATGTCTGTGAGATCCCAGAGCAGCGCCACAGGAGAAAAGGCCAGCTAGAGAAGGGAATGGAGCGCAGGGCCTCAGGCAGGCAGCCCACACTCAGGGGGAGGCGGGGCACTTTACAGAGACAGCCCCAGATCCTATCTGGCTGGGAGAAAAAACATACAAAATCCCACCCACTGACCCACCAGGACTGTCAACAGAGGGAGAGAGAGAACAGAGAAGTTCCTACCCAACCCGCTCTGCTTCACTTCTGAGGAATGCCGCGAGTAGGAGAAGAGGCGATAGCCACCCGCCTTGGAGGAAGATTCAGACAGCACCTGTGGAAAACAAGCACTCAGGTGGCTCTGGAGGCCTCTGGCACCTTGGCCGGGGGCAGCAGCAGCAGCAAGGGACAAACTGGGAGACAGAAAGTGATTGTGGGGCAGAGGAGGAAGCAGCTCTTGGTGGAGGGAAAAAACACCTCCCCTCCTTCTGGGCCACAACATCTGGGGATCCTCCCTCTAGAAGAGGCAAACCGACCATCCAGTCATCTTAAGAGCTTTGGTTATAGAACAAATGTTTTGGTAGAAGTAAAGAACAATACATTCTCTTTTCTTCGTTTTCTTCATTGTCCTGACAGGCATCGCTCCTCTCTCTCTCTCTCTCTCTCTCTCTCTCTCTCTCACACACACACACACACACATATACACACAGCACCTGTCTAGCCCCTCTACTCTACCTCCATGGAGCCGGTCTTGCGGTTGCGGATGAGTGGGGATCTCCGCTGGACGTAGATGGGTTCCAGGGGCGGAGAGGAGAGGTGCTGGGCTTGGTCCATCTCCACAATGGCCTTGGGCTTGGCCAGCTCCTCCAGGCTCCCCTCCTCCGGCTTCTTGGCTTCCTTCTGCAGGAAAGCAGTGCAAGGGGGTGGGGGTGTAAGGGGCATTGCCTTGGGCTGAGAACTGGAAGTGAGGGGAAACTTTAGGCAGCAAAAAGGAGGCTGGAGGCAGTGGTGCAGAGGTGGGAACCTCAGGCCTGGGGTAGAATGCAGTGGCCCTCTGGGCCCCTTTCTCTGTCCCCTGGCATGCTCCCCAAGCCCAGACTGGCCCTGTGTTGAACAAGGGTTTCTACCTCTTGCATGCCTGTATCCAGAACAGGCTCTGTGTGTGAAGGTGTACAGAAATGGGCCTACTGTACGAAGGGGAAATTTGCATCCTCCGCTTAGGTTTTGGTCCCGCCCACTAATGTGGGCCCAGGAGGGAAGGGAACCCTTGGGCTGGGAAAGTCTCCCCCTGCCCCACACTGTGAGGAAAGAGGTCAGCCAGGGAGGACAGAGACTTTCTTTCTAGTAATACTACCACTGTGATAATGCAGAAATCTATGTATCATCTATAGATGATACATAGATGGTATTTAACACCTGAAAGAATCGCAAAAATGAATAAAAATTGTAGCAATGTCTGCTGGCGATACAACACTGGAAAAGGTACTATGATGCATATATGGTGGAATTGTTTAAACATCAAACAATTTTGGGAAACAATATATAACGAAATGAAAAAAATGTTCAGATATTCATTTAGGAAAACACCAGAAGGTTTTCTATTGGGAATAGTACCAGGAAGTCTAAAGGAAGAAGACACGACATTATATTTATACGCAACAGTAGCCGCAAGCCTACTGATTGCAAACAATTGGAAAAGTGGTATTATACCGACAAAAATAGAGTGGCTTGCCAAATTATTGGAGTATTACAATATATCCAAAACAACGGGAGAAATTGGAAGGATCTCAAAAGAGAAGATAGACAGGGACTGGAAGGTGTTTAAAGGATACTTGCAAAACCATATTGAAAAATCAGAACTCCTATTAGAATAAACAAGTTCCCTTTTAAATACTGAAATACTAAATAAGATGGATAACAATGTGTAATAGAAAAGAAGCATGAAATTAGGTTAAAGGTGTGTGAAAGAAAGTAACAGAAGTGGAAAGAAATTGCAATTGAGTAGATTGGAAGTCTAACACAAAGGTGGGGTGAGGGGTGGTGGATGGTGATGGCAAAAATGAATTATCTGTGGGATTGAGTGTAGGTATGTTTGAACATTTTTAAGGACTGTATGAAATGTATGTTTGTATGCTTGTACATTCACTATATATATATATATATATATATACAAAAGAAAATAACGCAGAAATCAAACAAGGCACCTTCAGTTACTCGGACGTGCCTCCACCGTTAGCCTGAGGGTAAAATGGGTAACAGAACCTCTTTCCTCAGGGCAGAGCAAGACACACACCCCAGAGAGGCAGCGTCCACCCTCTCTCTCCCTCCTCTGGTAGTCGGCAGGGATCTCTCAGCACCTGCGCCAGATCAGGTCAGAGCTGCCCTTAATCCCACCTTCCCAGCAGACGGCAATTCCAGCACCATCTGGGAGCATCGGGGACTGGTCAGACCAGCTGCCTTACAAACGGCTTTGTTCCCAGCAGCCTCAGAGGACATGGACTCACCTCCGCGGAAGCCGGGCGGAAACCAGAGCCTGCCGGGGCGCTGCCATCCTCCTCACAGCCCTTCACCCCTGGGCTGAAGTGCAGCTCCACGTGGAACCTCTCCTCAGAGGAAGGGTCCTGCCAAGAGAGCAGTGAGGCTCTGCTGGAGAAGAAGTCACAGTGGCTTGGCCACTTGGCCTCACCCCACCACCCCCCGCCAGCTTCCTCCTCCTCCTCCTCCTCCTCCTCCTCTGCTCCCTCACCTTGTTGTTGTCCTCGTAGAGCATGATGACAATCTGCGTCATGTAGTTCAGCTCCGAGATGGCGCTCAGGTAGTCCATGGCCCTCTGCCACTGAGGGTCTTTCGATTCCTGAAAGGCAAGAGAAGGACCAGGGCAGGCAGGATTAAAGGGCCTGGAAGGGGGGCGGGCTCAGCCTTGAAGGGACCTGGAAGGGGTCTAGCACTCCTCCCCCCAGTGAATTTCGCATAAACCCTCCTGAAGGGGTTCAGCACAAGGCAGACTTCGCAGCCCACAGCTTTTCTTCCTAGCATTGGCCAAAAAACCCACTGTGCTGTGGACCCTTTCAGGTGAACCAGCTCCAACCAGTTCTCACGACATGCCAAAATCCAGGTGACCGTCTAGCAGAAGCAAGTGGCTTGACTCACCAATACACACACACACACACACACACACACACACACACACACTGTCCATGGAGTAGCCTCTTCCTCCCATAGCTGCCTCCTTGAGCTGCCCAAAGACACCCTTGCCCTAATGGCAGAAGGTGCTCTCTTCCCTTGGCCTTCCCATTATAAAGTCTTAATGGAGGCTGGCTGGTTAAGTATTTCTATGTAAACTGCTTTGTGGGTTCACCTGAAAAGCACATCTACAAATGATATTCAGTGACTATTGGGTCAAACCAGGGAGGTGAACTACTGAGCAAGTCTTCCAAGGATGGCTCAGAGGAAAAGGCTGCAGGGAGCATCTTCCTGTCCCCCGTCCCCCCCCCCCTGTTTGGAGGACAGTTCAGGCCCACCCTCCAGACACTTGAACGAAATTCAAGGCTGACTCTGGAGCCACCAGCAGAGGGCGCTGCCAGAGTTATCAGGAGACAAAGGGTTCCCCCTTCAGCAGAGGGCACTGGAGAGCCCTGGGTCAGCCCCTCTCCATGGCCAAAACACACACATACACACAACACCAAGGCTGGCTCACATACATCCAGGAGGCCCCCATAGCGGAAGATGCTGAGCAGGGAGTGGACGTGGCTCTCGCTGGTGAAGTACAAGCGTGTCCGGACATGGCGCCCCGGAGACAGGACTCCCCTCGAGTACCTGGAAGCAGAGAAGTCAAAGCAGTGAGGGGACCAAAAGCTCACCAACAATTCTGGGAGTTCTGTCACCAAGAGGGCTTGGAGGCCAACGCAGATTCACAAGGAGAAAAAGACAGACGTCTTTTGGAAAGAGGGCAATCACTGTCCCCATTACTCTGCAATTTGGTCTTGGAAGTTTTGTTTAGAGACACTAGACAAGATGAAAGAATTTGGGGAGCAAAGATTTAAAAAGAAACTTGTAAGTTACAGGCATTTGCCAATGATTTGATGATAGTATTGGAAAATCCACTACAGGGAGCAGAGACTTTTATGGATAAATTAAATGAGTTTGGTACACTAGCATGCTTTAAGGCTGATCATCAGAAAATGAAAATGCTAATAAAGAATATGACAACTGAAGACCCAAAGATTTTGATGGAGAAAACGGGGTTTCAAATTAATAAAAAAGTAAAGTATTTGGGTATTACCATGACAAATGCGAATTGTATGTCGTTTCAAAATAATTATGTTAAGACATGAGCTGAAATTAAACAAGATACAGTGGTACCTTGGGTTAAGTACTTAATTCGTTCCGGAGGTCTGTACTTAACCTGAAACTGTTCTTAACCTGAAGCACCACTTTAGATAATGGGGCCTCCCGCTGCCGCCACACCACCGGAGCACGATTTCTGTTCTCATCCTGAAGCAAAGTTCTTAACCTGAAGCACTATTTCTGGGTTAGTGGAGTCTGTAACCTGAAGTGTATGTAACCTGAAGAGTATGTAACCCGAGGTACCACTTTATATCAAGATAGGAGAAACTAAAATTGTCAATGTTAGGCAGGATTTCTGTGATAAAGATGAATGTCTTGTTTAGAATGAGATTTTTTGTTTCAAACAATATCTATTTTGACTACTGATATACCATTTAAACAATGGCAAAAATATTTATCTACTTTTGTATGGCAGGGGAAAACATGAGTTAAATCTGAAGTTCTGCAAGATGCAAAGGGGAAAAGAGGATAGGGCTTGCCTGACTTAAAATTGTATTTTGTAGCTTGTTGCTTAGGATGGATGAAGGAATGGATGACACTGAGAAACTTTTGGAATTAGAAAAACATGACAAGGTTTGGATGGCATGGCTATTTGTGGTACGATACAGTTAAAGTAAATGTGTTATGCACAAACACTCACCCACCCCCACAAGAAGCTATCTACAGAAAAGAGTTGACAGGCAAAGAGAAATGGTTAACCTATTAAGAGTTATTAGAATTGCATCAAGGAGATGATAAAATTAAAACAAAGGAACCATTAAAATAAGTAGGAACCATTTATAAATTATGTAAAAAGACAGTATAAAGATTTGGACTCACTGGCAGGTTTTGACTAAACTTTCACAACTATATAAGAGGTAAAACCAACAGGGTATAGAAATTGTTTAATAAATCAATACAGAAAGAGTGGGGAGGGGAGAAATATGGATATATAAATTGTTTAATTAAGATTTGTGGAAAATTTGTTGTTATAATTTGAAAATTCAATAAAAATTATTTTACAAAAAATTAAAACAAGGGAACAATTGATAATGGAAGGTCACAACTTTCAGTGGCTCTTCTATTTATAACTAGTAAGGAGATTTAAGTTGCATAAAAATACGAGGGGTGATCCTTACAGGGGGTGCAGTTTGTTGACAGACTCATCCTCGTGGGTCCTCTGCAGGTCCAGCTGGATCTTCCGGATGAGAGGCAGGCAGAAGCCCACAGCTATCTCCAGCTTCTCTTGTTTCTTAATGCCATATTCCTGGGGAAGCAGGAAGGGACTCAGCCCAGGGCAACCCAAAAGCCCCATGCCACCACCACACCCTCCCTCACAGGGCCAGGCCTCACCTGGGGGATGACAACATCCGCCAGGGACTTGGAGAGCCGGAACAGCTCGGAGGTGCCCTCCAGCTTGAGAGCTGCATTGTGCTGCACATCGTACTTGACGCAGTCATAGATGTCGGGGATCTTGCTGATGTCATAGCGCCGGTTCTTCAGGCGGAAATCCTGCTCCAGTTTCCTCCAGCGCTGAAGCATCAGCTCAAGCGTCTCACTATGGTACAGCTGCAGGTCTGGGGAATCAGCAGCAGCATCAGTCATCCCACCCACGGAGCAGGGGGAAGGTTAGGACACTCATACAAGGACCGATGAAGGACTAAAGTGCTCACACACACAAACACAAACTGCCAAGCTATCCGCCTGCCCTACACACTGCTTTGATTTTTGAAGTTATCTTTTACAGTTGTACCTCAGAATTTGAACGGAATCCGTTCCAGAAGTCCATTCGACTTCCTAAATGTTCAGAAACCAAGGTGCAGCTTCCGATTGGCTGCAGGAGCTTCCTGCAGCCAATCAGAAGCCGTGGAACCTGCGTTAGATGTTTGGGTTCCAAAGAACATTCACAAACTGGAACACTCAGTTCCAGGTTTGCAGCATTCAGGAGCCAAAACGTTTGACTCGCAAGGCATTCAACTTCTGAGGTACGGCTGTATTTCTAAGATTCCGAGTCTGTGCTGGACAACACAAGAAAATGTATGGACCTTTTGGATGTATATTTAGTGTTTTAATTCTGTTATGAAGCAAGCTCTGCAAGTAAAAGTTTGAATGATATTTCTATGGGCCTGGACAACGATTTCTTCCAAAAGGAGTCAGTTACTATGCTTCCAGTTGCTTCAAACGACACAATGTTATTACGGCGCAATGCACACCCCCTACCCGCAGACTTGGGGTCCTCCAGGCGCTTTTGTATCTGGGACGTGAGGCTCTCAATCAGGGCAAAGACCCGGTCACAGATCTCCACAGGGTTCTGGATGATGCTCATGGACTTGATGAGTGAGATGCTGCCCGTGGGCGCCAGCTGAAGGCAGGATCAGAGCAAAGGGGAACTGAAGCATGGGCCCAGCCAGCAGTTCCCCCTCCCAATGTGGGGAGGGCTCTGCAAGTCATTCCCTCCCCTCCACAAACTCTGGCTCAGCCACCCCCACAAGCGCCAACTGGTGCTGGCTCCCTCTCTGGATGCCTTTGGGCTTCTAGTGGTAACCTATGGCTTCCAGAAATGCTACAGTCTTGAGGACTAGCTGAATGCTTTATCTTTTATTTTGTCCCTTTTTTCTTAGAAACCTGCTTCAAGACTGCTAAGCCAATATTCAGAGAAGGTTTGTTTGTTTTTTAAGATCAATGGAGGTGCAATTCCCTGCTTTACCACATGCTGTCCCCCTGCCCTTAGAAATAACCAACCAACAATGCAAAGTTATTTTCCCCCAACCCTGCCCTGGATCAACACCAGGTATAGGGTGCTGCAGGTGGTTCCCTCCCCACCCCCACCCCCCGTGCATGATAATCATAATCTGTATTTAAACAGATACCTACTGAGAAGGTCCATTAAAAAAGCAACTGTACCAAAAAATAATATGAAATATTGGTGGAGGGGCAACTTTTGTCCTCCCTCAGGGTGCCATATGACCAACATTCGCTCCTCCCGGATCCTGCAGCCTTGATGCCCATTTTCCCAAAGCTTTCCAGAGGGGAAGACAGGCTCCCCCTGCATCATCAGGACCAGAAGTTTGTTTTAATAAGGATGAGCAGGAAGTTCACCTGCTGGAAGGCCCTTCTTCTCACCTGCCTACCCATCATGCCAAGGGACACTGGCCAAATCACGGATGCAGAAGTCCCACCCCTGGCCCCCTCTCCAACTGGAACAGCAGGGAGCGGCTGATAGGATGTACCTCCTCACTCCCAGCCTCACTGCCAGCACCAGGTCCCATGAAAGCTGAAGTTCTTTCCTTTGATGCAAGGGCCAAAGCCTTGAGCTGGCCTGGCCCAGGGAGCTGCCCTCCCCTTTACCAGTGGCTCCTGCCAGCCAACCAACCAGCCAGCCAGCCAGCCTAGCTGCCTGTCCTCCTCACCTTCTCAAAGTCCTCCTCCCCAAAGTTGGCGTCCTTCTGCATGATCTCCCTGAGGCGAGCTTTCACCCGGTGCTGGCAGCTGCTGAGGGAGTCACTGTCACTGTCCAGCAGGCCGTTCATGTTGGCACTCTTCACCATCTGGACCAAGATGGGTGTCAGCTCCCCCTCCAGTGCAAGGAGGCCCTGCAGAGCGAAATGGGATGGGGCACAGACATTAGCAGCTGCTGGTGGTGGTGGTGGTAAGGAAACGGCACAGATCATCGCTTGGTCCTTTGGAACGAAAGCCATCTTGGCCTGCCCGCAGGCAAGAGCAGCAGTCATCCCCAGGTGGCCTTGGCTCAACTGCCACTGCACACACAGCAGCACTGCAAGAGAATACAGCCAGGTCAAGAGGTACCCCACCCCCAGGCACTGGGAAGACAGAGATTGCAAAGACCTTTGCAAAGGCAGCTGCAGTCATCTGGACTCTGCCCTCATCAGAGGCGTAAATCTTGAGGTCGTGGCGGTAAGTGCTGTGCAGGCGAAGGAGGCCGCATCCTGGGAAGCCAGCGTAGTCCCCTGGAAGGTGGGAGGAGAGCCTCAAGGTCAAAAGATAGTGGCTGAGGCATGGAGGCCTCCGGGCCAAACCCGGCTCCCTCTCCCATCACACTACCGTGCTCCCCACACCTGGCCTCACCTTGGCCCCCCGGGTACATGCAGCGGAAGGCTCTCCCCAGCTCCTCAGCTTGCACTCTTCCGGCGGGAGTCAGCTCGCCTCCCCACTTCAGCACCAGCAGCAGAGACGGGGAGGCTTCCTTGCGGGCCTCTGGAGACAGCAGAGAGTCAAGAGTCAGACCTCGTATCCCCAGGAGGGAGGTCAGCAGCCACTATGGCCTCCCCACCACCACAGTCAAGAAGGAGGGACCAGTCAGGAAGGAGGGACCAAAGTGAGTGTCAGTCTTGCTTGCTGGGAAATGGGCTGGGGAAGGCCACAGGAGCCATGCCCAAAGCCCCACCTATGGCTTCTGGCCAAGGATTCTGTGTTGACAGAGCACTCAAAATCCTAAAGAGGTGTTGGAGGAGTTCTGCGTTCAGAGCTCCCAAGTCTGGAAGGTGGGGCAATGACTTCCACTGAAGGGGGCTGAAGTCCCCTGGAAGTAACAGGCTCAGAGCTTGGGGGTGCTTCCAGATCATGGTTACTGGAGGCTCAGGTGACCTTGGTGGCCAGGAATGCTTATTTCCACCTCTGGTTGGCTTGCCAGCTACAGCTCCTCTGGGACAGGTGACTTGGCCATGATTATCCATGCTCTGGTAACCTCCTGACTGGACTACTGCAATACACTCTATGTGGGGTTGCACCTGAAGACGATTAAACTGGTCCAAAATGCAGCAGCCAAAGTACTGGTGGGTTTTGTTTAGACCTCATATAATCCCTACGTTAAAACAGCTGCATTGGCTGTTCATTTCCATTCAAGGGGCTTCTGTAAGTCCCAAATGTCTGAAAGACGGCCTCCATGCCTACAGGTCCTCTCAGGTGCTAAGATTGGCAGTTTTACCTCCCTCCAAGTTTTGGAGGAGGAGGAGGAGGAGCACCTGGTGCCTTCGTACACAGCTTTTGCCATCTACACCTCTTTGCCCCTGACAATGAAGGTCTTGCGTAATCAGTTCTGTTCCATTTGGAACGCTTGGACTTGTTGGGACTCTCCCTATAATTATATCTGCTTTCATCCATTTTTATACTACATTGTTGGAACCCAACAATGGGACAGTGCGGCAAAAGGCAAGGAAGAATTCCTCTAAATAAAATTAACATGTGCAAATACGTACGCCCTGTGCAGCTTATGCTCTTAACTGCCACAACACTCCAGCAAGTCAAGGAAATGAAAGCCCCTCCTGCTCAGCTACGCTGCCACAGAGAAGCGGGGCGGGGCCAGGAGATGGAAGGCCCAGCTCAACCAAGGTGGCATCAGTGGCAGCCATAGGTAGGGTGCAAACTCCCACCTGCCCCCCACTCCTGCCAGCACCAGGCCTGAGGCACCCACAGCCCCCGCAGGAGCCAGATACCTGCCTTCCTCTTCGCTGGATGCTTTGGAGCGCCCGTGGGGCAGGTAGGTTAGCTGCACTTTGCGGTTGATGCCAGAGAAGTGCCCGTACCTGCCGGGAGGAGAGAGAAGAAGCAGGGGCTTGGAAGGGCTTCCTTGATAACTCCAGCTAAGCCAGGCCCCTTCCTCCCTCCTTCGTCACTCAGGCCACCCACCGCTGCATGCCAAAAGGGAGAGCCTGAGAGGAGGAGGAGGTGCCAGACAGGTTCACAAGGGGCTGGGCCTTCTAAGGGCACAGCCACCAGGCGGCATGAACTGCTGGGTGCCAAGTAGAGGAAACCACCCCAGTAGAGTGGGGAGGGCAGGGGATGCCGCTGGACCTTACCCTCCCGGAGCTCTTGTTCAAAATCAGGAACTGGGGGCCCATCAAGCCACCTGCCCCCACCCACACCCACCCCTCTTCTCACATCTCCAGCACAGTTTTGAGCTGCTCCAGCTTGGATTTCTGCTCCTCGGCCTCAGAGTCCTCATGAGCTCCCTCCTCCAGCACCAGCAGGCGGGCGATGTCCAGCACTTCCTGCCCAGGGCAAAGGGTTGGCTGGGTTGGCAGGGCAGCCAAGCACATCCTCTGGGCCCAGAGGGCCATGCGCTCCCCACACCTGGCCCTTGGCTTCACCACCTCCCTACCCCCCACAGACCCACATGCCAACCCCAAACAGCCAGGCCAGTGTGTTGAGGTCCCCCCTGCACAGCAAAGCCCAAGCCAGGAAGGCAAAGGCAGAGGTGCCCCGGGGTCCCTGGCCCCACCAGCCCCCAGTCCTCCTCACCTGAAGCTGCTCTGGCTTCTTCAGCTTCAGCTTCCCAGCCTTGTAGCCCTCGTACTTCTCAAACAACGCAAAGAACCTGGCAGCAAAGTTAGAGGGGGTCCAGGGTCTGAGAAGGAAAGGGCTGGGAAATGCAGAGCTGGACAAGGTCCAGAATGAGGTGGCTGCTTATGCTGCTGCTCAGGGGAGATGAAGCGTTTAAGGGAAACCAGCTAAAGACTAGGGTTGGGCAATATATTGATGTATCATCCAGAACCAGTTTGAACCCCATACCGTGATACTGGTTTCATAGTCTTTGACCTAACAATATATTACAAATGATGATGTGTGTGTTTGCATGCTATGCAAAAATCAAAATGTGGGGGAAACTGTGAAGCCAACCAATTTCTCTGTGTAGCTCCATCCTTATTTCAGACACTGTGATATATCAGTATATCGCAGTGTTTAGCTGGTGATATATCACAGATGTTGAAAACCAGGTATCGCCCAGCCCTACTCTCAGAGAAGAGGCTGCACAAACAAACACCCACCCAGAGTGTAGCCCGGGGGGGTGGCTCTTCTTACCGGGGGTGCTTCACTTCCATCTTCATCTTCTGCTTGGGGGTCCGGTCACCATGCCGTATAACCGCAATCACACAGCGCAGCTCCATCCTGTGGGAAAAGATACCAATCTCAGGCTGCCCCACTCTCAAAACAGCCACGCTTAGCAGAGGCAAACTCCCTCCCCAAGCAAGGAAAGCTTTGAAGCTTGCAAAGGTGCAGAATATGTTGAAGGCTGCGCAAGAAGATGGCGAGCTTTGAAAAGCCCTGCTCTGCAGTTGCCCACCAGAGGCGACAGAAGGGCAGTGGACAACCCCACTCCACGTAGTCCCACCCAAGGATGGCCTCCGTCCTCTTCTCTCCAGTCAAGGCCAGAGCTCTGAGAGCCAGTCCACCATCCTCTAAGGCAGTCTTTCTCAACCTGTGGGTCCCCATATGTTGTTGAACTACAACTCCCATCACCCCTAGCTAGCAAGGCTAGAGCTCAGGGATGATGGGAGTTGTAGTCCAAGGAGTGGCAAGTAAGAACACTTGCCAAGAGTAAAATCTAAAAATGCCCCGGAAGCCACAGCAGAAATGCTCAGCCCAACGACACTCACATAGTCCCCGAGGTGGTGGGCACGATGGGGATGTCCTCTGCCTCCGTGGGGATGGACCAGGGGATCTGGAACTGGGGAGCCAGTTCACGCATAATAATGTTCCTGGCAGGGAGAGAGAGAGGAGCCAGACCTGGTCAGAGACCCACTTTGGACCTTCCCATCCTGGCAGGTCCCCCACCCAGGGCATACCATCTTCCCACGTGGGAGGAACACACCACCCAAGGAAAAGCAGGAACGACAAAGTGCAACCCACCCCAGGATCTTGGCGCAGTCATCGTAATATTTCATGGAATTCTTCACAAAACTGAAGCCGTTGACGTCGCAGACAAAGGAGTGGCCGTTGGCCCGCAGGAGGTCGAAGCCGCACACTGTCTGCTGCAGGGGCAAAGGGGGGGGGCATGGGAAGAGTTAAAGCAGCCAACATATGCAGCAGGTGCCACAGGCAGAACCAAGCCAAGCAGCAGGATGAGGAGGAGGCAGTGGTGCAAGGAGCAGCCCCCTCCCCCTGCTTGCAGCCACTGAGGTCAGAAGCAGCACCATGACCCTTTGGCAGGCCTCCCAAGAGGGTTTAAGGAGCCCTCAGTGGTGGCTCTGAGGAACCTCAACCAGAAGGTGCTGGAGCCAAGGAGGAAGAAGAACAGGGCCCCTACTACTCAGCTGGGCCTTCCTCCAAAGCTCCGCCTCAGGATGCCCAGGCCTCAGAGACAGAGGAATACAAGGGACTTCTCAGCAGGAGAAGCAACACCAACCTTGAAAGCCACACAGACTTTCCGGGCCACCAGCTTCTCTATAGCCGTCAGCATCACAGGGTAGCGGATCTCTTTCCCTTCGCTATCCCGTTCCACCTTCCCATCGAGAGCCGGGGACTTTCGGGCCTCCGCATGAGCGTAGTCTGGGCCAACCGTGTACACCTGAGCCACCAAAGTCGAGAAGTTACACCCTTGTCCCTCCCCGGCAGCCTCCGAGATCAGGTGGCGTCTCTGCCCCTCTCCCCTCAAGGCCCTACCTTGACATCTGTGCCGTCTGTGGGCATGAACTCCTCGTAAATGTACGAGCCAGTTTTCCGCACGTTGCTCTCAGGGGAGTAGACGCTGCTGCGGCTCCCAATCTGAAATAAGCGGGGAATTCAAATGGTGGGAGTGGGGTGCATGTCTGGGGTGGAGGTGCTGGCGGGGGGCAGGGCTGCAGAACTCCCCTTCCCCAGTCAAGGGGCAATTGTCAGCCCTTCAGAACAAGTGCCCTCCCCTGTTCCAAACCCATTCTGGCCAAGCAGCACCAGAAAACAGAGTGGGGGGCAGGCCTTGTGGCCTTTCACCTCTGGACAGAGTCCCACTGGGGCCTCTATCACCCTAGAACCACAGTAAGCATCCAAGAATCCCACCAGCCAATCCGACAAACTCTCTCTCTTCCTCTCTTGCAGCACCAAGATGCCAAATCTGGCTGGGCTCCCAGCTTTGGGCTCCCACTCTGCTCACCTTGCGGAAAAGGCGCTGGCTGCCCCCACCAGCTGAGGTGGGATAGTAGATGTAGACATTGTGGTCCTCAGCACTGACCGGCTTCTCCACAAAGGGCTTGGGGAAAATGGCCCCGTTGACCTCCACGTGGTCCTCCCCCTCCACGAGGTTGCACTCTGCAGCGAAAGCACAGCCACGTTTTTTTGTGGGGGTGGGGGTGGGAGAGGCTACCCAAGCCCTCCAGCCCCTGCCCCTCCCCACAGAGCCAGGCAGCCCCACTGCTTCCCCCTTACAGAGATACAGATGGTGAAGACAGCCTCTGCCCTGCAAAGGAGGCAAGTAGGTGGAGTTGAGGCTTTATTTATAGGAGTATTCGTAAATCACCGGCTCATTTTAAAAAACCACAGCAATAAAATCATGTAGGCACCACAAAATTACAAAATCATCAGGCTTTTATATATGGTGGTGCAGCACTTAGGCTGTGGAACAAGGCCTGGACTGACCTCCTTTCACTCGGCCTGAATGGGGCAGGGGGGGCATGGACATTCCTTTGGGGTCCTCAGAGGAAAAAGGGAAATGAAACAAAAATATGAAGTCCCTACAGGGAGGGTGGCTGGCTGGCTGCAAGGAGGAGACAAGGGCTGTCTAATGAACGCTCATCCTTAAGAGCAAGGATGGGAAGCCTGGGCAGACCTCCAGGTGTCTCTTTGGACCCCAATTCCCATCACGCACCTCAGCCAACAACAATGTCCAGAGGGCCACAGCAAGCTCCCCAGCCCTTCTGAAGAGGGCTCTGCTGTTTGGCGTCTGCTCACCCCTCTTGCTTCCAGGGACACAAGCCAAACTATCTCCAGAGGAGCCTGAGCAAGGATGGTGGCAGCTGAGGACAACCCCAACAGCAGGAGGATGCAGCAATCCATCAAACCTCTATTGCAGCATCCAGCCAGAGAAGGATGCTCAGAACAGCCCCCTGGTGCTTGGACCATGAAGGGGCTCAAGACCACACCTGTCTGCTCCAGAAGCAGCTCCACTGACAGAGGTTGCATGCTCAGAAAAGAGAAGGGAGCCTTTGCCACCTGCATGTCTCAGACTCTGCAGTCGTCATCCTCACCTTCACCCTCCGCTCACAGGCCACTCACCGTCCGGCTTGTCAGGGTCCCGGTTGAGCACTGCATAGCGAGGCAGGTCGATTCCCTCCTGCTGCAAGATCCGGTACACCTCCCGCCTGCAGAGGACACGGACCAGAGAGCAAGGCTACCACCTGAAGGATGCTACAGGGCCAGACCCTGCTTCTTAGCAGATCATCTCACAGATCATCCTGCTTAGCCAGCCAGCCAGCCTCTCTCCCCTGTGACATGACCCGACAGGCCTCCCTCTCTGCTGCTGTGGAGCAGAAGGGAAGCCCAGGAAACACACTACCCAGACCTCAGGCTAGGCTATCTTAGGCTGCACGCATGCTGGACCTGGACCTTTGAAGCTGAAATAGATATCTGCATTCTCACGCAAGTAAGATAAAATATAAATAACCTCTCCTACTCATCTAAATCCAACAGTTTGGCTTAGGAGGCAGCCTATCCTAAGCCACCAATGTTCCCTCCATAGCACCTCCGCATTCCTACCTGTCCTGGATGTAATACTGCATATTGAGGTCATTGATCAAAAAAGGGCTGCGGAGCTTGGCGTAAGCAACAGCCTTGTCCAGCGGAAAGCCTGCAAGAGAGAAAAAGGAGCAGTCCTCAGCGGAGGCTGGCCAGTCGGGGGCACACGAACCAGGCAGAGAAGGAGCTGGGGTGGCAGCCTGGGAGGCATCCTACCTTTGGAGTGGAAGGAGATGAGGCAGTCGCAGGGCGGCCAGTTCTCTACAGGTTCATTCAGAATGACGTCCTCCCCCATGATCACCACCGTGATGTATTCAAACTTGCACAGCCGCTCCAAGATCTGTGTCATGGGCTTCGACTTGGACTTTTTGGTCATGGCACAAATGCCCACCACAATCTGCCGCTCCGGAGGCTGAGGGGAATGCCAGAAGATTGTCACAGAGCCACGGAAGGGAACTGCCCACCCGCTGCATCATCAAGGAGCACCTTCAGCAAGTCTGGATAACAAAGCCAAGAAGGGGCGCACAAACGCCAGACCCTGGTCCAAGAGCAGCTCCAAGGGGAGACTGGGGGGTTGGTTCCCCTTTGCCCAATGGAAGAGGCAGCTGGTTGCCCAAGGGAGAACCTGCCTTAAAGGAGATGTCCCATCCACAAGCAGTTAAGTGGAGAGGACACATGAGCAGCCCCCTATGTGCCTTCTCCACAATAGGCACCGAGTTGTTTCACTGCCTTAAATGGGACTCCTTGGGAGTAAGAGAGCAGATTACTACCAAGGTGGAAGAAGCACCTCTTCCTTCCCCCAGAAGCCCCAAAATAGGGGAGCGTCTGCCCAAGTGCAGAGAGGTGCCCCTGTTTGCAACGAACAGCATCTGTTCAAGAGAGCTGCAGCCTCCCCAGGTGCAGGAGGGCAATTGGCCTAGTTGGGGAAGCCAAAAGGTCCTCCCTCTCAGATTACAGCAACAGACTCCCATCTGTACACCACACACACATCCCAGAGGCCCAGGCATAAGCCATATATTGAGGGAGCCTATTGACACCTATGCCACACAAGGAGGCTCCTTACTGATTCTTCCTCCTCCTCGTCATCCTCAAAGAAGTCAATCTCATCCATCTTCATGTCTGATCCCGGGAGGTCCACCTCGTCATCTCGGGAGCCCACAAAGAACTTGGGAGTCGTGCCGTCGCCCTCAACGGTGGTCGTCCAGGACGACATTCCAGACTGGGTGGCCAACCATCCCGCTCTGCAAGCAAGCCAGAATCAAAAGGGGACAGGGAGAGGAGTCTCCCCTGTGGCAGCAGAAGCCAGCTGGGAGGGATAATCACCCAACCCTCCAGCACTGCAGGAAGCAGCGAGGTGGTCTTACACTGCTGCATGTTTCAGGCTGCTGGCTAAATCAAGGAGGCAGAGGTGGCGCTTGGCCTGGCAGCTGCTTCCACCAGGGAGCCTCGCAGGGCACAGGCAGCTTCCTCAAACGCCGCCAGCTCTTCGCCAATCTGGGCAGCCTAAGGAAAGAAGGAAGTGCTGAGGATGGCAGCCACGAAGCGTCGCAAAAGAGGCACGTGGCTGGACAAGGACGCCAGCCCTGTCCATCCTGCCAAGGAGGCTGATGGATGCCAGGGCCAGAGAGGGAGGCATGGGCATGCCAACTTGCAAAGCTGGCAGCCACAGCAGGGTGGAAAGCAGAACAGCCCTCACCACTCCCACAGAACAAGAAAATGGGTCTTGGGACCATCACAGCTTTGCTGGCTTCCCTAATAATTCCTAACAATGGACTGCCCCTTTTCTCGCAGACTTCAGAAAATTTTTAATAAGGAAAAGGCCATCTTGAGCTAAAGGAGCCCCACCTTTAACTTAAAATATCCTCTTTGCAAGGGCACAGATCCTTGAGAGCAGAGTGGGTCAGTGCTGGGCATGAGAAGCAGAGGTCCAAGGAAAAGATGCTGGCTGGAACTTGCTTCTGAGAAAACGCACTTTGAACTGCATTGGCACTTGCTGGGAAAGTGACTGGTGCTGATGCCACCTGCCAGCCATGACTGCTCCCCAAGAGGCCGAAGGTCAGTCTTGACACAGCCTCAACTGCGGCGTGCAAGGATGAAGAACTCATTGACCCAGCACTTCTCATTCTCCAAGAAGAGCCCAGCTGCTGGGTCAGGCTAAAGGGGCTCATCTGCACCAGCATCCAGGTTCCCACATTGGCCCTGTAAATGCTTCCATGGGAAGCCCCAAAGGATGTCTGGAGTGCAGCAGAAGCCCCCACACCATGCTCCCCACCTGTGGCTCCCAGTGACTATCCTTCAGAAGCTCACACTCATTGGCTCTCCAACAGCAAAGGTGGAAACTAGCCATAGTGGCTAGTAACTCTGATGACTAAAACCTCCACTCTTGAAGTCGGTGACCATGGCTACATCTAGTGGCAGGCAGTTCCATAGTCCTGCCTTTTCCCTAGCCGGGATCTTCCAGCTCTCGTTTGGAACTCACTGTGGGATAGAGAGGCGGAGGAAAACTTTTCCATGCCCGCCATCGCCATACGGGGAAAGAGTTCACAACTGGGGCCCCCAGCCCGATCCCGGCAAGCAGAGAGCTAGCTCCTCAGGAGCGGGGAGAAACGCCCCCACCCGCTCCACGGACCCCTCCTCCCCTCGTCCGCAGAGAGCTCCCCACTCCCACGGAGGCTCCTGTGCGCGGAGCGGGGGGAGGAGCGGCTCCCGCGGAAATTCTCCCCGCCCCTCCCCCCCCAGCCATTACAGCCGGGACCCCGAGGGGGCGGTGCTACGTAGGAGCGCCCCGTCCCGCTTCCTCTCCGGGGGTGGGGGGCGCGCCCAGCGGCGCGCGCCCGTTATTTCCCTGCCGGCGCCTCGGCCCCGCGCTCGCTCACCCGCCTACCTGCCTGCCTGCCTGCCTCGGGACAGCCTAACCCGGCAGCTCCGCCGAACCGCGCCCAGCCAATCGGCGCGTGTTTACTGCCGACAGGCAGCCAATGGGCGCGCGGCAGGGGCGGGACGCGGCAAGGTCAGGCTCTCCTGTCCCCTCGGCTTCTCCGCTGCGCCAGGGCGGCCCCTGGTGGACGAAAGGAGAAGTGGCTCCCGTGGAGCAAGAGGGCGAGCGGCGCCCCCTGCAGGCCGAAGGGGAGGCCGCTCAGGAGCGTGCCCCGCCCGAGGCTCATTCATCCCAGCCACGAGGTGTGTTCTCCGTTGCAAGCCTGCAGTCTCGGGACACTCGAGGATGAGGAGTCGCCGTTGAGTGCTCTTTTCCCCAAAGGGGGCATCCAAGTGCAGGGAAGAAGGCGGAGGACCCACTGGGCTCCAGGCCTTCAGCACCCGAGGCCAGTGGCTGCCCATCCCCATCCTCTTGCTCCTGCTGTCTTATGCCATCCAACCCCACACCAGCAGGCAGCCTTGTATCGGGGAAATTTTGATGTTTGACGTCTTATTTTTGTACACTGTTGAAAGCCACCCAGAGTGACTGAGGCAACCCTGTCAGATGGGCAGGGTATAAATAATAAAAGTTTAGGTTAGGGAAGAATTTAAGATAGAAAAGGGACACGACAGGGGTGCCCAATCTCCCCACTGCTTTTTATATCGGTCCTGGAGGTTCTGCTGAATATGATTAGAAGGGACCCGTTGGTTAAAGGCATACAGGTCAGAGCCAAACAGTACAAATTGAGAGCATTTGCAGATGACTTAGTATTGACGTTACAGGGTACATTTTTTCACCTTTGGTGGACGTGCCAAAAGATTAAGGTTTTCTGGGAAATGATATATAATGAATTAAAAAAGGTATTTAAGTATACCTTCCCTAAGAAACCAGAGGCCTTCCTCCTGGGCATAGTCAGCCAAATGGTGTTAAAAAAGGATAGAACTTTCTTTATGTATGCAACAACAGCAGCAAGAATACTCATCGCAAAGTATTGGAAGACACAAGAACTTCCCACGCTGGAGGAATGGCAGATGAAACTTATGGACTATATGGAATTGGCGGAAATGACTGGTAGAATCCATGACCAGGGAGAAGAGTCGATGGAGGAAGACTGGAAGAAATTTAAAGACTATCTTCAGAAACATTGCAAAATTAAGGAATGTTAGAGTGATGTTGGACTGAAAATAAGCGGTTTCCAGCTGTACAGGTTAAAGTTAATGATAGACTAAGATTAAAGATTAGGATTAAAGATGTTTAAAGAAATGGAAATTTGATATTAAGAGGGAAAATTTTAATGTTATATGATACTAAGACTAAAGATCAGGTTTAAAGAAGTTGAAGTTATATATTTTAATATCTTATTAAAAAAGTGGAAAAGAAATTGCTGGACAAACAATTTGGATTGGAATACAAAAGAGGGAGGTATGAGGAAGTCCAGAAAATAAGTAACTAAAAAACGGATATGGAAAAGAGATATTGTTTTTAATTGTTATGTTTCTTGTTTCTTTATTGTTGAATTTTGTTTTGTTTTTGGTGTGTGTTTTTGTTATATGTATTGTGAATGCTTTTCTTTTTTTATTTGTTGTTTAAAACTTTAATAAAAATTATTTTTTAAAAAAAATATAGTATTGACGTTACAGGAGCCAGAATCTAGTACTAAAAGGGTTTTAGAACTAATTCAAGAATTTGGTCAAGTGGCAGGATTTAAACTGAACAAGTTAAAAACTAAGGTTTTAGAGAAAAATTTAACACCGATTGAAAGAGAGAGGTTTCAGAATGAGACAGGTTTGACTGTGGTTAAGAAAGTGAAATACCTGGGGATTAATATGACAGCCAAAAATGGGAACTTATTTAAAGATAATTATGAAAAATGTTGGACGGAAGTGAAAAAAGATTTAGAAATTTGGTCAAATTTGAAGCTTTCACTGTTGGGTCGTATTGCTGTGATAAAAATGAATGTATTGCCTAGAATGCTGTTTCTGTTTCAAACATTGCAAATTGTGGACAAGATGGATTGTTTCAAGAAGTGGCAGAGAGATATTTCTAGATTTGTCTGGCAGGGCAAGAAGCCCAGAATAAAATTTAAGATATTAACTGATGCAAAGGAAAGGGGTGGATTTGCCCTGCCAGACTTTAAACTTTACTATGAATCAGCAGCTTTTTGCTGGTTGAAAGAATGGCTACTTCTTGAAAACACAGACATTTTGGACTTAGAAGGTTTTAACAATGTATTTGGATGGCATGCATATTTATGGTATGATAAGGTCAAAGCACACAAAGCATTCAAAAATCATATTGTCAGGAAAGCATTGTTTAATGTCTGGATAAGATATAAAGATTTACTGGAAAATAAAACCCCAAGGTGGCTGTCACCAATGGAAGCAAAAGCTCTGAAAAGGCTCAATATGGAGGCCAAATGGCCGACATATTGGGAAATTTTGGAACAAGAAGGAGACAAGTTGAGATTGCAGAGTTTTGAAAAACTAAAAAACAAAGTGAGAGATTGGTTTCATTACTATCAGATAATGGAGGCATATAATTTGGATAAGAAAATTGGCTTCCAGGTGGAAAAGTCAAAATTAGAAACAGAACTGCTAGAACCCAAAACTAAGAATCTTTCAAGAATGTATAACTTGCTGTTGAAATGGAATACTCAGGATGAAACGGTGAAATTTGCTATGATTAAATGGGCACAAGATGTTGGACATAATATTATGTTTGCTGACTGGGAACAGTTATGGACCACAGGTATGACGTTCACGGCATGTAATGCCTTAAGAGAGAATATTATGAAAATGATATACAGGTGGTACATGACCCCAGTCAAGCTTGCAAAAATCTATCATTTGCCCGATAAGAAATGCTGGAAATGTAAAGAAACTGAAGGTACATTCTTTCACCTTTGGTGGACGTGCCCAAAGATTAAGGCTTTCTGGGAAATGATATATAATGAACTGAAAAAGGTATTTAAATATACCTTCTTGAAGAAACCAGAGGCCTTTCTCCTGGGCATTGTCGGCCAATTGGTGCTAAAGAAGGACAGAACTTTTTTTATGTATGCTACAACAGCAGCAAGAATACTCATTGCAAAGTATTGGAAGACACAAGATCTACCCACTCTGGAAGAATGGCAGGTGAAGGTGATTGACTACATGGAATTGGCAGAAATGACTGGCAGAATCCGAGACCAGGGAGAAGAGTCGGTGAAAGAAGACTGGAAGAAATTTAAAGACTATTTACAGAAATATTGTAAAATTAATGAATCTTAGAAGGATGTTGGATAGAAACTAAGTGGTTTCCAGCTGTAATGCTTTAAGAGATACGAAAAAGGTTTACAAATGGGTAAAAGCTTAATGGTAAGGATTTGCTGAACTAACAAACTGAACTGGAATACAAAAAAGGGAGGTATGAGGAGGTCCGGGGAAATAAGGGTAAAGAAGATATGCTATGGAAAGTTAACGTGTTTTTTAACTGTTTTTATCTTGTATGTTTTTCTTTATTTTTCTTTTTTTTGTTATATTTCAAAAATTTTATTCTTTTTTCTGTATTTTGTATTTTCTTGTATTTTTATTTTTTGTTTTTGTATTCTTTGAAACTTTAACAAATATCATTTAATATATATATATATATATATATATATATATATATATAATAAAAGTTTAATTATCATTATTATTGGGACACAGCTTGGACGGCCACACACCATTTTCCATTAATGTTCTCACAGTACTGTACATTTGTTACTGTGGCTGATACTTCTTACACTTGATTATATGTAAAACGGGCCAGATGAGACAGGGTTTTTTTTATCTTTAGTGACAGTGTGAATCATGAGACCTATATACAGTGCGAGGGTGTTTCTCTATCTGAAACGTGAAGTACACTCTAAGCATTTCCCCCCACGTTTGATGCTGTTAAATCAAATAATGGAGGGGGCGGGATGAAGGTTTTATGGTCATGGGAGTTTCTAGTCCATCCTCCTGGGCCAATACGTGTGTGCCCTTATGTCCAGGGCTTGTGTGGCTTGTGATGAGACAAGTGTTGCAAATTAGTTCCACAAAAGCAGGGCAAAGAAAATGAGACACACCCACACCCACACCCACACCCCCACACACACACACACTGTGAGTTTCTGTGTCTGCAAATGCTGCTTCAGTGCACAACCATCCTCCACTTTGCAAAATGCCAGCTTTAAATTCTCTGGGTGCAACTTTTAGGTGCCATTTGTTTACAAAGTGTTCTCCATTCTGTTCCTTGAAATGGGAACACCCAAACCCAGAGAATACAGTGGTACCTCGGGTTACATACGCTTCAGGTTACAGACTCCGCTAACCCAGAAATAGTGCTTCAGCTTAAGAACTTTGCTTCAGGATGAGAACAAAAATGCTCTGGCGGTGCGGTGGCAGCAGGAGGCCCCATTAGCTAAAGTGGTGCTTCAGGTTAAGAACAGTTTCAGGTTAAGAACAGACCTCCGGAACAAATTAAGTACTTAACCCGAGGTACCACTGTACCAAGGAGACATTCAGAGCCAGGATTGTACCTTAACGTGTACAAATCTGCTTCTTTGTGGGAGTGGGGGGATTGGGAGGAACTGAAGGCAGAGAT